GAAAAGAAAAGAAAAGATGATATTAATGATTGACAAATCCTTCATTATCGTATTTACGTCTTACCTTCAAATATAATACCCTTGATTTTTTTTGTTTGTGCTTGATAACCATAATTGATAGATATGTTCAATAGCCTTTCCATTGGCATGATACTGGAACACTACTGAGAAAAAGAATGAGAAACGCAGCCATACCTAAATCACTTACTATTTTACTATTTCTTTTTTTTCTTTTGGAATTATAGTAGTACCTTTGATAGTTATAGTCCATTGTTATAGTTTCATGATCTATTGACTATATATGAGGATTCACTTTGTAAAGAAGAGTCAAGAGATGGTATTTATAACAAGATAAAAAAAAAGAGAGAGAGAGAGAGTTTAGTTTACAAATATATAAAGTCCCTTTTATTATATCTTTACTTACTTTTTATACAACATAAAAAAAAAGAAGTTTATAACAGTAGTGATAGAAGAAGAAGAAGAAGAAGAAGAAGAAGAAAGTGTGAAAAAAAAAAAAAAGTGAGGTCTATTTTATATAACCTTATGAATTGAGCCTTTCCTTTTTTTGGGAATGTTCAACTACCGCTTTCATAGTTTATATTCATTACTTTATTATTTGTTATTATCAGATAATCAATTTATCATATCTTAAACTGATTTATTATTCTAAACGGACATGTAATTGATGCTCCTTAGATTAATCAAAAGTTGTTTATAATTGATTTAAGCCTATATGCTTGACATTCCTTGTTCTTTTGTAATCTTTCTCTACTGTCATAGTTATTTAATTTTCAATGAAATACAAGGAATACAGTATGAAATAAGTGATAAAATCATTCACTTGAAAGTGTTTATTCTAATATATCATCATCATCATGATATTACTATAATCAATAATAAAAAAAAAATCAATTCAAAAAAAAAGCAACTTAAACCTATGTGATTCCTTATGATTGGTAGATTTGATTTGCATGATTTTTTAAACTGGCTCCGATCAGGTAGACATATAAAATAAATCTTTTTCTTTTTTCTTTCTTTCTTTCTTTCTTTCTTTTTTTTTTATACATTTCCAACTTCATTACTATATCCTACTCATGTTATCTATGTGGTTTTTACAAATATTTACTCTTATTAAAGGTAAGTTTCAAAAACAAGTGTTTTTCTTCTTTTTCTTTCTAATCTCCTTCCTTTTTTTTTTTTTTTTATTATATACGTTCTTCTGATCTTGATCTTTTTACTACAACATCTATCCATCTAGAATTACCGTTCTTTCTTCTTCTCATACTTCATAATTGGTATCCTTGACAATCGTCATCACTGAATATATGTCTGAAAGAAAGAAAGAAATCTAGATACACGAAGACTTGATCATTTAAATATAGTATCAATAGGATATTACGCGAAGCGGCTATACATCATCATCAGCGGAATAGATAGATATATATACAACAGGATCACAGAATTAAACGAAATGAATACGTGCTATTGTCATAAGATATGGACAACATGGATGAACAGGATATATTATAGGATTCAACCGGATTGGATTATACAATCAATTAGAAGTATCATCTTTATCCTTTTTTTTTATTCTGGCTTATGAATCGTTAGTGATTCTTTTTACTTGTAGTTTATAATGGTACTTAGTATATCAATTATATGTATTTATATTCTTTTTCTTTAATAAAATCATAATTATTATTTTTCTCGAACAGTCATCAATGCATTTCTGTACCTGGTTCCTTAAATAAATTAAATGACAGCTGAATCCAAAGCAAAGAGAATCAAGTTTAAAGACTTTCGAACAATAATATGAAAAACAAGAAACAACATGGAATCATATTAATTCTCTTTTTCATATATTTTGTCGTTTTTTTTTTTTCCTTTTTGCTATATATTGTATTCGACTCGATCTAAATGTATTATCAACAGTGAAAGGAAAAGTAGATTAGTTTTTGACATTTTCCTTTCAATGTCAAAAAACTAATCTACTTTTTTAATTGTACATTCATTATCACATTACAATATATTCTTTCTCTTTATTTTGCTACTTTTGGTACGTCACTTTTATCTATTTGGGCTTTTGCTTTCATTTTTTTTTTTATTTATTTCTTTTCCCCACATTTTTCTTTTCTTTCTTTCTCTTTCCATTTCTCCACACTTTTTTCATTCATTCTCCGCACTCTGTTCGCGTCTCCATATTGGAATAATGACAGGTAACATATAAAATACAAAGACAGTAATAGATTCTTATTCTATTATTGTCAATTTAAAAAATAAATAAAATAAAATAATAAAAAGTCAGTATAAAATATAATTACTTACTTGTTTTATGTTAATTCATGACTCTTCTGGTTTTTCCAATTGTCAAGATCTCTTTTCTTCTCGGTTTTGGTCAAACGAAACGGTGATACAAAGCAAGCCAATGGTTGTAAAAAGATAAGTCTAAAAAAAAATAATAGATGTTAAATATTTTTTATTGAAATGAGTTTATGAGTTGGCTGAATTGAGGTATCTTTCAAAGCAATCACGTATCTTTTCTTTTCTTTTTCCTTTCTTCTCTCGCCTTTCTTTCCTTTTTTTTTTTTTTTTCTCTAGCTTTACCTGGTTATGGCTCTTCTAATGGTTTGGAAGTGGCTGGAATGACAAGAATGGAGGTAAGACATAGATTAACGAACTAATCGTTTTTCTTTTTTTTTTTTTATCTTTTTTACCGTTAGACCCTGGACGGAGCACCAAATGCAAGCCAACCTGTGTTACAAGTACTTTTAAAGATCTTTTTTTTTTCTTTCTACTTGGTTGGTTATTCTCTCCTATGATGTTGGTCTCTTCAAGATCATTTCTCTACTGGTATGGTGTGTCTCTCACTCTCTTGTTGTTCTCTCTCGAGTTTGTGTGGTCTCTTCTTCTCTTTTTTACTTGGTTGGTCTCTCTCTCTCTCTCTCTCTCTCTCTCTCTCTCTCTCTCTCTCTCTCTCTCTCTCTCTCTCTCTCTCTCTCTCTCTCTCTCTTTTTCCCTTTCTCTCGTCTGTCTCTCATTGTGATGGTGTTTCCTTCGAAATCTCTTTCTTGCATGGTTGGTCCTTGTCTTTCTTTTTTTTTGTCCCTCCCACTTGGTATGATGTCTTCCACTTATTGTTTTCTCCCATGACCTTGGACTATTATCCCTTCGTCTTGTGGTACTCTCCATTCCTTTCAACAAAAATCAATAGCTTCGGTTTCCCCTATACTATTTGTAAATTGTCCTTGGTTCTTCCATTGGTTTGACTTTTATGGTTGATGCATCAACACTTGTGAATCATGTAACTAAGGTAATCCATACATTAAAAAAAAAAGAGAGAATAACGGTGATGAACTAGTACTCGTTTTATTGATTCTATTTTTAGATGCTACAATTGTCGCCTATACAATCAAGATGATGCAAAACATCCACTGGTTATTGACAAGGTAACATGTATAAAAGAAAAAAAAGAGTACCAGATTGCTACTCATTGGTTTTTTTTTAATTTGTAGGTATCATGATTGTCGTCTATACAATCAAATGTCGAATGGTCATCATCGTTTTATACTTAGCTTTTGGTGATATTCAAAGATCATGGCGTGATGACCTTTGTTTATCTAACAGGCATTGGACTTGGTCGAGGATGACTGGTGTCTAGGATCATTTATGAATCTAGGGGCTGGATCTAGTGCTCAAGTAGGTGGAGACTAGAAGGCAACATGCAGGGAATACAGTATATCGCCTATAGGCCGTGTTGTTTCATGCTGGAGTCCTTGGAAGTCCTGCCATTTGCGGTATGGTTTGGAAAGAATTAGGGGATAATATCATAATTGGTCAGTGGAGCGTATCTATTAAAACCGGAACAAGCTACCTACCTTGATGGTCTTAAAATGTCAGATGTACTGCTAGTGGCAACCCTTCCTTCTCTCCGAACCCATGATGATGATGACATTCAATTGCAATATGATACAAAACATCCATTGTCGTTGACAAGGTAACCTGTATATAAAAAAAAAAGTAACGGATTGCTATTCATTTGGTTTATTTTTATTCGTAGATACTATGATTGTCGTCTATACAATCAAATCAGTAAGTTATCAGGAAAGAAAAAGATGATCAATCAATATTACATACAATCACTTGCTTCTTTCTTTCTTTTTTTTTAGATCCTTCCTTTTATTGTACGGGGATTGATACGGTATCGCTGTCAGATGATATACGCAAGGTAACAATGGATATATATATAAGAATAACAGTGATGGAGTACTGTTTTTTGGTTGATTTTATCTGTAGGTACAATGGTTGTCGTTTATGAAATCAAATCTCGAATAATCATCATTACTTTATATTAACCTTTAGTCAAACAAAGCGGTCAATGGAGCAAAATGATAAGTCTAAAAAAAATAATAGATGAAAAAAGGGAATGATACTAATGTATTTCTTCTTTTATTTTATTGATCTTTTAGATATTATTGTCTCTATAGTCCAAATATTTTTTATTGAAAAGAAAAGAAAAGAAAAGATACGTGATTGCTTTGAGAGATACTTTAATTCAGCCAACTCATAAATTCATTTCTTGTTTTATCTAACTGAGTTTTCATTTCTTTTCCTTTCCTTTCTATCTCATTTCTCTCATCTTTCTTTCCTTTTTTTTTTTCTCTAGTTTTAGCTGGTTATGGCTCTTCTAATGGTTTGGGAGTGGATGGAATGACAATTATGATGGTAAGACATAGATTAAGGAACTAATCGTTTTATTTTTTTTATCTTATTTACTATTGGACTCTGGACTGAACAGCAAATGCAAGTCAACTTGTATGTACAGGTACTTTTGAAGGTCTTTTTTTTTCTTCCTACTTGGTTGGTTATTTTCTCTAGTGGTATGGTGTCTCTCTCTCTTGCTGTTCTCTGTAATGTTTGTGTGGTCTCTTCGTCTCTTTTTTTACTTGGTTGGTCTCTCCCTTTCCGTTTCCTTCGTCTGTCTCTCGTTGTCATGGTATTTTCTTCCAGAATCCTTTACTACGTGGTTAGTCCTTATCTTTTTTTTTTTTTTTTTTTTTTGTTTCTTCCTATTTGGTTGGTCTCTCCCATGTTTAATGGTCTGATTCTGTTTTCTACTTGATTGGCATTTCTGTCTCCATTAGTATTATTATTATCATTGTCATTATTATCACCAGTATTGTATATATTCTTTATATTGTTCGTATTTAGTTACTTTTTTTCTTTATTCCCTTTCTTTTCTTTTGTAAATTTACCCTTTTATTTAAATAAAGTGTTTGATTATTTAAATTATCCTGCTATGATGTTTTGCGTATGTACCTATTGCTACTATCTATTGCTGTGATGATTTAATAAAAATGTTTCTTTGAGTGTATTATGTAATAAAGTACATGGTCTATCTTACGGTATCATCAATGACATCGTTATTTTCGCTAAGAGAGAAGACGAACAGTCAACAGTATACAGGTACAACTTGCTATTATCATGGGTGGTGATGATGATTGATAATAAGAGAATATATATGCTTAAAATGATGAACGTAATGTATGAAATGAAATAGCAGATACTGATGTGTATATGAAGTTTGTTTTTGCAATAGTTTTTTTTATTTTTTATTTTTTAGTGAAACTAAAATGATGATCATATTATTCTTCCTTATTACTCCTTTTGATAATGATGATGATAGAGGACAAATAGATAAATAATAGTGAAATAACAATAATAAAATATGAGTTTATTTAAAAGATTATAAAATATAAAACACTATAACTAAAAAACTAAACTATTCAATAAACTAATTTCCATGATAAAGAGTTGGATACTTTTCCCTGGTTTGCTTATTCTTTTATCCAGTAGAAAACTTATAAATCCAGTTAATCATATTATATATTTCTTCATATATCCTATCTACTATATGTTCATAAAAAGAGTAAAAAAGAAAAAAAAAAAAAACAACCAAAAATAGATTAGTTCATAATAGGAGAGACTAAAAGAAGGAATAAGTATAAAGTATAATATATATATAAAGAGTGACTTTTAAGTATATAATATAGATTAGTAAAGTAATGTATAATGGTAACTTACAATGTTCAAAGTGCCAGTGGTTAAAAAAAAAAATTCAAAAGTAAAAAAAAATTCAAAGGTAAAAAAAAGTGAAGAGCGCGCCAGAGCTTGGTCCAATTTTTCCATTGTCTCCAATAATTTTTTTTTTTTGATCTCGACCACCAGATCTTTTTTTTTTTTTTTTTTGAGATTGGAACCTCCAGACCTTTTTTTTTTTTGTGATCCAACACACTCCCACATTGAGACCGGACTTTGAAGTTATACCATTTATGGAAAACACTTATGATTTTAATAAAGTAGAATAAGATGAATAAATAATAATAATAATAATAAGATGATGATGATGATATAAAGATAAACTTTATTAAAGAAGAAGAAGAAGAATATAAAAAGAATATAATAAGACTAAAACTATCAATAAAAGAGACTACAGAAAAAATATCATCTATTTACACACAAATTGATTTCCCTTTCCAGTTGTTCTTAATAATATAGTTAGTTGCATTAGTTATTCTTCCTTTTTATGTATCCAATTCTCATTTGGTTCTGTGATCGGTATATATAGGATAATGATGCATCAAAACAATAAAAAAGAAAGAAGAAAGAAGAAAAAGAGAATGAGAATCATATTTTAAATATTCTTTTTTTTTTTTTTTTATCTTACTTTGAATGCACTAATTGATCATACTTGAAAATGATCATAACAATTGAATAATAGTAACATAATAAGACTGATGGACGATGTATCATGACAACCTATCTATTTAGTAAATAAATGTTTAATGGTTGATGTGTATAATATATATATTCCACTGTAGTTGGAACTTATACCAATAATATTTGAAGGATGACAACGATAGTAATGATAGCGATATCAATTTCCACGAGGATAACTAACTGATGAGAATTCAAGCCATCTTGATAAGAAGGGTGCCTTTATAGAAAATAGAGTAACATATAAGCAGCTAAACTTGTATTTGTAACACTACCCATCAACAAAAAAAAAAAAAAAAAGGAAAAGAAAAGATGATATTAATGATTGACAAGTCCTTCATTATCATATTTTAGGCCTTACCTTCAAAGATAATACCCTTGATTTTGTTCTGCTTGTGCTTGATAACCATAATTGATATATATGTTCAATAGCCTTTCCATTGACACATTATATTGGAATACTACTGAGAAAAAAAAAAAGGGAAGAATGAGAAACGCAGCCATACCTAAATCACTTACTATTTTACTATTTCTTTTTTTTTTTCCTTTGGATTTATAGTAGTACCTTTGATAGTTATAGCCCATTGTTATAGTTTCATGATCTGTTGAATATATATTGAGGATTCAGTTTGTAAAGAAGAGTGAAGAGACGGTATTTCTATAACAAGATAAAGAGAGAGAGAGAGAGAGAGAGAGAGAGAGAGAGAGAGAGAGAGAGAAAGAGTTTATTTAGCAAGTATATAAAGTTCCTTTTATTATATATTTACTTACTTTTTATACAAAATAAAGAAAAAGAAGAAGTTTATAACAGTAGTGATAAAAAAGAAGAAGAAAGTGTGAGAAAATAAAAAGATGTGAGGTCTATTTTATATAACCTCATGAATTGAGCCTTTCCTTCTTTGGATGTTCAACTACCGCTTTTCATAGTTTATATTCATTCCTTTATTATTATCAGATAATCAATTTATGATATTTAAACTGATTTATTATTTTAATGAATGTAATTGGTGCTCCATTAGATTAATAAAAACTTGTTTAAATTGATTTAACCTATATGCTTGATATTCCTTTTTCTTTTGTAATCTTTCTTCACTATCATGATTATTCAAAGTTCAATGAATACAACGAATAAGAAATAAGTGATAAAATCATTCACTTGAAAGTGTTTATTCTAATATATCATCATCATCATTATGATGTTACTATAATCAATAAACAAAAAAATCAATTCAAAAAAAAAAGAAACTTAAACTTATGTAATTCCTTATGATTGGTAGATTTGATTTGCATGATTTTTTAAACTGGCTCCGATCAGGTAGACATATAAAATAATTCTTTTTCTTTTTTCTTCCTTTCTTTCTTTCTTTTTTTTTTTATACATTCCAACTTCATTACTATATCCTACTCATGTTATCTATGTCGTATTTACAAATATTTACTCGTATTAAAGGTAAGTTTCAAAAACAAGTGCTTTTCTTCTTTTTCATTCTAACTAACCTCCCTCCTTTTTTTTTATTATATACGTTCTTCTGACCTTGATCTTTTTACTACAACATCCATCTATCTAGAATTACCGTTCTTTCTTCTTCTCATACTTCATACTTGGTATCCTTGACAATCATCATCACTGAATATATGTCTAAACGTAAGAAAGAAATCTGGATATACGAAGGCTTAATCATTTAAATATAGTATCAATAGGATAATTACGCGAAGTGGCTATACATCATCATCAGCAGGATAGATAGAGATATATACAATAGGATCACAGAAATAAACGAAATGAATACATGCTATTGTCATAAGGTGTGGACAACATGGATGAACAGAATATTTTATAGGATTCAAACTGGATTGGATTATACTATCAATCAGAAGTATCTTTATCTTTTTTTAATTATTCTGGCTTATGAATCATTAGTGATTCTTTTTACTTGTAGTTTAGAATGGTACTTGGTATATCAATTATATATATTTCCATTCTTTTTTTTCTTTAATAAAATCATAATTATTACTTTTCTCTAATACTATTAATACTTAGCTCTCGAACAGCCATCAATGCATTTCTGTACCTGGTTCCTTAAATAAATTAAATGACAGCTGAATTCAAGCAATTGATCAATGACATCGTTATTTTCGTTAAGAGAGAAGACGAACAATCAACAGTATATAGGTACAAGTTGATATTGTCATGATGATGATTGACAATAAGAGAATATATATGCTTAAAATGATGAACGTAACGTATGAAATGAAATAGTAGATACTGATGGGTATATGAATCTTGTTTTTACAACAGTTTTTTTTTTTTATTTATTTATTTTTCAGTGAAAATACAATGATAATCATACTATTCTTTCTTATTACTCCTTTTGATAATGATGATGATCGAGGACAAATAGATAAATAATAGTGAAACGACAATATAATAAACAAATGATAATAAAAATATGATTTTATTTAAATGAGAATATAATATCTATAACTAAAAGACTAAACTATTAAATAAAGTAATTTCCATGAAAAAGAGTTGGATACTTTTTCCCTAATTTGCTTATTCTTTTGTCCAATAGAAAACTTGTTATATGTTCAGTTAATCCTATTGTATATTTCTTCATATATCTATCTACTGTATCTTTATAAAAAGAGTAAAACAGAAAAAAAAAAAAACAAAAATAGATTAGTTCATAATATGAAAGAGTAAGAGTAAGAATAAGTATAGAGTAAGTATAGAGTAAGCATAATATATATATAAAGAGTGACTTTTAAATATATAATATAAATTAGTAAAGTAATGTATAATGGTAACCTAACAATGTTCAAAGTGCCAGTGGTTAAAAAAAAAAGCAAAAGTAAAAAAAAAAGTAAAGAGTGCGCCAAATTTTTCTTTTGTCAGAGCTTTGGTCCAACTTTTTTCCATTGCCAACACACCCCCACATTGAGAACGGAATTTGAATTGATACCATTTATGGAAAACACTTATGATTTGCATTAAAAGAAAGTTGAATACATGAATAAATAATAATAATAATAATAATAAGATGATGATGATAATAATAATAATAATAATAATAATAATAATAAGATGATGATGATATGGATTAAACTATTATTAAATGATAATAATAATAATACTATGAAATGATGATTTTATAATTCATAACAAGATGAATATTAACTATGGTATCACTTCTCTTATAATATATACTTTTGATGACAAGTTACTTTTCTCTCTTTTTATCAAATTCATATAATATGATAATATGAATAAATGAATTGTATGATGATATAAAACAATAATGATAACAATAATAATAATAATGATTTGTACTTTATTAAAGGAAGAAGAATATAAATTAACTAATATATGTATGTAACTACTAAGACTAACAAACAACACAAACAACTACAGTAGAGATGGAATAATATAAAATAAGGATGATTTTATTCAAAGTATAATAGATAAATAATAAACAAAGTCAAATAGAACAATAACATCATAAAGAGACCTATAAAGAATAAAAAAAGAGAGAAAAGGTGAAATCCCTACCCACCCACGTCATTATATGATGCAACCAATCTATTATATTAGTAGTAAAAATGATCAATAAAATATATACTTTATACTTATAACAAACAGCCATATCGTAGGAGGGAAGAGAAAAAAATTAAGGGAATGAATGGAAGAGGATAAAAAAAAAAAAAAAACAAAAAGTAGTGGAAAAACGTTGAAGAGATCACAAGGAGACACTGGTCAATGCTGTCCAAGTTCCTACTCAACAACAAACGTAAATTAAAAAAATATTTTTTTTTTTTCAAGTAACACTGTAAATTGTGCTAGGCAATGGTTATTTACAATATTGTTACAAGAAAACGACACCTTTTTAGTTACACTACAATGTGCTAAACAATGGTTTCGTAATGTAAAACTAAAAATGAATAAAAAAAAAAAAAAGAGCGTTCCGAGTGAAGGATACTAGCCCAACACCCCAACTAAAGGTAAGCGAGAGAGATAAAATAAGAAGGATAAAGGAAAGGGAAAGAAAAGAAAGAAAAAAAAAAAAAAAGGAAAGAAAAAAAGAGCTCTAACTATAAATAGATTTAAAAAAAAAATCACGGGTACAAAATTGGTAGAGCCAATCATAGCACGTCTTTCCTTTATTCACTTTTTCATATAAAAAACAAATTACATTTTTGCACTCATCAGTCTATTATTCTTCTATACGAATTGAACACATAGACAAAACATCAAATTATAAAAAGTATGTAGTTTTATTCCAGTGAGATAATATTGACAAATATAAAAGAAATGAGTAGATAATAATGATATATATAAAATGAAAACAAATAATGATGATACTATAAGATCAGGCTTTGGGATCATGATGATGTTTTGCTGTATCAGATGAATTTGAGCTGGAAGTATCATTTCGTTGTACAAGTTCGTAATCACCACCCTTAGTACTTTTGTTGTCCGTAATAAGTTTGTCAAACAAAGTGCCATCAGTATTGTTACGATGGTTAGTGTTTTCACGATGATATTGATCGCGCATAATAGATGTTGACATTTTACTGGCATTATCGAGTGATCGGAAGACTTCATCATTTACATAATAGGCTTTAAATACCCGTTCCAATGTTTGCATACGTTCTTCCACCATTGTTATCCTTTGTTGATCGTTTATATCATTGTCGATATCATTAACATTGAGCATGCTGAATCGTCGATGCACAGGTGTAACCATAGGAATTGTATCTTCGTTTGTCTTGAAGGATGTATACAATCCTCGTAAGATGGATTGCTTCATATTACCAACGGACCATCGATGTACCTTTTATTAAATAATAAATCGTTAATACCTTATTCTCTCTCTCTCTCTTTTTTTTTTTCCACTTTATATTATATAGGAAACTTACAATGCCAAAAGGTGAAAGGGGTCTGTATCCAAAGAGCCAGGCTTGTACAGTAACCAGAATTCCAAAAACACCACCAACAAAACCAAGAGCATTGACCAAAGTGTACATTTTCACTTCACGCTTTGTTGTTTTCGTATAACTATCTGGTGTCACAGCAATCACACCGATATCGCTATGAGTAAGATTATATGTCGGATTTGCTGATTCCATTCTAAATGCTGTTGATATTTCTGGTGTTGAGTTCGTTACAGGTAAAAATCCAACATAATTCCATCCAACGTCTTGCAAATATTGATGATCCGATAATGTATAACCAATGGCGCTGTAAGTAAAAGGAGACACTGTATACACATTGGTAGATTGGAGATCATTCAAATCACTGTTTTGCCAATTCAGTACTTCATCTCGATCCAATAATGAAGGGATTCCATCGTTGATGTTGTAAACTTGTACAATAGGATCCATTTCCTTAGGGAAGGTTGATAAATGAATAGCACCAGCAGAGATTGTTGAATCACCATAGAGTGAGAATATGAGTCGAGAGCCATTATTTGCACCACTAGTTCCAGTTAATTGAAAGTAAACATCTGATCGAAAAAGATAGCAACTAACCATGCCAAATTTGTCCGCGAAGTTGGGTTGGAAAACGGACATATTTAGTGGTTTGATGAATTGATTGCATGAATATCCGTTATCTGTTTGACATGCCACTCCAGGATTTCGAACATCATTGGGATCAGCATAGACTGGATAACCATCAAAGCAAAAGCGGATATCTATAGATGATTGAAAATGATGAGCATTCATTACCATAATATAATAATAATATTTATATACCTGGAACTTCCACTGATGCAGAAGGTGTTTGAATGGTTTGAGTAACGTTGGGACTGTCGATGGCTTGACGTATAACAAAAGCAAGAAAGAGGAGAAAGAGAAATAGGAAGAAGAGTTGAGAGCAAATTCTAGCAGTTTCAGCCCAAATAGGTTCCCCAGAACTAATATATATATATATAAAGAAGATGTGAATATATAATAAATTAAAATCATTCATAACCTACCGAGGCTTCCAAATATCAGAGTGAATTCTATAAATTATCCATTTAATGTGATGTCCAAATTTCCAAAGTAAGATACAGATGATAATCAAAATAAACGCGCATACAACGGAAACACCAATAATGACTCCAGTTGATAGTCCATACCAATTTGTTGATCCAGAATCAGTGAATGATTGTAACCAGCTATCAGTAAAAGTATCCAAGGCATTGATATCATTGTACAGGATACTACCAGCACCACCTATAGCGAGAATAAAATGATCATCAGCACTATATACATATATATATATATTTATTCGCTTACCAAAAGCAACGGTGAGATGACGATCATCAAGTATTTCAGCAACAGCATAAGCACGACGTGATGGAAGAATGCCGCTAATATCAGGAGAAGTCCATGTCCAAGTAGTAGTATCCAGCATATATACAGAATTGATACTAGCACGTAATCTACCAACAGCATTGTTATTACCTATCAAATGAATAATAAGATACAATAAGATTCAAAAATGGTAAAAATAAGATAAAAATAGATTTCACACACACAAAAAAGGACTAATTTTTACCTCCAAACATCAAAATATGGGTCCCATTAACTAGAATAGAATCAAAAAAAGAAAAATGTTGTTAATACAATGATAGAAAAAAAAAAAAGAATATGATATTACTTAGAACAGCGCTATGATGAGCTCTTGGTGAAGGAAGAATATTATTTGCAGCCACTGTAGCATTCACCATGGTCCATTGCTTGCTAGCTATATCGAATATTTGTAGTTGATCCATAGGTGCAAGGATGTTTTGAGTATAGTCTTGAGATACAATGACACCACCAATAATAACTAATTTTCCATTACTATATATGAAATAGGAAAGGGATAAAAAAAGGGGAGAGTGAGTAAAAATAGTCTGTCATCTCTACTAAAAAAAAATCTCAGCCAAAGCTTTTTTTTTTTACTTACCTTGTGAGGGAGGCTGTGTGACCATAACGACGAATAGTAGGTGCTGGCATCGCAGTGAAACCGGAGGTCGAAGGATCGAAGAGCCAGAAATCCGAGAAGATAGAAGTATCATTGACAACACCACCATAGATATAAATTTGACCAGTATTGGTATCAGGTGTTGCTGAGAAAAGCCATCGATTTAAAGGAGCTGCTGTATTTGTCACATTGTTGGTGTTGGTTTGGTTGGACCATGTGGCAGTATTAAAATTGTATTGATATAGTTGAAGTGGGTAAACTTGATTGACGGTAGTATTTGTGATGCCTCCTAAGACTATCATTGAATTTCCATCCTTTGATATTACAGCTTGACCATATGCTACAGCAGGAGGGATATTTTGTTGTGCAAGAGAAGTCCAATTGTATCCAGTCGCTGTTTGTGTTAGCTGATTCAAATCGTTAGTATATTTTGCATTATTACTTTCACCACCAAAGACAATGATTGATTGTTCGCGTTTGATGTAGGCTAGACCTTGTTTGAATGGAATGACAGTTAATAGATTTGGTTGAGAATAATATGCCAATGTTGGGGATGTAAGAAGTACTATCAATAATAAAAGTACATAAATGACTTGATATGTCATTGCTTGGATATTTATAAGTACTGGGTATAACCGTATTGCTTTGTAATAATAGAGGAACGAAAAAGAAAAAGAAAAGAAAAGAAAAGAAAAAAAAAGAAAAAAAAAAAAAAGAAAAGAAAAATAAAGTAACAATGAATTTTTTTTTTTAGAACTACCGACAAGCAAACCAAAAATATCACCTGGAAATAATGCTGTTTTTTTTACCTCCTGTTTTCAGGGAAATCAAATCTTTTTATAGTCCACAAAGCTTTTTTTTTTTTTTTTTTTTTTTTTTTTTTTTTTTTTTTTTTTTTTACTTCCCCTAAATAAATAATATGATCTCTATTATATATATAGTATGATGGTTTCTGCTGATATTACATTATTCAACCAAAAAATCTCAAAACGTAACATTTAGGGTCCCGTTCCATTGGTCTGGATCTTCCAACAAAAAAAAAAAATTCTTTGATTTTTCTTTTTTTATTTCAAAATTGACTTAAAACTAATTAAAGATATCTACTAAATAATCCACTTCGACCTTGACTTTGTTGATCTTGTTGTGTATTCATATCATTATCATTACCAGTTTGTTGAGTACCATATTGATCGGATGATTGACTACTAAAAGTTTGACCAGATTGAGTTTGACCGTATTGACCACCATATTGTCCAGCTTGACTAGTATATTGTTGACCTTGATCACTATACTGTTGACCTTGACCATATGAACTTTGATCACCATATTGTTGACCTTGACCATATAAACTTTGATCACCATATTGTTGACCAGTATATAACCCTTGTTGATTACCAGTATTATCATCAGTACCACCACCAGAAGAAGAATATTGTTGTGAAGAACCAAATTGATTATTTCCACTTTGATAATTTAATTGATCTCCTTGATTATATGGATCACCATATTGATTATAATCACCACCTTGTTGTCTTTGTTGTTGTTGATCTCTGTCCATAATTATTATATTTATTATATCTTAAAAAAAAACTTTTTGTTATAATATTGAAAAAAGAAGTCTTCTCTTATATATACCTTTTTTTTTATCATGGGTGTCGATATATTGAAACCATGAAATATTGTCTTGCATGAATCAAGTCAAATCCCAGGAATTTCATGCCGCTTTCTTTTTTTTTTTTTTTTTTTTTTTTGATTCTCTTTGAAAAACGTGTTCTTCCGTATCCATTTCCCTTTTGGACTTTTCAGATAGCGACTACCGGTGGAGTGGAGTGACTTGAAATTTTATGTTATTATTTTTTTTTTTTATTTCCCTTTTGTGCGCGTTTCCTTTTCCTTCTTTTTTTTTTTGTTTTACAGGAAACATGTCTGATAAATATAAAAACCTCAAGGTTAAAGAACTTCAAGGTATATTATAAGAATATAACTATCAATATAATATATAATTGACTTTATATATTCTTAGAAATTCTACAAAAGAACGGTCTTCCTCATACCGGTAAGAAAGAAGAACTTATTGAACGATTGGTAAAACACGATGAACACAAAGCTCTAGAATTGGAATCACTGGAAGCTGAATTTGGTAACTTGGAAGAATATGATGACTCAAAGATCAATCTAGAGTAAGTAAAAGAAATAAAACTAATCTATATATTAACATTCTCTCTTTCTTTCTTTCTTTTTTTTTTTTATATATATAGTGAACTTGTTGATCCTGAACTTCGTTCTTTCCCACCTGAGAAGAAGGATGATGTTAAACCAACAGAATCAGCTAGTACTAATACTACTACGACGAACATTCCAAATAAAACTAATATCGGCAACAGCAGTGACACAACTAAAACTAGCTCAGCTGAACCTATTGTAAAAGAAGGCTCCAACTTCAAATTTACCCCAATTGTTTTCGACATAAAGACAAATACTGCTACATCTACGAACGGTAATACAGCATCCTCTCCGAAAAAAGCTAGTGAACCATCTTCTGCAACAACTGATGCTGAACGAAAGTTGGAACGGGCAAAACGATTTGGTGTTCAAGTCAATGAAAAAACAAAACAAGAATTACGAGCTGCTAGATTTGGTATCCAAAAACCTTCAACTCAAACTAAGAAGCCGATAACAAAGGTAAAAGTGGGGAAAAAAAAATGATTTATACAATTATGATATTAACAACAATTGTAATATCATAGGGTCTGGATCCTGAAGTACTCAAAAAGCGAGCAGAAAGGTTTGGATTACCTGACAAGAACACAAAATCAGCAAAACCATCAACCACATTGTCACCTGAAGAAGAAGAAAAGAAAAGAAAAAGAGCAGAACGATTTGGAATTGATGTCAATGTAAGTGAAAACAATATATGAATATGTATAGATCTAACCATCTCTCTCTCTTTTTTTTTTTTTCATTATAGAAAAAACAAAAAAGTTAGATATTCCCCCCTTTCCATCTTCACATCATGATGTTTGTATTCTTAGTTATTTGTTTATTCTTTTTTCTCATTTTTAATAAATTACATTTGTCATGATTCTATAGTATCCTTTTTTTTTCATTTTAGACTTGTTTATCCCATGTCATTCCATAGTTTTTGTCATAAAACTAACTCAATATTCATCATCATCAACCATCATAACATTATTCTCATCAATCAGAGTTTGTCAATCATAACATATCACCCATCGATCATACAGCATTTGAAGTAGCAACGCCAAAAAAAAAAAAATCATCCTGATAAAAGACAGTATACACAAATAATTGTCAAAAAAAAGTTTATTTTATTTTCCATCTACTAATGTAGAAGCAGCTATGTACAAAAGAATATGAATAAAAATGATATATGTGGTATGAATTTAATCAATCTTTTTTTTTTTGTGCTTACCTTCTTGTACCGTTAAACCATTCATCATCAGAGCAGCAATTCGTTCTTGTTCTAGTCTATCTTGTTCCCGTTCAACATCACCACGATCGTAGGTTGAAAGATCAATTGCATCTTCTTCATCATCACCATCATTAGCCAATGCAGGGTTGAAATCAAATAGATCACGACCAGACATGCCTTGAGATCGACCAGCCTTCCATCGAGTTTCCTTTGCTTTACGCACAGCTGCTTCCTCCACATCCTTTTGAACCAGTCGATTCTTTTTCCATTCATTAAAGGATTCCAAAGTAACAGGTGTAAGATTGCTTCCAAGTTTGTGGCGCTAATATATATATTAAAAAAATAGATCAGTTGATAATTCATTTTATAAAATAAACTTTGATCCTTACTTCAGATTCCAAAAATTCTTCCAGAGAGATTTCAGATTTTTCTTCAGTCTTGCTTTGTTTCGATTTCAAGACAAATCCTGGTGGAAGAGCATGTCTGTATTTGCAGGTTGAGCCTAAACAATAAGAATAATAAAAATATAAATATCATCATAAAACTTTTTAGAATAATCCTTTTCTTCTTTTATATATATATATATATATATATTACATACCACCATTAGGACATTCCCAGAACCAACCATATTTACTACTTTCAATAGCTTCCAAAAAGTACTTGCATACAATATCAGTAGGAGGTTGTTTTCCAGCTTTACTCTTGACCACTTGTTCTAATTTTTCTTGATCCCATTTTTCCATCGTATCTATTTATCAGATATGATATAAATTATTTTTTTGATCCTTTACCAATATATATATTTGTCTTTTATCTTACCTTCTTCCTTTTCTTGTCTAGAATCAGTATAAAGATCCTTCTTATCTGTTTTTCGATTGACGTTAACATCGTGAGAGAATTTACACTTGGCACCTTTTTCACAGTTTCCGTTTTTGAAGTTGACACAGAGTACAGACTTGGGATCTGTACCAAAAGGTACTTTTTGAACGATTTGCACAGGTTGGAAGAGTTGTTGAAGTTCTTGTTTTCGTTTTTCTTCAGCTGCTTTCTTTTCAGCAATATCACGTTTAACAGTTGACTTGTTCATTTCTTCATTGTGTTTCGCTTGAGCCTTGACATTTTGGATATATTTCTGTACTTTGCTGGATTTGTTCTTGTTCTTCATACCAAAAGTTTTGTCTTCTACTGACTTGGCAGCTTTGGCCTTTTCTGCCTTTGTCTTTTGTTGTTTCTTAGGAGGCATGATTCAAAAATAAATAAACAAAAAGTAAGAGAGGGGGGATAAAATAGATAACCAATAGAAAAAAAAAAATAAAAAAATAAAATAAATGTAGAAGACAATGGTAAAAATAACAAGCCAAAAAACAAAAAAAAATTTTGATAGCCGCAGTGACTTTTCAAAAAAAAAAATATATGCGATATTTTGATTGGCTGGTGATACTCTACAGGTACAGACTAAAACATTAAAATCTGAACAAAAAACATACAAACACATAATAGACTGTATATGTTTATATATATAGTATAGTTTATTTTGTATCAAGGATGATGATTTCTTGTCATAAACCATGTGATATCACCAGATGGTCCTTTTGGCATTGATCTTAGATATATAAAGAAAAAAAAAGGATGAATTGAACACGCTATTTTATTCTCCGTCTATCACCCCCTTTTTTTTTTTCCTTTTCTTTTCTTTCTTCTATTCTTTACAAGTTGCTCTCGTTTAAATATGGTGACTGATAACTTGACTGAACCTACTATTTTACATCACGAAACGTTTGAAAGAGTGAAAACTCTATCTACTCCTTTAACAGCAAGCAATGCCACTAGTTTGACAAGTGTAGATAAAACCATCTCAGACGAAGATAGATCAACCATCACAGCAGCAACAACACCAACACCAACCAAAGATATATTTTCTTCAAAAATACGACATTATGGTCAATGGTTTAAGGATGATATGGGAAGAACTCTTCTGATAAGAGGTGTCAATGTTTGTGGTTCCTCCAAACTACCAACGCGACCTTATCCTGGCTCTACCCATCTCTACGATGATACTTTCTGGGACCATACCAATGTTAGTTTTGTCAACCGACCTTTTCCTTTGAATGAAGCACGTTCTCATTTTGCACGACTCAAATCTTGGGGTTTTACTATGATTCGTTTATTGGTACCTTGGGAAGCCTTGGAAGCAAAACGCGGATGTTATGATGAAGAATATATTGATTATCTACGACAATTACTCATTATTATGGCGGAATATGATATTCAATGTTTTATTGATCCTCATCAAGATACTGTAAGTTATGATTGATTCATTAATGAGAACAAGTGATATACAGATGATTCATCTTTTTTTTTTTTTGATCATGTAGTGGTCCCGATTTTGTGGAGGTTCTGGAGCACCTGGATGGACATTTGAGATTGCCGGTTTGGATATAAAATCATTCAAGGAAACAGGGGCAGCATACGTTCATAACACCAATGCAATACCAGGTGACCCGTTACCAATGGTATGGCCCACCAATTATACCAAGCTTGCATGTTGTAAGTTCTTAATTAATTAGAAAAAAAGGAACATCATCTTATATTGTTTATATTAGGTACTATGTTTACTTTATTCTGGGCTGGAGATGTATTTGCACCAAAGCATAAATTTGAAGGACAATCTATTCAACAATTATTACAATCAAGCTTCATCAATGCTTTTCAACATTTGGCTCAACGTTTACAAGATTTGGATAATGTGATTGGTTTTGAAGTCATGGTAAGAATGACAAAATATATTATTATTTCTAACTTTCGTTATTATTATTACTATTATTATTATTAGAACGAACCAGCTCCTGGCTATATTGGTCTCTCAACGTTGAAAGAATTTGATCCTATTGTCAACTTGATTTTTGGTGATGCACCAACTCCTCTTCAATGTTTTGCATTGGGTGATGGTATTCCTCAAAAGGTAGGAGTATATATCAAATCCTGGCCTTTTCCCACAAAGAAATCTCATAGTCGTGTGATCAATGCAAGCAAGACATCCGCGTGGTTAGGGGATCAGACTTGTATATGGAAACAACATGGTGTATGGGGAATCAGGAATGATAAACCGGTGTTATTGGCAACAGACTATTTTTCTAAACATCCTGAAACTGGCAACAAAGTGGACTTTTATCAAGATTTTTATGTACCTTTTGTTAATACCTATGCCAAAGCTATTCAAGCTGTCAAACCTTCTTTATATTGTTTTGTGGAACCACTAGCGAACGAGGTAAAAAAAAAAAAAAAAAAATCAGTGATAATTCTACTAATTTAATTTATTTATTTATTTCGTCCTATAGAAATCACCTGTCTTTACCGAAAAAGATCATCATCACAATATGATCTTTGCTCCTCACTGGTATGATCTCAATTGTGTTTTTTATAAGAAATTTGATGGCAAGATAACTCATGACGTACAAGCTTTACAAAACGTTAGTATCATAAAAAAAAAAGACGATGAAGATATTCAACATTGATTTGTATTGATTAGGGAGGAAATGTTATCTCTGCAACTTATTTTGGTCAAAAAGGGGTCAAAAGGAATTATACTAAACAGATCATGAACATAAAACAAAGTGGACTAGATAATATGGGTAAGACACCGACTCTTTTTGGTGAAGTGGGTATACCAATGGATATCAATGATCGATATGCTTTCAAGACGGGTGATTATAGCCAACAAATTCGATTCTTAGATGCTGTTATTTATAGTCTTGAAGTCAACCTGGTCAACTTTACGTATGTTGTAAAAAAAAAAAAAAAAAAAAAAAAGGTTCTAATATTTATTGAATAGGCTTTGGAATTATGATGTGAACAATGATCATGAATATGGAGATCATTGGAATGGAGAAAACTTTTCGATCTATTCATCCAAGCATAAGACTACTCCAACTTTAGAGAATCTAACCAATTTGGATCCTGTGGAAGACATTGATCTTGATGAAGGGGGACGAGTTTTGGATGCTGCTTTAGTAAGTAATAAAAATAGATTTTCATTTTGTTATTTATTTATTTATTTATTATATATAGCGTCCTTATGCAAGCAAGATTGCTGGTATACCTGAAACATCTAGATTTGACATGCACCAACTTCAATATACTTTAATATTCCGACCTTTCGATGATCAATATATACAAGAAACACAACAACTTGGATTCGATACTTCAAACATTCTTGCAAGTCAAACAGAAATCTATATTCCTAACTACCATTATCAAGATATCGAACTGGATATACAAGTTTCCCATGGACAGTATGAGCATATACCCGAAAAACAACTGCTATACCATCGATTCAATCGTGATGATATTGAAAAAGATCAAATCATTACTATTCAACTAAAACCTAGAACGACCAACAAGAATCAAGCCAAGTGCATCATCATGTAGATTTAGAGAAAATAGTGTTTTGTTTTTATGCGCGTTATTCATACTCCGAATAAATATATATATTTCTTTTTTCTTTTTTATGTTATATCTTCTCTTTTTTATTTTTTTAATCTTTATATATACATGGATATACCGGCATCAAAGTCTCCCATTTTACCGTTTTTTGGATCTTTGTTTTCTAAAAGAACATCATCGTTGGATTATCCTTCTTTGACTCCATCTACTTCTAGTTCTGAATTGACCGATATCAGCTTTTACTATCATCATCCAACTTCTTGTTTCAAACGCTATGAATTAATGACTGAATTGTAATATTCTTCCTTTTTTTTTTTTCTCTTTTATTTGGACAATAACTTGACCATCATCTTTTTTTTTTTTTTATTGGAATATAGTGTAAACCTTCGAAATCCAAATCACTGTCCTTTGGGTATGTATCTGATTCCTTGTGCTGATACTTTGAATGGTAAACATCAAAATATTAAAATAGATGGAAATAGGATAATTTTGATACAATCCTTTTTTTTTTATGTGTGTGTGTGTGTGTGTGTGTTTTTTTTTTTTTTTTTTTTTTTTTTTTTTTTTTTTTTTTTTGGATAGTATTATATGGGGTGATATTCCTTCATCATGGATTGTACAATTCAGGCGTCTTCAAATTCAGAGTGACAATTCCCGAGAATTATCCCTATAGCAAACCTTTGGTGACGTTTCTGACAGATGTCTTTCATCCTTTGATTGGTCATCAAGGTCATCTTTCTCTATCTCAGGCTTTTCCTCCCACCCGGCATCCTTATCAAGGTTATCTCATTCATTTGCTTCATTACATCAAGAATATATTCTACAAGCCCACCATGGATGGTTTACTGCTCAAGCATTGTGTTGACAAGGAAGCATATCGTCTGTAAGTAAATTTGATCATGACAATCACATAAGTCATTTTATTTATCTATTTTTGTTTTGATTCCTATACTATGATTAGGTACAGGGAAGATGCTGTTGTATTTGGTAAACTTGCTCAACAATGTGCTAAATTGTCCATTACAGAATTATATGTGTTTGATCACTTTCCAGACAACAATTTGATTCGATTTTCTCCCTTGGATGAAGAAACATTTGGTAAGAATGCATATCAATGATGAATCTGCATTCATCACACAATGATCTATATGGTTACTCATATCTCCTTTTATATTAATGAATAGATATCATCAAGTCTTATCTTCTCAGAAAATATGTACAGGTAAAGAAAAAAAGAAAAAAAAAAGGAAATCAAGTCTGCATATCCATTCGATTGAAATTTTTTTTTTTGAAAAATAAAATAAAATAGAATGACGGGATTTTGAGATGATTATACTATTTGGATAGTATTTACCTTGACAACATCAATTTGGACCAATCTTTAGGATCATCATGGATACATTCGTTTTAGTTTTATCCCAATTATCATCATTCACATGCTTTTACTTGTATATCCACCTTCTCTTCATCATGTTTATTGACTATACCCCCATCATGCAAAAACAAATAAAAACCACATATAAACATATCAATCAATAAAATAAAAATGAAATGTACAGATCATAAGAGACGATGATTTATTGTTCGATGATTCTTTCTATCATTCTAGATAACTAGTCGGACAACGATAAATAATGACAATAAAACAAAAACGTATAGAGATAATAAGTAGTGAGAATGACAAAAAAAAAAAAAGTTGGTAGAAAGGAAGCAGATGAAAGAAAAAAAAAGACTATACATGTAAAAGATATAAAGGATGGACGAAAAAAAAAAAAAAGATGAAAGGGGAAGGTTTATCTAAAACAAAAATACTTGTTTCATCCAAAAGTCAAAGATAACAATTCTTTTCTTAATTTCTTCTCCAAGAGCCAAGATCCCTATCACGATCACCACCAAATCCACCGCGACGACGATCATCCCTACGATCATCCCTACGATCACTATCACGGGCCGCATCACCACCTTGTCGTGCACGTAAAGCAGGAGGAACATAGGCACCAGCACTTCGACCAAATCCACCAGGAGCACGGCCTGATGAAGGAGAGGGAGGAGCTTCACCTTGTCTAGCACGTAAAGCAGGAGGCACATAAGCACCACGTTTAGGTTCAGCAGGAGAAGGAGTAGATTGACGAGCTTGAAGACGTTGTTCAATTTCAGCTTCACGTTCACGTTGTTTACGAGCCATTTCATCCAATTTCCTAGATTTTTTTTTTAAAAAAAAAGTTAGAACCAAAAAAAAAAAAAAAAACATCTTTATCATTTACTTACTTCTTTTCTTCCTCATCTTGTTGTTTCCATTTGGCAAGTTCAGCAGCTCGTTGAGCAGCTTTTCGTTCTTGTTCTTCCTTGGCTTGACGTTCTTGTTCTTCTTGAGCACGACGTGCTTCTTCTTCCAATCGACGTTGTTCCAATAATTCTTCACGTTTGGCCCGCCATAAAGCAATACGTTCTTGTTTTTCTTTTTCAATGGCTTCTTCAGCTGCACGTCGTTTAGCATCGGTAGCTTGTTGATGAAGGGCATCTAATTTGTTGCGATAAGATGAAAAGTCGTCGTACATACGAGCCAATCGAGACTTGACTTGCATGTTGTGTTCGTGTGTTTCCTTGGCAGTAGCCAGTTCCATCTTGCGAGCAGCTTCGTAAAAGGCTTTGTCTTGCTTTTGTTGACGTTCATAATCTTTGTCCAAAAGAGGGATTTCTTCTTTACGGAAAGCACGTTCAGTATGATCCAAGCGTTTGGCGATTTGTTTGAGACGATCTGACATTTCCTTTTGTTCTGTTTGTAATCGATTGACCTTGATATCCAGTAATGTCTTGACATCTGAATTTTCCACTTCTTCAGGCTTGAGTTGTAAACCGGTCTTGGCAGAGATTTCTTCAGCAATACGTTTAGCTTGATCACGTTGAATTTCTTCTTGAACACGCTTGAGACGTTCTTCTTCTCGGCGACGTAATTCTTCTTCCATACGTTTCTTTTCAGCTTCAGCCTTCTTGGCGGCAGCAGCAGCCTTTTCTTCAGCAGCCACCTTTTCCAAACGAGCTAATTCTGTTTCGATAATTTCCTTGCGACGTTCGATAGTGTTCTTACGTTCCAAAGCATCCTTGTGTTCCTTCTTCATACCAGCCAAAGCTTGTTGTACAGCAGCAGCCTTACTTTCCTTTGCAGCTTCCTTGATGGAGGGATCAATCATTTGAAGAGCAGCATTAAGATTGACACCAAGTCGAGATAATTGTGTACGCATAAGATCAGATGGAGATGATTGAAGTTGAGAACCTTCAGCAACAGTACCCTTAGGAGCAGCAAAGAGATCGGTTTCGAAAGTCAAGCTTTGAGAACAATGATCAATACGGATATTCAATTCACCACGCTTGCATCCATTCATGATGAATTTTTCAATAGTAGCAGCATCATAGTTGTAAGGAGCAGGGAAGGAAGCCAATTCCAAAACAAAGTCTAACTTGACAGTTGTGTAGACTTGAGACAATTGTTGAAGTAAACGGGTCAAAATAACTTGATGAAGAGGTCGAACATATTTGGCCATATCAGCATCTTCAGATAACTTGGTCATAATAGGGTTAATCTTCTTGCAAATAGAAAGAGGATGGAATTGAACTTCAAGAATGTTGTAAAGATCGCGGATTTCAGGACGCACACGAGAGAGAATATTCTTGTTCAAAGCTTCCTTCAATAATCCAGTACGAGTAGGATGTTGAGCAAGACCCATCAACATAGATAGTCGGTTATGTTTTTGAATACGATGATCATCAGCTTCCAAATATCCAGGTCTAGTTTTGGTGGTGGTAATGATGGGAATGGCAAGGGCTGACAAGAGTACGATGGAAGCCATACGAGATTGATCTTCTTCAGACATAGACTTATTAATCACACGTTCGATACCAGAGTATTTGTTCCAAGCAGCAGAATGGAAAAGGAAATCTTCGCTAACCATAAATATTTGAGTAAGTTTGTTGTAATAGTTGGCAAGCATTTCGGGTTGAGGAGGACGTTTGGAGGAAGTCAACAAGGTGTAAATATCTTCGACAGATTTGAAAGCTTCTTGCCATAATTCCAATTCTGCAGCAGCATTGAGTTGGTTGAATCTGACATCAAGGTATTGTTGTAAAGTGTCGGGATCGTTCAAGTTGATGGAATGAGGTTGGTGAGAGTATTTCGAAACGTTTTGGAAGTGATTGCGTAAAATTTCACATAAACGACGGAATTCAGTCTTACGAGCATAAGTCAAACAGAAAGATAAGGCTTTGTTGGTGACTTGGTGATAAAGAGTTTCTAAACGAGCATTGTTACGTAAGATATCCAATACAGTGCGATAGACTTCCCATAAAAATTTCAACCAAGGAGTGACAACAGCACGATCAGTACGGTCCTTGTTTTGTTCACCACTCACAGTACTAAGCATAATAGATTCAGGAGTTTCAGAGGCTTCCAAGTCATCTACATCAACAGCAATTTGATCAGCCTTGGCACGAGCTTCAGCTACCTTTTGTTCAGAGAGTTCAAGAAGTTTGGTGATAACGATCTATATATTTTTTTTATATATATAAAAAATAAAATAATAAGTTGATCGTCCAATTTTTTTTATTGAGTTATATAAATACTGCTTACTTCAATCGAATTGACACTGGTGTTTTGAGCAAGGTTACGATATTGATGAAGACCTTCTTTGACGGTTTTGCCTTGGCGTAAATTAACACAAAGTTCGACGTATTTTAGCATCATTGGTTCCATAACAGCAAGAGGAGTGCTTCGAGATCGTTTGGAAAGAATGACTTCATTAAGAGCTTGTAATGCAGGGGCTTCTTGACCCAAAGCGATAAGTTCTATAAAAAGAAAGAAAGAAAGAAAAGAAAATTATTCATTATTGATCTAGATGTATTCGTCATTGTAGACCGTCTATTTTGTTTCCATCCATCCATCCATCCATCCATCCATTTATCCATCCATCCATCGTTTGTACTTTACCATCAGCTCTTTTAAGAGCATTATCGGGTTTTACTGCGTAATAAGGAGCCATGATGGGCTAATAATAAAAATATATGATAGGTATCGATATGATGAACCGCAGAACAAAGAAGAAATCAATAAAAAAAGAAGACCACAAATAAGGAAATGGCGGGGAGTGAAATCTATGAGTTGATCCTTTTTACTCTTCTCGCCTCCCAAAAAGGTAACTGCTTCTCTTTTTTTTTTGTTTTTTTTTTTTTTTTTTTTGTTAAAGGAGAACAGGCTTACACCTCCGTATTGACCCTCCTTTTTATAAGTTTTTGATTTATTTATTTATTTTTCTTTATTTATCATCTCCTTTGAACTTGTTTTTATTCTTTTTCTTTTTCTTTTTCTTCTTTTTTTTTCGATTTTTATCCTATTATTGCGTCCTTTGATAGTGACGTCTTTATATTATTGACTATAAAAAAAAACACGCAAGCTGTCATCAGCAACGCAAATCATCTTATGTCATCATCCAATAAATCAATTCGAACAAAAACTGGTGAATTAGTGATATATGATCACTTGAGAGAAGAACAATATTTACAAAATGAAAAAATAGTCATTGATTTTCTTAATTCTCTTCTGGGGCTTGAATTGAAAGGCGGTCAATTAGATGATGCATTGAAAGATGGCGTTTTATTATGCAGGTAAGTTTGAATAAGTTTTATTATATTATATATATATATATATATAACTTTTTTTCCTTTTTTTTTTTTTTGGTTAGATTGATTAATAAAGTCCGGCCAGGTACTATCAAACATGTTGGACAAAAGGATGTAACGTTTGTTAAAGTAAGTAAAATAATATTATATGAATGATCACTAACTGTTTTTTCTTTTTTTTTTTTTATCTGCAAGATGGATAACATCACTAGTTTTATTCAAGGCGCCAAGCAAGTAAGAAAGATTCATCGTTCCCCATTTAGGGATCAAAGGAGATGGATAAAGGGGTTTATATTGATGACACTAACGACATATCTAATGTAGATCGGTTTAAATGATACTCAATTATTCGAAACAAGTGATCTATTTGAAGGAAAAGACATGTTAGCAGTAAGATTACTATATATAGGTTTCTTGTATGAACTTATCTTTCTTACCTCCCTTTTTTTCTAGGTATTGAATACTGTTCTTGTATTAGAAAATATATACCAACAACAACAACAATGTGATGCTCTTGATATTCAAACTACCTTATCTTGCAATCAATCTACTGAAGACATCAACCAAATTAAAGGTAATCATCAATGTATAAAATTTCATATAAAACCCCGCCTTAACTCGTTCCTTTTTTTTTTCTTTCTTTTTTTTTTTTTTTTTTATTTTATGTATTTCAAGATAATATTGATTCAGAAGAAATTATCACCTTTGACCACCATATTACTCCAACCTTGAATGACACTTCATTATGCTCAGAAGATAAAACATTAACTTCTTCTTCAGTAGCCCGTCCACCTAAATCACCTTTACGACAACGCAGCCATGAGTCATTACCTTCAAACGATGATCCTCGCGCACGACGACCTTCTGCACCCAACTTTTCTACATCAACTCAACAAGACGATTGGACAGCAAGTGAATTTAGTAGTGTTGCATTATCCCGTTGTTCCTCTAGTCATTCCACTTGCTCCTCTTTATCTTCTGTTTCTTCAGTAGCTTCTAGTGTCCCAAAAACTCCCAACACGCCTATTCCTTCGACAGAAAATGATGATATGGTATCAAAAGAGATGGAAAAACAGCCATTGGATGATCTTTCCTCTTCACAACAACGCTCGCGACGAAAATCATCTCCTCAAAGTACTACTCTCCCTCGTCGCCATGCTCGTGATTCCACTTCTCATCGTCATCAACATCAAATCATAAAGCCTGGAAGTCTTGGACATAGCTCTGGAAATCGAGCTGCTGCCAATGGTCGTATGCATGAAAAATTATTACTGAAAACACGAGATGGATCATCAAGTACCCAATACGTAAGGAATATATCTCTTTATATATATATATATATATATATATATATTTGATTTTATTACTTTCTAATTGAATCTAATCTGTATTTTTTTTTTTTGGATTAGCAACTGGGAAACTGTATAGGGAAAGGACAATTTGGATCTGTATTCAGGTAGCAAGAAAGCAAGAAAGAAATATTATATGACATATTATTCATGTTCTCTTTCATATTTATCTATTGATAGAGCTTTGGATCTTGGAACTGGTGAAATTGTAGCCGTCAAGCGAATCAAATTTGAAGATGGAGAATTGGACAAAGAAATTACGGTAAGATCAGAAAATGAATGGCAAATAAATTTGATTCTGATTTGTTATTCTTTTTATATAGAAAGAGGTGTCCCTATTGAAAACTTTATCTCATATGAATGTCATTTGTTATTTGGGATTTATTCGTAGCAAACATCATATCAATATCATCCTTGAGTAAGTTATCTATTTATTCTAAATACAATTAATTAATATTCTTTCTTTGTTAGATATGCTGAAAATGGTTCACTCATGTCAACATTGAAATCCTTTGGTGCCTTTCCTGAAAAACTTGTCTGCTCATTCTGTATTAAAATTCTCAATGGACTGGAATATCTTCATAGCAACGACGTAAGTTTTTACTGGAACCCAATAAAAAAAAAAAGGAGAAAACATTCATCTTTTGTTTATTTTCGATTTAGGTTGTCCATTGTGATCTCAAAGCCGCGAACATCTTGACGACGAAAACTGGTGATGTTAAACTCACTGACTTTGGTGTCTCCTTGAATTTGAAAATCAAACCTGCTGACGCTGAATCTGTTTCTGGAACACCTAACTGGAGTAAGTAGAACATCTAGTCTCACAAATTTGGTTATTGATAACTGTAACTTTACTATTTTTGCATTTAATAGTGGCCCCTGAAGTAATCGAATTGAAAGGTGCTTCTACCAAATCGGATATATGGTAAAAAAAAAAAAAAAAAATAAAAATAAAAATAAAAAAAAAAGTGGGATGGATAATTATGATAAAGTAGATTGTACTATGGGTATTTAATATATCTTTGATTTTTCTATAGGTCACTTGGATGTACATTGATCGAACTTGTTACTGGAAAACCGCCTTACGCCAATATAGTACCAATGTCTGCTATGTTTCACATTGTTGAAGATGATTATCCACCATTACCCAAAAACATATCGGAGGAAATGAGAAGTTTTTTGGTATGCTGCTTCCAGAAAAATCCAAACGATCGTCCAACCGCAACCCAACTGAAAAATCATCTTTGGCTACGAAAGAACCGTAAACAATTGAAAAGGAACAAGACTTACTCTCAAAATCTCTCTGCCAATGCACAAAATCATCATGACAAACGAAGTAGTACCGGTAGCAGTATCAACGGACAACAACAATCTCACAGGCACCATTATTCAAGAAGACAATCATTTCAATCATCAAGACCATCTTCATTCTCTGGTCAATCCTCTACTGATCGAACTTCCATAAGACAAAGTATGGATAGCGCAATTGATGACATACCATCTCGTCGGTCTTCTCGCGCTCTTTCCCTCCGCAAAGAACAGCCATCACTATCTCCTTTGTTTCCTATGTTTGATCAACCTGGAGACTATATTACTCACCGTTTCATTGATACCTCATTTGGAAGACGTAAGTATATTGACACCTATTGACACCTATTACCTCCAAATGGGCTAATCTAATTTTTTTTTTTTTTTGGTGAAATCAGTCATCGAATGCAAAGTCTGTGGTGACAATATTACGGCCCATGCGACGTTTTGTCAAGGTAAGACATCATTGAATTAAATTTTGAAAAGTATAACACTTGTAGAAAACTGCGATGTTGATATTGATTCTTTTTTTTTTTTTTTTTGATTTTAGTATGTGGTCTCACATGTCATGATCAATGCAAGAAATTAGCCTTTTCTTGTCCACCAAAGGTCAAGAATCAACAACCATCATACGACGTAAGATGATTATTGTTATCTTTTTTTTTTTTTTTTTTTTTTTTTTTTTTTTTTTTTTTTTTTACTAATGGAGGAAGTGAATGGATGATTGAACAAAAATCAATAAATATACTCACCTTTTTTTTTTTTTCATTGATCATTATTAGTGGGTGTTTTCTGCCAAAATCTACAACCATCAAAATCAATCAAATCACACTTCTGACTCATCTTTGCTCGATCAGCAACATCCATTATCTCTGTCTAAACGCTCTGGAAGCAACTCATTATCAGATCATCCTCACGCCGACAGTATTCGACGTTATTCTGAAGCTCTTGGATTAACTGCTCAAGAACAGCAAGCTTTATGTGATAACCCTGCTCTGTTATCGCATACTTTGGCCTTGGAAAAGATGGACAGTGCTACCGTGGAACGACTACGAAAGGAACATCGCCGTCAATTATCTTCCAACGGCAATAGCAACAACAAGGATTGTATCATCAGCTGATGGCTACATTTATTTGGTTGATTTGATTCGTTTTATTTTATCAGTATAGTCTTTCCTATTTACTTTTTTTCTTTCTATTATTTACCTTCTATCTTTGATTTTTTCCCCTTATCTCCATCTATATCTATTTACTTTATCTTTCTACTGATTTCCCTATTGATCCTCTGTATATTTTTATATTTTATCCAACCTTAAAACCAATAAAGAGCTTCTTTCGGTTTTGTTTAACCATACCAATCAATGTTGATTTCTACTATAAATCCTTTGATCATTTGAATTGAATGCTTAAATAATAAATTATACCTTAATATGATGATAAAATTTATACCGTAATGTACAAGTTTTTATTATTCATGACAATATTAATATCACTAAATTATATAATATCTATCTAGCTTGTTCCTTTTTCCAAGGGTTCACTATCTGCACGCGGTCCACCAATGTCGTGACTAATATTTCCATCCAAAAATCTTTTCGTCAAAAAGACATTGTCGTGACCAGTATATGTCAATGTTAGTTCCTTCCAAGGATATTGCCATTTGATTGAATAGGTGATTGTCGGATCATTATCGAGAATGTTTGCCGTCAGCCAATCCAATACATCGTTCGCAAAATTCAAACATACAGTAGGATCCTTTTTTTTTTTTTTCAAAAAGTAATAATAACAATCATCAGTAGTTGGTTATGATATTTCCATCACAAAAAAAAAAAAAAAAAAAAAGTTTACCCAAGCTCCAGGTTTTCCTCTTACTCGTCGTGGTATCGTCAATGTGTCGAGTTCTTCTATTCGTTTGATGTGCCCTTCATCATCTCTAAAACCAACAATCACCTTCGGTACACCTACTAGAAATGATTGTGCCCAAAATTTTAATAATTTGAATCTATTATAAAAAGAGAATCAATACCGTATATATATATATATATATTTCTATCTTTTTCAACTTTTTTACCTTTCAAATGTGTTTTGCTGTTTATAATTTTCTATCAATCTTGATGTTTTTAATTCAATATAATGTCGAAGAGGATCTTTAGCTTGTTTTTCATCTACATATTAAATAAATCCAATATTGATTTTTTTTTTTTTGGTGAGATATAATGAATGTTTCTCATCTAATCCTTCCTTACCTATTGTACAATCCACTTCCGCACCCATGATCAATGAGTTTTTCCCAAGGCTAGTTTTGACAACAACACAGTATTGAATATTTGTATCGGCACCTTCATTAATTCTATCTTGCAGTTCTTGATGGTCATTTGTCATTTGTTTTGGAGGTATAGAGACGGTGGAGAGAGTTTCAAATTTGTAACCCCAATAGCACATGAGTTGTTGTCGTACCGATGCTTCTGCTTCTTTTTTCTTCTTGTCTTCAGTGGCTTGCTCTTCGATGAAAATGGTATCCTACAATATAGATATATTCCCCGTAAATTGATCAAGCTGGGTTTCTTTTTTTTTTTTTTTTTTTTTTTAGTTGTTGTTGTTATTTACATTGTATCGTGTTACCCTTAATTCCCAAGGTTCATTTCTACAATAAGGTGTACATAGTAATTTGGTCATGATACCTCGCCAGGTTACCTGCAATATATATATATATATATATAATTATGAATGTTCATAGTATCATAACATTCTTAGTTTGATTTAGACAGTATAGAACTTACAATATTTGCCTTTGTTACATGACTATCTTTTGACTTGAGTCGAGCGTCCGTGATGGCGTCCAATAAAGTATCCAAATGTTCCGGTACCGTTTCGTCGCGTTGAATAAACTTATCGTATCCTAGAGTCAGATCGGTACCTGTCGCAGGATAATAGTATTTCTTTGACAAGTAAAAAAAAAAAAAAAAAAGTAAAAGGTTAGTAAACGAAAAGTGATTTTTATCGCTTACCAGTTCCCTGTCATCAAACCAAACTCGGCGATCTGCATCAATACTATAAGAATTGATTTCAACTGGCTGTTTGTATGTTGGTGACGATCCACGGTACCTATCAGTATGGTACACTGGGAATAATCGCATATTATAATGCTTGGTCCTCTTATCCGTATAGTCTATTGATTGTCTTCGCTTGGTCATAACATACAAAAAAAAAAGTGAGAATAAAAAAGAAAAGCAGATAACAGAAAATCAAAACTACATTAAAAAAGACGGCATATTGAAACACCGAGTTTTTTTTTTTTTGGAAATCACTGCAGTTCATTCACTTTAAATAAAAGGGTAAAAAGATATAGACAAAGAAAAAAATAAATTTGAGAACGAGGGAATTTGGGAGTGAAAGGAAAATAAGAATGAAAGGAAAATCAAATTGAGAGAGAGAGAGAGAAGAGAAAATAAAATTGGAACACTGTTAAAAAAAAAGTAAAAAGCCAATTCAGTCATCCCTCATTCAATAATGGTCATCATCCAATAAGATTACTATCATTAGATTCCTCTCCAAAAAGTAGTTTAATATCATCTAATATCATTTCATCACTTACCTTGCCATCTAATGTGCAAAAGAATTTCATCGATTTTTCGAAAAAATGCCTGATGACCCCTCGACGATTCATTTCTACAGCCAAAATTAAGCTGAGGAATTTGAAAACTTTGGCTGTAAACTCCAAAAATCCATCCCATTTTTTCAACCCAAAAAAAAAAAAAATCCACATAAATCTTTTTGTTTCAAAGAGCCCCAATGAACCGTTCGAGCGTTTATTTTTTTAAAAAAAGAAAGGCTACTATTCAAAAATATTATATGTAAAAAACTAAATACACTATTCTAACAGGGAGTAAAAAAAAAAAAAAAGGAATGAATCATTGATGGATATCTTCCATTCAAAACCAAAAACTGACACTGAAGCTTGTATCAAGCGCTTGGACATAATGCCACCATTTCGGCTATATAAAATGATAAAAATATGAGTGAATCATTTTTACCTTTCTTCTATTTCATCACTTACAGGAATATAAAGTATTTCCCCTGGTTTTAATATACATTCGACATAATCCGCTTCAGCAAATCGTGGGTAGGATTCTAAATCCGGATCATCAATATCCACCTATATATTTTTTAAGCGCAAAAAAAAAAAAAAAAAAAAAAAAAAAAAAAAATAGTAGTAATTAGTTGAATCAAGTTGTCTTTCTTTTTTTTTTTTTATTACTTTACCTGACTTGTATTGGACATGATGCCTTCATATGGGTATAAAGCCGATGAATGAATGGGAGAATAAAGTCGAATGTATTTCCTGCCAACCACTTGAGCCAAAAGGTTATGATAAGGATCTTGATGGAGAGGAGATACTGTGCCTTTGGGACCAAACCAACAATGTTTGATAACGTCAGGAGGTGGACGTTGTAAATACCATTCGTTAGATTGAGGCTCTGCATAGCAATAGTCTGGGATAGAGATATCATTTTCTAATAATGGGATATGATCAAAGAGATTGTGTTGCGCTAGGTAAGCTATTGGTTTCTTTTTTTCATCTTGTTGATTGTCCAAGTTCGAAGGTATAATATAATCGTTGATGAAATCCTCCATTCGTACCATTTTCTGTTGCCAACAAACATCTGTGTACTTGCTTCCAATTTCAATAGGCACTATACGATCACCTGCTAGTTGAAGAATATAATCGATATCTGTCCAAGGTCGTGTAGTACAAGCTGGCCAATGATTCATCAAACCGCATTGAAGGTGAAGAGGTGTGGCTAATTTCTGATTGATATGCTGTTCAAACCAAAGGTAGTCAGGAGGTTCCTTCAAAACAGTGATGGCATGTTTGATTATTGGAAGTGTTGCTGATGAATTGATCGCCAAATGTCGCCCTTGTGTATTTGTCTTCCTTGGTCGTAACCATTGTTGTAAATCGTCTAAAAGTTTCAATGAGAATTCTCGTCGACGAGGGCCGGGTCCTCCACTGACAATGAGAGCCACATCCAAGATCTTGATGAGTTCTCGAGCCACATGTTTCTTTGCTTGCATTGTTTCTTCCTTTTCCATAGAACTGATCAAAGTGAATGATTTGAGTAGAGTTGCATCCATCAATAGACAACGCCAACATGCCGGAACATCCTTGTATGGGTACATGAGAAGCTTTTCATTGGCAAGTTCAATCAATGCATCTAATTGTTGTTGTAGTTGTTGTTGATCATCCTTTGTTTCTGAGTGTTGAATAGACTCAGAAATGTGTTGAAATACTGAATCAAATAAACTGACCACCGAAACACCACAAGGAATAAAGTCTATAACATTCAATAAGTTTCGATATATTTCTTTTGTTATAGTTTTTTTTTTTTTTTGTAAAAGCAAGTACCTTGATAATGATCTTCTTGTTTAAATAGTGAGACTATTTCTTTTTTGATCAAGTTGACATTGAGAGGTAACATATATACATGAAAGAAGAAGAAAAAAAAAAAAAAAAAAAAGAAAAAATCTCTATAAAAATGAACAACAGAGAGGAATTTGAAATTTTTCTGTCTTGATTTTCCTATTTTTTTTTTTTATTACTATTCTTTTATGTCTATTCTTTCCTTTCCTCATTCTAGTTTCCTTTTTTTTTTTTTCTTATTTTTTTTTTTTTTTTTTTTTTTGCAACTAGTCTTTTTTCCTATATTTTATCTATTTTATTATATTTTATCTATCTACTCTGTTTTATCATTGAATCAACGTACCGGAGCTGCAATTCGTTACAATAAAAGTGGGACCTTACGCGTTTGCATAATACTCTCTCTCTCTCTTTTTTTTTTCAACTTCACATTCTTTTTTATCAAATTATACAACTCGTCTCTCGTACTTTTTACTATCAAACCATGGAACCCATCAATAACAATTGAATACTACAAATATTACGAATCAGTCCTGAAGATACAAACACGAAATAGCTAAATGCATATCAAGATTACGAACTCTACAATGGAAAACCTTGCCACATTTCCGACCTTCAAGCAGCTACTTTATCAAAGGATTTGTAAGTTTTAGTGATCAAAAATACGTTATAAAAGTCATACTCATATTGAATTTTTCTGATGTAGGGCATGGAAAAGGTCCTTACCCGTTCATGATTCCTCGGAAGCTGCCCCTGTGATGATTTTCCGGTCAGTAACATTTGGTAGAAATACTTTTGAAGGCACTCTACTGGACTGGTGGACAGATGTAGAAGGACTGGCAAGATTGGTAGATTAGTTTTTGCTAGACATGGACGAGTATAACACAAGTCTGTTCTGAATGTGGCAAGAAAGATTTGAACAAGATGGAACTGGAAAAATGTCACCGTTATGTACACAGTATTAGTGTGCCAAGTTGTCGTACTGTTTGGCAACGAGACGCCAATGCCTCACCAAGCATTCAGATCCTCTTTGTGAACCTTGTGAAAAAAAAAGACCGTAGATTTTCCACGTAACAAAACCGTATGATCCTTACGGCGTAAGTTATAAAAAAAAATGTGATGATACTTCATATAGACTCACTATCTTTGTTTTTTTTTTTTTTTTTTTTTTTTTTTTTTTTTTTTTTTTTTTTTTTTTGTGTGTGATCCTTGTTCTTGTTTCTTCTCTCCATGATAGTGCCTTTTGGTCTTTGACAGAATTTATCTTATTTTATGCTTCGATCCACACGCATCCAAACTTGAAGCGATATATATATGAATGCTGAATCCTTGTATATGTTCTTTACTACCTCCAAAGGCCGTATTAGTGATGTCGATTTTGTGCGTGCAACCCATCGTCAATACTTTTCTGTCCCATCGTCTTTGGATACTTTTATAGAATTAGTTACCCTCCTTTTCTTTCTCTATTTCCTTTATCTTTTACTTTTATCACTTTTTTTTGACTCTTTATTTTTACATTGAGCTATCATAGTAAAAAAATAGTTACTTTCATTATGAATAAAAAAAAAAAAAAGGATTCTTTTGTGCTTTCAATTGTTACTCTTTTGTCTGATTACAGATATTATCTATATCCTCACACATTAATATATTTATTTATCTTTGATTTTATATATACAATAAAAACCGATACAAATATTACACACAATGCCATCTTCTTTGTCTATCAACCGGTTGGTAACGTTCTTTTCATATATCTTTTGAATTTCACAGACGACACTCATCTTAATTTATCATCTCTTACCATCCGACATACTCTCTCTAATTTGGATCAAAAAGAAAAATCTGCTTGGCTGATCATCATGATTGTTCTATTCCTAATTCAATTTCAGAGTGATTAATATATATCATCGCGTTGAACCAACAATCGTTTTTTTTTTTTATTTACAAACAATATCCTTTATTAAAAAAAGGTACAAATACGAATAACACAAATAATAAACTAATAATACATTTTAATAGGAGTAGTAGGAATAACTAATAATAATAAAAATAATAAAAATAATAATAAGAATATTGAATAATAATAAAGTATAATACAAATAAAATACTACAAAGAGTTCAAAGAATTCAAAGAAGAGCGTCGAGAAGCATACGAGGAAGAAGATGATGAGGAAGTGGAACAAAATGATTTTTCACGTTCATTTTGTTTCATATGTTCTAAGAGATCAAAAAAAAAAAAAAAAAAAAAAAGGTATTAATATCTACCATTTTTATTTATTTTCTATATCATCATTCTTTTTTTTTTTTTTTTTTTTGGCACTCACCAATGGTATCAGCTCTTGTATCATATTCATTTGCTTTTTCTAAATTATGATCACCAGCTAATCCAAGTCGATAAATTTCCGCTGTTCGTCGAAGAGCAACCACATCATCGATTTCCGCTGCCAATTCCCAGTAATGTAGAGCCTTGTTTATATCTTGATCTACACCAATACCTTGATCGTAACACATTGCGATTTCAGAAATAGCTACATTGTTATCTTGACCTTGTATAAGTGACATTAGCATATCAAAACCTTTCTTTGGGTCACAAGGTTTTCTTCCCCATCCTTTCAAGTGATACAGCGCCATCATCACTTTGGCATGAGATGATTGATCTTGAATTGTTTCCAGAGAGGACGATGATACAGATCCTTCAAACCACGAATATGCTTCTTCCTGTAAATCCAAAGCTGCTTCTACATCTTGACCCATCAACTTTTCCGCCATACTGTGCTTCAATTTGCCAATGGCCAATTCAGCCAAAGGGCCACATTTCCATTGATAAGCCTTTTCATACCATTTCAAAGCATCATCCAGGTTTTCCATATCCAAATAACCTTCTTCATAATAAGAACCAAGCATCAGTGCCGCCTTTGCATTACCTTGTTGTGCTGCTTCCGAATAATATGAGAATGCTTGCTTATAATTCTTAAGAATGACGCAAATGCCATGTTCACTGCTTTCTTCAAATCCAGTATGATATAAATGACCAAGTTCCACAAGTGCTTCGGGTACCAATGTTGCTGCCTTTTCGAATTGTTTCAATCCACGTTGATATTGTTTTTGATTGTTCCAGAGATCCCATGCATGCATAAACATGATTGTTCCCAGTTCTTTCTTGGCTTGTTCCAGACCTTGATTGCTCGCAAGTTTCAAGTAACGCTGAGATGCCACAAGATTGATATCCAAGCCACCAAGACCATACGCATGATACATGCCAAGTTGATATTGAGATGGAGCATGATTCCACTTTTCTGCTGCACTTCTAAACCAGTCCATCGCACCTGCAACGTCACCTCGGTTTTGACATAATAATCCAAGAGCATGTTCGGCATCTTTGTGTTGACTGAGATCCACTGCCCGCTTGTACCATATCTCTTGTTGATCTGTTTGATGATTTTGTCCAATAAAAACACAGATGTTACTAATGGTTTGTCGATCAATCTTGTCCCATAGTGTTGTCGTTTGTTTTTGTTCCCAAAAATTTTGTGTAGCTTGAAGAAAATGTTCAAAAGTAACATGGTCCCATTTTTTTCCAGAGATATCAGGATTAGTCATACCCTGCAAGTGATACATCATCAACATGATGCTAGATAACGGTTCTTCAGAAGATTGTTCAAACCAAGTTTGTGCATCATCGAATAATCCAAGGCCATCATATAACTGTCCAATATGAACCATCGATAGTCTATCACCTTTGCCAGCAGCGTCCATGTAGAATGTCAAAGCAGAATCAATAAGTTGGTGAGGTTTTGCAGGATCATCCAAATAGGCTTCATGTTCCAATCGACCTTTATGATACATAGCATCCGTGTTTCCTAATTCGATTGCGCGATCCAAAAGTTCAATCATGTCGCTACGATCGCCGTTGTCATTTTCCAATAAAAGTGCCATTTCCACCATACATCCACTATGACCAGCAGAAATACCTTGATCTAATCGTCTTTTTGCTTCTTCCATCTCGTTATCGATTTGATGTAATTTAAACAATTCCAATGCCGCATTTCCTTCACCTTCATCAGCAGCTTGAGTCAGCCATTGTTGTGCTTCTATTACATTGGTTTCCATATGAGTTCCGTGAAGAAGTAGGTAGCCTTTAGTTGTTGTTGTTGTTTTTTTTTTTTTAAAAAAAAAAAAAAAGTTGGTTGTTAATACGAATCTGACTTGATCTTCAATAAAAATAGGTAATATCTTACCTAAATAAAATCTAGCTGTTCTTGCAAGTCTACGACTTGATCGGCTTTTGTGATTCATAGTAATAAAGTGTGTTTTCGTCACTTGCAACTGTTCCCAAGCCAAGTTATGCTGATCATTTTGCATGAAAAGTTCAATCAATCTAAACCTTGTTCGTTCTTGTGTCCAGTCCATATCTTTGATGGGAAATTTGATGACTTTTTCGTAACACAAAATAGCTTGAGAGATATCCTTATTAGTTCCTTTTCCAAACTCGTAGCAAATACCTAATCATCATTAAAAAAAAAAAGAGATTAGAAAAAAAAAAAAGAGAAAGATCAACTACACCTATCATACATACCAAGAAGTTCCAAAGGTTCCATGAGAAAGGCTCCAGCAGATTGTTGGACCATTGTGAATAACCATGAATACACATCTTTCATCAACATTGAACAGTCCATTTCTTGATCATATCCATCCACCAAAAGTATCTTTCCAATAGAAAGTCGTGCATTCCAACCAGCCTTTTTTAACAAAGGATTTGACTTGATAATAATTTGATATGATTCCAAAGCTTCTTTCCACATGTCATGTCTTTGATACAAGTCAGCAATGGCTATTCTTGCCCTTTTTTAAAAAGGAGAGAGAGAGAAAAAAAAAAAAGGTGAGATTATTCGATGAATGATATATATTATTATCATTATTATTATTATTATTTTGAACTTACTTTTGATATCCCAACTTTTCAGATTGAATCAAACATTCAAGAGCATTTTGAATATTAGTTTCTACACCTAAACCATGTTCATGATAGCGAGCCATATCCACAAAAGCCAAATGATCACCTTTATCTGCCGCTTTTTGTAATAAGAGCCAACCTTTTTGATATCGATCTGGATCTGATTGAACCACAGCAATTTTCCCTTGTTCAAAGACACCAGCCAAAGAGCGTAAAGCAGCTGTATAATTTTTATCTTGATCCTTAGTTGCAGCAGTATGTAGCCAGTGAAGTGCTTCTTGATGAGATACAGTGGATTCTTCCAGTAAAAGTAATTGTGCGAGACTAATCATGGATGTTGTATGATGTTGATGACTTGCTCGTTCATACCAACATTTGGCCATTGTCAATTGGACATTTTCAACAGGAGATAGACCACGTTCATAAAATAGACCTAAACTATATTGTGCAGTTGGATGACCACGTTCAGCTGCCTTGCAATACCATTTGAATGCTTGTACAGGATCCTTTTCTATGATTGATTGACCAGAAGAGGAAACACCATTTGCCAACATAAGAGCTACATGAAATTGACCATCGACATCACCAGCAAGTGCACTTTTCATATAGTAATCAAAAGCCTTTTGAGGATTGGTTTCAACAATGATAGATCCGTCTTGATTTTGTACACCTTCTTCATAGCAAGCAGCCACCCAGAAGTAAGCATCTGAGAATTGTTCTTGAGATAGTTGAAAGAATTCTTGATAAGCCAAAGTGCGATTGATATCTACACCACCCCAACCATTGAATTTGTATCGAGCCACCATCAGACGAGCCACATTCCTTTGTCGTACATGTCCCACATTCAAATTGATTTTATTCATACACGTAGAATCGCCAGTTGATTCTTTGACGGATGAAATGTCATTGGTAGCAGCAAGTTGAAACCAAGGAAAAGCTTCGGCATGACGATCGGTACGTAATAATAGATGAGCCAAGGAGAGTTGAGCTGTAACAGATCCAGATAATGCCGCTTGTTTGTACATATTGATAGCTGATTGGATATCGGCATCACTATGTCCTCGTCTCTCTGCTTGTTGTCCAAGAAGTCCTAGTGCTTGTACATCACCTTGCATGGCAGCTTTTGTAAACCATTCGTATGCTATTGATTCATTCTTGTTGACAGAGATTCCTTCCAGATACATCAATCCCAATGCACGTTGAGCAGGAGCATAGCCACCTTTTGAAGCTAATTCCAAGTGTTTTAATGCGGTAGAATGATTTTGGGGAACCAGATTTCCAAGTCGATAGTTGATACCAATAAAATAATGAGCAAGTATCACTTGTTTGTCGTTGGATGGTATTGTATGATTGGATATTGCAGCTTCATAATGTTGAATGGCTAATGTTGCATTTCGGTCCACCAATTCGCCTTCTTCATATAATCCGCCCAAAGTGATATGAGCTTTTACGTTTTTCTATAAAAAAAAATAATAATAGTAATTAGTTGAATATGAAATTGAAACCAAACCAACTTTTTTTTTTTTTTTTTTTTTTTTTTTTTTTTTTTTTTTTTTACCTGTTTTGCTGCCAATTCAAGCCAATGTATAGCGATATCAATCCACTTGGTACGTATTTGAATAGAAGGGGTATCATTGTTATCAAGTAAAAAATCCAAGTTTTCCAAAATCAATTGACCAAGAGATACCTGAGCATCAGAAAATCCTTGTCTTGCAGCCCGTTCATACCAATGTAAAGCTTGTTTGAGATCAGGATATTGTTGAATAAAAAGACCATGTTGATAATGTAAACCTAACATATATTGAGCGTATCTATTATCCCTTTCAGCTGATAATTTGAAATATTTGACAGCTTCTTCAACGTTTGGTTGGACATTGTGATCACCTTTTGCCAACATGATAGCGATTCTATATTGAGCCCATGCTATAGTGGTTGAAGGTAGAGAAGTTGATGTTGATATATTAGCGACACGACGAAACCAAAAAAGTGCTTTGACTTTATCAGGCTGTTTTGAAGAATGATGATGACCTAGATAGTAAGATTCAGCTAAAGGATAAAAAGCATCAACACAATGACGAGATTCGGCCAAATAGAGTAAATTTTGAAAACCTTGCTGGATAAGAGATTCGTGACCACTATGTATTTTCGATTGTGCGACATGTACCAAGTTGGACAAATCATCTAGTGTTGTAGAGATTCCTTTTGTACTTTCTTCATTTGCTAGTGTAACAGTTGTCGAGCTCGGACCATGTCCAAAATGAGGCACATGTAAGGTAGAATGGGTACTAAGTGTGGAGTGTTTGGTATAGCGTGATGTTGTTGAGAGAGTAGAAACAGGAGTATCTATTGAAGCAGATGAGAATAAATCGGATAAAGTAGATACAGTAGAGGAATTTGTTGAAGAAGAATAAGAATTGGCAGTTGATTGTTGTTGTGTATAACAAATTTCAGATAATGGTATATCATGAGGAAATAAACTAGAAAGAGGTTGTTCAGCTACGTGGTCTCTTATCAGTGTTGAAGGAGTTGCAGCAGTATACATGTCGATTCCAACATGAAAGTTGTCTTTCTTTAATGGTAATATTAATTTATCTGTTGTTGTTGTAATAATAGATTGCGGTGGTGGTATTGGTGTTCTTGTCGTTTCTAAAGTGGTGGTTGAATGTATATTCTTATTCTTGGTTGTTTTAATTGCTTTAGTTGCTTTTGTCGTTTTTCGTTTGGAATGACTTTTACTGTGAGAATTACCCATTTGAAATAGAATAAAAAATAAAAAGAGTGACAGGAGATATAATAATAATAATAAGGAATAAAATCAAAAAGTGGGAAAAAAAAATAAGGAAAAAAGAGAAAAGAAAAGAAAAAAAAAAAGTAACGAAAATAATACTCAAAATTCAAGCTGAACTTACCAAATATAGAATTCTGTTTACGGTCCGTTGAACCCTTTTTTAAGCCCTACTTTTTTAAAAAAAACAAAACCAATTACAACTAATTATATATGTATAAAAAAAAGGAGGTACTTTTTATATATCTTTTTCTTTTTTTATTTATTCAATATATGTATTATTATGAAAAAATCAATTCATTTTTTTTCTTTTTTATACATCTAACTTAAAGACGAGCAACACAAAAAAACGCCATTGTCCAACTGTAACTTATTTGCACTGATCACTTGAAGAGGTCAAACTACTATATGGTAGTACGCAATCATTCGGAATTTGAAGCTAATATACGTATAAAGGTGAACAAAACTAGTAAAGAGAAAAAAAAATCCATAGCCTCAAATAATCTATTGGCTTATTTACATAAGGAATATATGTTATGTGAGCTTGTTATTTAATGACATGATGATGTTTGCCTTATTGAGTCGATACAAGAGAAAAAAAAAAAAAAGAAAGACGCCTACTTATGCATGATGAGGATCAAAATATTGTTATGTGTGTGAACATTGAGATCAAGTGATTTCTTTCTCTTTCCTTTTTTTTTTTTTTTTAACAAGATCGTCCACGTTTCATCTCTATTCATAACCAACGATCTTTCCCTTTCTTTTTGGTATTCATCATGCACATTTGGAAATTTGCGGTGATTTAAAACTATTATTACTCTATTCAAAAACACATGAATACAGATATTCTTCTTCTTCTATATTAAAATGGGTTATTGTGATTACTCCTATCAACTCACATGATAACTGTTCATCATTCATCAATCAAAAAAGAATTCTCGGACTATCGGAGCGAGAGATTATCCCTCCACCTTTGGATAATGATGATATGTATAATGATGATTGGTATAATGATGATTGGTTCATGATGAATGTTTGAATAGTGATAATTAACGTGATGATGATTGGTTGATTGATTGATATTGACTTAAAGCTTCCTTCTTACAATATATTTTGACAGTACAAGCAGGATATGGATGGCTGGGTTTGAAAGTCAACGGCAATGGTTTTTCCTTTTGTAAAGACAAAGTCACAGGACCAACGAAAAAAAAAAGAGCGGTTAAAAAAAAAAATTCTTTTGTTTTGGATTTTTTTTTTTCTCTTCTTGTATAGTTTACGTTTACCTCTCTTCTGTTAGTTTAGACTTACGTACATTTTACTTATTCATCTTTTTTGAATCCACCTATTTTTTTACTTTTGCCTATTATCGAAAAAGGTTTTATTTTTATAAACTTTAGTTCATGTTTTGTTCATCATTGGACTGGAATACATACTCCAAATACGACACTATAGAGCAGCAGCATTCCCTCAAAGTCAAAAAGAAGCTACTTATTGAATCCACTTCTTAATTGTTTTTTTTATTACTCATTTATCCTATTATTATATTCTTTTTATATTATTATATAACTCCCTCTTCTCTCACTCTTTTTTTATTATTATTTTTCTCTCTTTATTATTCTTTTCTTTTTTATTATCTCAAATCTATTCTGACTCTTTTTTACCTACCCAACTCTTTACTCTATTATCATGGCTACTATTAATGTTAGACGTGATGTCAAGGATTCTTTCTATCGTTACAAGATGCCTCGTCTTGTCTCCAAGGTAAGTTAGTTACTTTCTTTTATTTTCATTTTTATTTTTATCATTTATTAACTTTTTTTTTATTATTATTCTTTTAGGTTGAAGGAAAAGGCAATGGTATCAAGACTGTAGTACCCAACATGACTGAAATTGCTCGAGCATTATCTCGTCCTCCTGCATGTAAAGTGATTCTTTTTTTTTTTTAAAAAAAAAAAACAAACTATGAATTAATTTTATAACTCACTCTTTTATATATATATTTATTGTACTTTTTTTTCCAATTTGTCTTTAGATCCTACGAAATATTTTGGTTGTGAACTTGGTGCTCAAGTCAAATGTGATGACAAGAATGAACGTTATATTGTAAATGGTGAACATGATGCTGAAAAGTTACAAACCATCTTGGATGGATTTATCTCAAAGTTTGTTCTTTGTGCTTCTTGCCGTAATCCAGAAACTGATATTGTAAGTAATAATAAAAACAAATAAAATATAATATACATATTTATTTTCTTTTTTTTTTCTTTTTATATATAAAAAAAACAAAAAATATAGCTTATCAAAAATGATGATATTTTGATGGATTGTAAAGCATGTGGTGCTCAAAACGTGGCTGATATGCGACACAAGCTTTCAACCTATATTGTTAAGAATCCTCCTGCACAAGCATCCAAGAATCAACGCAGACAACGCAAAGCAGCTACTGCTCAAGCCAACGGTGAAGGACATGGACCTGGAGGTGGATTTGTTGAAGATGAAGAAGCTTCTGATGATGACATTATTTCCCAACGTATCAATAAAGAAGCTGCTGGTCTCAATATGGAAAGCAAATTGGTTCAAGAAGATTGGTCTGAAGATACTAGTGAAGCTGCTGTCGCTCAACGTATGAAGGAACTTGCCGTAAAAGGTGTCGGTGCTTTTGGTACTGAAGACGATGATGAAGGGGAAAATAAGTATGATCTTTTTGGTGCTTGGTTGGAAGAACAAGAAAATCCTGCTGATGATGATATTATTGCCAAAGCTGAAGAACTTGGTGTATATGGAAAGTACAAAGCTTGTCAAGTGTTAGTCCAATGTATCTTTGATGAATCCATTGCTACTCAAATCCCCAAACGTGTCAAATTGTTGCGCAAGTTTATCACTGAAGAAAAACATCAAAAGGCTGCTCTAGGTGGTATGGAACGATTGGTTGGTTTGGAATATAAGGATGTCTTGTTGAAGAAGGTACCTACTATCCTTATGAAACTTTACGAAGCCGATGTCATTGAAGATGATGTGTTCATCAAATGGGGTGAAAAGCCAAGTAAGAGATATGTGGACAAGGATATTTCGAAGGAAGTCAAAAAAGCTGCCAAACCCTTCTTGGAATGGATCGCCACTGCCTCTGAAGAGGAATCTGAAGAAGAATCCGATTAGTTTTTTTTTATTTTTTTATTTTTATTATTATTTTATTCTTTAGTTTACCTCACTTGATTGATAGCGTAGCTTATATATTATTTATCTTGAAAATGAAATAAAATATTTTTTTTTTACTGGATAACGTAGTTGTACGATTAATGATGGATGAAAGATGATAAGGTGACATGATAATAGGATGATTGACTTGTCTATCTTTTTTATTTATTTATTTTATCTCAATTCAAAGTGAATAAACTTTAATCATACGCATCATCAATGCAACAATACCTGCAGATATGTAATCCTATCATGTTTTAAAAGTAACGACCATGGCATTTCTAACGATCTCCTTAAGAAAAAAAAAAAAAAAAAACGAGGAGTGTACGTATTGTTATACAACGGGGCTTAAGGAGACTAGCATAATCAACTGAAGCTTATATTTTGACATGCACTAAAAGAAGCATGAGGTATAAATGACTGAGATGACAACATCATATGGGAGTACTAATTAGAATACAATGCGTTGACGCGTATCTATATATATAATAAAAAATAAATAAAGGGGACCTATACAACTCATTTCACTTTTCTTTCCATCTTTTATTTTATTTCCATTGAATACATACTTTCTTTCCTATGGGACTCTTCAATTTGAAAAAACGACTGAAAACACAAAAGATATCCAGTAATATATATACAAATGAACATCATGATTTATCAAATCAAGTGAATCGAATAGAAGACATTGATTTTCGCGCAAGTTTATTGGAGGATATTTTAAAAGAATTACCATCATTCACAAGACAACAATATTATGATCATCAACAAGGTATAATTCTCTTTATATTGGCTATTTTAATAAGACCAATTAAAAAAAAAAAAAATGGAAATGTTTTTTTTCAATAGACAACGATGATGATAGTCGAGAACAAAAGAAGACTCCTGCAGTGGTGGCATCGGAGCATGAACCAAATGTGAATCAGGAACACAGTCCAAGCGTCGATGCGGGTCCTACTAGTTTATCACATTCTCTAAGCGCCCCTTTTTCGCCATCATCTAGTTTATCCAATGAAGAATATAATCATCAACCATCATCACCTAGTTTGCCACCTCTTTATGAATTATTTGGAAAACATCGTCATCACAATGAAATACAAGACAAGAAAGAAAAGAAAAAAGAAGTTATTCAAATGAATAGATCATCACCTCCCTCAGTATCTGTTTTGAATCAACCTGCTCGATCATCTTATCGCTCTTTGATCGTTGATACTGGTTTGCATCAGGTAAAAAAAAAAAAAAAAAAAAAAAAAAGGTTAAATATAATATAAGATTCTCAATTCAACATCATGTTTATATATATATATATGTAGAGACCAACATTTGAAGAAAAAATCCATCAAGGAAAAGAAAATGTCAAAATGAATAAAGATCATGATCATCCTACTGTGATTGAAACAAATGAAGGATTACCTACAGCTACGTTGTCACGATTTTCTTTCCCTGATCGATTAAAGAATGAATTACGACTAATAAAATCACGAAAAACAAGTCATTCCATGCCTGATATCTCGATTATTAGGCATAATTGGACAAGTAAAACAACGAATAGTAATAATAATGATGATGATGGTGATGATCAATATTGTCATCATCAGCATCATCATTATCATCCATGTTCATCCCATTTCAATTCTCCACAAAACAATATTAATCTTCAATCTTGTATGTACCATTATAATCAACATCAACATCATCATCATTATTATTATTATCATCAACATCAACAACATTCAACTTCTTCTTTTATTATACACCATCATCACCATCATCATCATTAACATCATCATTAACAACATATTTATGTGTTACGTAAATCATCTTACTTTCCAAATAGGGTAGTTGATTGTAGTACTATGTCAAAAGGAGCTCAAAATGTTTTTTAGTAGTGAAAATTCTTTATAGGAAGAGAATGAAGGGGAATTAAAAGAAGTATAATAGTTAATAGTAATATAATAGTAGTGATAGTAATAGTAGTATTTTAAAAAGAAAGGGGAGCTTTTAATAAATACCCCTTAGAAATTAATAAAAAGAAAAAGTAGAAACAAAAAAAAAAAAATATAAAAGTGATATTTTGAGAACGACCAAATCAAGGCAGAAAGGATTTATTTTTATATATTATAATGATAAAAAAGGTTAAGGTAACACAGAGTTGTAAGTTTTTTTTTAACACAATCCAATAAAAAAGAGTGTTTTTTTTTTTCTTTTATTTTTTTTTTCTTTTTATTTTTTTCTTTTCTTTTTTTTCTTTTCTTTTTCTTTTTCTTTTTTTTTTCTTTTTATATGATATGAAGAAATAATGGGAAAACATAAAGAATCATCATCATCATCAGATCTTATTGATATAAAAGATATCAAATTATGTTTACAAACTCGTCATTCTTTATATCAACCTTATACCAATTTAGGATCAAATCATCTTGTAGCAATTAATCCTCATAAAACTCTTACTTCAAATGATGATCAAACTAGTTTAGATTATGTTGCCATTTATAAAGATATTCATCATCATTCATTGGATCCTCATTTATATAATCTTGTTAATCATACTTATTATCATATGCGACGTACTGGAAATGATCAAACTATATTTTTATCGTAAGTAATAGTTTTTTTTTTAATTCTCCGCCTTTTCTCATTCTTCTTCCCTTTTTTTTTTTTTTTATGTATATAGTGGTGAATCTGGTTCAGGAAAAACAACTTTACGACAATTTATTCTTCGACATTTAGTACGACTTGGTAGTCATAAAAAAGAAACAAAAGTACAAACTCAAATCCTTCAATCTCAACTTGTTTTGAACTCTTTTGGTCAAGCTGCTTCTACTTATAATCAATCTCATTCTCTCTTTGGTTATTATGGTGAAATTCAATTCAATGAAAGAGGTCGATTGATTGGTGCAAAAACTTTACATTATTGTTTCGACAAAACGCGTATTATTTTACATCAACAACCCAACTTTCAAGTTTTTTATCAACTTATAGCTGGTGCTGATCAACAAGAGCGACAAACTTTACAACTTACTACTGATCCTTCTCATTATCGTTATCTCAAAGGTGGTCGAACAACTCCTAATGATGCTGATGCTTTTCAACAACTCAAATCTAGTTTGAAATCTTCTGGTTTTAGAAAAGATCATATTCATCGTATTATACAATTATTGGCTGCTATTCTTCATTTGGGAAATTTGATTTTTATGGATCCATCTGCTTCTAGTGGTCAAGAAGCTGCTTTTGTGAAAAATACGGATGAATTGGACTTGGTGGCTGATATGCTTGGTTTAGATCCTCGTGCTTTGGAAAATGTCTTGACTTTTAAAACTACTTTGATTCGAAAGGATATCACTACTCTGATCTTGAATGCTGAACAAGCTAATCTCCAGCGAGACGAATTAGTCAAGATTCTATATTCATTATTGTTTTCTTGGTTGGTTCATCATATCAATAATAGGACTTGTCATGATCAATTTTCTAGTTTTATCGGTTTATTGGATTTTCCTGGTGTTCCACCAACAACAACAACAACAGGATCAGCTGGATTCCATACATTCTGTCTTCAACTTGCCAATGAACGTATTCATCAGTTTTATATGTCTCGTGTTTTCAACTATGATACAGATCTGTATACATCAGAAGGAATTCAAATGGAAAAAGTCGACTATAGGAATAATGCATCTTGTCTGGAACTTTTGACACGACCTTCCAAAAGTATATCTACGCTTCTTAACAATATGACGGAAAATGCTGCTACTGGAAAACGATCTTTTACCGATACCAACTTTTTAGATTCTGCTATCAAATACAATGGTCAACATCGTGCATTCTCTTTGAAAACGTCAAGTACTAGTGCTCGTCATTTTGCTGTAGAACATTATTCTGGATCTGTTACTTACAATCCTGATGGCTTCTTACAAGAGAACAGCAATTTACTTTCTGTGGATTTTGTATCTTTGTTCCGTGGAAATGCTGATACCCCTGCCTCTTGGAATGGTTTTCTAGTAGAATTATTTTCAGATGATCATCTCGCCACTTCTTCACATCCTAGACATGCTTCTGCTATCGCCACAGCTCAACAATCTGCAAAACCTACTCGTCAGCCTTCATTGCGGAAAAGTAAACGACAAAAAGATGATCAGCAAAACGATGATGAACCATCGGGAAAATCATCAACAACCGTTCTTGGTCAAACTCAATCAGCTTTGGATGATTTATTCAACTCAATTGAAGAAGCTAATCTCTGGTCTGTTTTATGTATACAACCCAATGATCAACGTAGTCCAACCGTATTTGATAGTCAACGTGTTCAACAACAAATTGAAACTCTCGCCTTGTCTCAGATAGCTCAGAGAATGAAACAATATTATATACAATCAATGTCTCATTCTGAATTTTTGGATCGATACTCAATCATATTGGAATCTCGAATTGATATCAATCGTCTACCTAGATCTTGTTGTGATCTTGCTATTCAATCGTTTGGATGGTCTCATTTGGAAGCAACGGTGGGAAATACCATGGTAAGAAAAATAATAATAAAAAAAAATATGTATACAAAAATCGCATATTTACAATGCATGCATGACTCACTATCATCTGATTATTTTTTTTTTTTTTATTTTCATGCTTTCCTTTTTTTGAAATAGATCTTTTTGGCGCAAGTAGCTTGGACAAGCCTGGAAAATCAACTTCGACAAATGGAAAAAGAACAACAACGTCAACATCGGGATATCAACAAATCAAGCAATCGTAATAGTACACAAATGGATAGTAATTTGGATATGTCTTCATTACCTAGTTCTCAATTACATTCAGTCGCAGCAGCAGCGGGATTACCTCAACCTACAACAAATTCTCGTTATGATGATCATCAATCATTTTATTCTGAAGATGAAATCTATACCCCTGATGATACAACCAGTGGCGGTCTCGGTGGTGCTGGAGGAAAATACCAAGAAGGTTCTTATTATGGTTCAGATTCTTATGGTTATTCCAATGAAGGTGATACAAAAGGTCTGACTTTGGATCAACAACAACAACAACAACAACAACATTTCGGTTATTCATCTCATAATACTGGTGACAACTACAGCGATGATGATGATGATGAAAAAAAAGTGATGTCGACACAACGAAAACAATGGTTGTTCTTTGTTTGGGCTGTGACTTGGTGGATTCCTTCAAAATTCTTAAATTGGTGTGGTCACATGAAACGCAAGGATGTACAAATTGCATGGCGTGAAAAGGTGGCGCTATGTTTTATCATTTTTTTGATGTGTGGTTTTGTGATTTGGTTCTTGGTATTCTTTGGCGAATGGGTTTGTCCACATCAAAATGTCTTCTCCGTATCTGAACTTCAAAGTCGTAGTGAAAAGGATAACGCTTATGTATCTATCCGTGGTGAGGTCTTTGATCTGACAAGTTTTGCACCTCGTCATTATCCTTCCGACATTATACCTATAAGCTCTCTTCTTGAATATGCTGGCAAAGATGTTACCACCCTTTTTCCTATTCAAGTCTCTGCTCTGTGTGAAGGAACTACTGAACCTGTATCACCTTATGTATCTTTGGATTATCAAGTCAACTTGACCGACAAAAATGCACAATATCATGATTTCCGTTATTCATCAGAAGATTATCAGCCAGATTGGTACTATGATCAAATGACAATGCTTCGACAACAATACAAAAAGGGCAATATGGGTTATGAATACAAGGCGGTGAGTGATCAAGCAAATTCAGCTACTCTGGTGAATGGCATTCAAATGACTCGTAACTGGGCTGTATTGGATAATCGTGTTTATGATCTTTCTTCTTACATTCTTGGTGGTCGATATACCATGGCGCCAAAAGGACAACAACCTCCTGCCAATGTCAATGTCAATTTTATGGATGATTCTGTTGTCAATCTTTTCCGAACCAACTCTGGTACAGATATTACTCAGAAATTTCAAGATCTTGCTTTGGATCCTGTGATCAAACAACGTCAACTGGTCTGTCTACGCAATTTATTTTTTGTTGGTATGCTGGATACTCGAAATTCAGCCAAATGTCAATTCTCTACCTATCTTCTATTGATTGTCACCTGTCTACTAGCAAGTGTGATCTTGTTTAAATTCTTGGCTGCTCTTCGAATTGGTAGTGCCCGTGCTCCTGAAGAACATGATAAGTTTGTGATCTGTCAAATTACCTGTTATACCGAAGATGAAGAATCATTACGCAAGACGGTGGATTCTATAGCCAAGCTTACTTATGATGACAAGCGGAAACTCATGTTTATTATTTGCGATGGAATGATTGTGGGTAGTGGGAATGATCGACCTACTCCTCGAATTGTTTTGGATATTTTGAACGTGGATGCTCAAGTGGATCCTGAACCGCTCTCCTTTGTCTCTGTAGGTGAAGGTCAAAAACAACACAATATGGGTAAAGTGTATTCTGGTCTTTATGAAGTGGGTGGACATGTGGTACCTTATTTAGTGGTAGTGAAATGTGGTAAACCAACCGAACGTCAAAAACCTGGTAATCGTGGCAAACGTGATTCTCAATTGATCCTGATGCAATTTTTGAACCGAGTTCACTTTGATGCTCCTATGAACCCTATGCAATTGGAAATCTATCATCAAATGAAGAATGTTATTGGTGTGAATCCTAGTTTTTACGAATTTGTATTGATGGTAGATGCTGACACAGAAGTCCTTCCTGATGGTCTCAACAATTTAGTCTCGGCAGCTGTACATGATTCGAAAATTATCGGTATTTGTGGTGAAACAACTTTATCCAACGAAAAAGATACTTGGGTGACAATGATTCAAGTCTACGAATATTTCATCTCTCATCATATGATCAAGGCCTTTGAATCACTCTTCTCGACAGTCAGTTGTTTACCCGGTTGTTTTACAATGTATCGCGTGCGGACTGTGGATGGCAAGCGTCCTTTATTTATCAGCAACGAAGTGATCAATGATTATTCTGTTAATGTGGTGGATACTCTGCACAAGAAGAATCTGCTCCATTTAGGTGAAGATCGGTATTTGACAACCCTCCTTTTGAAACATTTTGCCAATTTCAAGACCAAGTTTACTTCGGATGCTCAATGCAAAACCAATGCCCCTGATTTATGGAGTGTATTGATTTCTCAACGACGACGATGGATCAACTCGACTATTCACAACTTGGGCGAATTGATGTTTTTACCTCGATTGTGCGGTTTTTGTTGTTTTTCGATGCGATTTGTGGTTATTCTGGATTTGATCAGTACTTTGGTGATGCCGGCGTTGGTGGGTTACTTGATTTATCTCTTTTATGAAATTGGCACAGCAAGCGACGGCAAGATTCCTATTATCTCGATTGCGACAATAGCTGGTGTATATGGCTTACAAGCTCTTCTCTTCATCATCAAGCGTAAATGGGAATACATCATCTGGATGCTTGTCTCCATCCTGGCTATTCCTGTCTTCTCATTCTATATCCCGATTTATTCTTACTGGCATTTCGATGATTTCTCTTGGGGTAATACTCGTGTAGTGATGGGTGAAAAGGGCAAGAAAATCAAGGTGGCTGATGAAGGTGAATTTGATCCCAAGACAATTCCTACCATGACTTGGACACAATACGAAAAGACAATATTGGCAGAGGATTGGAATGACGGTGGATCTCAAATCAGCAGTGCTTATACGAATCATTCTCGTCGTGGTATGCAAGGACCTGAATCTGTTTATGGTGGTAGCGATACAATGAGTGCACATTACACATTGAATCCTTCGGCAATCGATCCTCGTACAGCTTCTGGTCTATTTACTATGGATGGATCAATGATGATGCCTTCTTCTGGATCTATGATGATGATGCCTTCTTCTTCAGGGATGATGCCTTCTTCCAGCTCTGCTCCCATGCTTCCTCTTCAAGCCGGTCAAAATCGATTCTCCTTGGCATCTGGTTCCATGACTCATTTACAACCATCAAGACTTCATAGTAGACAATCATTGACTCTGGATGGTTTAGATTCAACTCCTTCTAACGAAGAGATTCTCCAACAAGTTCAACGTATTCTTAGTACCGCTGATCTTACTCAAATCACCAAGAAACAAGTCCGTGAACAATTACAACAAATCTTTGGTGTATCCATGACAAATAGAAAAGATTATATTAATGCATGTATTGAAAACATTTTACAAGATCGTGTCAAGGCCTAGTGGTCTTTCTCTTTTATATATCGTTTTACTTAGTATTATTCCATTTTGTATTTTTTTTTTTTTACACTTTCAATGAATAAAAAAATTACATCTTTTATACTTTTTTGACATATCTATATTTTCTTCATTTTTTTTTTTTTTTTTGGAAGGATACCTTACTTTGTCCATATAATAAATAAACTCTATTGTATTCTCTTCATATATCATGATGATGATCATCTGCACAATGACGTTGACATTAGATGTATGGTGACATTCCTTTCTACTGATGCGAGTCATCACCCTTAATCATATGCTATAGTGCATATCCAGATATTTACCTATTCTTTCTGAACTGATACAAAAAATAGGCATGTTAAATGATAGTATTGAAACCATGATGGAACGCAGAACTAAAAAAAAAAAAAAAAAAAAAAAAAAAAAAAAGATTCCAGGGGGGTTGGTGAAAAAAAAAAAAGACTCATTGAATGACTCACATCTTTTTGATTTGAGTCAACTTAAACTAGTGTATAAAATCCGGTTCACCCCACACATTTGAAATGAACTCCGTCGATATGCTTCTATATAAAATTGGTCAATTCTTTTTTTTTTTTTTTTTTTTTTGTTCTTCTTCTTTCTTTACTCTATTGACTACATTACAACATGACTTCCCTCTCTATCAATAATAAAAAACCACAACACTTTATTACCACAGCCGACTTTACAGCTGAACAATTGCTTGACTTTGTTCAAGTTGCCATTCAACATAAAGTGCAAGCAAAATACCAATATCCTACACCTCTTACTGATCTACCTTTGACTGGAAAAACGCTGGCCGTTATGTTTTCCAAACGATCTACTCGAACTCGTGTTGCTACTGAATCTGCTGTTGCTTATCTTGGTAAATGAAGATCAAATCTTTTGTATATTTGAATACCGCTTATCATCATGATAATAGTTAATCAACTTTCTTTTTTTTTTTTCTTTAGGTGGACATGCCATGTTTTTGGGATCTCAAGATATTCAATTAGGTGTCAATGAATCATTATTGGATACTTCACGAGTAGTTAGTTCTATGGTGGATGGTATTATGGCTCGTGTAGGTGGTCATCATGAAATCGAAGTAAGTAAAAAAAAAAAAAAAAAAAAAAAAAAAAGATTAGATTAGATTGAATTATCTCTAAATTTTATTCTCGAACTAGTTACTCGCCAAGGAATCAACAGTACCTGTGATCAATGCATTATCAGATAAATATCATCCAACACAAATTTTAGCTGATTTGATGACGATTCATGAATATATCCATCATCGTGACAACAATACCTCATCAGATCAATACAGTGCTCATACACAACATCCTCGTGAAACTTTACCAGGATTGAAAGTTGCTTGGGTCGGTGATGCTAATAACATTATTCAAGAAATCTTGGTGGCCTTCCTCAAATTGGGTATCAGTGTCTCAGTGGCTGCACCTACTGGGTATGTTTGTGATGAAGATGTGATCAAGATTGCCCAGGCGGATGCTCAAAAGACTGGTGCTTCTTTATTATTTACAACTATTCCTGAAGAAGCGGTCAAGGATGCAGATTTTATTATTACAGATACATGGTAAGTTTAAAATAAAGAATATATGAATGATGATTGATTTTAACTTTGCTTATTATTAGGGTCAGTATGGGTCAAGAAGATGAAAAAGCAAAACGATTGAAGGAATTTGAAGGTTATCAAGTGACTATGGATCTGGCGAATCGTGGTGGTGCTAAACCTAATTGGCGTTTTTTACATTGTCTTCCACGAAAACCAGAGGAAGTGGATGATGAGGTAAAAAAAAAAAAAAAAAAAAAGGTTTGTTATAAGAGAACAAAGAAAGCTAAATGTTATTCATTTGTTTAGGTCTTTTATTCTGATCGATCACTTGTATTTCCTGAAGCCGAAAATCGAAAATGGACCATTTTATCCGTCATTGATAGATTGATCGTCAAAGGTGGTTTCCAATAGTTGTAGATAGATATATACATACATAGAACAATACTTCATTCATATACAAAAATAAAGATCTTCATGGCATTTACATTCCGCTTCTTCTCTCTCTAATTTTACTTTTTTCCTTTTTTTCCTTTTTTTTTTTTTTTTTTTTTCTAAAAAGCTTGCTATTTTTTTTTTTTTCTCCGTTCTTTTTCATGGTTGATTTTCATGATTATCCTGCAACAAATGATATTTCTTCCAATGATAACAGCAAGTACTCTCTGACAATTCAACGAAAACGGTGTGCTCATGACGATTGCAAACACTATCCCAATCCTTGTCTTTCTTGCTTACAAGCTGTTGGAAAAAATGATCACGAAACTTGTCGATTCCGCAATATCCGTGCCTTCAAACAACGAGGAAAGAAGACCGTCGAATGGTGTTTTGTTTCCAGCAAATCTCTTGGTATCCCTCTCAAGATCCTTCCATCCATGAATATACCTCTTATGACGAAAGAACAACGCCAGTATGTTAGAGAAACAATCAGACCTACAGTGAAACGACTACTTGACAGAGAAATCGACTGGATGAACAAGACAGAAGGCCGCTATCGAAGACGATTACCCTCCACGAACGCTAGACACACATGCGACTATTGTCTAACCAGCATCTTCAATGTTCATTTTATGTGTAGTATATGTGGTGTGGATCGCTGTGTTGGCTGTTACGACGAAAGCACATATTGGAATAGCAGCAATACAGATAATGGCACCGATCTCAACAATGATAATGATGATGATCCAACTATATGTACCTTAGGTAGACGACATACCAAAGACCAATTTATCCCAATTGTCAAGTACAACCTGAATACCTTGTGGAGTCTTCGTCTGCAAACAAGTATGAACTTACCTAGCAAGTGTTTTATCTCGTCCTCTCCTATCACCAACCATCCAGTTTACGCATCTCACTCAGCTTCTTCTCCATCTTCTTCACCTATTATGACACCAGCATCACTTTCATTTACATCGAATACGTCTCCTCCATGGCCATCACAAAGAAAAAGCAATAATCACCTTGTTTATTACCACCATCTTTCATCACAATTAAATATATGTAATGGATTGGATTCATCATATCAAGAACAACAACAAAAGCAACTATTGGTTATATCTCAAAAAGACATTACTTTGGACATCTTTCAACATTACTGGCGAAAAGGCAAACCAGCGATTATTCAAGATGTAATGGAATTGAGCAAAACGGATTGGAGCCCTCAAACATTCTGCTCCTTATACGGTAATGATATGATTGAGGCTATTGACTGTCATACTATGAAAGTGAACAACATGAAAATCAAGGATTTTTTCAAGGGGTATATGGATCATCAAAAGAAACCTGTACTCAAGATCAAGGATTGGCCACCTCAATCGGAATTTGCAAAAGTTTGCCCACGGTGGTACGAAGATTTTATGTCAATGTTACCAATGAATGAATATTGTGGTGTGAATGGTGTCTTCAACTTGTCGAATCGATTACCTCAAGAATTCATCAAACCAGATTTGGGACCCAAAATGTTTATTGCTTATGGTTTGGATTTCACAGATGGAATGACAACAGTGGGTACAACTAATCTACATTGTGATATGACTGACGCCGTCAATGTTATGTGTCATTCTCAACCGATGGATATCAATGCCAACAACAATAAAAAGTACGATATTGGGGTATCATCTTCGCCTGGACCAGCAGCAGCGGTATGGGACGTATTTGCTTTTGATGATCTTCCTGTTTTACGACAATTTTTGACTCAACTGCTTAGAGAAAAAGGTGAATCATTTGTAGAACCATCCATGATGTCCAAATCAGTACGACCTCGACCATCATCACCATCTCATACAGCTCATTTTTTGTATTCAACTCCAACATCATCCTCATCTACACCAACATTAGCACCATCATCATCATCACCAGGATCATCATCATCATCACCATTACCATCATCATCAAGCACACCAACATCATCATCACCATCAGAATTGAAACAGTCAACCATCATTTCATCAGAAAAAAAGACAAAAGACCCTGTACATAGCCAATGGATATACTTGACGGAAGATCTTTTGGAAAGACTGAAACGGGAATATGGTATTCAATCTTGGCGTATATATCAAAATCCTGGTGATGCCGTGTATATTCCAGCAGGTTGTGCCCATCAAGTTGCCAATTACCAAAGTGCTATCAAATGTGCTTACGACTTTATCTCGCCTGAAAATATTGAACGATCGGCCACCATTACTCGACAATTAGCAAAAGCTCGTCAAGAAGATGTTCTTCAACTTCATTCGACCTTGCTGTATAGTTGGATCTCTACTTATCGCCGTCCTACAACAACATCCTCTCTTATCAAAATCAAATCTGAAGAAGAAGAAGAAGAAGAAGAAGATGATGATGATGATGAACGATCTTTTTTGGACACGAAGAAAAGGAAAAAGAAGAAGATATCAAATTTGACGATGAAATCGGAAACTGATTGTACCTCTCATGGAAATCAAAACGGAAGGAAGAAAAAAGGAAGGAAGCCAAAAAATGACAACTTGGAATGCAATCAAGGATGATCTTTCTTTTCTCTCTCATTAGTATCTTTACCCATCTTTGTTTTATCTACATTATATAAAAATCATACCCTTTGTTTATTTTTTTTTTTTGAACTGAATAAAACTACCCATCTTTTTTTATTATTATTATTATTAGATTGAAGGAAGATCTTTGATGTGTTGGTTGGATGATGATCCATTTCTATTAACAAAGGTTCTTTCAGATTGATCCGAGATTCTTTGTACTTAAGGTGTAGTACGATTGAGTTCGATGATCCTCCCACTATCACACCAACTCGTTTTTTTTTTTTTCGGTTAAAAAAAAAATCCCATCATGAATGATCTTCTCCACATTTTTTGTATATCAAATAAAAAAAAATAAAAAAAAAAGATTCAAAACAGACTGAATTTCCAGTTTTATTTTTTTTTTGTTTTCTCTCTTTTCATCTTTTTAAAAGCGGTAGCCCTGATAATTTTTCACACGGGGGTGTATTTGAAAAAGGATTAGGTACAAAAATGAGGATAACCGTCGGTAGTTCAATGCAACAAGGCCTATCAAATCCTATCATTAACTTTACTAACCTCACCTAACTGTGACACAATATTGTCTATTTGACCCTGATTCCCATCCAATGAAATTCTCTTTGATTTTAAGTTGGATTCCCCCCATACGATAGGTTAGTAAAAAAAAAAAAAAAAAAAGCAGCAAAATCATTATACTGTTTGCCTGGTTTTATTATATTGATAAATGGAATAAAATACATAAAGAGATGAATAACATACATTAAAGATAAAAGTCAATAAAAAAAATGAATGATAATATATATATAATACAAAAAAAAAAGAAAAAATAAATACACTAAAGACAACCTTGATCCATTTTATGGATGATGATCTTGATATCTTGTTCCGTCAACACTGGGCCTAAATGGGTACATTTTGCCATTGATTTGACCATGGAAAACAATTGATCCGATGAATACTGAGGAAAACGTGCATGTCGATGTAATCTCTCCCAGATTTCTTGACAAGAAAGAAACTTGGTAGGATGATCATCACTGATACAGGGTGAATGCTGTTGATTTGAAGTAGATGAAGGTGTGTGATGAATCAAAGGATGTTCTTCATCCAAATGAGGGAAACCAAGGGATTCATTGAGTCCACCTGTAGTATCAAACAATGGTTCAGATAACAACTGGTCGAATGCGTGTGTACATACTTCTTGCAATTTGTCACAAAATAATTGACAATCCATCGTTGGTGTTTGAGCAGATGTATGTGTGGATGCAGATACGGAGGATGTTGGAGATGAAGGTTGTTGTGCAGAAGATGATGGAGAACTTGGTGATGATGATGATGAAGCATTGGATGTCACGGTAGAATGTTCATTTGGATAAAGTCTAACAAGTTCCACAGGTGAATGCTTTTGTTTGGGTGCCAATGGAGGAGAAGGACTGGATGATTGTTGTCGTTGCTTTTGACGACTTCGTAATGTATCAGGTGTACTGATAGAAAAGGTATATTGAACTCTTTGTGCGGGAGCTGGTTGAATTGGTTGCATGGATGGTGTTGAAGATGTTGATGAAAGTGGTGGCGACGGTGATGTTACTGAATTGGCAACCTTTATGGATGATGTTGGTTTACTAGTGACAGAGGTTGTGGATAGAGATGATGGCAATGATATCATTGTTTGTTGCTGAAGAGGATGATGATGAAAAACAGTTGCTGTCATTGGTAATGAAGGCATTAGGATAGGACTTGATATAGCTGCTGCTGTTGTTGATGATGATAATCCAGATGTTATATTTTCACCAGGAAATTGTTGTGATGTCGTTGTAGTGCTTCTACCCATTCCTGTACTGGTTTACCGGAGAGAGGACCATGTTGGATATGGATACCTTTAAGAGCCACATTTTCAGTTTCCAAACGATAGATAATGGATCGCAAATAATGATTTTCTTGAAATAATTGATTAGTTGCCATAGTATGAGCATCTTGAACATGTTTAAGTTTTGATTCTAATTCCTTGACATAACGTTCTTTTCTTTCACGGAAAGCACGTTGAGCTGCACGATTTTGAGCCTTTCGTTTCACTTTTGGATCACCATCCTTATTTTTTTAAAAAAAAAAAAAAAAAAAAAAAAGTAAGTACATATCATTGCATAACGTTTTTGTTGATAATAATACTACATACTTCAGAAGGTTCTTCGTCAGCTAGAGGTTTTCGTCCAGGTTTCTTGCTGTTTGAGGAAGCAGAATGAATATCATCGCTATCTGTAAAAAACCAAAAAAAAAAAAGCACATTCATATCCTTGTATAAAGTAAAAACTGACACAGTCAAATAGTATTCCTTCTTACCTTGACTTTCTTCTTCGTCTTCTAGAGAAAAAGATTGGTTTTGACTTGGGTGTTCTAATAACAATAACAACAGGAATAATAATAGAAAATAATAATAAAAAAAAGAAAAAGAAAAGAAAAAGGAAAAGGAAAAGAGAAAATAAATAAATAATCAAGAAAATAAACAAAGGCGGTAAGAGAAAAAAAAAAGGTGATTCTTACCATGCATAGGCACTTTGGCACTTTTTTCATTCAAAGCTGCATCATCATTAGTTTCATCTCTTTTACGTTTATCTTTTTTCACTAAAATAGAATCATCATCATCATCATCATCATCATCAGAAGCCAAAATAGTAGGAGGAGGAGTCATTATTGGTTGAAAAGGAAGAGTATCAGCACGAGAGAGTAAAATAGGTTGATGATGTTGTTGAGTAGAAGGACTACGACTTGATTGTTGATTATTAGATACCATAGTAAATGGAATGGTTATGATATTTGGTTTGAATACAGCCAGTGTGATAAAATGAAGATGATATAAATCCGAATATGGGGATACACTATTTTTCTGATCCAATGATTGAAGAGACAGAAATTGAATGACAAGGTCAAGATGATGATGAAAAAAAAAAAAAAAAAGAAGAAGAAGAAGTAGAAGAAAAAGAAAAAAAATCAACTATTTTATAAGAAAAAGAAAACGATACCTTATACGTCATGTGGAAAAAAAAATCCATTCATTCGAGTAATATGAAAGGTTTACTGGTCTGAGGATAGCAAACCATCCACCATCTCAGCATTTGATGAAAAAATCGGTTACTTCCCTCTATTTCCGACGATAATCCTATCTTTGTTCCACTCTAGAATCATTTCTTGTTTCGAAAAGAGATACAAAGTTAAAGAAAAAGTAAAGAAAAGAGTCAAAGAAAAGAATTCATGCATAACTGTCCAACTACTGACATACTTCTTCCTCTAACTACTTCTTTTAAGCTCGCCCAATGCTCTCTCTCTGTCTCTCAGCTTTACTTTCCTGCCCACACAAAATATTCTAATCCTCCCATTTGATTTTGAAATGGGGGGAGACAAAAAGATTAAGGTTCGTCTCCGACCCATATATGGTTTGATTGGTCCACATCTTACTACTTCTCTAAATAAAGGAACGTGAAATGTGTTTTACACCATCCTAATTTCCTTATCGTACAACAATCATCGGATTTATCAGTCTTTATCATTTTTCTATATTATTATTATTATTATCATCGTCTTGTTTATTATGAATATTGAAAATATGGATGAATTTCTTCTAAATCATGGTTCAAACTACGCTCTTTCTTTGATAGTAAGCATATTTTATTTATATTCGTCTAGAACGAACATGAAACCGTGTAAACGGATATAGAGGATAATAGAAAGAGAAGAACTGGCATAGTAAGGTATATTAGAAAAAAAAAAAAGAGAGAGAGAAAGAAAGAAGGAAAGAAAAAAGGAAAGAAAAAAAGAAAGAAAAAAAAAAAGAATAAGATCATCATTTTATATATAAATATATGTTATACCTGAAAACGATCAACTGTCAAATAGACTATTATTGAACCCAAAACAGGTATCGGAGGAGACACATGGCATTACATTCACCAAGACGGTATGAGGTGAGCTTAGAAAAAACACTACTAACCTCACAGGCAAATCCATTGACACCATTGAAGTACTACTTTGAATAACTATAAAATGTGTATTTGAAATCATTTGTATATAAAGAATAATCACTTTATTTTAATCAACAAAGAAGAAGAGAGATTCAAATCATCTATACTAAAAAAAAAAAAAAAAAAAAAAAAAAAAAGAGACTAATCACTAGGTTCTCCATCACTTGATCCATATTCATCATCATTGGCAATATCATCTTCATCCTAAATCAATCAACACAGACAGGTACCAAAAGCGATATATGAGTTATCTATTTCCTTTTCATCATATTCAACTACTTTTTTTTTCTTACCACTTGATATACAGCCACAGATTGAGAGAGTAAATCACGAAGATCTTTATTCTTGGAATGGACCATCATGATTGGAGTAAGTTTGTTTCGATTTTCAATTCTATAATATGGATTTTTTTTAATAAATAATGCAATAAAAAAAAAAGAGAGAGAGAATTGATGCAAAACTTACTTGATGTCAGCCCCGCCTTGTAATAAAATATCCACCATTGCATATGCTAAATCTTCATCCTTGTCTTGATATTCAACAGCATAGTGTAGTGGTGTATAACCTTCCATACGGTTTTGGATATTCAAATCAATATCATCCAAATTGACCAAAAGTTCAAGACATCCTAAAGCACCAGACTTTGCTCTATCCACCATCAAAAAAAAAAAAAAAAAAAAAAGGAATGAATCAGTCCTTCTTGTCCCATTGTTTCCATTTGTCCCTTTTCTTTTCTCATTTATTACTTACGCAAGATGAGCAGCAGTATTCCCAGCACCATCAGTATAACCAATATCATAGTTTTCCCCTTCCAAGATGCCTTCCAATACATCTTCTTGGTCGTTTCTACAAGCAGCTAACATGAGTTCATCTAATAGACACGGTAAAAAGATACAAGTCAAAAAAAAAAAGTTTCATCCAACGAGATAATGTTGCAACTTACTTTCAGAGGCACCTTCTTCAGTCATTCTATAGTGTGTATATTGAAATTTTGATGGTATAAAGCTAAAAATATAAATATATAAAGTATATATATATATATATGTATAATAAAAAGAGACAAAAAAAAAAAGAAGGAAGAGAGAAAAGGATATTATCTGGATTGGCGAGCCTGGAACGAATGTTGTATGACGCCATTGAAATTCCGCTTAACAGTTTTGTAGTTTGCTCAAAAGGGTTCATGTAATCAGCATAAATAAAAAAAGAGAATAAATAATAAAAGCATTAGATTCAAAATAGTTTATTATAGAAATAAGGAATATAAGAGAAGGTATAAGAATAAAAATAATATAACACATATAATAAAGTTATTTTGGAGCGGAAATCCGCTGAGAAGACGAGGATCTACGCCGATTACTTGTAGAATGTACCGTATTATCAATCATAGAAGAAGAAGAAGAGGATGTGGGAACCATGGATGTCCGAGAAGAGGAAGGTAAAGAAGGAGGACGGTCTGCCCCTTTGGCCACAATACGCATACCAGCCTGTTTTACTACTTCGTTCCGTTCCGCCATATGTTCATTGAATGCCTTGATCATTTTCCTAGGGAATGAGATAGCTGTCTGACCCAATTTCAAAATACATATCACAGCCCATATCAAAAATGCACAACCTAAAACAATAACTGTGAGAATTCTTCTTTTCTTTTTTCTTTTTTTTTTTTTACCTGTCAAAAGTGCTGTCAACAACCAATATAAAAGTTCCATTCCTCGACTTTTTGCACGATTAGCCAAAATAGATTCTATACTGACTTCTAAACGTTTCAACTAAACAAAAAAAAAATATGTAAAATGATCATTAGATAGTTCTTTTAACTCAACATGTATATACTAACCTCTGAGTAATGGGTTTCCGGTACATCTTTTAAATAAGTATCCATCTTTGCTTTGGTGTCATTCATATCAATCTGTACACCACGTATCATGCCTTCAGTACTTTCCAATGATCGCTTTATATCGTCCATACCGCGACGTAAATCAGCTACTGCTACCTTCAATTGATCTTGTCGATATTCATATGCATTGTATTCCTGATAAGGTACATAATTCCATAATGAATGTTGAGATAACTGTAAAGAGGATGATAAACTACGATGAGATGATGAAAGCGAGGCTGGACGTATAGGTGTTGTCGATGAGGAGGTACTATCTAGTCGTTGCTGAGTTGTCGTAGGTGTCAAAAGTGAGGATGATGAGGATGATCGACTTGATGCATCACCATTGGTAAATCGGACCCCACTTGTATCTGAATCTGAACCCTTTCTTGATCCGCGACGTTGTTGTTGTTGTAAATCATCCATTGGAACAAACGCTCGATATTGTTGTTTTCGTTCCCTCAAAAATGCCTTTATTACAACAACAAAAAAAAAATCAGTATTTTTTTTCTTTTTCTTTTTCTTTTTTTATTGGTACCTTGGCTTCATCAATAAAAGGATCCAATGAGAGTAATCGATCACTGACTGTTTTACTCAAGTCTTCATTGTCACGGACACTCATGACACTATATATATATAAAGTGATCAATAATAGACTTCTATAGATATAAAACCTTGTTTATGTTTCTACTTACAATCGATCATCAGTTTTGTTGGTTGATAAAAAAGAGACATAGAGATTCAGCAAACGACCTAAAAAAAAAAAAGATAATGAAAGAGAATTGAGTTTTTCTGTACCTTTCATCCAAAATTTCCTTTTATACAGTACGCACGCCATCTTTTTTTTTTTTTTTTTTGCCTATGATTACCTTTGCAATGTGAAGTTTCATCAGGAAGTTGAGTAAACTTGACAAATCCAACATCATTTTCAGTATCCACGTGAATTTCAGCTAGATAATATAAAAACCCAAATAAAATAATTGAATATATATTTTCACTTTTTCAATTATTTTTATATTGTCATGTCATTTTCCATACCTATTTGTCTTGTTCTAGATTTTGTACTTGAAGGGTCGTTCCATATATCTCCAGTAATCACTTTTGATGATAATATAGGTGATAAAGAGCTGCTACTCTCATTCTTGCTAGATTTGCCAGCGTTGTCATTATCATCATCCTTATCGTTGTCTTCATCACCATCGTTGTCCGTTTCCATATCCTCATCATCATTGTCATCATCGTCATCATCATCCTCTTCATGATTTTCGTCTTCATTTGCAGGCTTGATCCTTCTTTCCTTCAGTGTACCATAACCGTTGTCAATCATCATCTTCACCAATCCTTTGATACCTTTTGGTTCTCCATTTTCGCTATCCTTTGGTAAAGAATGGTAATCAAAATAAAAAATCTGTTTGGAATGTTGTTGTTGTTGTCCGATATCTTGTTGTTGAATGGGAGAGATATTATCGTTCATAGATCGCTGATGATTGTTGTTATCCTTTTCGATTAGGATTGGTGAATCAGGTATATCGTGAAACTGGGTGGCACCACGAGTGGAGCTGGTGATGTCGTCTGTATCTGGTGTTGATTGAGCAGGTGAGGTGTTGTGTAACGAAGTTACAGCTGAAATCGGTGGTATGGTTGTGATGGGCCATGAAGGGGACATTGTATAAGGTACGGTGACAGAGGGTGTTAGCAAAGGTGATGAATTAGAAGCTGATGCTGCTGGGGTATCGTCTTGGTGGTCCATATTGATAGAGCTTGGCGTCGTTCTGATATGATGGCTTTCTTGTTTATCAGCACTGAGTCGAGAATCCGTGGTGGAAGTCGGTGTACCGTCAACATGAACATATTCACGCATATTGTCAAAAGAATGTCGCCTTCCATAAAATGGTAAACGTAGTTTCCGATCACCTCGATTTGACATTGTACGACTATGCAATTCATTCTGATAAGAGTCACTATGATTATTGTTGGTTTTATATACTGAGTGATCATTTCGATAAGCTGATGAGGACCGTCGATGTCGTGATGGAAATCGTAATCGTTTGATAGATAAATGGGAATGAACTGGACGTTTTCGATTTGAAGGTATCATTGTATTATCTACAATTGGATGAGTGTTATTTCGAATGTTGTTATAACCATAGTTGGAGTCCACAAGAGTTGGTTGATGTTGTAAGGTATAATGTTCATTGGATTCATCATCTATTTCATAATCAGTTTCAGGTGTAGATTCGCCAGTAGGATTCAAAGGATGATCATCATATCTATTCTTTCCCTTTTTGTCACGTTTCATCAGAGATTTATACCAAGATCGACGATTGTTATTATTATTATTGTTGGTTTCCATAGGCATTATAACATCCGGAGTTGAAGTAGAAATGCTGAGAGGATGAGTTGCTTGTGTTGAAGGTTGTTTCGTTCGTTGATTATTTTTCCAAGAAAGTTGACTATCATCAGTATCAGTGGATATAGTAGAAGGATTGTTGGATGGTATGGTTAATAAGGCCGAGTTTTCGGTATCGGAAGTTGAAGGCTTCATAAAATCTTGATTCAGTAGATCAGTAAATCCAGTGTCAGTAATTCGAGAATCATTAGATATATGACTTTTGTGAGGTTGTGGTTGTACAAGTTCTGGTGCAGCAGGTCTAACATCATTCTCCATACCTTAATATAAAATGAATAATAATTTCAGTTCACAGTGTTTTATTATATATATATATACTTACTTGATCGATTTCTGTGATGTTTATGGGTTTTCTGAATATGGTTATGTTTTCTTGATAATACTGGTAATTCATTTGTAAGTTGAGTAAGTTTAAGAATATCTTCATTAGAAACAGCACCGAGCATTTCTTTTGTATGTCCTATTAAAATAATAATAAGAATTAAAAAAAAAAGAATGTTTTTTATTATTCTTTATTTTTTTTTTTTTTTACCATTATCTGATGAATTCGTTTGAGGAAAGGACGGTGAAGATATAGACGAAGTAAGTTGTACTGGATTTGATTCAAGCCATCCTCCTCCATTTCTATCAAAATAAGATGGTTTCATTTTGGTATCAGAGAAATCTTGATCAGGACTGGTTGCAGACTGAGTACGGTTATGGTGTGATCGTGAAGAAGGATGGATAGTTGGACTCGGTGTAGAACGATCTAAGGACCTAGAAGGTTGAGGTCTTTGTGATGTACTTCTCCAATGGTCAAGTTCATGGAAATACTGTGATTGCATCAAAGAAGTAAGAGTATATATGAAGAAGGGAAAACGGAAGAAAAAGAAAAAAAAAGGTGATCATTGTGCACCTCAAAGTTTCTGGAAAATTCAAATCCCGTAACCACAGTGTCGAAGAAGTTCAAGGAACACAATAAAAAAAAAAAATGAAGATCTCATTCAATTACCGCCGGAAAAAATGTGATGATGAGAATGATGGAAGGAAAGAATGAGACTACAAATGAGACCATATATTATATGTTATTATTTTTTTTCCCTTCCCTTTTACTAATTTTACAAGGGATTGCTTATGTATATCGATAACAAAGGAAAAAGACGGAAGAACGAGGATGATCAGTATATCAGGAGAGTATACTATTCAAACCTAAATAGATGGTTTTTATGGTTAATAATCTTTACTCTAGTGATTACTGTGATATCAGAAGAATCAGATCGATCGGATAGTTCCAAAAGTATATGGAGTAATCTTTTACATCATATAGCGCATTTACCTAGAATTGGTTCTGCTGGAAGGACTGGTTTATTTTCTAAAATCAGTAGTGTTTATAAACTTAGCAGTGATCAAGAACCTGATGAAGATCGTTTTCTACCTGCTTCTATTTTAAAGTAATAATACAAAAAAAAAATTGGAAAAAAAATTAACTGATTCCTTTTTTATTATTGAATAGAGACGAATATCAATTAAAGGCACATTTCCCTGTAGTGATGATTCCTGGTCTCACAGCCTCTGCTATTGAAAGTTGGGGAACAACTGGTAAATCCAAGCCATATTATCGAAAGAAGATCTTTGGATCTATAGATATGTTTCGATTATTATTATCAGACAGATCAACATGGATAGAGCTTATGAAATTGGATCCCATCACTGGTCAAGATCCTCCTGATATCAAACTTAGAGCAACTACAGGTAAAATAATAATAATAATAATAAATTTTCAAATTGATTGATATCTTATTCAATTCTGATCTTTTTATATAGGTTTATCAGCATCGGATTATTTGTTCCCTGGGTACAACAAAAAAAAAAAAAAAAAAAAAAAAGAAAAAAAAAAAAAAAAGCATAAAATGTTTTCAATCTCCACCAATTCCAACCTTTTCTTTATTCTTTATTACAGTTTTTGGGTATGGGGAAAAGTGATTGAAAATTTATCAGTTATTGGATATGATACAAGTAATATGCATATGGCAGGATATGACTGGCGTTTATCATTACGTGCCCTTGAAGAACGTGATCAATATTTCTCCCAATTGAAAGAACTCATTGAACGAAACAAAAAACATACTGGCCGAAAAACAATACTTATGTCTCATTCAATGGGTATATCTTGTATTTTTTTTTTATTATTATTATTTATCAATTGATTCTTATATTATTATTATTATTATTATTATTATTATTCTTTTAGGAACTTCGGTAGTGAATTACTTTTTAAAATGGGCAGAATGGTCTGAAGGTGGTCAAGGTGGAGATCAATGGACTGAAAACCATATCGAAAGTTTACTTAATATTAATGGTGGTGTATTAGGTGTTCCAAAAGCATTGACATTCATGCTTACAGGTAAAAAAAAAAAAAAATAATAAAATAATAATAATAATAATAATAATAAGATATGCAAAAAGAATCATTTGATTTATTGATTTATTTATATTAGGTGAAAATCATGATATTGTCTCTCTTGGTAAATTTGCAAATACTTTGGTCGATAGACTTCTTTGTCGTGGTGAACGTATTGATATGACTCGAAATTGGAGTGGATTAGCAGCTGTTCTTCCAAAAGGTGGTGATATTATATGGGGTAATGATACTAGTGCACCTGACGATGAAATGGATGATCCTTCTCTACAAACATTTGGCAATATCATTTCTTTTTCGTCAGACAAACTCACCAACAAGGATGCCAATAGCAGCTTCGTAGATGATTCTCATCATCCTTTGTTACTCAATCATACTATGGATATGGCAATGAACCTTTTGAAAAATAGTTCTTCTCAACAATTCAACGACATGCTACAAAACAACTACTCCTTTGGTATATCGACTTCGAAACAACAGCTACAAGAAAATGATAATATTCCTCGTACCTGGTCAAACCCACTCGAATCACGACTACCCAAAGGTCAGAAAGAAAAGGAAAATAAAAAACAGATACTAGAATAAAAATATTTTACTAATCTTTTTTTTTTTTTATGATAGCTCCAAGTATGAAAATATACTGTTTATATGGTGTCGGTATACCCACAGAAAGAACTTACTTTTACTCTCCCACTGGTACAGATTCAACAACTGATGAAGAAGATAATACTAGCGGTGTATGTAGAGTGCGTAATGCGGTGATGGATAACACTGGTATTAGTCGATCAGTCCCTTTGACAATTGATGTATCTATATCGGACGCTACTCATCGCATCAAAGGTGGTATTAGGAAAACTGATGGGTAAAAAAAATATATATCTATCTTTTTTGGTCATCATTTCTAATTTTATATATATATATATATTTGTTTCATATCTATCTAGGGACAGGACAGTTCCTATCATATCGAACGGATACATGTGTGCTCCTTCTGGTGGATGGACAAAACATGCTGATCTTTACAATCCTGGTCTTACTCAAATAATTGCTCGCGAATATAAAAATGAAGAAGGAATGAGTAGGGGTGATCTTCGTGGTGGGACCAAGGTAGCAAGACATGTAGACATTCTTGGCAATCATGATTTATTGGTAAGAAGGAAAAAATAAATTATGCATTATGTTGGATGCCTTTGTTACTAACATTTCAATTCTCTTTATTATTATTATTATTATTGTTATTATTTTAACTACTTGTGTATTCCTGTAGTTGGATATTTTGCAAATTGTTTCCAATCATGGTGAAAATGTGACTCGACGTATCTTCTCCAATATAGACCAAATTGCCCAAAGGGTCCAGTTAGACCATTTAGATTAATTATATTAGATTAGTGAAAATGGTGGTGTTATTTTTTTTTTTTTTTTTTTTTTTTGCTGCTTATCTTTGATTTGATGTTATTTTTACTTTGTTATTTCATTACAACATTATTCTCCACGATTAAAGACTTGACTTTTCCTTAGTATTCTTATTACCCGCCTTTCTTCTTATTATCATTATTAGTATCATTAATGGATCTTTCTTCTTCGTTTTGACATGGATGATTACCTTTAATGTTGCTACTTCATTACAATTTCCTTTTTACATAAAGTATTTGTTCTTTTTGTTTTACGGCGAAATATGCCATTCTAATGCAGAAATCAGATAATTTGAAAATGATTGAACTGATTTTTTTGTTCGTGACATAGTAGTTACACCATCCATCATCCAATCATCCTTTCTTTATTATATCTTCATCCAAAATTCATCCATCTTTCACTATATTCATTATACAATCATCAAAATTGAAACATTTTCCGATCATACATCATTTACTATTCATCATCGTCACTTGGAAAAAAAAATCATACTTTGTTGATGTCTCCCATCAATGGCAGCATCGGTATAGATAAACAGAAATTTTTCAAAATGATTTTATTAAACGAGAGGAAGTGTAGTAGTAGTAGAATTGATAAAAGTATTAAACAAAGATAGATATAGATCAATGCTGGGGAATGGAGAGGGATAAAATATAATGTGAAATGTGTGTGTGTGCATATGTATGTGTATGTTTGATATTATGATTTCAACTAAGTATTTGACACTGGACGACAAGGGCATACATGTATAATGGTATAATAATATTATCATTTTGAAATGAAAATGCTTCCAGTAGACCTATAGAAGATCATCAGATCAAAATCAGTATATATTATTTCGTAGACGTTCATATATCAATTTCCTAATCCGTCTTTTTTGGAGAGTAATACCTGTCATTGTCACTACAAGTAAGTATTGAATCCATTCTCTTCGGCCAGCCGAAGCCACAATCGTTGACACACCATCCAAGCTGATAAGTGCTGAGCTATAGGTAATGATCAAGGCACTAAGATACACAGTGACGATAAAAGCCAACGTACCTTCCACCGTCTTTTTCGTCCCAGGCCACTGAAATCGTCCAAATCGCTTTCCAACGATAGAAGCCTAACATGGAACAAAAAAGAAAAAGGAAAAAAAAAAAAAAAGTGCCACATGTCAATCACAAACGAAATTATTTTCTTGAATAAGGTATTTCTATCTTACCAAAGCATCCCCGAATCCAAGGGATAAAATACCTGATAAACTTGCTATTATACTTGAACTATCAAAAAAAAAAAAAAAAAAAAAAAAAAAAAAAAAAAGAGAGAGAGAGAAAGAGAAATCTGGTAAATAGACAACGAAGAAATCATAGATCTTTTCTCATCCCACCTTCCTAGCCATACTGGAACGGCGCAGCCTACCAAGAGATATATATGACTCAGAATAACAGGACCTAAATCACGATTGTCGATAAATTCTGTCAGGAACATATGCAGATTTTTTCCATACGGCCAAACAGCGAAATAACGAAGAAATTCTAAATAGATAAACGAAGATAGAGCAACACCAAAGGCAAGCTGAAGGAATGAATTCTATAGGATTGATATTATCCATTTTTTTTTTTTTGTTGAATCGATGGAGACAAGAGAATGAATGTGAAGTTAGTATTTATGGATTAAGAATCAAAAGATATCGATATTTCCACTTACGGCAAACAAAACCCCAGGAACAAACATAACCACGGCCAAACCATGGAATAATTTTCGCTTCTTGTTCAACGCACTTGTCAAGTGTTTGGCTCGTGAATGCTTTGATGAGGCAAAAAAAGTTTGTTGTTGTTGGTCATCGTTAGCTGGAAAATCTAATAACAGAACCCAGATAATCACCGTAATACCAATAGCAATAGTCCAATATATACATAAAAAGAGTCGAGGAGGAGAAGAGAATAAGAATTCAAGTGTCCTACAATAATAAAAAGAATTAGATGAGTGAAAAATCATATTTCTCTTTTTCGAACTATACCATAGAAAGGGATTTTGGTGTAACATGGCCGCACAAATAGGACTGATAACAAGCACAATAATAGTAGCAGTAAGACAATAAAAAGAAATCGCAACCATAACCTTGCGCCGTTGTATATCTACCAGTGTGTCAATAGAAGTGGAGGATCTCCAATACGGTTTTTGAGCCAAAATACGAGAACGTCGTAGGAGTGGATAAGATAAAAAACCAATGACCAACATTCCCATGACAACTGCATGAATCAGTATAGTTTCTGGCTTGTTTTCTTCCATGCTCATATAATCAGGTACCTTGTCACTATAAAACTATTTTTTAAAAAAAAATCAGTATTATAAGAAGAGGAAATTCAAACTTTTTTGTATAATGTCAATTCTTTACTGTTGCATAAACCATTTCTTGAACTTTGTGTACCATCACCGCAGCACCTTCAGAGATAACGCACATTTCACCCAAGGTAAAACACCGCTTGAGAGCCACAACACAGAGATATAAAGACCATTGGAATGTAGTCACAGAGATAATCGTCATGATGATAGGTGTATATCCAAGAACTGGAGTCAAAGTCGTTAATCGAGTAATAAGAAAGGTGAAGATGCCAGAAATCAATATACTTGATACAAATAGACCACGTTTTCTTATCATTCGTTTCACAGGGTGTAAAAATCCATCAGCCGAGACCAGAATAAGAAAAATTAGACTCATCAAAAAAGTCAATTCTAATTTGGCTTGAGTCAATGCTATAGATAGAAGATAAGATTACATAGAAGATAAGATTAAATAAAAGATATTTACTATCCATATTGCTTTTTATTATTACCTATACGAAAGTTATTCGTATCTCTTTGATAGATGACACCAGTCAACTGAGCACACGCAACAATAGGAAGGAGTAGTACACCACATAATAATCCATCATCAGCATTGGATCTATGTAATCACATATGATATTTATAGATATAGATATAAAAAAAGATTTGATGAGACTAAAATCATACATACATATACACACATAGCTAACAACTACTTTATATTCAACATTTTTTTTTTTTTTACCTAAAAGCCATTCTGCTAGCACCAAAAATTCGATTGGTTGGTGGAATCACTGAAAGTGGTACCTGATTGAGTTTCGATCCTTTTATTTTGTTGTTTCGATCAGATTGCAAGAGTTGATCACCTTCACCAATGTTCACCAATTGTACTGTTGCTGCTGGTGAAAGTGGAGAATTTGGAGAATCGTCGGATGATGTTTCAGTGGAAGATTTATCAAGTGATGCAGCTGTATTATGTTGTTTTGATTTCTTGGTACGAGAAAAAGCATGACATGTACTAAGACCAGTCAAAATCAACGTAGTCCAACCTATAATTCAAACATATTAGAAACTCTTCTATTTCTACGTGTAATAAGTAGTATTACCTAGTAAAACCCCTGTACTAAGTGGAGAATTGGGTAGAGAAACCATGCGACAAACTGTCCACAAGAAAGATAATAACCATAAAATACGTTCAATAAGAGCCATCTTGAGAGCATCAACAGGGAATGTTTGAAGAAGATCAGCAGGGAGTCGCGATGAAGTCAAGGATGGTTTCTTACGATGTAATGATTGTGCACGCCTTCGTCGAATGATATCTTTGGTTTGGGCATCCTCCATAGATGATGATGATGCAAAGCCTTCATCATATTGTGAATCCATAGTATATATATATGTATGATTATATGCGTTCCGTTGGTTCCGTTCTTACCGATGCTGTGAGGTGGGATTTGGAGTACGTGAAATAATAATCAAAATCTTAACAACCTGGTGGCACGTAGTTATTGTTGTAATTTAAAGTAGATAATTTTGAGTGTAATAACAGTATATAAAAAATGAAGGACGTAAATAGGTAAGTTTGATGAAAATAAATAAAATAAAATAAAATAAAATAAATAAAGAAGAGGAAGAAGAGTTCCAATCCTTTTTTTTTTTTACATGTGATTCGGAATTTGAATATCTATTTTATTTTTGTATATAAAAAGGTCTCTACAGTTTATTCATCTAAAAGGGATTGAGATAAATAATATTCTTGTAAGGGTTCAATGATATTTTCAAGTCCATCACCAGATAAAATATGTTCTAATTCATAAACTGTCAAATTAATTCTATGATCTGTCACACGATTCTGTGCACAAAAGAAATGAGTTAGTTAGTTATAGTCAAAATGACATTTATTTTGTTTTGGATTACCTGAGGGAAGTTATAAGTTCGAATCTTTTCCGATCGATCACCAGTACCAATTTGTTTGTTTCTTGAATCCCGTCTAGCCGATTGAGTTTTTTCCCGTTCTAGTTCAAATATCTTTGCACGAAGTACCTTCAACGCCTTGGCTTTATTCTAAAAAAAAAAAAAAATTCGGCTTAATTGGTCCAATTGATTCAAAATACCTCATTATTATTTTTTTATACCTTGTGTTGTGATCTTTCATCTTGCATAGAAACTACCAAACCAGTTGGTATATGAGTCATTCTAACCGCACTATCAGTTGTATTCACATGTTGTCCACCTGCACCAGATGCACGATAAAGATCAATCTTTAAATCTGAATCCCTAATTTGTACATCTACCTATATATATAATATACTTTATTAGTTTCTTCATGAATATTGATATAAATATATACTTACTTCTGTAGGTTGTGGTAACATAGCAACAGTGATGGTGGATGTATGAATTCGACCTTGTGATTCTGTCGCAGGAACACGTTGAACTCTATACGATATTTGATGATGAATATATATATATATATATTTGATTTTTATAATTTACCTATGAACACCAGATTCATATTTCAATAGACCAAAAACATTCCTACCAGAAATATTCACGGTGATATCCTACAAAGGGAAACAAAAAGATGTTATTCACCCCATTCTCACACTTCTTTTTTTTTTTTTTTTTTTTTTTTTTATGATGGCTTTACCTTGAGACCTTTTCCGCCAACATCTTCAGATTTTGATAATAATTCCCATTTCCATTTCTTCAGTTGAGCAAAACGTTCATACATCCTAGCCATATCAGAGGAGAACAACGAAGCTTCATCACCACCAGCACCTGACCGAATTTCGAGAATGGCACTTGCATCATCAGCAGCATCTTTAGGAGCAAGTTCATAAATTAAATCCTTTTCAATGACACCTATCCTAGACATGATATCTTCATATTCTTCTTTGGCCAATTCTAACATATCGTCTTCTTGATCTTGTACTGCTAAAAGATCCTGTAGATCAGATAGATCTTGAGTACATTTTCGCCAGTCGTCAAATAATGATTTTGTTGTTGTAAGATCTGATAATTTCTTCGATGCTGTGGCTAAGTCTGTTGGATTAAGTTGATTGTTAGACAGTTGGTAAAGGAGAGAGTCATGTTGTTCAGATATTCGTTCTAGTTTCTTTTCAAGTGTAGGGGAAATACGAGTGGACTGTAATAAAGAAGCTATATAAATAATGGTTAGTCACTTAAATATAATATAGGCCATTAATATCTTACTTTTTGTAGAATATCTTCTTATAGCTTTCCATGTAATACGGGGAATCGAGAGAAGCATAAAGGGAGAAGAGAAAAGAGAGAAGGAAGAAAAAAAAAAAAAAAAAAAATAGGAACCAGAGAAAAGAAAATGGCCAAGCGGCACATAAAATTTCACCGAATCAGTCACAATAATTCATTTCCTGCAACAAAGAAAGAGTAAATGGCTCCCTTCTTTTTCTTTTTTTCTCTCCTCTTACTTTTTTCCTACCAAAAGAAATAAAGAATTCCCTCTATATACACAAACCTAATTTATTTACTTGATATGGATCCAATGTCAGTATTAGGTAGTTTATCTTTTGAAGATATATTAGATGACTTGGCTACGTAATTAATTAACAAAAAAAAAAAAAAAGAAAACCAAAAAAAAGAGTCTATTACTCACAGGTATTTCATCTTTTTTTTTTTTGTCTTTTTCTTTTATCAATATAAAATTGTCAAGTCGATTTATTATCAACGTACCAGATGTAGAACTCGCCAAGGTAGAACGAATATGTTTCCAAGTAGAACAAGCACATTGGTTTTATGAAGATTTCATTCGAGAACAACGACCTGATCTACCATCATTTCAACTTAAAACCTTTTCATCAAAAAATATCCTTTTTATATACATATGTTATCTGAAAATATTATTCTATTTCTTGTATTTTTATTTTCCTTAACCTTTTTTTTTTTATTATTATTATTACTATTCAAGCAATGTCCTCTATTATCTCAATGGGCTCATGAACATGACAAGGCTTATACTGACTTTATGACTTATAGACTCCGTGTACCAGTATGTGGTGCTATTATATTGAATGCAAATATGGATAAATGCTTGTTAGTTAAGGGTTGGAGCTCGAAAGCTGGTTGGGGATTTCCTAAAGGCAAAATTAATCAAAATGAAGAGAACGATGACTGTGCTGTTCGAGAGGTAAGGATACTTTGAAGTTATTATCTTTTCTATTCTTTATCTTTATTTTTATGAATAGGTATTGGAAGAAACTGGATATGATATCTCACCATTATTACACAAAAACGAATATATCGAGATCACTATGAAAGAACAACGTATACGACTATATATCATCATTGGTGTTCCAGAAAATACCCAGTTTACTCCTCAAACAAGAAAAGAAATCAGTGTAAGAATAATAAAAAAAATGGCAAGGCAAAAAAATTAATTAGTCAAGATTTTCCTTTATTGCTATTAGCAAATTGCATGGATGGCTTTGGATGATTTACCTACTTTTAAAGCAATGGATTCTCAACAACAAAATGGACATTTGAATTATGTGAAACAAGGCTCAAAAAGATTCTATATGGTGGTTCCTTTTATCAGGTACAAAAAAATGACCTATAGAAAAAAAAAATCAACTAAATATGGTAATTGTTATCTTATCTCTAGCAAACTCAAGTCATTCCTTAATCAGCGAAGAAAAGGTCAACGAAAAGGAAATCATCAAGATGGTCCAACTAGAATAGCTAAGAAAGGACAAGATTTTTTGCATGAAAGCGCAGTCCATTGTTGAAATAAAGGATTTTTCTTTTTTTATTGTTTTTTTTTTATTATTTTTTTTTATTTGGTTACGCCTGAATGATGATCGATGGTGTCATTATGATGTTGATAATGATGATGATGATTTTGGGAAAAAAAAAGGAGAGTATGACTATTATCATTTTACAAAAAAAAAGGGGGTGTATGTGTGCGTGTGAGTGCGTGAAAAAAGGCTTGTTTATTCAAAATACGTGGACAGAAAATGTGATAGAAACATGGTTAATTCTTTATTCTTTTGATTTTACGTGCTCCAATCATATAGAGAGAGAGAGAAAGATAAGTACCCGAGCCTTGATGTGGCAAAAGTTCTAAAAAAAAAAAGTATAACAAACTTTGGTAATACTTCTGGATTGGTGGATCATTGCTTTTTGATTGTTATTTGTTTGCATATTATTTATTTTTCCGGTCTGGTTAGACTCATTCCACCTCATTTATTACGATAATAAAAAAACTGCGGGGGAACAAATCTTATATAGCATCATCACAACCGCATGTTTCGTCGCAGCATATAGAATAATTACCTTTCACCGCAGTCTTCTCCCTTTCTTTCTCTTTCTTCCTCTCTCTCTCTCCCCTTCCATTTTGCAAATAAATCCCTGTTTATCCTTTTTTATAAATATCAACCCTAATTTTTACATTTTCTCTTTCTTTTTTTTTTTTTCTTCTTTCTTTTTCTTTTTCTTTTTTCTTTACTTTATACATATTATATATTTTTATTTATTATTAGTCTATCATGACAGATTACTTACATATTATATCTCAAGCTAAACTTGCAGAATATTATGATACACGAACTGATTTACCTATAAGAAAGTATGTTCTTATTGCAAATATGTTACGAAAAACAACAGTACAAGAAGAAAAGGCCGAAGAAGAATGGTTAGATACATGTTTAAACGCGTTAGATCAACAAGATGATGATATGAATGATGATAACAAAAGACAACCTATCACTGTACGACATTATTCTTTTACATCTCAACCATTTAAGAAATCATCATCAACAGAACAACAGCAAAATCAACATGAAGTGAACATCTATCAAATAGTCTTACCATAAATCAAAAAAATCATTGAAATCGGAGAACTAATTTCACCTTTTTTTTTTTTTATCATACCTCCTGTCCGCCTTTTTTTTTTTCTCTTTCTCTCTCTCTCTCTCTTTACCTTTCTTGTATATATTTCTCTGTCTTATATATTTTCTTTTTCTTTTTTTTTTTACTTATATATTTTTATTCTCATTCTTTCCTTTTTATCCAAAATCATTTACCATCAATAAAAAGCATTCTTCAAACCCTGTCTTGCTGTACTTCTTTTGTGAAGAGTTTATTTCTCACTATATCATGTCTTCCAAAGATGAAAAGAAACCTTTCAATACTACTTCTTCCTCTGTTGGATCAAAAAAGATACGTATGACACTTGCTTGTGAACGTTGCAGGTAATAATATTATTTTTAAAAGTTTTAACAGAATTGTCTCACTGACTTTTTTTTTTTTTTTTGTTCCTTGTTTTCTATAGATCAAAAAAAGGTATTGTCATAACACAACTATTATATCAATGAAACAACTCACCGATATATGTATCTATTGTTTGTTTTGTTTCTTTTTTTTTTAATTTAGTTAAGTGTGATTTTGCCCATCCTATTTGTACAAGATGTCAACAAACAAATGGTAAGTTTTTAAGAAAAAAGGAAATGGAAAGAGTCCAACCGTATTTGAACTCCCTTTTTTTTTTTATTATTATTATTTACTTTTAGCTCCTTGCTCTTATAATGGTTCATCAACTCAAGTGGATCTCTTTAATCTTGTCAAAATCAATGAAACAGTAGACTTATTACAACAACGTGTACTTTCTTTGGAATCGGATCTGAAACAACCTCCAGTCTCTTCAACTTCTCCACCAACTCCTTTACCAACGATTTCTCAAGCAACAGATAGCGATACTTTTATGGTACAGCAAGATAGGGAATATCATAACGAGGTCCTACAAGGTCTATTGAATGCTGCAAACTCAAGATGGTCACTTTCACTTACTCCAAAGGGTTTACGGATTGATACCAATATCATCTCATTACACGATCTTTATGACCTTTTACTTTCCGGTATGTCACAGCTTGAATTAAATGATGCTCAACAATCAGATACTACCTCCAATGATACGGAATCAAATTCGGCCTCATCTTGTAGTTCAACTTCTGGAGGAGAATTGACCACAGCAACTTCTGTTCAACGCACTACTCTTTTGAAAAAGAAACCATTATGGAAATCTGGTCTGAAAGTCTTTCCTCTATATAGTTCTTGGGAATCAACTACTAATCACCAAAAGTAACAGCAGCAACAACGACAACAGCAACAGCAACAACAACAACAACAATTCTCTCACCAAGATATTCCTCAATCAACTTTAGACAAAATGATGATTATCTATTCCGAATGTTTCCTTTGTTTACCAAGTCCTGAACTAGAGGGATCTATATTGGATCGCTATCGAAAAGGGAAATTAGATGAAATGTTAGCTAATATCATATTTGCTTGGACTGCACGTCATGGTGCCATTTATCATGATCTCTTTATTGATCAAGATCCAAATCAAGTAGGTGAACCATTCTTCCAACGTGCCAAATTACTACTTAGGGATCGATTTATGGTGACAAATGTAGATACAATGCATAGTCTGTTGATGATGTATATTTATGCCTTGGGTGATCCATCTAGCCATGCTGAATCTGAAGCTTATATGTATTTGGGATTAGCCAATCGGATGTGTCTGGATTTGAAAATGCATTGTGAACTTCCTGACTCTGTGACAGACCTTATCGCTAGAGAACGACATCGACGTTACTATGGCGTGCTCAACTTTTTAGAAACTCTATGTACCGTACATTCTGATAAGCCATTCTCCCTACCTCCTCAAGATACTGTTACAATCGGTCTTCCTACCGTGATGCCTCATGAAACTGGTGAAACTCGATGGCGTGTAGAATTTATGATCCAACGTTTTCGTATTACACATATATATAGAAATATAATCTGCAATACTGCTCAAGAACATCCTTTACTCTCTACGGTGTCATCCCTGGACAAAGAATTAAAAGAATGGTATCAACAATTGCCTAATTATTTCCGTTACAAACAAGGCGACATCCATAAACGAAATTGGAAAAGCAAAAGCTTTAGGGAGCAAGCATGCATCAAACTCAACTTTGAATACAACTTCCAAATGTGTCAATTATATGGTCTCTTCTTCTCTCGATCTCGTGGTAATAACTCTGAAGATTCTCCTAGTGCTATTGATGTGCTCGCCAAGGAACTGTGTGTACGTGGAGCTGAAATGATTGTGGAACTATTGGGATGCTGGGTACAATTGGATCAACTATGGTGTCACTTTTCTTTGGAAACTTTTATGATTGTGCTCATGGTTTACAGGACCTTATTGGTGAATGCTACTACTAATGAAATAGAATCTGCAAAATCAAACCTCTCATGGATGGCTCGTATGTTGATATCATCTCCTGTCAAACATCATAAACATGTTATTGGATTAGTCACAGGCATTAGATCTATTTTTGTCGAATATTTTGGTGAAGAATTGAACTTGGAAGTTGATCAACGAGCTGGTTTGAAAAGGGAATATATGGATCATTTACCATCAACGCCTATACCATCATCATCATCCCTATCAGCAACAACAACAGCAACAACAACAATAGCAGCAGCAGCAGCGGCGGCGGCATCCTCATCATCATCATCATCATCATCGTCATCATCATCGTCGTCGTCTACGTCAACATCACAACATCCTATACGGGCATCGCAGACACATCATTCTAGAGTTACAGCATGTCCCTCGCGCAATCTTACTCCAACAGCTTCACCAGTCCCAACAACAACTTCAGCAACAGCATCATCATCATCACCATCAACATCATCTAGCTTGTCCACCTCAACTACACCATCCCTACAACCATCAAATACTGGTATCCAATCTATACCTCAACATTATTCGGCACCAGTACCACAACATCAGCCAACACCGCCACTCATGACATCTCTTTATTCATTCTCCGGAAACAGAGTGATGGATGTGACGACAGGAACTTCACCATTGGATTTACATAGGCATCATTCTATATGTGGCGCTTCAACATCTGATTTACCTTTCTCTGATTTTTTATACACACCAACGCTAACGGATATGCAGCCCATGACTGCGCCAATTCAGCAGCAGCAAGATACCCAAGATTTGTCGACAACACCATCTATGGGAACGCAACATTTACCTACACATTATCAAGATAATCATATCCAGAATAGTACGACCACTGTTAGCACGACGACTACTGGAACAGTAGCTTCATTATCTCCTCCTAGCAACGATCCAACATCAGCCTCTACTACGGTTGTATCTTCACAAAACCTTCATTACCCAACTTTACAATTTTACAACCAGCAACAACATCATCCTCACATGACTTCGAGCTGGTCATCAAGACTGCCGGTACAAGAAATCAGTAAATCATCACCATTGTCTTCTTCTTCAACGTCCTTGTTACATCAACAACATCGTCATCTTCATCACTATCAACCCTATCAAGCTAATCATCATCGTAGGTCAACATCATCTTCAACGTCATCTGCATCGACACCATCCCATCCAATAGTATCTTCTACAACATCATCTATTCATCGACAACAATCATCGAATAGCAACACTCATCCACAAACAATATCATTATCAGCATCAATGTCATCCCCTACTTCGTTTGGACCAACGACAGCGATTCCTTTTATGGACATGACAATATATGGCAATGATCAAGATCAGAAAATCAAAGAGCATCAAGATCATGGGTTTGACTATTATTAGATAACAAGGATGGAAATTTTCAATTGTAGTATATATATATTTCTGTAATTAGTTTTAGTTTATTTTATTATATTCGACGTAGTTTTGTAGATATTTGTACTTGTTATCCATCAATAAAAAAATTTTTTTATTATATTATATGTATTCAAATGTAAGTGTAAAAAAAAAAAAAAAAAAAAAAAAAAAAAAAAAAAAAAGAGGGATATGTAAATAAACATGTGTATGGAAAGAGATAAAAAAAATAAAAAAAAAAAAGTATGATGATGATAGATAAAAAAAAAAATCAAGTGGAGACAGCCATATTGTCCTTATCAATGATACAGGGGAGCTTTGTATAGCCTAGATCGGTGATCTTGTTTTGACGTTGGGCTTGCATGATACGTAAGATTTCCGCACTGGAGTAGTTGACCAAACCTTTAGCCACAGTAATCTGATCCACCACACCATTTTCACAATGTCGTTGGACAACCACACGTACGGCTTGATGTTCCACAAAATGGCCTTCCACACGATGAACCGAATGAGCATATAGCGAAGCACTGGCAATACCTTGTCGTGATAAAAATGGATGACTTTGATCATGTGCCTTGGATGTCGACAAGGAGGACGATAGAGTGGATGATGATAATGTTGTTGTGACAGTGACGTTTTTGTTTGAAGAAGAAGAAGATGATGGTGATGATGGAGATGATGTAGTGGTAGTATAGTCGTTGTCATCATCAGATTGTAAAGATGGTAAAGATGAAGCTTCATCCAAATCATTAGAAGCTAACATGGCATCAGCAAGAGCTTCATCCACAACCAGAGTTCCCGCAGTATGTAAGCCATGTAAAATCCACCAAGTTCGATCCACCAATGGTTGTGATTTGGCCAAAAAACGAGTATGTAAAGGAGCAGTATAACTATCTTGAGCTTCGATGATGGGCAAAATGTTTTCTGGAGTGGCACCTCTTGTAATCACAGTAATCACGCCTGCCGCTGTTGCTAGATCCGCAGCCACCAACTTGGTCACCATACCACCTGTGCCGAGAGATGAACCTGGTGATGTAACAGTGATGGTTGATTTTAATTGTTGCAAGTCGTCACACATAATGATCGGTTGTGCGTCAGGGTTGGTCCGTGGATTATCAGTATAAAGACAATCCACATCTGTCAGTAAAAACAAATAATCGGCTTTAACCATTCCTGCTGTGATGGCTGAGAGTGTATCATTGTCTCCAAATTTGATTTCCTTCCATATATAAAATAAAAAAAAAAGAGGGTTAGTCGATCATCATTTCTTTATACTATATAAATAGGATGGATAGATCATAACTTTACCGAATAAGATATTGTATCATTTTCGTTGACAATAGGAACGACACCCATATCCAATAATTCTTCAAGACAATTGACAGCATTCAAATATTGTGATCTTTGAGATAAATCATTCTTCGTCAAAAGGAGTTGAGCCACGGTTTGATTGAATCGACCAAAAAGATCATCATACATGCTCATCAATCGACCTTGACCTACAGCCGCAATAGCCTAATGATTCAAAAAAAAAAAAGAATTAATATATGTGTTCCTTCATGCAAATAAAGTCTAACATACTTGAACTAAGGCTTGACGTGTAGGCTTTTCTTGTAAATTCAATCTTCGTAATCCAGTCCCTACAGCTGCACTTGTCACCAAGACCACTCGATGATTTTGTTGTTTTAATCGAATAATGGTTTCCACAATCCTTGATAAGTTGCCAAGTAGAGGATAATGTGTTTTTTCATCACAAATCGAAGATGTGCCTACTTTGATCACAATGGTCAATGATGTTTTCGTCGGACGATGAGTATTTTGAATATTTCTATAAACCATTGGCTTGGTAAAAGGAATCCACCGATGTATGAGTTTTTGTTGTTTTTTTTTTGGAAGGGCAAAAAAAAAAAAAAAAAAAAAAAAAGAAAGAGAAAGAGAAAGAAAAGCATGAATTTACATTTTATAATAAGTTATTACGACGAGATCGGAGTATCAACCTATGGTAAGCTGATGTATCATATCATATTATAGTCTTTCTTCTCGAATGATCTTCTTGTTCCTTTCGTTAGTATGGATACAATCATACAATCTGATGAAATCGATAAGGATCAAATCTTAAAAGCATATCCAATGAGGGAGGAATTATACTTCTTAAAAATAAACTTTTTGTCTTGGTTTTTTATTGTGTACCTGTTCTCCACAACGAGAAATACCCGCATGAATCCAAATTAAGACTAGAAGAGTGCTTTATATTACATTATATTTCGTCATTACAAACTTTAAATATACTTTTATTTTTTTTTTTGTGACCTTTCTTATTGTTTCTTTTTTTAACAACCAAAGAAGTGATTGAGTTTTCCCTAGTTAATAGTTGTCATATGAAATCATATTAGATAAATGATAATCATGCTTTATCAATAGATTATGTCTTTACTGTCATCTAGTCATTTATCCTATCATCAGTGTCGAAACATGATTTACTTTTTCTTCTCCCCCGTGACATTGTAGCGTGTAGCTGAACTTTTCTTTTTATGGAACCTCAGCGATCATTTCATCCATCATCCAAATATCATCCATCCATTTGTTCATCATACAAAGAATAAAATCTTTTCACAAATAGGAACTTTTTTTTTTTTAATTTGGGTAATAAACTTTTCAAATAGACTGGCTCCCAATCCGATCTATCCGATCATGCAATTCTGACTAGGTAAAATAGAACATACTTTACCGTTTCAGGTTCCAAAAAAAAAAAAAAAAAAGAAGGGCATGTAAGCAACTTATGATACATGATGAATTTCTACGACTCTAGGAAAAATATCCTGGTATATTTCAGGTTCAGAATTCTTTTTTTTTTTATTCCACAACCCGAACCATTTAGTTGATCCATCATAGCTATCATCACCTTCGTCGTCATTATTTTCTATATCATCATCAACATTGATTGGGATTTTGCTACTATTGATATAATATCAGGATGTCGATCTTTTTATGTAGTGATATATGCCGGTACATTCCTGATGACATACAAATATAGTAATTGGCACTGGAAGGGCATATTTCTTCTGTTCATTCTCCCTATCCCCCCTTGGGATATTGTGTATATACAGTAATATATACATATATATATTTTGTCCATTAACAACAATAAATATGATAAACAGACAAAGATATGCGTTAATGAAAATCATCGTTCAAAATTTGTTCCTTTTTTCTTTTTTTTTTTTTCCTTCAATATTCTCTTTTTTTTTATTATTATTTTCTTTTTTTTCTAAAATCAGTCATGTATAGATATTTGAGTCTGTTATCCTTAATCTGGTTACAAACAGCATCTGTCACAGCATTAAATCCAATTGTTATCAAGGGTCAAAAGTTTTTTGATTCTATTACAAAAGAACAATTCTTTATTAAAGGGTAAAAAAAAAAAAAAAAAAAAAAAAAAAAAAAACTACAAGTCTAATCATCATCCATCAATCCATCAAATTGTTGTGATCGACTATTTCCATTTTAACTACATAGTGTTGCATACCAACCAAGAGGTGATGGTCAAGTCATCAACGATCCACTTGCTGATGAGGCAGGATGTGCCAGAGATGCGCCTCTTATGAAAGAACTTGGAGCAAATGTGGTGCGTGTATATGAAGTAGATCCAACCAAAGACCATGATGCATGTATGAAATCATTTGCCGATAATGGATTGTATCTTGTGCTTGATATCGCGACCCCTAAATATTCTATCAACCGTAAACGTCCAGAATATGATGTGACCCTATATAATGCCTATCGAGCCACAGTGTCCAGTTTTGCCAAATATCCTCATTTACTTGCCTTTGTTGCAGGAAACGAAGTGACTAATGATCGTACGAATACACCTGCTTCTGCCTATGTACGAGCTGTGATTCGTGATATGAAGAATTTTTTGCGTCATGGTGGTAGTCGAGCCATTCCAGTGGGTTATGCCAGTAACGATGATGAACATATTCGCGACAGTATCAAAGATTATTTTGTATGTGGTGATGATGAAGAAAGTCATGCTGACTTTTTTGGTATCAACTTGTATGAATGGTGTGGTGGTTCTAGTTTTGAAAAATCAGGATATGCTGAGCGTACAAAAGAATTTGAATCCTATGGAAAACCTGTGTTCTTATCCGAGTATGGTTGTAACTTGGTACGTCCTCGTACTTTTGGTGAAGTATCGGCTGTCTATGGACCACAAATGACACCTGTCTTTTCTGGTGGAATTGTCTACGAATGGACTCAAGAAAATAATGAATATGGATTAGTCAAAATAGCCAATTCCCAAGTAGAAACTTTAACTGATTATCATAACTTACAAAAAGTATTGAAAGCAACAAATCCAAAAGGAATCAAAATGGATGACTATCAACAACAGCAACAACAAGAAACAGTGCCTTGTCCAGGAAGAACAGAAGATTGGAAAGCATCAACAGAATTACCACCAACACCTTCTGAAGGTGCTTGTTCTTGTATGAAAGATAATTTGAGTTGTATTGCGTCAGATGCAGTACACCAATCCAATAAGAATTCGACTTTGGGAACACAATTAGATACAATGTGTGGTATGGTGAATTGTGGAGATATCAGTGGAGAAGGAGAAAGTGGAAAATATGGTGCTTTCTCTTTTTGTAATCCTGAAGATAAACTCAGCTACTTGTACAACTTGTACGTCACACAATCCAAAAATGAAAAATCATTTACATCTGCCACTTGTGATTTTAATGGTTATGCTCAATCTGTCACTCCTAAACGTAATGATCTTAATGATTGTACTTCTATCAAACCTAACCTTGATGGACTTCCTAAAGCTACTTTTAACCTAGCTAATTCTCCAATCAGTGCTTCTACTTTATTATTAATTTTCACATTTATTCTTCATTTAGCTTGGGCTTGAATTCTTTTTTTTTTATTTATTTTTAATCTTTTGATGATGTTGATAAAAAGCATATAAATAAAATAAAAAGATTCGATTTTAATTAGTGATCATGTCTTAAATTTAAAAATTGTATAAACAATCCCACAATTCCTATCTAATACCGGACTTTGTAAAATAATGAATATTTTTTTTGCTGAAATAAAAAAATCTTTGATCCTTCCTTTGTGAAGAAAATATATGATGATACTTCACGGTTTTTGACACGATCAAGCTTCGTTTTTCTCTTTCGGGGGAAAAATGGAGACATGACGACACATGTCCGAACCACACACCTTGTTACTTTAAAGGATGTGCTTGAAGATCTGATTCTTTGGTTTTACATTTAAAAAAAGAAAAATGAAATGAAAATAAAGAATATTTTATTATTATTATTATTATTATCTTCATTGATATATCAGTGTTAACAAAAAAGAAAAAAAAAAAGATTGGACAACTTTTTAAGGCATGAATTTCAGAAATGGGTGGAAGGAGTCACGCTTTTTTTTCAGGCTGAATGGGAAGGAAATAAAAAAAAAAATTCGAACTACGTTTTCCTCTTTATACTTCTTTTTTTTTTTTTCTCGTTTCTTTTGTTTCACTTCCGGTTATCATATATTTTTTTTTCTATTATATGGATTCCTCAAAGGTATTTGATCATTAATTCAAAATAAAGAAAACCTGTATTATTAACTCAATACTTCTCTACTAGATAAACTCACAATCTCATTCAACACCACAACAACATAAAAGACCTAGGGTAACTTTGGAATCAATTTCTAGAACTCCCCTTTATACTACTACTACTACTTCTTCTTCTTCTTCTATTTCTCATGGAAACGACAATGATGGTAAATATATATATACATATATAGTATCAAGAAAAAGTAAGAAAGAACGGTTACTTATGCATAACTTTATTTGGTATAGATGAAATACGACGACTAAAAGCGATGACTTTAAAGTTGGAACACGCGTACAAAAATGCTCAAGCTCGAAATGAAGCTATACATATAGAACACAAAGCAAAATATTCAGAATACGACTTTATTATTGAAAGACTTACTACAGAAAAGAAGGTATACATAAACGACAGGATAGAAAGGTATGCTAATATTACAATTGTCATGACATAGGATGCTGAAGCTCGAGCTATTTATCACCATAAACGATCAAAAGATGCAGCACACGCTTTGGAACTAGTTAAAATGGATCATACCAATGTCACTGTAAGTTGATAATTAGCTGATACTAGTATGTCTGTTTCTTTTGAAAAGGGTTTTATCTATTAACTTAATCTATATGTATAACTCAGGAACGATTACGAACAAAATTGGAGGAATTGGAAGCACAAAATGCTAGATTATCAACTGATATCTTTTCAGAACAGCGAGAACGACAAAAAGCAACTTGGGCTTTAAATACAAAAGAATCTGAATGGACAAATCGTATACAACAATTGGAAACAACAGTGGATGTACTCAAACAACAGGTATATAGAATAAAAAATAACTATGATCCATGATCTGATTAATTCTATATATTTAAATAGGTGGAAAAACAACAAGAGAGTATCGCATTAGGATTGGAAAGGGAATATGAATTGAATAATAAATGGAAAGAAGCCGATAACAAACTCAAGGAACTCAATAATGCCAAATTTGATACTGAAGCTATCCTTACTTTTGATCGCCAAGTCAAATGTAACGTTTTTATATGTCATTTTATTAATAATAATGTAACATTTTTTTTATTTTATTTTAGTACAAGATGATACAAGGAAAATAGAGATGGAAAATTACAAATTGAAAAATGAATTGAAGCATTACAAAGAAATGTATCACAACGTGGAAATGTTACGGGAAGAAAAATATAGTCTAGAAGCAAGGGTACGTAACATGGAACAATTATCAACAGAAAATGTTCGTTTGGATTTGGAAAATACCCGTTTGAAGATGGAAAAACTGGAATGGTAAAAAAAAAAAAAAAAAAAAAAAAAAAAAAAAAAAAAAAAAAAAAGAAAGAAAGAAAAGTGAATAAAAAAGAAAGGGATTGACTCAAAGCTTTGTTTTGTTTTCTTTAGGGCGGGCTATCTCGAAAAAGAGGATGGACTTGATATTGAAACACCTCAAGGACTAGTTTACAATCTCACCAAAGAACGTAATGAATCAAGATGGATAGTGAATCAAATTGATGTATTCAAGAAAGAAATGGAAAATCGCGATCAATTGATATTAAAACTTGAAACACATGTAAGATGAACTAAGTAAAATGATTTTCAATATTAAAGTTTTATTATTATTGTTGTTGTTGTTGTTAGATGAACGAGCTTAAGAAAACAATTCAGGATAAAGATCGCCTTCATCGTTCAGATGTATTTGCCATGGAACTTTTGGAAAAAGATAAGATTATGCTACGAAAACACATTGAAGCACTGGAAAATCAATTCGTAAGTCAATATCTTTGTCAAATAATAAAAAAATATATATCAAATATTTATTTCTTTATCTATTCTGATATAATTAGAAATTATATGATATTGAAGAAAGCAATTATATGGAAGGCAATTATGATATACAAAAGACGCAACGTATTCAACAATTAGAAGAATTACTCAAAGACTTTGAAGGTCGACTCAGCGATCAAGGAAAAGATATCATCAAATCTCAAATGGAGGCCAGTTACTCATCTCCGGGAACAATCTCACCTGGTCCATATTTCGAACTTGCTTCTGGTCAATCATTATTTGAATTTATGTCCAACTTGTCACAGAAAAAGCTGGAGTACATGGAAGGTAATGACGAAAAAAAAAAAAAAAAGAATAAGACATGGCAATTAGTGTAATTATAAAATGTATTCACTCTATATATATTTTTTTTTTCATTCTATCCTTTCTTATCCTTCATATAGATACAAAGACGTTACAAAGCAATCTCAACAATGCTAATAGTCAAATCAACATCTTACGAAATCAGTTATCATTATTACAAGATTATTTTGGACGGCATGGAATGGATCCTTCATCGACTGTCAGCAAAGAAAACAACATTACTCAAGCAAACAATGCTACAGATACTTCATCTGATCATGTTCGCATCTTGGCACTCAAAGAAAATCCAGCATCTGTTGAATATGGTATTCGAAAACGTCAGCTTGAAAATTTACGACAAGAAAATAAGATCCTTTTGGAGCAATTACTGCATTATCAAACATCAACTATTGACAGCAGTATGGATCTATCTGATGACAGACAAGATCAAGAAACCATCATGATCTCTATTCCCAAGAAGACTTTGCAAAACATGGAAGATCAAAAACAAGCTCTGGAACAAGAAGTAGCCAAAAGAGAAAAACGTATTGCTCGAAAAGATGAGGTAATAAAAAAAAAAGAAATCAGTTTGGAGGCTCACATTATTCTATTTACTAGGCGTATCAAAGACAATTGGATCAACTTGCTGATATTATGCCTGGTGTACTTGGATACCGTTTGAAACCAACATACGATGGGAAAATGGTGCTTTTAGAATCAAGTTACGTAAATAGTAAAGACTTATCGTTTCAGGTCATGTTCTTGAAAAACGGTCAATCAACAGTTAAGGTACTCGGTCGCAACAAACAAGAATATCTCCGAACTTTACAAAGTGCCTACGATACTTTTATCACTGAGAGAAAAAGTATTCCTGGATTTTTGAGTGCTGTCACTTTGGATTTACAAGACAGGTAAAAAAAAAATACATTCTTTTTTCGGATGATTAACATTTTTTTTTTTTTTTTTTTTTGGTTATAACCATTTTTTGTTTGATTTCTTCTTTTTAGACAAGCCCATATCCAACCTGATATGTATGATCCAACAGTGACCCGTGATTATGACAGTCATTCTTATTCTGAAGAGGACCCATTGACAGATGTTCACGGTCATGAATTAGTGGAACCAGCCGCCATCGATCGTGAAGATGAATTGGATACTGATTTTGTGGCACAAGCAGACGATAGTGGTGACAATGATTATATAGAATGTATTCCTGATGACGACGAAGAAAACAACAATGATGGATACGATGAAGATCGACTGAAATACTTTGAAGGTGAGGACGAAGAAGATACCGAAGACTATGAACCAAAATACGAAAACAGGGAAATCCATAATCAAGAACGATCTCAGGAAGCCACCTATGAAGAATACAGCAATAATGACGACGATGATGACAATGGTAACGATGATGATGATGACGATTTGATTGACAACGAAATAAAACAGCATGAACATGATCAAACGGAAGTCATGGATGAAGAAGATGAACTAGGTTATGGGGAAAATGATGGCGATGAAGACGAGGAGGATGAAGTTGGCGGCAACGAAGATGAAGATGAATCCATGGAAGAATCTGATGAGCAACAACAACAGGGTCAAGAAAACGATCCTATCTCCCTGGATGATGATTCAGATTGAATACTTTGTAGTTAGTTTAGTTTAGTTATTGGTTGTATTATCTTTTTTTTTTTTTAATATCTCCTTTTGAATAAAACGATGAATCAAAATGATGGATTCCTCTTTTATAATATTCGGTAGTAGGATGGAATAGATATACAGAAGAGAAAAAAATAGGGATTATCGGTGTTGAGAGTGTACACTGATGCCTATTGACGTTTTTTTTATTATTATTATTATTTATTGATTACTTTGTTTGTTTGTTTTATTAGCCTATTATAAAGATGAAAGAAGAAAAAGGAAATGGACAATACTAGTACTTCCTATTATGATGATGATAGACGATGGAAGTTGTCAAAAGGCTATGTAACAAGATAATAATAATAATTAGTGGGTAGATGTTTAATATCGTATTTGATATCTGAAGAAAGACGAAGATTTCATCTGATGATCGCCCCATCTAGAAAGGGTTTGTAGATCTATTGTTAATTTTTAAATAACAAAGAAATGCCAGGTAAATGATAGAAAGAGAAATGAAATTTATATTTGATTTCATATAAACTTTTTTTTTTTTGCATGTAACATAGGTTTCCTTTTTTGTCATTCATGCATATTGACTGGATCTTTCAAGTATCATCATTTTCATTTCCATTTTTCACTTGTTATACGAGATCAATCAAACCTGTGCATTATTTTTTTCTTTTCTTTTCTCTTTTTTTTTTTTTTTCTTTTTTTTTTTTTTTTTTTTTTTTTTTTTTTTTGTGATGTTGCCTCATCATTGACTCTCAACCGTCAATGGTAAATTTAGAAGAGACGATGATAATTCAGGGGCAAGGTGAACAAGTTCAATATACGATGAGGATATCTGATATCCTGTCTGTGGCCCCCTTTGTGTGCAACATCAAGACTTTTTTGATACTTAGCACGCGGTAAAAACTATAACGAAAAGGATAAGGAGGGTCGGTAGAGGGATGAGAAGATGAACGTAAGACTAAGAAAAGGAGAATTGATGGAAGTCTCCTTGAATGATTAAAAGAAAAGAGATACAGTATATTTTTTTTTTATTATTTTACATTTTCTTTCTTTTTTCTTCTTCTTTTTCTTTATACTGTCATTACTGTCACTCTTTTTATATATATATCTCCATTCCACTCCCTTTTATAATCTGAATATCAATCCTTTTTGGAATGTTGACAAACGATCATGTCAACCAAAAGACAAATACAAAAACTATGAATGAATCATCTTCTTCGTTTGGCCGTCAGTTACGCCGATCTCATTCCTCTTCCATTCTTTCAGCTTCCGATAATAACTTCTCTATACCAAATCATCGAAAACCTTCCTTACCCATTGTCACTCATTTAAAATCAACTAACAAACCAGATGATCAGTTACAACGTCCTTCTATGCGTACCAGTTCTTCCGCTCGATTTGGAAAAAGTTTATTGCCTGCCTGGTTAGGCCGTCAACAACAACAACAACATACTTCTTCTTCTTCTACTCCTACCGTTGAATCATCAATATCATCATCATCATCATCATCAACAATAACAAAATCTTCGAGTAGCAAGTTTCATGAACAATTCGAATCCTTACTTGTAAAAAAAAAAAAAAAAAAAAAATTAAAAAAAAAATCATATGCCTAATGGTATTTTTCTTTTTTTTTTTTTTTTTTTTTTTGAACAGGATGAACTTGATATGAAAGATGATCATCGAGAACATTTACGGCAATTACCTACCGAACAACAAAAGTATCTATTACAACAAAATACGAATATAAAAAACAAAAAATCAACATCATCATCTATTCCAACATCTACTGCCAAGAGTAATCATGCTAATACTACTACCACCGCCTCTGCAATACCAACACCTAGTACCATCAGTCCCACACGTCCTTCACGACAGAAATCATTACTGAAACCAGTGTCTACCCGAACCATCTTCTCTTCTCATCTTCGAAAAAGTCCTTCAGCTACAGCTTTACCATCTGATCATAATATTTCACCTCCACCAACCGTTTCTGCCTCGACTTCAGCAGCAACTAAAAATAATCATCCTACTACTGCGATTACTACTACTAGTAGTAGTACTAGTATTAGTACTAACAAAACTTCTTCCCTCCCCAGTCCAACTGGTACATTGGATAAACGAGCAGCTAATTATAAATTCAAACGTAATAATATGAAGCATGCCACTCATGCAAATTCTCGAGTTGGATCTATGGTTTTAGAATTCAATGCATTGGCTCAACATGATACTATTCAGGATGATGAATCGGCATCTGCATGGTTATTATTGGATAATAAAAATTTAAATGCTGTTACTGCTGCTGCTGCTGCTGCTGCTACTACTTCTACTACCATACCGCAGAATTCAATCTCCACTGATCATCGATCTAGTAAAAACCTTCATCATCATAGTTTATCAAGGAAAGAAGCTTCTCATTTATCAGCTTTGATTAATCCGGATATACATCCTCATCGTAATAGCCGTGAAAGAAATAGTCCTTATATTCATGTAGAACGATTACGTAGCAGGTAATTTTTTTTTCTTAAAAAAGAAAAAGACACTCATTTTTATGCAACTCATTGTTCACATTTTTTTTTTTTTTTTTTATGTATGATTCAGAAATACCTCCTTTGACACATTGTTAAAACATTTAAATTCTCTCAAGTCAAGTCTTGAAAATGAATCAACATCTTGGGTAAATGAATTTTTATCTCGTCGTCATGATGGTTTATCTGCACTGGAACATGTATTGGATCGACTTTGTACAAAGAAGAAAAAGTAAGTTATTAAATTTTCAAGACCGACAATCCTGTGTTAAAAATCCAACTTTTTTTTTTTTTTTTTTTTTTGTGCTTCTCCTTTCTTTCTTTTCTTATTTTTTTTTTTTTTTTTTTTCGCGTATTGAAGAAAAAAGTCGTCTAGGACCAATGATACTGAAGAAACTTGTCTATTGGAATGTATTCAATGTATTCGATTACTTATTCATAATGAGGTAAGTCTGAAACGTGGAAAATTATTTGGTATATATATATTATATATATATATATATAAAAAAAAGGAGCATCCCAGGAGTGGATGGCAAAAAAAGGAGTGGTTAATAATTGTTGATGCTGATGTCAATTGATGCTTCATACATATGTATTATACATTCTGTCATTATTAATACTCTTCTTTCTTTTTTTTTTCTTTTTTTTTTTTTTTTTTATCCTTTATTTCTTTTAGGTGGGGTTACAACAGGTGATAATGCGTCCTAGTATTTTACACCAGTTACTTTTCTCATTATTTACTGCCTTGACTGCTGTCCTTGTTGATCATGGTCAGCGTGTACAAAATGAATCCACTTCTCTCTTTGGCAAATCACCTTCCTTGTCCTCTATTGGCTCTCACCTTTTACCTTCCTTTTCAACTTCGGCCATTACCAATGTACAGACTCCTTCCAACAATAACAATACTAACACTAACTCTTCAACTATGGATTCTCTCAACAAAACACAAACAACATTGTTCAAGATATGCTGTCAAGTATTCGAAGTATTCATTACCCTTTGTCTCTTATCTCATCGATCATATGAAGCACTTTTACAAACACTCTCTGAAATTCGTGGTGAACAATATCGATTTGAGCGTATTATTCGAAATCTTTGTTCTTTTCGTTTGGACCTTCCTGTGGTGGATCCTTTGGTATGGGAATGTAAAACAAGTGCTCTGACCTTTTTCAACGCCATTGTCAACTCTTCTGAAAGTATTGAAACAAGGTGTGCTTTGCGAACTGAACTAGATCGACGTGGATTTGATGAATATCTTAAGGTAAAAAAAACATTAAAACATTTAGCAATTATATATATATATATATATATATATATATCTCATACCTATCTTGTTATCTTGGTTATAATTATTTAGATTTTAAGATCAAGTTCATCTATCACCAATCAAGTGGAAAATCAAATCAAAATGTACCTGAAAGACAAGAAAACCGATTTAGATCTCATTCGCAGTGTGGAAAATGTCAAACGACAAAGTGTGTGGAGGTAACATTTTGAAAAAGAATAAAAAAAAAAAATCAATAGTCGATCAAATGAGAAGTAATCACCTTTATATATATATATGTACCTTGTTATAGTCATTCCGATGATATTATTTTGTCAGCCCTCAAATCATTGAATGACGATCCTGAAATGTACTATACTGTGGTAGATACCTTATGGGAATTATTAAAACTTGGTCAAGACAAACTCGGTCAAGATAAAAGGTAGATACAAATTAAATAATGATTTAGACTAAAATGGTTTTTTTTTTTACCACTTGATTTTCTTCTAGTCTTGCCATGGATATTTGGAGCATTATCAAGACTTTGGCAACTACGATGACTTCTGTCAAATCAAACGGTAAATGGTCAAAAAAAAAAAGAGGATCTGGCAAGATCTAACAACTCTTTTTTCTTTTAATGATTTTAGGTGATTTCCAAACTCTAGTATTACAATTTCTGCAATCCACACAACCTATTGTTGGCAAGTTACCTATTGAAATGCTAATTGATGGAAAATGTATTGATGAGGATTCCGCTCCTGCTGCCATGATGGATGCTAGCAAGAAGACAACCAACTCTCTGGAAGACTTGGAAGGTTTACGTAATAAAGTGGAAGAACTCAAGGATACTTTACACTCTACTGAAGAATCACTGACCAAGATGCGGCGAGAAAAGAATGATCTTGCAATGAAGGTCAAGGAACGTGATAACAAGATTATATCAATGCAACAGGAACACCAAAGGGAGATGTCAACCGTTCAACATCAACTGAAACAACAGCAACAGCAACAGTATCAACAACAACAACAACAACTATTGTCGCCAAAATCTCCCACTACTCCTTCACAATTGTCAACTATTCCTTTACCACCACCGCCACCTCCTCCTCCTCCACCACCACCACCACTTCCTCCTTCAGTTGATCCATCATGTGTAGCCAGAAGAAGAAGTATGAGAAAACGAAGTTCTTCAAGATCCTCCAAGTATTTGCACCCATTAGCTCTGAATCTCTGTTTCCCTTCATTGAAGTCTCTACATGAAAACAACGTTACCTCACCTACAAGTCCAACATCTGCTTTGACATCATCTTCAACATTATCAACAGATATGACTATCCCCGGTATTCCTCCTCCACCTTTCCGCCCAATGGTTATGGATGATTCTTGCTTGCAACACATACCGACGATCACTATGAAAGTAAGAACAAAAAAAAAAAAGATGACAATAGTTGATTGGTTGATTTTACCTAAACAATTTTATTTTTGATGACAGCAATTCTTTTGGTCCAAGCTCCCTCAAGAACGTATCCGAAACACTGTTTGGAAAGAAATAGCACCCTCTGAACCTAACAGTAACGAGCTATCAATATCCACTACTTTCGACAACGAAGGGAACGAATCAACAGTACAAAAGAATGCAGCGGAACAAGGTGACGCAACCGTTGAATTGGATACTGTAGAATTGGAACGTTTATTCAAGAAAACGCAGGGCGTACGACAGTATTCAAATAGTCATCATCATGATACTCCATTGGATACACCAAAACTTCGAAAACAAAAACTGTTGACCTTGTTGGAATTCAATCGTGCGAACAATATTGGTAAAAAACAAGACCAGAGGAGAATTATATGATAATTTCTTTTTTTTTTTTAATGACTGATCTTTTTTTTTTTTTTTTTTTTGATGATCATGATCATAGCTATTATGCTTGCTCGTATCAAGTTGACGTACCCTGAAATCCGTGATGCCATTTGGAATATAGATGACAACCGACTGACCATTGACAATCTTATGGCCATCCGACAATATATTCCAACTAAAGAAGAAATCGAAATCATCCAAGAATACGATGGCGATCTTGATATGCTTGGCAATGCTGAACGATACTTTAAAGCGGTAAGTTTCAATCAAAGACGTAAAAGGCGTCACACTGTTGTCAAAAATGTATGACCCATTTTATTTTCATGAACTAATTGTTTCTTTACTTTATTCCAATAGATTATGTATATTCCTCGATTGGCTGATAGAATAGGTTGTATGATCTTCCGAAGGAAATTCCATTATGAACTCCAAGAAATATTGCCTGTAAGTTGTAATATATATATATATATAAAATATAAATATATATATATATATTTATATGGATAAGCATGGATCTCACGCGATGACTTTTTTTTTTAAAAAAAAATAACTTTGTTCTTATATTCAATTTGACTTTCTAGGAATTGGATATCTTACAGCAAGCCATTGATGAACTTCGCCATAGTCACAGATTTAAAAAAGTATTGAAAACAATTCTTGCTATTGGAAACTATTTGAATGGTCATACTATTCGAGGTAACGCTTATGGATTCCATTTGGATGCTCTGTTGAAGGTGATGATGACTTTTTTTTTTAAAAAAAAAAAAAAAACTCCCTATTTTTGCTATTAACCTGACGTTCTGGCATATCTTTCTTATATATATATAATAGATGCGGGATACCAAGGCTGAAGGTGAAGGTGTTAGCAATTTACCAACACTTCTTCATTATCTGGTCTACTTTTTATCCAAAACTGGTCAAGACGTGGTCGATTTCAAAGATGATGTGATTCATTTAGAAGCTGCGGCTAAACGTAGGTTTGAAAAATGATAATTGATTGATTGAATGAACTATTGATTATATGTCTTCATCCACTTCTATATTTTCTTAGTATCACCACCAGCGTTGTTTGCTTCGGTCAATACCCTTAGTGGAAATCTTTGTCAAATTAGAGATGAACTCAGCATGCACCAACGAAAACGAATGTCTGCTCTACAAATTGATCGATTTACGGAATCCATGGAGGTAAGAAAGTACAACATCTATGTTGAAAAAAAAAAAAAAAAAAAAAAAAAAAAAAAAACTAACTAACGAAAAAAAAAAAATGAACTCTTGTAGGAATTCTTGATTGAAGCCGAACCTATAGTTAACAATGTGAAGAATATGACAAGAAGAATTGAAGATGAATTGAAAGATTTGATCATGTATTATGGTGAAGACCCTGCCGTGGTGAAATCTGAAGACTTTTTCTCTATCATCTACACTTTCTCATCTTCTTTCGAAGTAAGCCTTAGTTATCTCTTATATCTATATATATTGACTTTTGATTTGATACATTATAGAAAGCCAAGGTAGAAATTCATGAAGCCAGAGAAAGAGCACTAAGAAGACAACGACAACAGCAGGAATTACTCAAGGTATATAAATAGATATAACATTATTTTAAGGGGGTATACTAATAGTTATCTTGTTTTGGTCTCATCGTGTAGAAGAAATCCATGGATTTATTAGCGTCTCCATCACTGTCAACATCATCTACACTGACTTATTCAAATCACAGTAGATCAACCTCATATGGGGACTTGGGTATTGCTGGAGAACGACCATCTACACCTAGTACCATTGCAACCATGACAACGACGACAAGTAGCCAATGTCCGAATGATAATGATGAAGGATTTGATCAAGTTTTAAGAGAATTACGTGCTGGATTGAAACATGGTGATCATTCATGGCGAGTGAAACAATTGAAGAAGAAAACTATTGACCATTGTGATGATCAAGTGCTCAAAGATCAAGTCACTCCTGATAGGACTGCCTCCCTGACCACTGTTATAGTTTGATGTTAGTTTATCATTTACTATTTTTATTCTTATTATTATTATTATTATTTCGAATGCTTTTGTTTATTCCAATACATCCTATTCGTATTTTCATAATAAACATTTTACTTTTACTATTATTATTATTATATATTATCATCATTATCAGATTTCAAGAAATGATAATTGATTTACTGATCCCTTTTTTTTTTTTTTTTTTTTTTTTTTTTTTTTTTTTTTTTTTTTTTTTTTTACTACTGCCAATTGAAGAAATACCCAGTAACTGTTTCTTTTTATATTACTGATTTCAAGGACAATAATATCCAATCAATAATAGATAATTATCAATTGGATATTATTATTATTATGATTATTATTAAGAAACCTGTTTGGTGGTTGATCATTAGCATAAAATATTATATATAAAAAAAAAAAAAAAATAATAATAATTTTATTTTCAATTTTTACTTTCATTTTTACTTCCCCTTTTATTTTCATACTATTTTTTTATTTCACTTATTCTTTTCGTTTTCATTTTCTTTTTCATATTTTATTTTTTTAACCTTAAATTTCAAATAGTATAAATACCCCACCTTTTTCCTTTATTTTTCTTTTTCTTTAGTTAATCATCAATATATTTTTTAAATAAATCTTTTCTTTTCATCCCTACTTGATTGTATTGTGGATTATCTATTTTGATTGGCTCACTTTGTTCTATATTTAAAGTCAGAACAATTTTACTCTACTTCTATTTTCCAAATTTGGAACAAGACTTTATTTTTCTTTACTTTACTTTTTGTTTTATTTTATTTCTTTTCTTATACGTGTGCTTGCGTAATCAAGTACTGGTGCTCACTAAACAACTTATTCTCTTTCAATCATCCGTTTTACTTTTTCAATTTTGAACCTACAAACCAAAAAATCACTTAACAAAAAAAAAAAAAAAAAAAAAAACAAACAAAAAAAAATGTTGAAGAAAAAAAAAAAAAAAAAAAAAAAAAAATTTTATTTATTTATTCTTTTCATATACCGATGATAGCATATAGGTCACATCCATATCACCTCCATATCACATTCATCTCATGTCAATACCACCTATATCCCTTTCATCTATATGATCACTATATCTTTCATCCTTTTTTAAAAAAAAGTATAAATACCCCATCTCCTTTCCCCTCTTCCTTTTTTTTTTTTAGTCAATAAATATTATATTTTTTGAAATATATCTTTTCTTTTCATCCCTACTTGATTGTATTGTGGATTATCTATTTTGATTGGCTCACTTTGTTCTATATTTAAAGTCAGAACAATTTTACTCTACTTCTATTTTCCAAATTTGGAACAAGACTTTATTTTTCTTTACTTCACTTTTCTTTTTTATTTTATCTCTTTATCTATACGTGTGCTTGCGTAACCAAGTACTGGTGCTCACTATAAACATTATTAACTTTCAATCATCCGTTTTACTTTTTCAATTTTGAACCTATAAACCAAAAAATTCCTCAACAAAAAGAAGGCCGATCGACAAAAAAGGAAACTCTATAAACTAGTGAAAAGAAGCAAAAAAGCAATCGCCCCCAGGTAGGCTCGAACTACCAACCTCCTGATTAACAGTCAGACGCGCTAGCCAATTGCGCCATGGAGGCGAAGTTGAAATTTGAACTGGTCTTCTCTAAATAAATCTAATTCTTAAAAATTCAGGCAAAACGGAATGAATCCGTATGATGAATGTAAGAGCCGGATGAAAGGAATGTGCAGTCTGACTTGACGGAGGGAGTAAGGAGTATTTTGGTCCATATGCTGGATTTAAAGCTCAAGGAGGCCACATAGATCTGATTCTTTCTTTTCTTACTCTTTCTTCCGCCTTTTTTTTTTTTTTTTTTTTTTTTTTTTTTTTTTTTTTAATAACCAATTAGTACATGACTTCCGAATATAACTCACAGCAATATACAACGTAGTCAGGACAATCCATTTACTCCAAAATACTATCATGAATGTTATGGTAGGTATAGCAACCTGCAACATTACACATACGTAGTAAGTAGACGATGATAAAAATACTAATTCGTGTGCTCACTTTATTTTATTTAATTCATACAAGGCGTGCCTTCAGTGAAAGGAATGGATTGACTTGATTGATGATAATGTGAAGAATAGAGGATTACAAGGTAAGTAGATACAGTGTTCTACAAGGGAAACAAAGAGATAAACTGATATGGTAGTTAATTCATTCTTCACCATTTATCTATATAATTGACCAAGGAATGTTCTTTGTTTCTCTATACAAACATGATTAATTAATTAACACGACAATTTTTTTTTTTTTTTTTTTTTTTTTTTTTTTTAGGACAGTTTCTACGGATCCCTCTTATTTGACTCAAAGTTTTGGTGGGACTCAGTGATACAAGTATGATTGGTACAGTAGTTAAATTTTATATAGGATCTCTAGAATGGTTTATTTACTAAAAATAATCTTTTCTTGTATTTTTATATTCACTCCCAATTTTATTTTCTCTTTACTGCCAGTTTGATTTTCCATTCATTCTTAATTTGATATTACCTTCACTCCCAATTTTTTTTTTCTTTGTCTCAATAAACTGTACAACGGAGTCTGAACATTACACGCGTGTGATAGACTGCAAAACAAAAAAAAAAAATCCTCTTGTTACTTTTTTTTTTTTAGTTTTTTTTTTCTTCCTTTTTTTTCTTTACTCCATATTCATTGATTTATAACTTTTACAATAACATGATGGCGGAAGAACATAATTGGAAGTTTGCTCAATGTTTTGGTGATAAAAGTGATTCAGACGATATTACAGAAGGTAAAAAACTGATGAAGACGATAACAAGACTACCTTGACGAATAAGAAAAGGATTATTATCTTCAAAGAATTGGAATATAGAAAAGAGAACTATGAACTTATTATTATTTATTTTTAGCGGATATCATTACGACTGTTGAATTCGACCAAACAGGGGATCTATTAGCAAGTGGTGATAAAGGTAAACTTTCTAAAAGAGAGAAAAAAGGCACTAAACTAGATCAGTTGACCTATTCCTTCTTGTCTCTCACGGGTTCTTTTTGATATATATATATATATATATTCTACTATTTATTACACGTAGGTGGTCGTGTTGTTTTATTTGAACGAAATAATACTGTAAGTTACATATATATAAAGAAGTGATAAAATAGATAGTATCAGTTAGGTTCACTAACTTTTTTTTTTTTTTGGGTATTTAGAAAAAAAGTTGTGAATACAAATTTTATACCGAGTTCCAGTCTCATGAAGCAGAATTTGATTATCTCAAGAGTTTGGAAATTGAAGAAAAAATCAACAAGATTAAATGGTGCAAAAGACAAAACTCGGCTCATTTTTTATTAACAACCAATGGTAAAAAAAGAATGATCATCGTTTGAAAAAAAAAAAAAGTTGATCTATTTCTTCTTTATAGATAAAACGATCAAATTATGGAAAGTATTTGAAAAATCTCTTCGAATGGTTGCTGAAAATATAATGTCACCGTCAAAAGTTCCTGCTGGTCAGATTTATATTCCAAAGTTGACCCATCGTGACACCATCATTGCCGCCGTTCCCCGAAAAATTTATGCCAATGGTTAAGTTGAAAATAATAAAAAAAAAAAGTATGAAATTTGTCAGATGACATGAATCATTCATCTCTCTCTCTTTTTATTATTATTATTATTATTATTAATACGACTATAGCCCATGCGTACCACATCAATTCGATCTCAACAAATTCTGATGGTGAAACATATATCTCGTCTGACGATTTACGCATCAATTTGTGGAATTTAGACATATCCGATCAAAGTTTTAGTAAAAAAAAAAAAAAAAAAAATTAAGACAAAACATAATAGAATATAATGAATCTTACCTTTTTTTATTTTTATTTTTTTAGATATTGTTGATGTCAAACCTGCCAATATGGAAGAATTGACAGAGGTGATTACTGCAGCAGAATTCCATCCTTATCATTGTAATACATTTATGTATAGTTCAAGCAAAGGATCCATCAAACTAGGCGATATGCGTGCATCAGCATTATGTGATCAACATGCTATTGGTAAGAAAACGACTGAAGATAAAAAAAAAAAAAAAAAGCGATATTGAATAACATCTTTTTTTTTTTTTTTTTTTTTTGGTTTTGTAGTATTCGAAGAAGCTGAAAATCCTGCAAATAGATCTTTCTTCTCAGAGATCATCTCATCCGTATCTGATGTCAAGTTTAGTCAAGATGGTCGGTATATCCTTTCTAGAGATTATCTTGGATTAAAGATTTGGGATATCAACATGAACTCAAAACCCGTACAAACCATTCAAATTCATGATCAATTACGCAACCGATTATGTGATTTATATGAAAATGACTGTATCTTTGATAAGTTTGAATGTACCTTTAGTGCAGATGGAAAGTAAGTGATGTATAAAAATGAAATAACATTATTCTAACGATCTTTTTTTTTTTTTTTTTTTTTTTTTAGCTCTGTATTATCTGGATCTTATAGTAATACTTTTCATATATTTGATCGTGAAGGAAAGACGGATATATCTTTACAAGCGGACAAAACTGCATTCAAAGCCAAACGACTAGGATCAACCAAACATAGGATGACTTCTTTAGGTGGTGGTGTCAGTAGTAGTACGAGTGGTATGAACTCTGACAATATGGATTTTAACAAGAAAATTTTACATGCATCCTGGCATCCAAGGGAAAACTCAATTGCTGTAGCTGCTACCAATAATCTATTCATTTTTACGTAAGTGATGAAAAATAAATAATAATGATAATAATAATGAAACCTTATGAACACTTATTATTCATTTTTATTTATATATAGAGAATAAATATACAAATCGATATTGTTTTCCACTGTGCGGTCCTGGTCTTCCTAGGTTGTAATTAGTTTCTACCTTTTTTTTTTTTTTTTTTTTTTTTTTGTATTCAAACATACCATTTATAGTTCTTTTTTTTTCATTTGTTTCTCCTCTTTCCATTTTTTTTTTTTTTTTGTTACCTTTTCAATGATGCATTTTTGTTCTTTTATTTTATTTTATTTTTCCAGAAAAAAGTGTTATTATGAATAAAAAAAAAACAAACAAACCAAATTTAAACTACTGCATTGTGTTCTTTTATTTTAGGATGATCAGGCATAAATAAAAGTGATTGTCAGGTAGAAAGTAAGACTTGTTATTCCGCCATTATACAGAAATATCCAATTAAAAGTGGATTCTTCTTATTAGTAACCTTTACTTTTTTTTTCTTTTTCACTAATGGGCATACATAAGACAACAAGAAGATATATATGAAAAAAAAGAGAATGAAAATAGATTAGTTTTTATATTATTGAATAAAAAAAAGTCGTTTTTAGTATCCTATTTGTATGTGCTCTATTTTTATTGGACCAATCCAACGTTTTTTTGGCGCACTTTGAATAGTCTTCAAATTTTAGAATATTTATTATACCTTTTTTCTTTTTCCTTTCCTTTTTTTTTTTTTTTTTTATTATATAACATTATATATATATATATATATATATATACATTTTGATACATTATGACTGGGCTGGAAGTCAGCAGCCAAAAGACTTTATTAAAAGCAACTATTCTTGGACTAATTGCCGCGGCTGCATTCTCTTCACGTCTTTTCAGTATTGTGCGTTATGAATCAGTCATCCACGAATTTGACCCTTGGTAAACAACTCACTTTATATCATCCTTGTTCATTCTTATCTTTAACTCTTTATTTCTTATTTTTATATATATATCTAGGTTCAACTATCGTGCCACGAAAATGTTAGTGAAGGACGGTATATACGAATTTTGGAATTGGTTTGACGATCGGTCCTGGTATCCTTTGGGACGCGTTGTAGGTGGAACAGTGTATCCTGGTCTGATGGTCACAGCAGCAGCTATTCACAATGTGCTTCATTATCTTCATTTCCCTGTCGATATTCGCAATGTATGTGTACTTCTCGCGCCCGTATTCTCAGGTGCTACCGCGTTTGCTACGTACTTGCTGACCAAGGAACTCAAAGATAGCTCGGCAGGTTTATTAGCAGCAGCATTTATTGGCATCGCACCAGGTTATATCTCTCGATCAGTAGCTGGATCATATGATAATGAAGCTATCGCCATCTTTTTACTTATGTTCACCTTTTATCTTTGGATCAAGGCCTTGAAATTGGGTTCTTCTATGTATGCTGCCTTCTCTGGTTTCTTTTACTTTTATATGGTCGCTGCTTGGGGTGGTTATGTCTTTATCATTAATATCATTCCTCTACATGTCTTTGTCCTTATGCTCATGGGTCGTTTTTCAAGTCGTGTTTATGTTGCCTATTCCACTTTTTATGTTTTGGGTACTTTGATGTCTATGCAAGTTCCTTTTGTTGGTTTCCAACCTACTCGTACCTCTGAACATATGGCTGCATTAGGTAAGTTTTTTTTTTTTTTTTTTTTTTTTTTTTTTTTTTTTATATATATTGGATTAACTAATTTCATTTATCTTATAGGTGTATTTGGACTTTGTCAAATTCTAGGTTTTGTTGAATTATTACGTGGTCATTTACAAGCCAAACAATTCCAAGTTTTACTTAAAACTATTGTGATCGGTACTTTTGTTTTGGGTTTCTCTGCTTTGGTGCTATTAACTATTGGTGGATATATTGCTCCATGGACAGGTCGTTTCTATTCTCTTTGGGATACTGGTTATGCAAAGATTCATATTCCTATTATTGCATCTGTGTCAGAACATCAACCTACTGCATGGCCTTCCTTCTTCTTTGATTTGGAAATGTTGATCTTTTTATTCCCTGCTGGTCTATACATGTGTTTCCAGAAATTACTTGATGAACATGTATTTGTGATTGTTTATAGTGTATTTGCCTCTTACTTTGCTGGTGTGATGGTGCGTTTAATGTTGACTTTGACTCCTGTTGTATGTATCTGTGCTGGTATTGCTGTATCTACTTTATTGGATACTTATCTCAACGTTTCTTCCACTACACAAACCACGACTCCCGAAAGCTCAACTGGAAAGGCATCAAAGAAAGGAAAACATCATCATCATCATCATCATCATCAAAACGAATCATCATCTACAACCCAATCAAGTGGTGGTATTGCCTCTATAAGTCGTGATTCTCGTGCATTGGTTGTCTTTAGTTTTACATTTTTCCTTATTGTGTTTGTGTGGCATTGTACATGGGTAACATCAAGTGCTTACTCAAGTCCTTCCATTGTTTTGGCATCACGCAATGCAGATGGCTCTCAACATATTATCGATGATTTCCGTGAAGCATACTATTGGTTACGCAAGAATACAAAGGAAGATGCCAAGATCATGTCATGGTGGGATTATGGATATCAAATTGCAGGTATGGCAGACCGACCAACATTAGTGGACAACAATACATGGAACAATACACATATTGCAACAGTAGGCCGAGCCATGTCATCTGGGGAAGATGATGCATATGAAATCATGCGACAACATGATGTTGATTATGTTTTGGTCATTTTTGGTGGATTACTGGGCTATTCTGGTGATGATATCAACAAATATCTGTGGATGATTCGTATTGCTGAAGGAGTATGGCCTGATAAGATCAAGGAATCCAACTATTTCACGCCATCAGGGGATTATCGTGTCGATGATCAAGCATCTCCTGCCATGCGTGATTCTTTGATGTATAAGATGAGTTACTACAGATTCAACGAACTATTTGGTGGTCAACCTCCCATGGATCGCGTACGACGTCAACATTTACCTGTCAAGGGACCCGAACTCTCTGTACTAGAAGAAGCTTATACCTCAGAAAACTGGATTGTGCGTATCTACAAGGTCAAGGATTTGGATCCTCTAGGTCGACATCATAAGGCTGCTGCGGATTTCGAAGCTGGCAAGAAGAAAAAGAAGAAGACTTTAAGCAAGAAAAGTCGTGATCGTCGAAGACGTGCAATGGAAGATTTAGATTAGAATTAAAAAAAAAAAAGAAGGACATATCATTATTCTCTTCCCTTTAGGATATTTATAGTTTTAGCTGTTATTCGAATAAAATCAGAATTCTTTTTTTTTTTATATATATACCGAAAATGGCATTTTATTTATTCTATGAAAAAAAAAAAAAAAAAAAAAAAAAAACAACGTATGGCTATTGGAATGAGTTAGTTTTCAAAAAGGTATCATTTCACTATCAATATCCGGAGACACTATCATTTTTTTTTTTTTTTTTTGAATTGAGATCTGTGATATGAATAAAGCGAAGAGTGGTATATACATGTTTTACTCGTAGCGGTTTTATGGAGTGATTGAAGGTTTAAAACTTCAAATTGGGATTGGAAGGTTTCTTTTTAGAGTAGGTGACCTTTTGTCTGCGGTTTTCTACGGATCATCGACCTCTTTTTTTTTTTTTTTTTTTTTTGATCCACTAGGATCAATCATAGATAATACATTCATCTTTTGTTAATGGTTGTTCATACGGTATGATGATAGATTTTAAGCTTAAAAAATGAGATTTGAAGGATGATGATAGGGCTCTAGATTCACTTTCCTGAAAATGGTGTCTACAAAAGTCAGGGTTATGCAATTATTTCAACAAATCGATGAAATCTTTTGATGCTTTCTATGCAGCGAGGTATGCGATAAAATGGGAGATATTAGATCACTTTTTTTGAGAGGAAGTTAATGATGATAGTTTTTATTGGGATCATTATTGAATGGAAATTGACGAAACTGATATTTCATTTTTACTCTATAAAGAGATATAAATTATTATCAAATAAAAGAGAATGACTTTGTGTATTTGGTGCAATCATTATTGAGTGAGTTGCAACTACTAAAAGGCTCTGGTCAAAAAAAGAAAAAAAAAAAGACAAGCTACTCTAAAGAAGTCATTGGTCGTTACAACAGTTTTTTTTTTTTTTTTTTTTTTTTCATCAACTACTTCTCACCTTATCATCCATGACAAACACTATTAAAAAAAAAAAAAAAGAAAGAAAGAAGGTGAAGTACTTAATGCTCTACATCTCTCTAAACAGTTACACACACTAAAATAAAAATAAAATAAAATATATTGAAATTTTTTTTTTTTTATTAAAAATCATCATAAATAAATATACATCGGATCTATCAATCTATTTGTCCAAACTATGCATTCTTGGGAGTGATGTTGGGGACGATAGCGTGATCTGACCAGCAGTTGTATCCATGGAAGATGTAGAAGAGGTGGCAGTGGGTGCATCCGATATTGAGTGATCTTCTTTTTGTTGTTTTCGTCTTTCTTGAGCCAGTTTTCGTGCTGAAGGTGATACCACAGTACCATCAGGATGGAACCAAAATTCAGATAAAAATTTATTTTTCAATTCTTCCACCAATCGAGATTTTCCAGTATCTTCTTCTTCTTCTTCTTCTTCTTCATCCCAAGTCACCGTGTCATCCCATTTTCCTAGATGTAGTCCTCCAATGAATTCATCCCATTCGCTATTGGTAAATGTCAAATGTAGCTTGGATCCACTGAGTTCCTTTGTCATCAACAAGACACCTTGCCCCACTACTTTGGTCAATAGCACCATACGTTCACCTACTACAATATTGCGTCGAAAAGCTGCCCAGTTGGTTTCAGTCAATAGAGGTTCCAACCAACCACGGTATGCCTTCATGTTCATGTTTCGATCCCGATCTCGATCTCGTTCTGACATGGCAGAGACACTAGCTGCATGATTGGATGGTGGTGAAGGAATAGCCAAAGGATCGTATTCATCATCATCGTCATCATTATTGTCACCTCTAGGGAGATTTCGAATCTTGACCACTTCTTGAGGAAATAGAGTTGCAAATACCTTTTGGAATTGAATAAAGGCTAGATACAGTCGATAATAATCAATGTTGTAGTAAATACCGTTTTGATTCATACCATTATCTAGATGTGGTTTCATATTGGAATGGAAGGTAAGGATCCGTAATGCTGGTTCCAATAATTCAGCTGCATCTTCAGGTGTCATGGAAGCTAGTTGGAGTGATGATGGAGGTTCTGCTTGTTCAATGGCTAATGTAATATCTGGAGCAAGTCGTATTGATTTTTGTTCCAAATCTGCTAATGTAATACTTCGCATCCGCTGAATAATATCATCCCCTATTTATTACAAAAAAAAAAAAAAAAAAAAAAAAGATATTAATTCAAACACTATTTTTATTTATTTCAACTTACGTCGTTGTTCAAATTCACCATGACGATGAGGAATCTTTGGTTTCTTGGTAGGAGCAGGTAAAGTAGTCAACACATAAGGATTATCCGAATCAGAACATTGACGCCGTCGTTTCCGTAAGAGAGATGCTTGAGTCAAAACACCTTGTTCTGCAAATCGTCGCAAGAGAGGAGGTTCACGCTCTATCCGACCATACTGATAATAAAATCCACGTTGTCTTGGTTCCATCACTTGGTTCGAAGATGGATCAGGTTGGATTCGGGTACTTGTCATTGGACCATGAAGCATAGAGTTGAGTGGTTGATATTCTTCGTTGTATGTCAAATGTTTTGATGGTGGTGAAGATGATGAGTTGGTACCTGATGGTATGACTGTGGAAACATCATCGTTGATATGTTGTTGGGTATATTCCACAGGAGGATGTCGTTCATCCAATCGAATAGAAGATGATGAATGAGAAGATAAGTTCGTCGAATATAATGTTCTGAATTGAGTATAAGGTCGTACACCAGAAGTCTGATCAGAATTCATAATCACATCGTTTTGTAATGATGGTGGTGGTGTATGATCCAGTAGTGATACACTTGGTGAAGACAGTGGTACTGTTGACCCATTGGATGTTGAATGTTGTAAAGGATGAGTGTTTGTGATATTATCAAGAACATCGGCTTGTCCTGTGAGTGATGATGTTCGTTGCTGTACATCAGAAGAAGGTAAAGTGCTGGAAGTCGTTGTTGGAGAAGAACGAGTCAAATAAGAAACAGAAAGTTGTTTCGGATAAGTTGTACCATTGTTACCTAGGTCCTTCCATCGTTGTCCCATGGTGTATATTTCGTTTTGTGTAGTTGAGGTCGAATGAGATGGTGGAGGAGTTGGGCATAGATCACAACAACTTGGACTGTGATTCACACGAACGGCACCAAGAGAAGCACCAGGGTTGAGATCGTCCCTAAAGATAATGGTATCATCATGTGCAGGTCGATAAAACTTGACTAAATCACCTAAAGAATAAGAAATACAGAATAGTAACTTGGCAATGCGTTCAGTATCAGGACGTCGGCGTATGATTTGCTTGATAATACGAAAGAGATCTAATAGTTCTTCATCACCAAGTATGTCTTCGGCTTGTGGTTGGAATAATCGAGTTTCAGGTTTTGGTCGAAGTAGACAGCTTAACGTTGGTCGAGTGTCCATAATGTACTATTCATGTATACAATAATAATAATAATAATAAAGGGAATGAGAAAAAGAAAGAAAGAAAAGGGAATTCACACACACTCTGAAGTCAAGTAGATTTTTCCAAATTCCGCCAAAATCAGTAAAAAGATAATTTCAATGATTGGCCATTGGTAAACACTAATGATACCAGGAACAGAACTTACTGCTTTACTTATTTTGGAGTGGAATCTTCTCTGATAAGGAACCATTCAATTATTGATAACAATATCATTTTTATATACTTATCACTATCAATGATAAACATAATATATATTAAAATATTTCTACAATGAATATTGTCTACAGTGATCCAATTTTTTTTTTTATGAGAATCATCAGCGGAGTATAAAGTCAGGATCCTCACTTTTTATGTTGTCTTCCCAAAGTTTTTTTTTTTTTTTTTCTTCTTCTGAGTGTCCCTCACTTCGTTTCTTTCGGTCTGGGTCAATAAACGACAAAGACAATGTCATATACTGGTCCTGCAGGTAAATTACAATTAGATGATAAAAAAAAAATACATGCTGAATAGTATTCACAAATATTTCTTTTTATTAGGCTTTTACAATGCGCCTGTCACCAAACTTCTTGTTGTCTCAATAGGTGTTCTATCTATACTGGGATCCATATTGAAGCTGAAGCCTTATTATCAATTACAACTTTTCCCACACATCACTATCCATCATCAAGTAAACAAGAAAATATATACTTTAAAAAAAAAAAGACGTAATAGACACATATATACTTAAATTCACTTTTATATAGTTTTGGCGACTGATCACTTGCCAAATTCCTTTTACCAGTTCGGGAGATGTCTTCTTTGGTACAATGATTATATATTCAATGCGGATTATAGAACGTCAATTTGGTACTTCGAAATATGTGGTACGTTTTTTTTTTTTTTTAAACACTAAACATGGTTCGTTCAATTGTTTTATTTAATATATTTTTTTTTATTACTGTAGGCTTTTGTATTTGTAACCATATGTTTGGCGACTCTACTGGAGATTGGCGCTTTGGTGACAGGCATCAAGTTGGGATTTAGATACGTCCCTGGTGGACCGTACGTAAACTCAAAGGAAATGTAAACATATCTAAAAGACTCTTTTTTGTTTCCATAGGTACGCTCTATTATTTGCCATGCTTTATCAATATCATCGAATGGTACCAGGATTATATCGCTTTCGGATATTCAACATAACGTTTAACAACAAGATATTTCTATATATGCTATGTTTTCAGGTATGTATCCATGGACGAGAGGTTATGATCAAGTGACTTATACTATTTTTTTTTTTTTTAGATCTTTATCTCTCAAGGTGTGAATACTATAGTACCATGTGTATGTGGATTATTGGCCGGTGCGTTTTATAGATCTGATGTTGGAGGGATCAAGCAATGGCGATTCTCGGATCGATTACAATCATTCAGTTCACGTTATCTACAACCTTTGTTAGCGACTCCTCCAGTTCCTAGGTCCAACAATGCATTACCAATACGAAGACCCATCATAGCCATTGGTATGGAAGGCCTTGTTGCTACAGCTACTGGCATCGGCATCAACAATAATGACAATAACAGACGTAGACGATCAGCAGATAATACCATGTCAGCCACTTCCACTAGTATGGGCGATGATGATGATGACGCTCTATCTATCAATACAGATACCTCGATAGCCTCGAATGAAATAAGAAGAAATACTGGTAATAGGGTAGCAGGACCATCGACTTCCATGCGGGATTATTTAGATGCACTTACTGGACGAACACCATTAACAAGCAGTGAAATTGAACCACCATTACCGGAACATCTGATTGTATTGTCTTCCATGTTTCCCGATCATCCAAGAGAAACCATCACCAATGCCTTGTCGGCTGCTCACAATAATATCAACCGTGCTGTAGAAATCATGCTTCATACCCCTGCCCCTAGTAGTAGTATTAGTATTAGTAGTAGTAGTCATCCATGATTTTATATATCATCATTTTGTATAGAAAAAGTTACTTAAAAATATATATACTGTTTCTTTTGTAGACTTTATTGTAAAATATAAAAACCTTTTAAACCATCATGACTAAACTATATAGAAGACTATTTGTATTGAATAAAATCATCCTTAAAATTACTGTTGCGTAGAGTCCAATAGAAAGATGTCACCGTACTTGACCATAGAGAGAAAATCTAAACCAAGAGAAAAAAAGAAAAAAAAAATAGTTATTATTAAGACAATAAATAGCTCACTTTTTTTTTTTTTTTTTTTTTTTTTTACCTCTCCTCTACTATCCTTGTACCATGAATTACACTTGGTAGCCCATACAGTTTTTCCTAAAGTGTTCTTCAATTGGGATACAAAATCATTTTGGGCCTTTTCAGTAGGTTCAATTGCCTTGACATCCTTTCCTAATTGTTTCAAACCTCGGATAGCAGCATCGATTTGACTGAAAATAAATAAAGGAATGAGTTTTTAATGTATGAAATAAGATTTTATCCACTTACATTTCAGCCATGGCTACCACTGAATTATGACCAAGAAGTGAGGCTACAAAAGTATACAATTTAGCATTTCTTTTTTCAAGATTATATCATCTTTTTTTTTTTTGTCTTACCTGGACTATTTTCATATAAAGTGGGTCATCACCAAAAAAAAAAAAAAAAAAAAAAAAAAAATCAGTCTCATATGATCATCAAAGATAACAAATTAACTTACCCAAGTAACATGAAGAAATTTGGAAATCCATGAATAGCAATTGATTTATATGTGGCGGTATAATTTTCTTCCCAAAGTTTATTCAAGTTTTTACCATCTCGACCATTGACTATTGAATAAGAATAAAAAAATCAATGTCTAAAAAGAATATATATATATATATATATATATTTTTTTACCTTCCAAATTTCCAAGGTAACCTTGAGCATCATACCCAGTGGCCAAAATCAACACATCACATTCGAATTCATTTCCATCTTTAGTAGTAATGGTACGACCTTGAACAGAAGCAATACCTGATCTTTCCACCACGACGTTTTTCTCTGCCAAGGCTTCTAAATAAGTTTCAGAAGGAGTGATACGAAGACATCCAAGTTCATAGTCCGGAATCAACTTCTCCACCAGATCGGGTCTTCCTTTGTCGGTCAATCGTTTTGTCATTTCATTGATGGCTGCTTTTCGAATCGCTCTGCCGACAAATGTATTGAAAAGTCTAAAATTGAGATAAAACAATTCCAACTTTTTTTGAAATCATGAGTCCCTTTTTTCCTGTTTATTTTTTCTTTTTTTTTACTTTTTTTTTTTTTTTTTTTTTTTACTTACTCCAAGAAAGATGGTGTATCGATAAAACTTCATTAAAAAAGGGACCCATCTGAAAAGGAATTTGGTAAGACGAGAATATTTGTATTGTCCTCTCACAAGACACCATGTTGGATTACGTTGATAAGATGTTAATTGAGATACAATGGGTTGGATTTTGGGAATCAATTGTACAGCACTATTAAAATGATAAAAAGATCAATAAAATCAAATGTTTTATCATCATTCATTACCTTGCACCACTTCCAATCACAGCAACTCGTTTATCGGTGAGATCCACAGAATTATCCCAAAAGGCCGTATGAATGATCTTGCCTTCAAATGATTTGAATTCTTCAGGGTATCTTGGAATACGAAGAGGTCCCAATCCAGCAAAACTATCATTCAAAAAAGAAAAAAAAAGAAATGAATATATATAAAAAAAAGTAAAATCATATGTAAACTTACACAACATCAAAATAAGAGATTTGAACATTAGAAGAACCTACTTCTCTTAATGACAGTTCCCACTGTTTTCTTTCTTGTATCCAATTGGCACGTACCACCTCAGTATTGAAGATGGTTTGGTCGTACAAGTTGAATTGTTTTGCCACTCCACGCATGTATTCTAGAATTTCAGCTTGAGGAGAGAATCGATGTGACCAATCTAAGAATAATAATTATTATAAAAAAGATCAGTTAATATTTTTTTTTATAGTCCTATTTGATGTAACCTTACCTGGATTAGGTGCAAAAGATAAACTATACAAATGAGAAGGAACATCACAAGCACAACCAGGATAAAAATTATGTTTCCAAGTGCCTCCAATATCATCAGATGATTCAAAAATGGTAGCCTTAATACCAAGTTGTTTCTGTACTTGAACAGCTGCAGCAATACCACTGAACCTATAAAAAATAATCATCAGAAAATAAAGTCATATCTTTTTTTTGTTTTGTTTTAGTACCCTGAACCAATAATAGCAACACTAAGTGAAGAAGACATGTTGTGATTATACAAAAAAAAAAAAAAGAAAAGAAAAGAAAAGAAGAATAAGAAGAAAAAGATCTACTCCACTTATTTAAGAGTACTCGAAAAATCAAAAGACCGATTCCCTTTTTCAGAAGAAAAACTTTCATGTCAACTATTACAGGCGGATCACTAACTTTATTTCATCAATGGGAATATGAGTGAGAGAATTGTCCTGACTAATGCCGACTTTTTTTTTTTTTTTTGAAACAAAAATATCATCATCATTATTATTATTTTCTTTATGAACTATCCAATGCAACCTCACTATAGGACAAATCTCGGATAAATGAATTATGCCGTGATGATCCCTCTGTATGTTTTTTTGAAATAAATAAAAAAAAAATTATTTATTATAAAATAAGGCACTACAATATAAAATCATCTATACTAGTATTTCGTAATGTCCACCAAAATGAGGTCACTGTACCAGACCAAAGAGATGAAGACTATAATCAAATTGATAGTTAGATGGATTAAAATAAATAAAAGCATTCATTCCACTTACACCTCCTTTCCCATCTTGATACCAAGAATGACAACCACCAGAAAGCCATACTGTTGATTTGAGATTATTGTGAAGATTCAAAGTGAATTTTTCTTGAGCATCTTGTTTAGGTTCAATATAATCTAAATGATAACGTAACATTTTCTTGATACAATCGATCGCAAAATTGACTTGACTATATATATATATCAAAATAATAATAATAATAATTAATTAATTATTGATCAGGATAAATCATTTAAAAGACTTTACGATTCAATCATTGCCACTACAGTATTATGACCTAGACCAGTACCAGGACCAAGCATCATGAAAAAGTTGGGATAACCATGCATTGTCACTGTCTTGTATGTCTTGGGAGAGTCTTGTTTCCAAAGTGTTTTCAAAGAAATACCATTTCTACCAATGATATCCAGATGACCAAATTGATCATGCACATTGAATCCAGTTGCCAGTACAAGGACATCCACCTCATAAGATTGTTGTACTCCATTACTAGTTGTTACCCATAATGTGTTTCCATCCACTTTTTCCACTGCTGATCCCACTACTGTCACGTTGTCTTTGGCAATGTATTCATAGTAATCTTCAGATTGACAAATACGTTTACATCCAACAGCATACTATAATAAATGAAATTCGTTAGTATATTCTTGCTCCTTTTTTTTTTTTTTTTTTGCCTTACATTAGGAAGTAGAAGAGGAATGAGATCAGGTCTACCGACGTCTGTCAATCGTTTCGTAATAGAATGAGTAAATAACCGTCTGACTCTTTTGGCAAAAGAAGAACGAGGATATTTGAAATTAAAAATACGAAATTCACGAATCAAATACAAGAACCATCGATAGAACCGCATCAGAAAAGGAATATAACGAAGGCATGTCATGAGTAATTTGCTGTATTTGAATTGAGACCGAGGTGCAATCCATCCAGGAGTTCGTTGAAAATTATAAAGACGAGTTGCTTTTTTCTGTAAATACGGCATGACTTGAACAGCACTATCCAAAAAAAAAGAGGCATGAATACTTTTCTAAAAAAAAAAAAATCATACGAATATGATTTACCTAGCACCATTTCCAACAAGAGCCACACGTTTATTTTCTAATTCAACGGTATCATCCCAAAGGGCTGTATGCATTGTTGGTCCTGTAAATCCTTTCAATTGATCTGGTATTTTTGGAATCCGTAATCCACCAACACCGCTGAATCTATATATGACATATCATCAATTCCAATAAAAACCTTACTTTCTTTCTTTCTTTTTTTTTTTTTTTTTTTTTTTAACTTACAAAAAATGATAGTATTTGGATTGGATTTGATCAGGAGTATCTTGATGACAATAATCCACTTTCCATTGAGATCGATCTTGACACCATTCAGCCTTCAAAACACTAGTATTCAACTTTGTGTTCTTGTATAAATCATATTTTCTAGCTACTTGACGTAAATAAGCATAGATTTCACTTTGACTTGCATAGTGTTCCGTCCAATCTACAAAAAAAAATGAGACTTTTTTTATTGACAACAATACCTTTTTTTAACTTACTTGGATTGAGTTCAAAACTAAAACTATATAAATGAGAAGGAATATCACAAGCACAACCTAATTATATACATGTCAATAGATTAGTTTTTATATATATGTCATACTATAAAATATTTTTACCAGGATAAGTATTTGCGTGCCAAGTACCACCTATTTCGGACGCTTGTTCTATAAAATAAAAGACATAAGGTTAATATTTTTCGTCAAGTTTATAATGAACTTTTTACCAATAATATCAGCAACTATGCCTAGTTGTTTATAAAGTTGAATTGCTGAGCAAATGCCACTGAATCTATTCAAAAAAAAAAAAAAAATAGTGTCAAGAGTTAGTATTCTTTCTATCTATTTTATTTCTTGCTACAAACCCCGCGCCAATCACAAGTGCAGTCAAGTCTTCTTGTACAGGATAAACCATAAAAAAAAAAAAAGATAAAGGGAAAGAAGGAAAGAAAGAAAGAGAGAAAAAAAAAAAAAAAGAAGGCGGGTAAATAAATAGAGAGAAGAAAAAAGAATCAGGGGGAAAGGACTACAGATTCAATGCCTATTTGGGATCATCCTTTTCGTTGTCATTGTTTTTGAAATGAACTCATGATATTTCCCACGTTTTCCCGTACATCATCTTTTTTATTCCAAATTTTAACAAAGATTTATTATTTATTGGTCAGCATTGATTCTCTTCTTCCATATTCTGTAAAAAGACAATAATTATTTACGAAATAAAAAAGAGTTTGTTTATTGTATAATATGCAATATATAGAACTAACTAAAAATAAGATTTTTTTTTCCTCATTTAGCTAATTCATTGAGATAATATGTAAAGTGATAATATGCAAAGATAATATAATATGATAAAAATAACAAATGACATTAAATGAATTCACGACCTTCAACCATCAATTGTGGAGGTGCTTTGACAAGATCAGTAATCTATGATAAAATAAGAATGTTAATATATAAATCAATAAATAAAAAAAAAGAGTTATGTAAAGTAAAAGTTACCTGATTACAACCCCACACCTTAATATGTTGGAGAGATTGGCATGATCGAATCAATTTGGTTAGAACATAATCATCCATAGAACGTACAAAGCTAGTATCCAAATACGTCAAAGAGGTACAAGCCAAAGAACTAGTTGGAGGAGATTTTGTTTTCTTCGTTGTAGAGTATGCATTGTTGTTGTCATCATCCGTGTTTTCCCCAGCAATGCTTTCCAAGGCAGAGACTGATAATTTGTGCAAACTGTGAATATCCAAATGAAGCAGAGATTTTCCTGAATGTGCTAGTAAGTGTTTCAATGCATCATCATCAAACTGTGTACATCGAGCAATCGTCACATGTCGTAATCCCATTCTAGGTTGATGATGATATGCCAAAGGTCCCACTTTCCATTCTTCCGAGAATAAGGTCTTGAACCCATCTGAAGTCATCTTGTCGCTACCATCCAATTCTAACTTTTCCAATTGAGAACAATGAGCTAAGATACCGTCCACTAACATTTTATCCGTCATATCCGTACAACCACGTAGCGTAAGTTCCTTGAGAGTTTTGCCATTAATAGAAAGGACTTTGATAAGAGGTGTATCTGTCAATTTGTAGGGTCGATTAGGTTCAGTAGAAGGCCATGACAATTCTAAACTTTCCAATGTGTTAATACCACTTTCCGCAAGCATCTCCAACCAATCATCATCTAGTGTCACAATGCGAGAAAGTCGTAGATGTTGTAATTTGTTGCAATGAGTCACTAATGCTTTGAAACTATCCTTTTGGAATCGATTGCTATGTCGTAGGCTGAATGAATGTAGTCGACTACCAATTGTTTTGAAAAACTTGATCCATTGTTGTTCAGTAATAAGATGACATCCAGATAATGCGAGTGAAGTCAATTGCTGTAGATGACTGCCATAGAGTTCAAGTACGTCATTCGTCATTCGTCCACAGTAATAGAGACGTAAAGTGCGTAGATTGGGACAAAAGTGAGCAACATTTTTCAATCCATCTACATCCAAATCTAAGAAAAATAAATATATTTTGATGAATTAGTGTGATTTTCTTCTTTCATCTTTTTTTTTTTGTTACTTACTAGTACAATCATAAAGACGTAATTCTCTAATAAAAGGTTGCATAAAGAGTCGTGCAGTATGATTTGTCAATAATCGATTTCGACAAATGATTTTGGCAATTTTGTCCATATTAATAAAACTAAGATCGCCAAGTGCTTCTACATCACTGATATGATCTGTAATAATCTAAATATAAAAATTAAAAAAAAAAGTCAGAAAGTATTAGAATGATATTTTGATGATGATCCCATTTTACAAAAAAAAAAAAAAAAAAAAAAAAAGAAAAAAGAAAAAGAAAGGACAACTTTACATTGATACAAATATCTTGAAGTGAATTGACAACAGGAGTAGATTGGACACCCATCATAAACCAAGGTTTTTTATTTCCACCAGATGTATGAGAGATCACACGTCTTTTCTTTGCTGGCTGTTTTCCCTTTGATAAATTTCCAGAGAGACAATCAGGACATAAAGTTTCTTCAGATGGATCGGATCGAGGACGAACAAATCGGCATTTGCATTTGGAACAAAATAAGACACGAATTCTTCCAGGAGTGGCGCGTGAAGAAGGTCCAGGTTCAACAAAATCACTATCATCACTATAATCAGAGTCATCGTCGGCTGGTCGTTTTTTCTTGCCTTTGGATTTCTTGTTCTCATTAGCAATTTCAATAATCGCTTTTTCTTTAGCATTTCTAGTCCTTCTTCTTGGTGTATAAAGAATACTTTCAGTTGTTTCAGTAGTAGTAGTAGTAACGGGGGAAGAAGAACTTGCTGCGGAATCATTCGTGGCGTTTTCTTCTTGAGCTTGTTGTTCTCTTTCTCTTTGTTGTCGTCTTCGTTCTGCCATTTGAGCTCGACTACGGTTTTCTACTTGAATACCATGTTCCTATTTTTTTGATAATATAAAGAAAAAAAAAATAATGATCAATTCTAATTCTTATCATTGCATCTAAAAATAAAAAAAAAAAAAATACGTACACGTAAAAAACTTGTTAAGGCCGAAGTAGGACCCCGGATACGGTTACGATTGTTAGCTTGGTTTGTAGGTTGGTTGACATTGGATTGGTTGGGATTAGAAGACATTTCCAGAAAAAAAAAAAGAAAACCAAGAGAGAACCAAGATGACAGACGTCTAACAAAAGTAATTAGGGTATGAAAGAAAAAAGAAAAAAAAAAAAAGGGCGGGAAATCAAACGGCTTAATATATTTTTTTTTCTATAGAATTTTTTAAGCCAATAAGATAAATTCATTTATTTTATTTGATTGGTTTGAATCCAAGAATTTTGTCTTGATTTCCACAAGTCAAATTTGAACCATTTAGATTAAATTATATCTTTGACTTGATCAAAGAAAAGAGAATATTAACTACTAATGGTATTTTACTTTTATGCCGAATAAGACATCTTCAAAATCTACTTTTCCCGAATTCAAGTCTGTGTAACCCATTATTGAATAATTAAATGTTTGCCATCAAAAAACTTGTCTTTTTTTTTTTATTCTCTCTTTCTTTTATTTTTATAAACAACAAAATGTCAAGAGAAAAGAAAACTGTAGCCATTATTGGATCAGGGTAAATAAAATAAAGAATAATTATGAATGATTATTAATATATTATGATTTATAGATTTAGTGGTTTATGTGCTGCTATTCGTGTTAAACAAGAATTGGGAATTAGAGCTACTGTATTTGAACTTTCTGGTAAAAAAAAAAAAAAAAAAGAAAAGAAAAATCATCATCATTAAAATAATAATATTTTATATAGATAATGTTGGAGGAACATGGCATGTTAATACTTATCCTGGATGTGCTTGTGATATTCCTGTGTAAGATTTTTCATTCTATTTGCTTTCATCATTATTCATACTTATTATTATTATTATTATTATTTTCAATAGTCATTTGTATTCTTTTAGTTTTGAACTTAATTCAGGTAAAAAAGTCTCCAGGAACCAAATCACCATCGGAATTTGAATCATATCCATATATAAAAAAGATATAAATTCGTCTCTAATATCTTTTCTTTTTTTTTTTTTTTTTTTTTTAGAATGGTCTCAAAAATATAGTCCTCAAGCAGAAATTCATGAATATTTAGTACGTGTAGTAGATAAATATCGACTTCGTAGTCAAATCAAACTCAATACAGAAGTCATCTCTGCAACTTGGTGTGAAGACTTACTACAATGGAAAGTGGAATATCGACATAAAGAAGACCCTCCTGAAACAAAATATTTTGATATTGTGTAATTTCACTTTCAATATATATATATATATATATATATATATATATATATGATAACTTATTATTATTATTTAAAGTTTTGCTGGTTTAGGTTCTCTTAGAATACCAAAAATACCAAAACAATTTACAAAGTTTGAAGGTCCAACTGTTCATAGTGCTAAATGGGATCCTACTATTGATTATTCCAACAAACGTATTGGTATCGTTGGTACTGGTGCAAGGTAAAAAAAAAAAAAAAAAAAAAATAGAATCAAAAACGAAATTCAATAGTATTAAAACTTTTTTCTTTTTTAATATATATGTAGTGCTATTCAATTGACTCCTGAATTACAAAAGATTGCTACCAATTTAGTCGTATTTCAACGTACTCCTCCATGGATATTCCCAAAAGCTCAATTCAATTATTCCAAATTAGTACAATTCATCTTTCGGTATTTTCCCTTTATCATGCGTCTATACAGATGGTATTTGTTCCTTGGTGTAAGTGAAAATGGTTTAATAAAAATAAAAAAAAAATATTGATCTTTTTTTTTATAACATATAGCATGAATGGTTTTACTATGGTTTCCGTGATAACAATGGTATTCTTGCAAAATTAGGTCTACGTTATTTCAGACGCATTACTGCCGAAACCTTAACAAAAGCTGGGAGACCTGATCTTATTCCTATCATGACTCCAAATTATGCACCTGGTTGTAAGGTAAACTTAGAATTAAAAAAAAAAGGACTCGATATATGATTTTAATATGATTCCAATAGAGAATTGTTCGTTCTGATGATTATCTTCAAACAATGGCCAAATCCAATGTGAACGTCGTCACTTCTCCTATTGGTAATATTCAAGGAAATACCATTTATACTAAGGATGGTCAAGCTTATGAATTGGATATTCTTGTTTTGGCTACTGGTTTCGAAATTGGGAAATTTGGTGGAAATATCAAACGTAACAAAAAAAAAAAAATTTAAAAAAAAATTAAAAAGGAATCATACAAAAACTTATATTCTTTTTATATCTCTCTGTTTTATGATCAATTATAGTCTATGGAAGGAATAATATGGATTTGACTAGTTATTGGAGAAATCATCCACCAAGAACATTCAAATCGACTCTAGTGAATGATTTCCCTAATATGTTTATTCTTTTTGGTCCTGGTACTGGTTTAGGTCATAACTCGGCTATTGGCATTATTGAAAGGTAAAGCAATTTTTCTTTTTATGTGATGCTATGCTGGTCATACTCATTTTTTTTTTAAAAAAAAATAGTCAAGTGGAATATGGTATCAAAATGATAAAGTATATGATGGATCATCGATTGGATGCAATGGACCCTACTAGAAGTGCACAAAAGGTATACTCGACAAGACTTGTGGCCAGTTTCAAGGATTCAGTGTGGCAATCTGGATGCAGGTCTTTCTACAAAAGTATAGATGGTAATATTTACTCTCTTTGGAGTGGAACAGTCATGTCCTTCTGGCGTGAATTGAAGAATACAGGTTTCGACACAAGCTTCAATTATTATCGAAAGGCTTTACCACCTGTGGAATATTCTGGTGAAATAGGCAAAACGAAGTTATAATGATTTTGGTAATAAACCTTTTGGTATTGGTCTGATTAGTAGCCGTAGTCTTTTAGGAATAGTATTAGCAGTAGTGGTAGTAGTAGTGATAATCTTTTTTTTTTATGCTTATTGACAATAATGTATCTTTAAAGTCTGCTTGTCATTTTCACTTTTAATCAATAAACAATCTATCACATTTTTTTTTTTTTTTTTGGAATCAAGTATGTCAATGATGAGTGAAATATGAAACTTTCAGTATCTAGATGGGTATACAGAAAATGAAAATATATTCGATTTGGTAGTAGGGTCAACTCTTCTGTTGAAGTACATCTAGTGAGACACATTGACTTCCGCTAACCTGTTCAACTTCCTATCGAATAATCCAATCAGAAGTGTCATCTTTCCCCACACATATACTAATATGATTCGGATCCAGCCAACATAACGTACCCGTGATAAAATCATCGACTTTTATTTGACGTTTCACTTTAAATAGAAGAAAACAATCAACATCCGTCATCACTACGATGAAGCAAACACACACAAAAGTAAACTTTATTTTCACATTCTTTTTCTTTAAAAAAAAAAAAAAATAAGAGATAGACTATACTATTGTCATACTACTAACAAAGGTAAAAATCAAAACTAATGTAATCAAATCCAGTCGAGAAAGTGACACGCATGTAATTTACTACAAAAATAGACACAATAGAATAAGTACATCAGGTATTATCACAACTATTCAAATAAATACTTACAAGCTTCACTTCCTTAAGACCATCCTTGAAGAAGGTGAAGTAAGGAGTGATACCATCTTCACGGTAGTTCAACAAAGCGACCATACCTTCGGGATCCATGCTTTCACCAATGTAGAATTCATAATCTTTGAAGTTACCCAAGATCTTCTTGACCAAAGTGGCGGCCTTGGCTTCGAAAGTGGGAACACGCGAAGGATCGGATTCTTGGAGCTTAGCCTTGATAGCCTTCATATAACCCTTGATATAGGACATGTAAGACTTCTTGTCGAAAGAGGTTTCGGTCAAACGGAAAGAGTAGACGACGTTGTTGACAGTTTGAGAGCTAGAATCAGCTCCTTCGTCATCACCACCTTCGGCAGAAGGGTTGGCACCAATATCGACTTCACCTTCAGAAATGGTGATCATCTATTAAAAAAAAAACCCCCCATATCTACTTTTTCAGTCATTCCATTCTATATGAAAATAATAATAATAATAATAATAATAATAATAAAAAGGGTATACTTTGACTTTACCGCACAGTCAACTTCGAAAGCAATGTCATCGATTACTTTGATGGGCTATAAAGAACGATGAAAAAAAAAAAAAAACATGTTTAGTAAAATGATAGTTCCTGTTATCTCTCATTCTACTTACGTAGGCATCAGAGAACAATTCGTCGCCTAATCATCCAGAAAAAAAAAGAAAGGAATGAGTCATCCATCATTATTAAATATGTTTTAGTGTATTTTCAATGATTACCAGAGATGATATCAGTGTACAAAAGCATGTTGATTAAAAAAGGTGTATGGATGGATGGATGGAAAGAAGAACAAGAGAAATCAAAAAATGAACTTTTGTATCAAGACGTGTTTGACCATTTTAAACCCAGATAATCGAGCCGTGTTCGGACGGACCCTGGGTCAAATATCTTTTTTATTCTTCCCTTTTGCATGAAAACTAATGGTAAAGTTAAACAAAACCCATCACTAATGTTCATCACTCTATTCATTCAAGTACATATATGTGATTCATATTCCATATCGAATGAAAAACCTAGTTTGCAGATCAATTTATTTATATTCATTTTAACTTGGATGATCCTATTTCTTTTTTTATTTTATAACATTGTCATCAAAATCCAAATCATTTTATATGAATGATTTTTATTAAAATATACCAATAAAATAATAATAATAATAATAATAATATAATAATAATAATAATAATAATAATAATAATATATCATTTCCTTTGCATAACAACAAAAAGATGTTCAAAATTATTAAATTCCCGCGGACTATCTATCTAGCATCTTGTGGGATACAAGCCAATCATATGTTGCCGCACATACGTTCACACTTACGCACACTTACTCGTATAAAATACAAAAAAAAAAAAAATTGATGATTAGAGTTAAAAAAAGAAGAAGAAATCGTTATGAAATAGAAGATGAATCCGCCTTTACATACCTTTTTTTTTCAGTCAATTTTTTTATAACATTTTAGTGTGGAAGACGGAGAATCATTTTTCATATATTTTTTTGGTGGAAGATCCTCATTCGCGCCCCTACTTCTTTTTCCTCTTTTTTCTTTTCTTTTCTAAAAAGTTCCTTTTTTTTTTTTTTTTTTTTTTTTTTTTTTTATTATTATGTTTCCACAACTAAGGAATGGGTCTTTACTTTTACTTGTAGCTGCTACTACACAATTGGTAAGTGGATTCTACTTACCAGGAGTAGCTCCTATAGATTATGCTGATGGTGATAGTGTTCCACTTTATGTCAACTCACTTTCACCCATGTCGTCTCAACAAGTCAAATCTATCATGTCTTACGATTATTATGATGAACGTTTCCATTTTTGTTCACCTCCTGGTGGACCTAAACAACAACCTGAATCTTTGGGTAGTATTCTTTTTGGTGATCGTATTTTTACTTCAGCTTTCAATGTAAAAATAAATAAATAAATAAATAATAATGAACAATCAACTAACTCTTTTTTTTTAATAGCTCAAGATGAAAGTGAATACAGACAATGGTTGTGAACTTTTATGTCAAGTAGAAAATCCTATTCCCAAAAACGATGCTTTATTTATCAACCAATGTATTGCTGATGATTATGCTATGAACTGGGTGATTGATGGATTACCAGCTGCTCATGAGATTATGGATGAACGTACCAAAGAAACTTATCAAAGTATTGGTGTACCATTAGGGGATGCCCAAGAACAAGTAGCATTGAACAATCATTATGACATTTATATCAAGTATCATCCTCGTCCTCATGGTATGAATCGCGTTGTAGGAGTGGAAGTACTTGCCTCTAGCAAAGATCACAAAATGAAAGATAACAAACCTATGTGCTTACAAGGTGATAAACCCTATTATCTCAAGGCCGATGGTAGTGATAAAGTGATATATACATACACCGTAACATGGATTGTAAGAGCACAAAAAAACAAAAAAAAAAAAAAAAAAAAACAAAAATAATAACGTTTTTTTTTTTCTTTTTTTTAGGAATCAGATACTGCTTGGGCTACTCGTTGGGATAATTATCTTCATATTTTGGATCCATCTATTCATTGGTTCTCTTTGGTTAATTCCATTGTGATTGTTCTGTTTTTGACTGGTATGGTGGCCATGATCTTGATTAGAGCTTTACATAAGGATATTAGTCGTTACAATGCTGTGGAAGTACAAGAAGATGTTCAAGAAGATTATGGATGGAAATTGGTTCATGGTGATGTTTTCCGACCTCCTGTACGATCCATGTGGTTATCAGTCATTGTTGGTAATGGTGCTCAATTGGTGGCTATGGCTGCATCTACTCTAGGTAATAATATATATATATATATACTTCATTCATACTGATGATATTCCTTATAGTATTTGCTGTCCTTGGTTTTCTATCTCCTTCTAATCGTGGTGCTTTAGCAACCGTTATGGTGGTTTTGTTTATGGTCTATAGTGGTATTGCTGGTTTTATCTCTGCTCGTCTATATAAGATGAATGGTGGTGAATCTTGGAAGACAAACATGTTATTGACTGCTACCTTTTTCCCTGGGTAATTTAGAAAAACAAAAAAAAAAAAAAAAGACTGAAAGAAAATCAATGGATTTGTGAAGATAAGACTGATCTTTTTTTTATAGAGTTATCTTTGGATCATTATTTGTTTTGAACTTTTTGTTAGTTGGATCTCATTCATCTGGAGCTGTTCCATTTGGTACTATGCTTGCTATCTTGGGGATTTGGGCAGTGATTGCTTTACCTTTGAGTATAGCTGGGTCTTATTTTGGTTTCCGGAAACCTCGTATTGAACATCCTGTACGTACTAATCAAATTCCTCGTCAAGTACCTGATCAACCTACTTACTTACGTAGTTGGCCATCCATTTTGATGGGAGGTACCTTACCTTTTGGTGCCATCTTCATTGAACTCTACTTTATCATGAACAGCATTTGGTTCCATCGGATTTATTATGGTATTGGCTTCCTCTTTTTAGTATTTTTGGTACTTGCCTTGACCTGTTCTCAAGTGACTATTCTTATGTGTTATTTCCATCTTTGCAATGAAGACTATCATTGGTCGTGGCGGGCATTCTTAACTTCTGGTGCTGCAGGTTTTTATGTGTTTTTATATTCGGTTTATTACTATTTCAACAAATTGGCTATCACAAGTTTGACAAGTACTTTACTTTATTTTGGTTATTCAACCATCATTAGTATTTTATTGATGGTGATGACTGGTAAGGATATATATATAATCGATTTATCGCTTACTTTCATTCCTTTTTTTTTTTTTTTTTTTAAAAAAAATAGGCTCCATTGGTTATCTTGCTTGTCTCATCTTTTTACAAAAGATCTTCTCAAGTATCAAGGTGGATTAGATTAGAATTTATGATATTTGTTTACTTTAAAAATATTTATTCTCCAGTAAAATGACATACCTTAAATCTTATAGTTTTGATGATTGTTCCTATTGTTGATCGGATTACAATGTTCCACATACGCGGGTCACCCTGAGTTTTTTTTTTTTTTTTCACGTGTAAGGAAAAATATTGGGAGAAAAAGATAATCAATAGAAGAGACAGCATCTGCCAGCACATGTCTATGAACATCCTTCTTTTTGATGAGTGGTCTTATTTGGTCTGTCAAACATCCAAACACAAATAGTTAGATAAGGGCCCTTTTTATAGATATATATTTGAAACAGAACCTATTCGTTACACATAGTGTTAGGGATTTCATATGAGCTTTTTTTTTTCCCTTATTGACACATGTTGATTGTTATTCTTTTTGTATTGTTAGTTCTGATTTTTAATTAAACAATGTGTGACATATATCGAAAAAAAAGTTACGTTATCTATAGACACCATAATAATAATAATAATAATAAAAGGATGATTGTTTTTTTATTTATTGCATAAGATGAATAGGATAGATAATGAATAAGAATGTGACAAAAGATGATAGATAAATCGAATAAGAAAGAAGGGGATATCGTTTTTTTTTTGTTTTTTTAAAAGGAAAAGAGTATGATGAGAAGGGAATGATAATGAGACATAATAAATAACAAAAGGAAATGAAAAAATGGGAGAATATGGGAATAATAATAATAAAAAATCTTCAGGTGATAATAATGATAAAAAGAGTAAGTAATAATAAAATCAATAGACAACGGTGGGAGGATCGGGTGTGGTGGGGCAAGATAATATATCGGGATGAGTCAAATGTTTTCCAGTAGATGAGCGAGCACGTAAAGAAGAAGAAGAGGAGGACCGATGGGTCAAAGGCTTGTGATCATTGGAAGGTAATTCAAAGGAAGCAGACGATGATGAATTACTAACAGGAGCAGCACCAAGCAAGGCACGTGGAACGGGAAGCAGACCTGTCATACTTTTGGCGATCCACACAGTAATATTGAGAGGTAATAATACTAAAGTAGCAATAGTAGAATTCTTGGCCATTCTTTGATCTTGATCAATCTTGTAACATATAAATTGATCAAATTCTCGTACTTTTTCATCAATCATAGTAAATTTGTCTTCGGACCAAGAGCGTAAGAGATGTTCCTTCTTTTCGAATCGACGAACAGCTTTTGTGAGTTGTTGAATAGTAGGACTAAGACCATCAGTGACTTGACCCAAATCCTTTTTGGTGGCAAAAGCTTGTCGTAAAGAATATAGTTCATCTTCCATAATATCCAATTTCTTTTGTAATTGTTGTACCTGAGTTTCATTCACTTGGATTTCACTTTGTAGATACATTGTTCTTTCACGTAAAAGAAGCATGACATGAGAGAGAGGTTTCAATGAAGCAGCAAGAACAAAAACAGCCACGTTGAATGAACTCATATATCGTTCATAATCACTAAGGAAATATCGACTATATTGTAAAGTATATCCAGCTACTGCAGGTGAAGCCAAGACCCATATCAACCCCATCAATTCATGTCGTCGGAGTTCAGTTGCCATTTGTTCTTGTCTTAACCAACTAGACGAAGGTGATGCTTTGCCTTTCTTTCCATCTTCCATATTGGATGTATTTTTATTATTATTATTGTTGTTGTTGTTATTGTGATACGTGGCGTGGAAATGAATCAAACGTCGACTTCTTGCACTTTCGTAATAAGACCATGGTACTAAAATAAAGAAAATCAAAAGAAAAAGTAATATCAGATGATTAGTATTGTTTTGTTTGTTGTTTGTCACCCTTTTTCGTTTTATTTTTATTTTATTTTTTTATTATAATTATTTTTCCTTTTCATTATATATATATATATATATATATATATATTATATAATTACCTGTCATCCATTTATAAACATAATATAGAATCAATAAAATCATTACAAAATCACTCCATATTTCGGCACTACCAGCAAAAAAGGTACCAAGAGTAGGGACAATAGCTAATAGAATAGGCCAGGAAAATTCATTTGAATTCGTTTGGTTGACTTCCATTTCTGCAAGTGATGGTGGTGAAGACGGTGAATTTCGTTTCTTTGTGAAGGTATTCGTAGTATTGGATCGTCTATTAGGTGGGAAACGCATAAACGATTCTTCTTGATCGTTTTCAGAAAAAGTCATAATAGGAATATAAAAAAAAAAAGTAGAATAAAAAAAAAAAGAAAGAAAAAGGAAAGGAGAATTAAAAAAAAAGTTTTAAGCTTATAAGGTTGGTGTGAGAGCGAGAGAGAGAGAGAGAAAGAAAGAAAAAGAGAAAAGAGGAAATCAAAATTCAAATGCCACGATTATTTATATATGTGAGTATGTACCACCAATCAATGAATTTTTTTTTTTTTTTTTTTGGAAATCAGCTGAAAATGTGTATTAACGGATCTTATGAATAAAATAAAATAATATATTCTATTTCTACTAAGCATATGTTTGTTATTGTTATATATATATATATATTTTAATAGCTGATTATATGGTAACACTCTTTTTGGAACTATTTATCCCTTTTTGTTCATCGCTTTTTTTTTTTTTTTTCAATGAGCGCGCCTAATACAATTTTTTTTTTCTTTCTTTCTTCGTACCAACAGATCAAATCCTTTCTTTTCTCTTCTTTTCCTTTTTTTCTTTTCTTTATTTGTGTACATTCACCTTACTATTATATATTTACATATACATATTATATATAATTCACTATATGAATAGTGATATAACTTGTTCACCAAAAGTGTCTTCACCATTAAGACCTCCTCGTTTCGATATTACTGGAACAACAACAACTAGTACTACTAATACTGATGACTATACACATACAACATTACGTAGACTCAACTCTCGTTCATCAATTTCATCTTCTTCCGCTCATCTCAATAGACTCAACGCCAATCTTGAAGCTGATATGAGTGATTCTCCCGTTGTATCTGATTATGCTCTACGGAAACATCATTCTACTTCAACTTTGACTTCTGATTTACAACGCTGGAGTTTAGGTGTTTCTGGCTCTCAACCCGACTTACTTGATGCTAGAAACGATAATCATGTGGTTGTTCCATCACCAACTAATTCAACTTCATCTTCTCCAATTTCAACACCATCACAGAATATACCTACTCCAATGACAACCAATACCTCTTCAGTAGTTTTGGGTCAAGATATTACAGAAAATAGTGCTATGGATGTATTAACTTTGGAACCGAATGATTTACAACGCTTTAGAAAATGGATGATTGGTTTCTGTATTGTGAATTTTGATTTAGAAATCGGTCAAGGTAAAAAAAAAAAAGGAAATTAAATATAGAAAATAAATCACACATTCATCTTTTATTATTATTATTATTATTATTGTTTTAGCTTTGGATTATGTTTATCCTCCTATGGATCTTACGACTATTGAACAGAAAAATATGCAAGTATCAACGAAATGACGCAAAAGAATCATATTGATGACGATAGTCTTATATCTCCTTTTTTTTTTGCATTTATCTAGCTGTTTTTCTGCCTTTCCTGATTCTAACGTATTCGAAGTAGGTGATCAAGTTTTTAATATACGGTTAAGAGCAAGTAATTCTTTATTTGCAGCATCAGGTAAATATCTACATACTTAAAAGAAAGAGAATGATAGAAAACGAGATAGTTGAATGGGATATTGTTTCGTAAAAAAAAAAAAAGGATCAATATTGATGCACTCCCCTTTTTCGGTTTAGGTCCAACGACAACAGCTGGGTTTTTATATGGATATGTCTTCTTTAGGCAGAAAAAAGATACAACTATTCGACGTGGTTACTTTCAAGTAAATCTAACTATTTCTTTCATTCTGTTTCTTACTGATTTCTTTTATTATTATTATTATTATTATTTATTAGAAATCTTTGGTTTTGTTATCACAACATCCTTACATTGGGTTATTCTCCAGAATTGTAGCAATACTTGGTCCTGCTTTTTTTGATGCTGGGCAACCCATGTTGGAAGCTGCTGTCATGAACATTGCAAATTGGTAAGTATAAATAATAAAATGAGTAAGTATTGATGTATTTATTATTATTTAGGCATGCCCCTAGAATGGATGGTCATATATTGGATTTACCGTTTCTTGGTCATTTATTGGAAGTGGAATTACCTCAACCTCTTAAACCTCAATTATTAGAAACATCTACTTTTGATATGAATAGAATGCAACCAGATATTCAGGTACATATAACATATTTATTACGTATGCATATATATGCAAACTAACGGGGTTTATATATTTGTTTACATTGTAGATCATGGCCTCTGTCCCTGTAGGAGGGTTATATTTCCATTTTAAGGATATATTCAAGGATTTGTGGTTACTGTGGGAACTGATATTGCTTGGAGAACCTATTATTGTGATTGCCCCTGATCCTGGTATTTGCAGCGAAGCCGTGGTATCTTTGGTTGATTTGATTAATCCAGTAAATGAATTGTATAGTGGTTGATGACAATGAAATCATTTACCTTTTTTTTTTTTTCCTCATAGATTCCTTATTGCGGTGACTACCGACCTTATTTTACTATTCAAGATTCAGATTTTAAAAGTTTTGTTAACAAGAATCGGGTTAGTTGACTTGAATGATGTGATTGCGAATCAACTTGTTTTTATTAACAGATTGTTTGATAATATAGCCTCCTACAAATTTGATTCTTGGTGTTACCAACCCCTTCTTTAATACTGCAATTGGACATTGGCCACATATCGTTCGGGTAGGAAGACAGCAACTAAGGTAAAAAAAAAAAAAAAAAAAAAAAAAAAAAAAAAAAAAAAAAAAAAAAAAAAAAAAAAAAAAAAACTATTGGTCATATCATGCATATTTCTATTATATTAACTCATCTTTATTATTTAGGAAACCTGATGGTACTTTGGTAGCAACACATAGTACTGGAAATAACAAGAACATTACCAAGAATCGAGCACATAGATCTGGTCATTCATCTAAACCAAATTTAGGCTCCAAGTCAAACGTTTTGTATGATTTTGTTCAGGTAAGTTGAATCATCTTTATTGAAATAACAATGGCTTATTTTCATTTTTCCTTCCTTCTTTTCTTTAGGGTGTAACCTCCAAACGGAAAGGTGTTATCGCAAAAGACAGGGATTTGTTACGAATGTTGACAGAAGCAACAGTACGGGGTCATCCACCAGGTAATTGATCAAAATCATCCTTACTGACACTATATTTGATTAACTAACGTCACCTCATTTTTCTTTTCTCTAGATTGGCTTCTTAACAATATACTTCGACATTATTTTGTAGATTTGACAGAAAAATTCCTTGTTCCATTGAATCGTTACTTCAGTACTTTGGTTCCAAAGGATGAGTAAGTGTGTGTAAAAATATAGAAAAAAAAACAATATATATATATATATATATATATATAGGTTATTGACTCCTTCCTTTTTTTAGAACTTCTTTAAGTCAAGATATGAAACCTCCTCAACTTGGACCGTTCCAGACCGATCAATTCATCAAGTCTCTCAAAGAATATGGATCGCCACTACCTTTTAAATCTACTTTTAAGACAAGAACATCAGCAACTGATCCTGTCAAGGAACTTTATTTACAATTTTTGAAATGTGGTAATTTTGCAACTTGGTTACAGCAATCGACGACTTTGGCACAGCATCATCTTGACAAACACTATTTACATCAATTATGTCATATCAATCCTCAACAGACTCGGAATGAAAATCTGATCAAAGTGATTAGGGATGTTTTGGTAAGAATGAAGAAGCAATTACTCTTTTTTTTTTTTTTCTTCTCTATACTAATCTACTTTTTTTTTTATAATGATAGGGTGATTCTACTTCTTCATCATCTAATCTTACTAACATCATGACCAATGATCAACGGGAACAACTGGAATTCATTTTGAAAACAATGACAACGCGGAACTGAATTTGACGGGTAGATCTATTTCTGGTGTTACTCTCTTCTATTGGTCACAAGAAACGGAGCTATTCTCGGATAAATGACATCCCTTCCTCTCCCTTTTTTTATTTTTTTTTTTTTATTTTTATTTTTTATTATTTCAGACATTTATTTTCTTTCTTTCTTTTTATTCTTCTCTTTCTTTCTTTGTATATACTCTTGTTCTGTTTTGCACCATGCCTATGTTTACCAAACTCCATTCTATACGATCTTCTATTCACTTCCCCTCCGTATTGAAACAGCGACCTTCTTCTTTTACTTCAAACAATGTTGATTCTGATCATACCATCTCTTCAACTTATTCCCACAATTCTTTATCTGTTGACAATATATCACGTCAACAAGGTCAATATACATTACAACAACGACAACAGCAACAACAACAACGACAATATGGGCAAACTTGTTCACAACAAGGTGTTCAACGCCATCGAACAGTCAGTACACCGACCACAAGTTTTACAGAAACATTGAAGGTGATATCGAAACAAGTGCAACAGGATCAATTCGAGGATGTTTTTGGTAGCTTTTTCTTTACTGACAAACGATGTCAACTTCGTGCAATGTATATGGCAGCTCGACTACAACAGAACATTGGTTCGTACTTGGTACCTTATTTTCAGCATCAATGTTTGTCAGCAGCAGCAGCAATAGCAACAACGGATGGTGGTAATATGGATGTTAGTCATTCATTCTGGCTTTTGGTAATTGATCGATTCTATACACTCAACAATCTTTTATTTGTGGTTCCTTCAAGTGATCCGTATAGACAACATTATCTCTCTACACTAGAACAACATTTGGATAGAATGAAGCATGATATCGGATTGAACAGTCAAAGTGGCAGCTTAGAGGTATACTTTGTACTTTACTATGCGATCAAGAAATATTTTCCAAGGATGATGGATGAATATTCTTCCCCTCTGGCGGCAATACTGGAAAAAGCACGAAAGATTTTGGCCCATTGTTTGGAAAGTGAAAGCAAGCTTGGACCTTCTGAACGTGATGCGATGTATATCTTCCATGGATTACGGGCTGGTTTCCATGGTAATATTGAACCAAAGGTGAACATGGATGATGACGATGATGATATGCTATTGACCCATCTGAATGATGCTGTACGTGGGAATAAGAACTTGACGAGGCAACCTTATGTGAATCCTTTTGAAGATGATGCCTGTATTGTGGACTCGGATGATGATTATGATGATCACAATCAACGCAACAAATCTCGACAAGTGGATAGCGGTTTTTATGAAGGACAATAATATTTTTTTTTCTTTTTATCTGTAGTTAATCTTTTCTTTATTTTTATTTTTATATTGTATATTGTAGACTATTATCATTCACGATACCCTCTTTTTTTTTCACTTCCATCCTGCATTTGAAATAAAACAATAATAATAATTACAACAACTATATATTTTGATGTGAAAAACAGTGATTTAAAATTTTTTATTTATTTATTTATTTTGTTTCTGAGTGATATCAGCAGGGAATTTCTTTTGTGAATTATGACTAAAGTTGGCACCATAATCTCGACGCCATTGATAATCAGCTTGTCTATTTTGATCCCAATAGGCATCAGGTTGCACTGTAGAGGACCGTCGTCTAGCCATGGCATGTGGAGACATATCCGTTGGATTCTCTTCAGCATTGGCTTGTGAACTTCTTCGTCTGTAACCCATTGCACCAGCAACACCAACAGCACCCAAAGTGAAAAAAGTAGCAGGTCCAGGCATAACGAATGAAAAGAAAAAAAAAAAAGGTTATATATAAAAGAAAGTGTGTGAGAAAAGAAAAATAATAATAATAAAAAAAAAGTCAAAACAAAAAAAAAAAAGTTAAGAAACCCATCCCTATTTATTTGATTTTGGGTCATTTAGTAATACTTGATCACGAGGAATAAAAATCAACGCATGAATTGAAGAGTGTTGAACTCACGCTCCAATTGAACCAATAAAATCAAAGATAACATGACAGCTTTTTTTCTTACTTATTTTTATTCCTATTCGTTCAAAACCCTTATACTTTGTTCCCGCGCTCAAAACCAAAAAGTGAAAAATAAATAAAATAAAAAATATACCTTGAATTGATTAAACTTATAAGGTTAATCATTGATAATAATAGTATAATGGGGATAAAACAATAGATCCCATATATTTAGTTTCAACAACCGATCATGTTCTTGCCCTTGCTTTAAACAAGTGTTATGTTGTTACACTTTTTCCCTTTGAATAGACAACCCTGCATTTGACTTTCCGCCGTCAAAAAAAAAATTGGCAATTTTTTTTTTCACCGTGTTTTTTTTTCACCCTCGTTTCTTTCTTTCTTTTCTTTTTTTTTTTTAAAAAAAAACACTGGATTCATAGTTGTCATGGCTTCTCAATTACTTCGTCATTCTCTTCGTACTATTGCTCGTGCTAATGTTGCTCGTCCTATGATGAACAGTCGTGTTTTGACTATTCGTCCTCAACAAGCCATTCTTTCTCCATTGTCTCGATCCTTCTCTGTGGCGTTGCCTCGTATGAGTGCTGGTGAAGGTAAGATCAAACCAATCAAATAACAAAAAAAAAAAAAAAAAAAGAATAGAAAAAAAAAAAGAATAGAGGTATCTGTGTGAGAAAGAAAGTACTTGACATATATATATATATATATATATATTAAAACGCTTATCTAACCATTCTTTTTTTTTTTTTTTGGATGCCATTTAGCTGATGCCGATCTCGTTCACAAACTTGACGAAGAACTTTCTTATGAAAAGGAAAATGAAGAACCTACTCAACCTGCCTTTATCAAAGAATTCTTGGATGCCAATTCATTCAAGGTAAGAAGAAATAGAGAAATACAAGCAGTAGTGAGGCAATCAGCTCATTAGCATTATCTCCTTTTTATATGCAACATTAGCTTGAAGATAAACCTGGTCACGATGAAGTTACTTTGACCCGCACCTTTGGCAATGAAACGTAAGATTTTATGATTCAATGACCAACTAACAATGGAATGACTGATCACCTTTATATTTCTTTTTTTTTTCTTAGTATCTCAGTCTTGTTTTCTATTTCTGATATCAACAATGGTCCTGCTGATGGTTTTCTTCCTGATGAAGATGAAGTTATCGAAGAAGACGAAGTATCTTTCCCTGTCCGTGCTTCTGTCACTATTGAAAAGGTAATATTACAAAACAATATTGATAAATATATGACAACTCATTTTTTGGTATGATTTACATGATAGAACGGTAAAGGTGCTGTGACCATTGATACTGTTGCTCAAGATGGTGAAATGACTGTAGAAAGTGTGATGTACTACAAAGATGGTAAGCTTGCTAGTGATGCTTCTGCTGAATCTGATTGGCAACGTCGTGGTCTATACATTGGTCCTCAATTCGGTGAATTGGATGAAGGTCTTCAATCTCTGTTTGAAAAATACCTTGAAGAACGTGGTGTCAATGCTGGTTTGGCTACTTTCTTGCCTGATTATGTGGAATACAAGGAACAAAAGGAATATACTCAATGGCTTCAATCTGTCAAGGACTTTGTTTCTGCTTGAAAAAAAAATCATCATCCATAGTTAGCTATATTTATCTAGCTTCCCATTTTACATGTTTCTCATAGTTAGTTTGACGCTTCAAAATAATATACACCTTTTTTTTATAAAATAAAGTTTTCATTTTTTATACATACATGAAAATAGTAATTGTCGTTCAATCATTATCATGCAATCGTCATTATTCAATCAACGATATCAATTTATTATCACATGTCATTATCATCATCATCAACCTCAACAGATTTTTTTTTTAAAATGAAGTTTGTTTATTAATGATTGATCATCAATGGAAGAAAAAAAAAAATCAATACAAATGAATACTAAGATAAAAAAAAAATAACATACTACTAACTAACTAACTAAAGGATGGTTGTTGGAAATCAATATTGTTGAGGAACAAAGCGAATGGCCAAACGAAGTTCACCATGATTACGAAGGCCCACCTTACCAGTCAATTTGTACCAGTCATCTACAGCTCGGTTTTGTTGGACAATATCAGCAAAGTCGACAGTAACATCACCAATCTTGTCACTTCCCACCAAATCCTTGTCATAAACATGAAAATGAAGCTTATGATCTGAGGACCCACTAGTCAAAGGGAAAGTGAATGTTTGCTAAACCAAAAATAAAAATAAAAATAAACAACCATGCAATGGTAACCAAAAAGGTTGGGTAACCCGACCTACTCTTTTTTTTTTTTTTTTGCGTTTCATCTACTTACGTTGAAAACAGGATTGTTAGTGTTGGAGAGTTCCTTAGTACGTTGCTTGTACTTGCTATCAATCCAGAATTCTCTATAAAAAAAATAATAAAAATAAGTGGATATGAGCGAATGATTCTTCAAACAGAGAAAAGTAGTTTTTTTTTAAACTTACACATAAGGATCATTCTTTAAAGAGAATAATAAAATATTATTAAAAAGAGAGAAAAAAAAAGTTGTTAATATTATCATTAAATTATAAACATTGGTTTTTATTTTACTTTTCCAACAAGATCTTGGTCTTTCAACTTGCGAGCTTCGACTATGACGCATAAATAATAGAAAAGTTAGTACAAATAGAAACAACTAGTTTATCATTACTTACTAATAGTAACGTGTAAAACACCTTCAGGATTAGTATGATGAGAGAACATTATTATTTTTTTTTCTTTTATGAAAAAGTATTAAAAAGAAAAGAAAGAAGAAAAATTAAAAAAAAGGGGAGGAACATATATAAATCGAATTCGGTTACGCAAAAAAATCAAACTCGGACGTCAAACAAAAATAGTAACTTACGCGTGTCATTTGCCGCTTTATCCGATAGTCATCTTTCAGCCTCTAAAAAAAAAAAAAAAAATCATTGTTTTTTTTTAGTCTGATATAAAGAATGAAAATATAGTAATAATGATATTAATGATGACAATAAATAATAAATCATCATATTCTCTTGTGTTGTTTTATCTTTTTTTTCAATCAAATAGATATCATCTTGACTTCTTTTATTATCATAGAATGAAAAAAAAAACAATATATATTTCAGTAGAATATTGGGAACGTAGAAACTATTTCATCCGGATAAAAGGATTTTAATTATCTTTGTTCAATATTGACACCTATTGAAAAAGAAATCAAAGAATGATATATTGCTTTGCATAAAAATGACTTCAATCTCAGAATATGATAAGTTTAGGATTAAAAAAAGAAAAGATCATCTTTATATTTCTTTATAATCTTGTTTATTTCGATTATATTCTGTATATAATAAAGGAGAACTATGTGAATAGATCAAAAAAATGCTTCAAAAAAATAATAATAGAATTTCTCAGTTTGAAGAATCTCTCACAAATAAATTTCTTCCCTAACGAGTGACGACGGAGATCCAATAATTGGTTGCTCCTCCTCTTGTTTTTTTTTTTTATTTATTGTGTGTTTTTTTTTTTACCTTTTTTTACTTTTCAACACTTTTATGTTTTGAAAATGTCGAATACAACAGAAAACTCATTTCGGAATTCTTTAAGAAACTTCAACTTGGGACGTACTTCATCACCTATAGCCTTACCATTAAGTGGTACTAATTCACCAACAACAGCTAATAATTCAGCTTTTGCTTCTATACGAGACTCTGCTAATAGTTTATTTTCAAATGTATCATCATCTGTTCAAGGATATTTACCTGTTAATAGTGGTGAAGAAGAAGAAGAACCTTGGTATCAATTATCTCGAGTAGAGGTAAGTAATCTATCATCCTTTACTTTTTTTTTTATCTCTTTTTTAACCTTTTTATTATTTTATTTTTTATTTTCTTATAGAGAGTAATGGCTTTCGCTCTATGCTTGGGTCTTGGCATTTTATGTTTTTTCTTGGTACGATTTGTATTTTATATATATATATATATATATATTCATTTCCCTTTCTTAATGACCTTTTTTTTTTTTTATTAAACTTTCTTCTAGGCATTCTCGTTTTCATTCCTTATTCCTATTTCTCCTGGAAAATTTGCCGCCACTTTTACCTGCAAGTCAATATTTATATCTTCAATGCGCAAACAAAAAAGATGTATACTAACTTGATGTTTTATTATTATTATTATTACACAATGCATCAGTGGGTAGTATTCTACTTTTGGTTAGTATTGCTATGCTTCGTGGACCTATAGCTCACATCAAACATATGATATCTATGGAAAGACTTCCTTTTACCATCTCCTATGTTGGTTCTATGGCATTAACGTTATATGCATCATTAGGGGTAATGAAACTTTAAAAAAAAAAAAAAGAGTTTACAACAAAGATTTACTGATAGGGAAAATTTATATTTTTATTTAGGCTCGAAATTATATCTTGACAATTATATTTGCAATTATTCAAATTTTGGCTTTAGTATGGTAAAAAAAAAAAAAAAAAAAAAAAAGAAAGAAAAAAAAAAGAAAGAAATGAAAACTAATAGAATGTGATTAGGTATATTGGATCATATATTCCTGGTGGAGTATCAACATTACGATATGGAACTGCTTATATTGGAAGAAGAGCAGCATCGATTTTACCTATATAGAATAATTTAGTGAATGATGTACAATATCATATTTTATCTACCCCCCCTTTTTTTTTTGAAATAATAATAAAACTACATATAAAAAATATGATGGTTGTTTACAATTTCATTTTGAGGCGGAGAAAATTGACTTTACGTGAAACGCGATACAACTGGATTGGATAATCACGAGGGATACATAACGCGACGATCCATTTACTCATTCTTTATGATTTTGAAAAAAGAAAATGATCAGTTTTGGGGGAACAAAAGGGGAAGAGGGGGGAAAGAATTGAAGATTGAATAAAGTATATATCAGATCATTCTTCATGACTACTTTTGATCATAAAATAAAAGTGGAGATAAAAAAAAAAAACTACATTTTGTTTTTCTTTTATATAGTAGGACCAACCAAACGGCATCGAAAAAGAAAGAAAAAAAAAGCGCGTCCAGTCGGAGTACCGTGTATCGTCACTAGGAATAAATTTTCACACTGGAAAACAAACAATTTTCCCTGTTCTCCTTACAAAAAGATTTTCTTTTGTCCCACTTCTTTTTTTTTTCCTCTCTCTCTCTCTCTCTTTTTTTTTTTTTTTTTTTAATACCATTCTCTTTCTGTTTTCCTTTTTCTCTCATGCTTCATGGTACTGACCTTCAACGTGTAAGTAATAGAATAAAAGAAGGAAATATTTTATTTATTTATTTATTTTATTTCATCCTTTATAGGTAGGAAGAAGGAATACGAAAGCTGGTGAATTAGCTGCTGATGAGAATGCTATTTCTCCAACTCATGGTAATAACAAGAACGATTCCAGGAAACAACCTCTTCTTTCCACAGCAACAAATAAACCGATGAGTGGTGACTCTAGGCGGGTAACTCTGAATGATAAAAGCAATCGTTATAGTAGAACTTTATCAGTAAGTTTTTTTTTTTTTTTTTTGTTTCCAAGACTTATCAAATATTTTTTTTTTTTTTATATCTATGATAGACTATGAAAACTTCCAATACTGATAATGAAAAACAAGCTACTATATCTATTCGACAACAACCAGAACATGACCATACCCAACTTAACCCACCATCTCAACAAGCTGATACTACTACCACTACTACTACTACTTCTTCTATTACATCACAACAACGAACTTGTTCAGTTAAAGAACCAGAGATGGCAGCGGCGGCAACAGAAGCAGCTAATCTCAAGGATTTTTTCGAAGACAACAAAAAACGGTACAAAGCAAAATCAACTGAAGAAGGTAGACAACGTATGCAACCTACACCAATACTTCCAATCCTTGTATCCGACCGTATGAAGGCGTATCTGCGGGAAAGATATCTCAGCATCGGTGCGAAGCGACCTTTAGAAGTACAACAACAAGTTCAACGATTGACAGCAATTCCTAAACGACAAAAATCTGGTCATCGTAGTGTACTTGATCGACATGATGATCAAAATGACCATTCTGGTGATAAGGAAAATGTCGATCCTAATGCCCATCCAACATCTGCAAAGTATACATCCAAATCTGCTGAAGTAATACCGTCTACAACAACAACATCATTACCAATATCATCTCAATCAGCACCATCTCTACATCCATCTTTTGCTTCACTTCAAACAAAAGATTATAAACATCCAGATATTCAACTTGATCAACAAACATATGATGAAGCAGAAAAACTTGAACAAAGTCAAGATCGACGGGCGCAAGAAAATCTATTGCAACAAAATCAAGTTCAAGAACAAAGCGACAAAGAAACTGATATATCTAATGATCCTATGTTAGTGGCTGAATATGCTGATGAAATTTTCAAGTATTTACGTTCAACAGAAGTATGTATATATTCTTATATTTGTATTACCTTTATATATATATATATATATATTTATCCCTTTTTTTTTTATTATTATTATTATTTTATTTTTTAAAAATAGAAAACTATGTTGGCTGATCCGTCTTACATTACAATTCAACATGAAGTGACGTGGCGAATGCGGGCGGTGTTGATTGATTGGGTGATTGAAATCCACTATATTTTCCAGTTATTACCTGAAACTCTGTTCCTGGCAGTGAATATCATTGATCGATTCCTTTCAAGGCGTGATGTATCTTTATCCAAACTTCAACTGGTTGGTATTGCATCTTTGTTTGTGGCCACCAAGTTTGAAGAAACTACATCTCCTCCTATCAAGCAATACCTTTTTATGACTGGTGATGCCGTCTCTGAAGAAGATTTACTTCGATCTGAACGTTATATCTTACAAATTCTGGATTTCAAACTCTGTTACCCAAATCCTCTACATTTCTTACGTCGAAGTACCATGACTGGCAACTTTGATTTACATATCCGTCTTTTGGCTAAATATTTTATGGAAATTACCCTTATTGATCACCGTTTTCTGGACACTCCTCCTTCTCAAACTGCTGCTGCTTCCTTATGGTTGGCCACAAAAATGCTTTGTAAAGGTTCATGGGTAAGTAAGATAAATGATTGATTTGTGACATATAACTCATCAATCATCCTATTATTTAGACACCTGAACTGGCCAAGGCTTCTGGGTATACACCTTTGGAAATCAAGCCTACTGTGGAATTGATGTTGGAGTATTTATCACAACCTGTTACAGATGATTCCTTCTTCAAGAAATGGTCTTCTCGACGAATGATGAAAGTTAGTATCTTTGTTCGCGATTGGGTTCAAAGATTCTATACTGATTCATAGTCTTATTAGTATTTAGTTTATATCTATGCTCAGAATAGTTTCTTCTTTTATTATTATCTTTCTGGAATAAAATAAAAAAAAAATTTGTTTTACTCTTTCTCTATCTTCGCTAGTTTAGTTAAGCATTCACATTCTCCTGATTCATAAAGAAAATATCAAAACCAAAAAAAGAATCCCTTCTTTTTCATATACTATATATATTATTATGACCATCCATAAAACAAAAATTAACATATTCTCTATTGATACTAATAAAATCATACCATAAGTCTTATATCAAAATTAAAGAAAAGGCATTCTACTCTTTTTCTTTTTTTTTTTTTTTTAAGATAATTCAAATATGGCGATCATCAAGTAAATAAAAATGAGAGACCAAAATAGGCAAGTAGGCAAACTTACTATCAAATATATATATATATATGTAGTATACATTTCTTCTGAGTTTCTATCAGTGGCATCAAATCATGACAAAAAGAACGGAATGATTCGTCATAGTAGAAAAATCAATCATCTTCTTTACATTCTCATTGTAGAATAATCATTATCTATTTTCATACCTTGATGGATAGAATGATAAAAATCATCACCACTACTATACCCTTATATAAAAATGCTCAAGAACTGCTACTGCCTCAAAAAGAAAGGGAAAAAAAAAACGATGTGGGGTGTGCTGGGTTTCAAACTACTATCGACAAAGGAGGGAAGACCACCCTTTTTCTTTTTTGTCTTTTTCTTTTTTCCCTTCTCGCTTTTTAACTTGGTCTCTTCTATCTATGACAATGTTAATCTTGACTAAGTAAGCAAAACTAAAGAAATATAACTTTTTTTCCTCTTGTTTACTAAAAAAAAATGGTATGCTAATGTCTTTATTTTACCCGCACACACACTCTCTCTTTCCTTTTTGTTAGGAACACGCTTTTTTGTAGACTTCTCTCCTTTCCATTAACTGTTTCTGGCAATTATTCTCTTCTGTAAGTAAAAAAGAAGAATTCATATGACTTTGACGGTCCAGTTTGATTGAACTCATTCGTATATACTGACTATTTTTTTTTTCTATTCTATTTTATCGGTTTGTTCCAATCATATTGGAAACTCAAAAGATGATTATTTGATCTTTTTTGACAACAATGAAATCGGTAAGATAGTGAAAAGAAAAATAAAAGGAATAAAAATATTTGAATAAAAATTAAATGATGATTTATTTTAGATGATGAACGTTCTTTCTTTTTGTGCGGCTAAGAAATTGACTATTGGATATTATTACCATTCATCTACTCACGTGAATTTTGATAGTATTGTTGTGTGGCGGTATTCCAATGGGGCAATATCAATTACTTGTTTTGATAATGCGGTAGATGAAGAATTTTTTGCTCAGCAAAGGAACAAATTTGTGTAAGCATATGATTAAAAAGGAAGTGGGGCTTTGAAGTATCTTAACATTTTTATATTTTTGCAGGAGAAGAAACAAAGTAACTGATTGATTATTCAAGAAGTTGGCAAAACAATGGTGACAAGCGGGCAACACTACTTGGTGGCACAAATGATATCTGGTCTATTCGGTGTTTTTTTTTCCTCCTCCTATGTATTGATTTATTCCCCTCAAACATCTATTCAATATTCGTGTAATGTTTAATTAAAACTTTATTTTGATCGTCTTTTTTTTTTTCTTTATTATTATTATTATTATTATTATTACTATTTTGTTTCTTCTTCCCGGTTGTCTTATTTTTCTTTCCTCTTCCTCTTTTTACTACTTTTTTGTTTTTGTATTATTTATATCCCATTCATCTTCAATATACCTTTTCTTCATATCTTACAAATATGGGTAACAAATTCTCTGTTGGATCGCCTTGCTCATCTTCTACAAAACATACTACTTTTGATTCAAGACGGAATAGATCTCGTAGTACGACTCATATACCTAAGCACCTCAAACCAGCGAAACCATTGAAAAAATATCAACGACAACAATTGGAAAAACAACATCAACAGAAGCACAACAACTTTCAATCATTGGATGATATGATAGGTATTGCTCTTCCTTATCAACCACCAACAGATGGAAACGGTATAGCGCCTCAACAACAATCTCCACCATTTGCCTTTATTCAAAATGGTAGTCATTTTACATTAGAGCAACATCCTACAAGTACAAAAAAAGAAAGAGATATTACCACTATCAACAATGACGGACCCAAAAATGCTTTTCAATGGTTTCAAGGTAGACGATATCATCTTCAGGTAAAAAAAAAAAAAAAAAAAAAAAAGAAATTTGTGAAACCAAGAAAAAAAATTCTACATGTCATTCATTCATCCATTGTTTCACCTTTTTCTTTTTTTCTTTTTTTTTTTCTTTTTTTTTTTTATTTGAATGGGCGACATTAAGGATGATTTAATATTACCAAACGATCAAAGGGAATTGGATAGATTACGTGTCTTGAATTATATGTTACGATGGGCCTTTGAAGGGTAAGAAATATTCATATTTTCAAACAATAACTGATTAAATTATTTTACTCTAGGGATGTTGTTGCACCTGTCAAAAAGACGTTATTAGAGGGAACACATGTTTTACATGTTGGGTAAGTTACTTTTTTGATTTAGACTACGCGGGGTTCTGATTGTGCTTTTTTTTTTTTAATTATCATTGCCTTTGTCCTACTTTATTAATAGTTGTGGTCCAGGCATCTGGGTAAGAAAACAATAAGAAATATATAATTGGATTATAGATTTAACATGCATCTTATATATTTATACTATTAGTTAGGTCATCCAATTATCGATTTTGCCTTGGATTATGGTAGATCTCATTTTACAGCAGTGGACATTATGGATTTATTACCTGACCAAGAATTGGAAAATAATAATCATGGAATCACTTTATCTTCATCAGAAATACAATCACATCATCAATCGATCGACCAATCATACTTTAACTTTTCACCTCTTCATCCAATGTTACCTACAAGTATGTCAAGTAGTACATGGCATCAACAACAACAACAACAACGATCTCAGCCTACTGTAAATTCATCAGGTATCAGCCCATCTACTGATGGATCATCTACGTATATGACCGAATCAGTATCATCATCATCATCATATTCTGGTTATTATTCTACTTTATCAAATTCATCTTCCAAGTCTAGAACTTTACCTTGTCGATCACCATTCTCCAATCTAGATATTTATGCTTTGGATGTACGTGAATATGGACTTCCTTTTCCGGACAATAGTTTTTATTTTGTCATGCAGCGACTATCTACACCAGCTTACACTAATCAAAATTGGAAATTTGTGGTCAGTGAACTTATACGAGTAACACAACCTGGTGGATTTATACAACTAGTAGAAATCGATTATAATTCTCAAAATTTAGGTCCTGCAGGTCAAGCTTGGCAAGATAAATGTAAAAAAAAAAAAAAATAATGAAGTTATTTTATTTATTTATTATTTAATTTTTATAGTATGTCAAGTCATGGCCAAAACCAAAAAACTTGATCCACATATGGCAAGTCATATGGATATTGTATTGGAAGAAAATGGATTAGTAAATGTGAAAAAGAAAAAAATATCAATGCCTTTTGGACCATGGGGATTAGATATTGGTGTATTATGGCAACAAAATTTAGAAGCATTTATTGAAGCATCCGCTCCAGCACTTGGACAAGCTCTTGGAATATCATCAGAAGAATGTAAAGCGATGTGGCAAGACTTCAAGGATGAATTGGTACACGTCAAAGCCTTTACAAATGTTTATGCAGTTTGGGGACAGAAACCATTAGTATAGTCTTATATATATATTATTTGTTATTATTATGTGGTATCAATATAATTTTTATTATGGAAATAAAAAAAAGAAATCATTTAGTATTTTACCGGTCTCCTTTTTACTTCAATATTTGCATCAGTCGGAAAATGAAAATCATCGGGCACGATTATCGCATTTTTTTTTTCCTCGCGTCCATACAAAAAAAACAAAAATCAGGTCTTTTTTTATTCTCTCTTTCTTACTTTTAATTATTTATTTTTCGCTTCATCTTCACTCAATACATAATGTCACCGAAATTTAAATCACTCTCCATGGCCTCCTCTACTACTTCTATATCTCCACGTGCGTCTTTACCAATACTTAATACAAGAAGACGTATGACTCATCGACAGCAACAACGATCCTTACTATCCGACCCTGAATCCAACAATCTGACCCTTTCACCTGTATTTCAAGTGACCAATAATATTAATGAAGAAAAACAACTTGGTCCTCAAATTCCTATTGCACCTCCATCAAAAGAATCATCAACCGTCCCTCATAGAGCTTCATCACCGGCCACTTTGATCAACAACCGACAAAACACTCCTGAATGTTTAAAAGGGGTGGTTGCATGTCTCGATATTCGGTAAGGATATATACATCTTGATCTGGCTCATTATCTAACTTTTATTATTTATATTTGATAGAACCGAAGATGGTGACGACGTCTCTGAAAACTTTGAAAATGCACTGAAATCAATGGGAGCAAAGGTAATTCAAAGAAAAAAAGAAAAGTGGACCAGAAAAATAAAATAAATACTAACAGATAATATACATTTTTTATTATTTCATCAAAATAAAAAACAATAGACTAGGAAAACATTTGCAGGTAAGATACACACACCAAAAAAAAAAAAAAGAAAAGGCACATATATTGATTCGTTTATTCATGACGTAGATTCTGTCACGCATTTGGTTTACAAAAATGGATCAGCAATTAATGTAAAGAAGGCCCTTCAGAAAGACTGCAAGATTGTCAATTTATTATGGATCACCAATTGCAAAAGCGAAGGAAAACGACTTCCTGAAGATAAATACCTCATCAAACAACCGGAAAACTTACTTTTGGCTGGTTCTAAACGACGGAAATCTATGGAACCTGGTAGAGTGAAAGCGTTAGTACTAGATGAATCTTCTTTACCACTACAAGGTAAGCCATACATACAAACAAACAAAAAAAAAAGGTATATTATTAAGAATAAATTCTCAAATGCTTATTATCATAGATGAACATATATCTGATAAACGACACAATGAATCCCAAGACAACAACACTTTATCAAAACGACTCAAATCTCCCAACGTACGACCAAGATTATCCAATCCTCATCGAAGGAAAACAGTATCCCACTGGGAAACATCAGCCATCATTCCAAGGGAGGCAACATCGAGCCATACTGGTACATCAAACAGACCTGATTTATCTCTCGAATTAGGTGACCTGGATTTGAACTTTGTTGATATGGATGATTCTTCATCGACATCAATACAATTAGGACGCATGAACGAGGATACCAAGGATACCAAGGAAAATCATGGCAGACCCTCCTTACCAGCATCATTTTCCAGATCTATGCGACGACTCAGTTTCAAGGACGAACATACCACTACCAATACAACACCGACACATGTATCACAAAAACCTCAAGTGAACAGTAATATCAAGGCTGGATTTTACATTGGAAAACCTTCACCCACTTCAACAACAACCGCTACTCTAATACCATCATCACCACCATCATCATCGATCACATCTAATCTTTCCAGTAATTCACCGATCATTAGAAGGCGACGTCGTTCGCTTTCTAATCGTTTTGTACCAACCACACTTTCTGCCAGCACTAGCTCTAGTACCACTTATACAACTGATAATACCGATTCTATTACTCCTGATGTATCTCAATCCTCGCCGTCATCTTCATCGCCATCACGCTTATCTTTATCCAAATCATCTGTCAAACAACAACAACCCACCATTGTCATGACTAGTATGACAGAACAAATGAAATCACAATGCAGCAAAATCATCAAACGATTAGGGAAATATGAATTATCTTCCTCGTAAGTATGAAATTCAATGTAAAGTACAGAAATATATCTAATTTATTTTCTTTTTATCGAATGTCATATAGCGTGGATGAAAGGACAACACATGTTATCGGTAAGAACTGGACAAGGAGTCATATATACCAAGCAGTTTTTTTTTTTCACTAAATATCTGATTTTATATTATTTTTTTTTGTAGTGGGTTGTCAAAGAAGAACAGAATCAGTCATTTTTGGATTATTATATCGCGTCTGGTTAGTGACTCCTGATTGGTAAGTGAACATAAATGAAATACATTGATGATTTTACTCATCTTCTTCTTTATTATTATAGGATTTTGGACAGCAACAAATCAAAAGAATACGTTGATGAAACCGATTATGAAGCCATTCTATACTTTCCACGAGCAAGAGCAGCACGACGACATGATCCTTTGTTACCATCCAATGTCAGTATATACATCGCATGCACTGGTATACCCGTCGAAATGATCAAACGATTTATTACCAAAGCTGGTGGTCATGTAGCTAGTCGTTTACAAGATGCTGATATCATTATAAGCAATAAGGCAATGGAATCAAATGGGATTATTGTAACGGAGAATTGGTTATTGGATTCCATTGAACATTGGCGATGTAAGTAAATCTTTTATATATGAAGATATAATCTAACCTTCTTTTCATTTTTCCTTTTCTTTATAGATCTTCCAGCAAACAAATATAGTCCTGTTTCTTCTTAGTATAGTAAGTATAGTTCCTTTTTGACATTTATTGTAGTTGTATATTAGACATTTTCCTGCATTTTTTTTTTTTATATATCATCGTCATTCCCTATTGTTTGCTCTCTTTACGTATCCAACAAAAAGAACAAAGTAAATACATGGATGTCTCTCTTTTTTGATTTTTTTTTCCTTTTTTTTTTTTTTGGTCCACTTGAATCTCAATATTCCCAGATAATAATAATAATAATAATAAAAATCATCATCAAAAAATCAAATTGTCATATAACTTCTGTTTATTCAAATAACAAAAAAGGTAAGAGGGTATTTGTAAAAGTGTAATAAGACAATATCATCATTCCCTTCGCAAGTTGTCCAATCGTGCTTGTAATGCTGCGTCATCTGCAGAAAGTCCACCTTCAGTTTGAGCTACACGTTCATTTGTAGATACAGGAGTAGATTGCTTGATGCCAGTAGGAGCCTCGATCAACTATAAAATAAATAAACAAATGAAAAAAAAAAAATGAGATATCAAAACAAAAAATAAATAAATAAATAAATGAAGGTTTACCTCTTGATTTAAACTGATACCGATTTCATCCAAGACTTTGTTCACGATTTCTTCACTTTCGACTTCATCTTCTTCCTCTTCCATCACATCATCAATAGCATCACCCATCATTTCATCCTTCATATCCATCAGTTCGCTTTCCTTTTCAAATTCCATCATGATTTTTTGGATTTGAGGTAGATTCATTTGTCGATTCATGGAGGACATGGCCTTGGTGGCACCACGCATAGCTTCTGCCATTTGCTGATTGGATCGTAGTGTCTATTAATAAGAAGAAGAAAGTGGGTGAATAAAGTCATTAGATAAAGATAATAATGATTTTTTTTTTTTGTTTTTACTTGAATACGTAGACCCACAGCTTGAAGTTGTGTTTTCATTTGATAAAACTTTTGAACATAACGTCGAGTCCGTACAAGATCCTTGGCCATCACCTTGCATGCACTCTATTCAAAAAAAAAAAAAAAAATTGATTAATCATTTCCTTTACAAAGATATTGTTATACCATCTGATTGGCTTTAGCGGATTTTTTAATATCAGCAATCAATTTCTTTTCTTGTCGTTCCAAACGTTCCCTTTCACGATCCAATTCCCTTTGTGCTTTGGTGATACTTCGCTGATGTTGTCGAAGCATTTCAGCTGGTGTTTTTCGACGACCAAAAAGGGATTCCTATTAAACAAAAAAAAAAGGGTAAATTCACTACAAAATAGAACTTTTGACCTCATTGTTGTTTCCATCCTCCCTTGGATTCATCTACTTACCAACATGATAAGAATCGATTCTTTTTTTTTTAGGATAATAAAGAAACAAAAGAGGGAAAAAGAAAAAAGAAAGGTTATCTTTCCCAGGCAATTCTTTGTCCACCCATGGGGCGGACATTCAATCTCCAGTGGACTGTAACTACTTGAACACTCAAACTTCAGTATTTCAATTTTATTTTTTTTTCTTCTCTTACCCGCACTTTTTTTTTTTGTTTCTTCTATGAATGATAAATATCTCTCACCAAAAGAAACATACGAACCCATAAAACTATCGCCTACGTTGGAAAAGAAAGCTTTGACTATTTTAAATGTCAAAAGTCCCTTAGACTCTCCGGATTTTAACCCTACAGACTACATCAACAGACTCTTTCCCAATGGTATATCATATATCAACAAGTAATAGACAGACTAACAAGTTTCATTTTATTCTATCTATTTCAATTAGAACAATCACTTGCTTCTATTGACAGTGTCTTGGACAAAATCAAGAGCAAAACGGAAGACCTGGCACGAGAAACTGAACGACTGACCACAGCACAAACTACTACGGGAAAACAAGGAACAGAAGAAGAACTTGGAAAAGCCAAATATGCTATCAAAGTAAGATAATAATAATAATAAAAGCACCTTCATAATGAAAAAACTTATTTAATACTCCATTTCTTTTCTTTCTTTTTTTTTTTTTTTTTTTTTTTTTTTTTTTTTTTTACTTCTCATCATTATAGGACCTTTTTCAAAAAATACAAGATATTAAAGTCAAGGCAGCACAATCTGAATCAATGGTCCATGATATCACTCAAGATGTCAAGTCTCTGGATTATGCCAAACGCAACCTTACTTCTTCTGTCACTGTACTGAAACGATTGCAAATGTTAGGTAGATTTGCAGAAAATGGTATTTATATAAAACAGTGTTGGTTGATTTATCTTTGGTTTTCCATATATTCATAGTTACTGCTGTAGATCAATTGGAAACCATGTCACGAAATAAACAATACAAAGAAAGTGCTCAATTTCTTCAGGTAGGTTATCCATCTCTGTTTAAACGAAAACTTACTGATTTTCTTTAATAGGCGGTTATTCAATTGATGCAACATTTCAAATCTTACAAAAGTGTACCACAAATAGCAGCATTATCAGATCGGATCAACTATTTACAAAAGGAATTGGGCAACGCTGTTTACAGAGAATTCGAAATGGGCTTCAGTTCCGATGGTATCTTGGTTACTCAACCTTGGTTATTGAATGATGCTTGTCAAGTCGCTTCTGTGCTGGGCGATCCTATCAGGTAAGTTGCATAAAAATAGCCTGATGAACAAAAAAAAAAAAAAAAAAATGATGACTTACCGTCTTCATATATATGTATTTATACAAAAAGGGAAAAAATCATATCTCATTATGTGGATCTTCAATTGATGAGTTATCGACAAGTGTTTTTACCATCAGAAGAGGTCTCTCAAATTGACAACATCAGTCGCCGATATGCTTTGTTGAAACGTGTACTGAAAACTTGTGATGAAGAGCATCGTGATATCTTTCCATCTGATTGGTGTACAAGTGGTATAGTATCTGAAAAGTTCTGCAATTATACTAGGTAAGTCTCTCATTTTTTTTTTCTCTCTCTCTTCTTGAAACCATATATGCATATATTTCATAATATTCATCAATTGGCGGTTTTTTTTTTCTCAATAGATCCGATCTTGAACAAATTTTAGCTAATCATCAACCTGATGTCAAGGAATTACTCAAGGCCTTGCAACTTACCATTGAATTTGAGGCACAATTAGATAGAAGATTCGAAAGATACGTAAGTATCATTTAAGTATTGTGAACATGAATAGATTGTTGTGATTCGATTTTTTTTCTTTATTGTATTATTTAGTATAAACTAATAGATGACAAACGATACCCTATGTTTCAATTTGAAAAAAGCATATCAAGAAGTTTCCATCCTTATCTATGGATATATATTGAAGCGAAAGACAGGTAAAGAGAAAACGGTCTGACAACAAGTGTATTAATAAAATATATATATATATATATTCTTTTTCTTTTCTTTTAAAGAACTCTCACTGATATGATAAGCTCATATATTCAATCTGACAAGACTGCTGATGATGATGCAAATATGACAGTATTACCATCAAGTACTGATTTATTTTATTTTTATCGGGAAACACTCACACAATGCGCAAGGTTCTCGGCTGGTGGTGCCTTTTGGGATTTATGTCAACTTTTCGCCAAGCATCTACTTTCCTATTGTGAGAATGTCTTGATGAAAGGAATTGCTCGGTAAGCGATATATATATATATATATATATATATAATGGAATATTGTATTGACGATATATATATATATTTCTCATAGTGATGAAAGACAACCCATTACCAAGGAACACCTACGACTTGTTGTACTGGCTCTAAATACTGCTGATTACTGTTGCATCACGACTTCTCAGGTAAGAAAGGATACGTAATAATTATGAAGATACTTATATTTACTTCTCATCATTATAGCTGGAAGAAAAATTGAACAATCAAATTGATTCTGCATACAAAGACAAACTGGATCTTCAAAATGTTAAGGATGCATTTATGACGTAGGGGATGAAAAAGGTCCAATACTTTTATATGATTCTAAACTACAATTATTTTATATAGGACTGTCTCTTATTGCATTGATGCCGTTGTTCGTGGTCTGATGTCAAGTTTTGAAACACAATTCCAGCAAATGATCCGTCTTCCTTGGGCTACTATGGATACTGTTGGTGATCAATCTGATTATGTTACGCAAATTCAAGAATCTGCTACAGGTCATCTCACCGTGGTGGGCAAAACCATAGCCAATAAGCGATACTTTCGAACCTTTTATGATCGATTAGCAGAGTAAGAAAGATGAATATACAGTCGACCAAATATCTAACCTTTTTTGCATTCTTCTTTAGTACATTTTTGACTAAATACATTATCAACATCTTCAAATGCAAAGTGATATCAGAAATTGGAGCTGAACAAGTAAAACTTTATTTAATTAATTTAAAAAAAAAAGAAGATAAAATTACTTACCCTTTTATTCTCTGTTAGTTACTTTTGGATACCCATTCTATCAAGACTTTATTGATGGATATTCCTTCATTCAGCTCAGATGAATCAACAACTATACCAACATCGTAAGTTTTTTTTTTCCGTTATTATCACAAGTAGTCGTTTATCTCACTTTCTATATATACAATTTAATAGGTATGGGAAATTAGTGAATCGTGGGATTTCCAAAGCTGAACTCATATTGAAGACTGTGATGACACCAACTGAACCAATGGCTGGCTATGTAGAAAACTATCTTTTCTTGGTTGGTGATAAAAACGTGGGCACTTTTGTACGATTACTTGATTTGAAAGGATTGAGACGACCTGATCAAACGGCCCTGGTTGATGTTTTCCAAAGAAAAGCAGCTCAACAAACACATTTAACTAACAATCCAAACCTTTTACCATCTATGGACTCAACCTCTTCGATTACATCATCATCATCATCATTATCGTTATCATCATCATCATCATCAGTCATGGGTGGAGGCATTGGTCTCGGTGCAGCAGCTGGACTTCCAAGTAATATCACTACTTCATTATCCAACATGGCATCAAGTGCAGCATCCAACTTTAATACAGCACATTCACCTCTCACTCAATTTGGACGAAACAGTATTTCACCATCCTCATCACCATCTCTAACGCCTTTATCACCAACACCAGATGGACAATCAAAAACTGGTCGCTTGAATGAAAACTTTCGTAAACTGGTGATGACAGGAATGGCTTTTAGGAAAGGTCTTCAAGAAAGGAAGGATCAAAATAAAGATTAGATTAGTTTATAGTTCTTATTACAAAAACTTAATAAAGGTATGGGAATATCATATCACATCATCGTTTATTCTTTTTTTTTTTCTTTTCTTTTGGAATAAAGTGACACCAAATCAAATCATAGTTAAACTTTTCCAAGAATCCCCACAATCATGCAAAGCGGACAATTATTTTTTTTCACACACAATCAAATTTTCCCTCAAAATTCCGGTACCTTTCTCTCTTTTTTTTTTCTTTTTTTTTTTTTGTCTATTTAAAATGACATTCTTTCTTGTTGATCCATTATTTTAGTAAAGTCAATGGACCATATGATAACTTGTCCTGAAGAAAAAAACATGGCAACAACAAAGGTATCCAAGGAAACATCAGACACATCTGATGATGTATCTTCTTCAACTCATGTGAATGCTATACAAGCTCCTTTTATCAAGTCGCCTGTAGAAAAAGCTTTAGTCCGTAAAATTCATCGTACGGTACTTCCATTTGTTTTTGGTTGTGTATTTATTCAATGTACGTGAATTTTTTTTTTGAAAGGTAAAAAATAATAATAAATCATGACCTTTGTTCCTTAACTCAACTTTTTATTATATTCATGGAATATAGATGCCGACAAATCCGTATTATCAGCTGCATCAGTATTGGGAATGCTTGATGATACCAATGTGACACCGACGGAATATAGTATTTTGGGATCGATTTTCTATGTGGGTTTCATTTCCTGGCAATTACCAAATAATTATTTACTTCAACGTGTACCTAGTGTCAGTAAATATCTTGGATTCTTATTGACTTTATGGGGAATTGTTTTGTCACTTACTTGTCTGGCACGGAATTTTGCAGAATTGGCTGTTTTACGTGTCCTATTAGGTTTATTTGAAGCTTCAACGTAAGTGAAATATCAAAAAAAAAAAAAAAAAAAAAAAGTAAGGAGGGTTTCGATATATACATTCTTTTTTTTTTTTTTTAAAAAAAAAAATTAGATATCCATGTTTACTTATTATTGTCAACACAATGTATCGACGAGAAGAACAACCTCGATGTTTTGGATTTTTATGGATGTCTAATGGATTTGGGGTGATATTTGCAAACGTATTATCTTATGGTATCGCTCATATGGATATGGCAAGAAACATACGCGCTTGGCAATGGTAATAAAAAAATAAAAAAAAAAAGATACTATGATTGATATTCTTTTTTTTTTTTTTTGTATTCATTTCAGGAACTTTATCATTCTTGGTGTATTGACTGTACTTTTAGGTATCTCTGTCTTTTTTTTCTTGCCTGATCAGCCCAAATCCAAACTCTTTCATTTGACAGCTGAAGAAGAACTCATTGTAGAAGATCGTATTCAAGATAATTCTGTGGTTAGGAAACGCATTGTCAACTATGCTCAGTATTGGGAAACTGTGAAAGAAATTCGATTCTGGCTACTTTGTTTAACAGCATTCTGTATTCACCTACCTAATGGCGGATTAGTTGTTTTTGGAAATCCTTTTGTCAAATCACTGGGTTTTTCAGTAAGTAAAAAAAAAAAAAAAAAAAAAAAAGTATATTCTTCTTCGTTTTATTTATTTATCTATCTTTATTTTAGTCTTTGGATGCCATTCTACTTCAATTACCTGTTGGAGCAATAGTGACACTCTATGTAGCATTTGTAATCCTAGTTGAATACAAGACCAAGCAGTTGGTATGGACAGCATGTATCACTTCAGTCATTTCCATGATAGGGTGTCTCCTTTTGGCAGTGTTACCTCATCAACCTATCAAGTTATTTGCATACTATCTTAGTTGGGCCTTCAATGGAACGTACGCTATTCTCCTTACCACCATTGGAAGCAACGTCAAAGGATATTCCAAGAAAATCTTTTATAACGGTGGCATCATGATCTTTTATACTTTGGGCAACTTTGTAGGACCTTTGCTTATGATGTCAAATGAATCTCCAGCATATAAAAGTGGTATGATAGCTTTCACGGTAGCCATGTTCATTGTTATCCTTTCTCTTATTACGGCACGATTCTGGATGGCAAGACGGAATGATCAACGAAAACATAATCATGGACAAACAGATGCTTACTTGGATCAAACGGATACTCAAGATACCTTTTTCATTTATCGTCTATAATTTGTCACTTTTTATTGCTATATTCTTTTTTTTTATTATTATTATTTTACTTTTTTTATTCCCATCACTTATTCTTAGTTATTCGTATAATTTTGATTTTTTTTTTGAGTTATATCATCATAATAATAATAAAAAAGAAACACGATCTCTCAATGGTTAGTCATAGTGATGGGTGATGACAACTGGAAACAGTAACAATAGCAAAAAAAAAAAAAAAAAAAAAAAAAAAAAAAAAAAAGTCGGTTCACTCTTCGTGTGTACATTAAACAAACATATGGCAATGAATGATGATGATCACAAACTGACTCTTGCAAGTCTTTCCTCGTCAATCTACCTAATCTTATCTATTTTAGTCTCGATTGAACACATACATCCTCGAAACGATTCCGTAACGAACAATGATATCTCTTCTTTATTGACTGTCAAGTGTCAGATTATTTGTACAGGTAAAAAAAATCTTTTTGCTGGTGATGAAGTGTACGACGATGATGATATAGAATTTTACAGTGTATCATATTCCCTTTGATCAGTTTATATACGTCTTTTTTTTTTCAAAGATAAAAATAACTCAATAAATAGAATGTTGTGTTTTACCCAAATACTGGAACTTTGGTCAAATATTTTTCAAGTGATGAGTTATTATTAGTTTGTCCATATTGGTCGAGAAAAAACCTGGTATATCACGGCATGCAGAAACATGACGGGTACAACATCGGTGTCTAGTGGGTTTTCTAACCCGTCATTATGATATATGTGATCTTCTCAACAAATGTGATTTACTCAACCATAGATAGCAGATTATTTATTTTTTTTTTTTAAAAAAAAAAAAATTGATGATGGATGAATAACTACAGTATTACATGTTTTAATCCCAAACTCAGTCTGATAAGTGTGATTTACTCTCATACACTGTAATGCGTGGATTGATATGATGATAGAATTGAGATTTTTTTTTGATATCAACATATCATCATTTTTTCTCAGTCTTTGGATTATCCCTACGATTGTTAACCCATTCTCATTAAAATGATGAAAAAACAAGAAGTAATTACCGTTTTTGGTATACTGAATAACCGGGAAAACAGAAAATGACTTTGAAATCACATGTTTCATCCGCTATAGGGAAAACTTGAATTGTTGCTTATGATATCCCCCTTTTTTTTTTCTTTTGCATCAGTCAATTTGAGAGTCCTCCGATATATAATCTTCTTTTTTTTTATCGCTTACTTTTTATTTTCACCTCTTTCTGTTTTCCCTCTTTTTCTTATTTTTTTTTCCCTTTTTATACTTGCTATTTTCATGTACGAAACAGTGTGTAGTGGAAAACGATATACAACTAGTCATCGTATTTATATCAGTAAGTAAAAAAAAGAAAAAGAGAGAATTGACTACGACTCTGAACTTTCTATTTTTTTTTTATTTCCTGCTTTTTTTTTTTTGGGTGTCCATAATTATAGAGAAAGATGGTCAGATCATCTCACCATTCCATGATATTCCATTATATGCCAATAAAGAACGAACAGTGGTGAATATGATTGTTGAAATCCCTCGTTGGACTAATGCCAAACTTGAAGTAAGAACAAAGAAAATAATATCGAAGAAGGATATTAATCTTTTTTTTTTTTTTTTTTTTTTGTCAGATTGCCACTGGGGAAAAGATGAATCCTTTGAAACAAGATGTCAAGAAAGGCAAACTACGATTTGTCCGGAATTGTTTCCCGTACAAAGGATATATTTGGAACTATGGTGCTTTACCACAGGTAATAATAATAATAAAACTTGTTTTCTTTTTTTAAAAATAGACTTAGAAACCATTTATCATTTCTCTTTTTATATATATATATTAGACCTGGGAAGATCCAACGCAAGTACATCCTGATACCCAAGCAAGAGGAGATAATGATCCCATCGATGTATGTGAAATTGGAGAACAGATTGGATACCCTGGACAAGTTAAACAGGTCAAGATTCTAGGGGTGATGGCCTTATTAGATGAAGGGGAAACGGATTGGAAATTGATTGCTATTGATATCAATGATCCTTTAGCAAACGTTTTAAATGGTAAAAAAAAAAAAAAAAAATGAAGAAAAAAAGGAAGACTAATTAGATTGTCTTTTGGGATTAGATATTGATGATATCAAAACACATTATCCAGAATTGATTTCTGCTACACATCATTGGTTTAAGATTTACAAAATGCCGGATGGAAAACCTGCCAATCATTTTGCTTTTGGTGGTCAGTGCAAGGATAAGGTAAAATGATAAATGATGTATCACAGTTACTTATAATATTATATTAGTCATATGCTCATAGAGTAATTGAAGAAACACATGAAGCATGGAAACGATTGATTCTAGGCAAGATTCCATGTCGTGCGGATACTCATGATATTGATGTGTAAGTTTAACAAATGAAAAAAAAAATAGAAGAGTATGTAATATTGATATTTTTTTTTTATTATTATATAGAACTAATATCACATTGGACCAATCCCCGTACAAGGCTCAAGTGAAGTTACACAAGCAATGGGATTCAAAGGTAATAATAATACAGACAAAAAAAAAAGATGAATGAATTAAAGAAGATAATTGATTATTTTATTTATTTAGATGGATTTTATAGAAGAACCTAGTAGAATAGATGGAAAAGATAATAAATGGTATCATATCAAGGCTCAACTTTAGTATCAGTTGTATTGTTAGATTTATATATATATATATATATATATGAACTCAGCATTTTTTTTTTTTTTTTTTTTGGTCTCCCCTCCTTTTTTTCTAATAAAAAGAAAAATGAATTCTTCTCCTTGTTCCGCCTTTTTTTCTTTCTCTCACCTTTTTTTTTTTTTTTTTTTTTCTCTCACACACTTTCTCTTTCTTTATTTTTCTTGAATTATAAAAGGATCATAAAGAAGGGACTGAACCTCTTTTTCTCTTTTTTTTCTTTTTCTCTTTTTCTTTTTATATATATTCCTTTTCTCTTTTTTATTTGAAGACACTTATTAATAGCATCTTCCCCATTCCTTTCCTTATACATTATCACCTTACCTTTTTATTACTACGCCTTTTATATCATGACTCCTTCTACTTTTACCACTTTTACCGTTCTTATTAAAAAGGTAAAAAAGACTCAATAATATATAAAAGAAATTAATATAAGATTTGTTTTTATTAGATTGCTAGAAAAGGAACTCTTCGAAGAAAACTTACTACAAAGAAACATCAACAACATGAACCAATTGATCAAACCACTAGTTCTCATGATCAAGATATGGCTTCTGTTAGTACTTGTTCCACCAATGAAGAAGAAAAGCCTCCTATCACCGTGCTGGCCACAACCACGAAAACTAATGAAAAAGAACACTTGACAACCTTATCATCACTACCTTTAAAGGTAAATATAATGAAATAAAATATCATTTATTTATATTTTGATTGTTTGATGAAATAGGAGAAGGAAGATGATGACAAGGAGAATACCAAATCAACAAGAAATAGTGATGTCAGCAATATACAACAAGAGGAATCGACGATACCAATGATATATATACGAGATTTTGCTTATCCTGTATCATCACCTTTACATAATGGATTGAATGATAAAAGAATGACCAATGGATCTCAAATCTCATTATCATCATCAAGATTCAATGGATGTCAAGCTAAAGCTCTTTACGATTTCATTCCGGAAACTGAATATGAAATTGCCATGAAAAGTGGACAAGTGATTTGGATTCAATATCGTCAATGTACTGGATGGTTGATTGCCGATGTGGGTGATGAAACTGGTCTTGTGCCTGAATCTTATATTGAATTCATTTGATAATGGTTATTTGTGGCTGTCATTTGTGTATTATTTTTCCCTCCTCTTCCCCTTTTTTTTTTTATGATTACTTTATTATTATTATTATTACTATTGTTTATTTATTATCTATTTTATATCCTCCACAATCCTTTCCATGACTTTTTTTTTTCCTTCTGTGTGTCTTTGTTTTTATATATCTAGTCTCATCCATCCTTCTTTAGTATATCTTTTTATACAGTATTTGTAATGACAATCAATAAAACTTTATTTCTCCATTCTGTAGACTTACTTGGAAAGAACAATTGCAACGTGTTGACTTTTATTGTTGACAATAACTTGATATATATATATTCATTGATCATCTCGATTGATACCCTCCTTTTTTTTCAAATAGACAACATGGTTCATGTCCTTTTTTTTATTTTGGCGCATGAAATTTATGTAAATCGATTTCAATATCTTACATGAGACAAAAGAGGAGGTTTGAAAGATCGATGCTCACCCCTGCTTCTTATATATGTCATCATTCTTCATGTTCTTTTGACAACAAATTAGGAATTCAAAGTATGGAATGTTGGATGATTCGAAATCCCGAACTTGTTATTGATACTTGGTATATGATATCCTTCTTTTTTTTTCTTTATACATCTTGGTTAGAAAAATGGGTTTCCTTTTTTGGCACTAGTGTGACTTTTTCTTTCCCGCTCTCAACCATACAGAAAAAAAAAGTTTAATTCTCTTCTTTTTTTTTTTTGTTATTTTGTTTCCGCCTGCGCTTCCTTACTTCTCCATTTAATCTTTTTTTGGGAACAATATACATATATAATATAATGGTAAAGAGAATAACTGAATATATATATATATATAACTGATATATTACTTTTATTACAGTCTGCCAGAATTATTGCTCAAGTGGTTGTGTCAATAGGCACTGTGGTTGGTCGAGCCTTTTTTGCTGCGTATAAACAAGCTGCTGCTAGTAAGTTATCCATTATTTAAATGAAACAATGTAATGACAATTATATTATAGATGCTGCTGCTGGTGGAGGTGCTGCTGCTGCTGCTCGAGGTGGAAAGGAAGGTGTAGTGGATGCTTTGACTCGAAAGACTGGTATGTCTATTGAAGAAGCTTGTCAAATCTTAAATGTACAAAAGGATGTGGATCTTGCTCAATTAACAAAGGTATTATATATAAAATAAAATAAAAAAAATTATGTTGAACTTATTTTTTTTTTTGTTCTTTTAGAATTATGATCATTTATTCAACTCAAATGAAGTATCAAAAGGAGGATCCTTTTATTTACAATCCAAAGTGGTAAGAGCTAAGGAACGATTGGACCTAGAACGTGCTGAAGAATTGAAAAAAGCTCAACAACAACAACAAGAAGCTTCCTCAGAAAATCAATCTACTCCTCCACCATCTGCATAGACTACCTTTTCTTTTTATTTATATAATATTTGTATAGCCCTCATATCTTTTCCTTTGTTGAACAAATCCATACAGAATAGAATTCCCCTCAAATGACCCAATAAAAAAAAATCCGTTTTGACTCTCAGTTTTTTTTTTTTCTTTTTCTTTTTCTTTTTCTTTTTTTTTCATACTTTTTTTTATAGTGTTATGGAAAAAAGACCCCGGAAACATCCTGCTTCGTCTTACGATGGTACTGACTTGCTTCAAATCACACGAGAAAACTGGGCTATTCCTATTCCTTTGATACGTGGGGATATTGAACTTTTGATACAAACTTTTATGGCTGTAAGTTCTCCTTAACTAAATTATATACAAACATTCATTGTAATTTTATTTAATGTAGCAAGAACAACATACTTATCAAGTATTTACAACTATTTGGTCTCAACTCGAATTTGATCATATTCACTTTGCTTGTCTTTACAAAGATAGTCGTGAAACTTTTATGAATCATCTCTACGACGCTGTCTTTGGTAACGTCATCATATGATTGATATATACATATAGATCTAATCATTCCTTTTTTTTTTTTTTTTTTTTTTTTTTTTTAAAAAAAAAAAGACTATTTGGACGTTAATATTGATCAAACAAAAATGGGTGTGATCTATGCTCTTTACTATTTGTTTATCACTCAACCTACACCTTGGCCCATTCATGGTATTCGTGTTGATAAAGGTAAAATATCATTAAAAAATAAAAGAATTTGTAGATTTTCATTCCTTTTTTTTTCTAGATAGATGGATTCATCTTTTTGATTTTTACATCTATTGTTGCCGTATGGAGTCAAAAGAATATGCTCAAGCTGCCATGATTTTTAGACGATTAAAAGATGATCTTCATGCGTTTGTCTTTGTCGCAGATCATCGATTGGATGATCTTAATGTGATGGAAAAAAAAGAAAAAGAGGCTTCTCTCAAGTAAGTTCAAATCTAATTCATTTGATTTTTTATATATTTATCTTTTCTCTTTTGTTTGATCCATTAGACTTATTGAAGAATTCCATGATTTACAACAAAGAAGATTCAAAGATGATGCAGTAAGTGAAAAAAAAGAAAGAAAAAGAGATCATTTAACATTAAGTTTTTTTTTTTTTTTTTTTTGATATATAGACAGCCACATGTTTTGATGAAGTAACGGCTGATATTGGATCAGTAGTGGAATTGTATGAAAAAATGAAGAGACGGGCATGTATAACACCACAAGCGACATTGGCTACACAAACCTGGATCAAGGATACGATGAATATCAATGAAACGAATCGGGAAAAATTACAAAATGTCATGATGAAAGGGGTACTGGCGTCTAAAGATACAATGTTTTATACTACTTTGCAACAAGCAGGAAGAAAAATGTGGAAAGAACATGCGTTGCATGGATTACACGATACAGATGTTTTACTACCTTACCCAATGATACGTCGATCTCCAGCTGAACGACAGCAAACCCGACGGAAAAATCGAGATGGATTACAACAAGATGCTGGCTCATCCTCCGTTCCATGATATTTCGTTATTATTTTGGTGACACATTTGATTCATCCTTCCCATTCATTTTTAGATACCCATTTATACATATTACACAAAAAAAAAATAGTTTTGATAGTTAATAAAATTGATATTTATCTTGATTCTACATTGTCGAAAATGGTTGATTTTCCTTTTTTTTTTTTTTTTTTGCTCAAACTTTCTCCGCATGGTCACCATTCCATCCACTTACTTTATTTGAACATATGCCATCCAAAAGAACGGCTTATTATCAATCCACGTTGATTCCCCCTTTAAGAAATAAAGTGATTGACTTGAAAAGCATACGATGATCAAAAACATGGGTCAAAAAAAAAATATTGGACTAACATGACAATCCGATGTCGCGGATGTTGTTCTACTAAAAAAAAAAAAAAAAAAAAAAAAAAAAAAAAAAAAAAAAAGAATGCATCCATATCTCCTTGCATGACTTTATGCAAATCCTTCATTGTCAGTGCACGCCCATCATTTCAATGATCATCTCCTGGAAAAAAAAAACATCGGTCATCTATCATTATTAATTATTACATAAAAAAAAAAAAAAAAAAGAAAAGGAAAATACACAAGTTTATTACTTGATAAGAAAAAAGAGAAGAGGAAATAATGACAAAAATTCAAAAGAGAACTAACTATATGATCACAAATATACTATCTAAACTGAATCATTTGGTACTGTCAAAACCATTATAGATCAAAAGATTAGGAGATTCTCTACCCACATCAGTCAACACGTCCTTGGTAGCCAGAGCCAACACCTTATTCTTAATATCTTGAGGAGAGACTTGAGATTTTTCTTCCAAGCTAAGAAGGTAAGCCGCCAAACCAGCTACATGAGGAGATGCCATGGAAGTACCAGAAATTATATTGGTGGCTTCCTTGCTTCCAATCCAAACAGATTCGATATCTTTTCCAGGAGCAAATACATCCACACACTTACCAATGTTAGAAAAGTAAGCACGACTATCAAGCAAAGTAGAAGCTCCCACTGTAATTGCTTTTTGTGATGCTGCTGGGGAATAGTTACAACTATCTTTGTTGTCATTTCCTATATATAGAGATTTAATGATAAGTTTCCTTTTTTTTTTTTTTTTTTTTTTTTTTTGTTACCTGCAGCAACGGCAAAGATAATACCAGAATCCACAGCATTATCCACAGCTCTTTCCAAAGAACGAGATCTACCACCACCAAGAGACATATTGGCAACAGCACCCTTATAAGTCTTTCCATTATTAACAGCTTCCTTTGCATCCTTAAGATGAGCTGCAGTAGCCCAATCCACACCTTTCAATACATCAGTCATAGAACCAGAACCATTACTTCTCAAGACCTTGACAGCAACAGGTTGAGCTTGTTTTGCAACACCATATTTCTTACCAGCAATCGTACCAGCACACTAATAAAAATAAATAAATAAATAAATAAAATATAAACAAATATTGATTGTTTCATCATCATGCAACTTTACGTGAGAACCATGACCATTTCCATCTACATCAGGATCACCTAATGGAATAGTTTTACCCCAAGTAGCACGACCTTCGAAATCTACATGTTCCACATTGATACCTGTATCAATCACATATACCTTGACACCATTGCCTCCATCTGTAGCGTAATTATACTTGCTAAATGTGGAAAGAGTCAATCCATTTCGATGAGCAATACGAGCTAAACCCCAAGGAGCACTACGTTGTAATTCACTTGCATAGACAATAGAGTCTCTTTCTACATAAGCAACCTATTGAGTTAGGGAATAAAAAAAAAAATAAAAAATAAAAAAATAAAAATGAATTGAGTTCATACTGAAATAATTTCCGTACAAACTTTCCCCCCCTTTTTTTTTTTTATGAAGTGAAAATCCAGATATATTTCTTACATCTTCAGAAGAACGAATAGCATTCAAAGTAGTAGTATCAAACTTTCCAGAGTAACCTTTAAGATTTGGCATATCATAGACATGTCGAACACCATGAGAACCAGTAGTAGGATTTAACCATTGAGAACCTTGATTACTTGCAGCAGTCAATTTGTCAACCCAAGATTTGTGTTCATTGACTTTATCAATATGTATATTATCTTTAAGTATGACAATATAAGAATCCAATACAGTATCAACAAAATCAGGTGTATATAAAGGAGAAACTTGACCTTCGGAGAACGATTGAACTGGAACCATAGGTACCGCAGTTGCATAACCTGCTAACAATAATGCACCTGTAATAATGGAAAACTTCATATTGTTAAATAATGGAAAAGAAAAAAAAAATAAATAAAAGGTATAAATAAATATATATAATGAAAAAGAGGGTAAGGAAAAAAAGAAAAGGAAGAGAAAGAAGAGGAAGAGAAAGAAAAAAAAAAGAATGTTACGACCAAGCCCAAGAAAATAAAAATAATATAATAAATATCATTCAAGTCCGATTTTTTTTTTTTGTCCTTTTTTCCTTTTTCTTTTAGAAATGTTAAAAAAATACATTGATCATATTGAACATCAATCAGCTCTTCAAGTAAGTAAGTTTTTGTCTTTATTCATTTTTATTTATTTTATTATTATTATTATTAGATATTATGTCAACTTGAACAACAACAACAAAAAAATAATAATATATTAATACCTCCAGAAATATCTTCAGTTATAAAAGTTCAACCTGGAGATTGTATTGCTTTAGTTGGAAAAAGTGCAAGTGGAAAAACATATATTCTATCACAACTAGTAAAATATTCTATAGATCAACAATATCATGTTTTATATATTGATTTGGCACAACAATATGGTTCTACTTTTTCATCAAATACAATACAAAACGATTATATTCATATCTTTCAACCAAGTACAAATATAGAATTATTAGGTATTATTCATGGTCTTGAAAAATGGTTTTATAATCAAAATAATAAGATTCTTTGGGTTATGGTGGATGGTGAATGGCAAACTACACTTAAACAACAATTATTAGATAAAATCAAGATATTACAACACTATTGGTCATTTGCTTTAGTTTATACAAGTCGAACTTTTTTACTTGATACGCATGATTATCAATTTGAATGTTACAAACAAGAACAAAATATTCGTATGAAATTGGTTTGATGGCTCCTTGTCATACCTTTTTATCCCGGAAACGACAAAGATGGAAATGCGATGGTTTAGAATGGTGTCACCGGATATGTTTCTCTCTTCTTCAGTTTTTGTCCCTCCCAAATTTGTACACATAGAAAACAACAATTTTTTTTTTATTCCCCCTCCCCTTGTTTTTTTTTTATATTCTTCTTTTCTTTCCTTTTTTTTTTTTCTTTCTTTCTTTTTTATTATTTAATATTATTATATTATTCCATGTTGTCTTTATTATGCATTTATTATCATTAAAAAAATCTACTTTATCATTGAAACAATCTATTCTTCGTCAAACTTCTCGATTTTCAACTTCAGAACATACCACAACAAGGAAACGAACGCGACAACAACAACAAGAGGAAGAAACTACTATTGATATTGTTGTCATTGAATCCACTTCCTCTATTCAAATATTAGATAAGAAAAATAAACAAAAACAAACAACATTTACTGTAAGTGATCAAAAAAAATATATTATGTGTGTGAATATATATATACTTCTCTTATGATCTTACTTCATTTCTATTCACACTCCGTCTTTTTTTTTTTATATAGTTATTCAATATCATTCTTGAAGATGACGACAAACATACATCTTTAGTTCGATTTGTTAGTGATTTAATTGAATTGGATCAACTCTTTAAACAACATTATGGAATCATCGCATCACCCTTCAAATTACCTATTTTACCCAACTTATCAGATTCTCATATAGCCACACGTAGTTTACATCGATTCTTATCCAAATTTAAAAATAACAATAACAACAAGAAGAAAAAATCCAATGGTGAAAAAGTTGAAACTTATTTACGAATGTGTGCCGGTCACCCCTTATTAGGTACTTCTTCTCTTTTACGCGACTTTTTATCTCCTCAACGTGAAGAAGATCGAATTATCACAAAAGCCGCTATTCATACTTTGGTTCAACATCATCATCATCAAGATCAATCTACTATTCATATAGATCAATCCTTCAACAATCATCCCTTTTTATCTACCATAAATGAATCCACTCTGTCCAATGATTTGACTCCTCACAACACTTCTTCTTTATATTCTCTTTCAGAATTGGATCTTGACAACAACGATGATATATTGGACACTCTCTTCCCATCACCACCTGCCTCCATCTCTATGATGCCATCCAAATTGAATTGTTATACACCACCTGAAGAAGAAGAAGAAGAAGAAGAAGAAGAAGAAGAAAAAGAAAAAGAAAAAGAAAAAGAAAATACCAAAGTGACTCCTCTTGTATGTACAAAATCATCTCCCTTGGCCAACTACAAACAAAATCAACGTACTCCTACACGAATGACACTGGAAGATCTTCAATTTTTGAAAGTATTAGGAAAAGGTTGTATGGGAAAGGTATGTAAATCATCATAAGAACTTCATCATTCTTTTTTTTTTTTTTTGACATTCTTCTCATTTTCTTTTTTTTTTTTTTTTAAAAAAAAAAAAAAAAAAAAAAAAAACTTGTAGGTGATTTTGGTTCGACAACAATCATCAGCACGACTATATGCCTTGAAAGCCATTAGTAAGGAATGGGTGATTGCTCAACGTGAAGTGGAACATGCAGTGATGGAACGCAACATCTTATCCAAAGTATCCAAAGCACATCATCCTTTTTTGATCAAGTTACATCATTCTTTTCAAAATGCCAATCAATTATTCTTGGTGATGGATTATCATGTTGGTAGTGATTTGGCCACTCAACTTCAATTGAATTATCATTTTGATGATTATCGTTGTCGCTTTTATGTTGCCGAGATTCTCTTGGGATTACAAGAATTACATCGATTGGGTATTTTGTATCGGTAAGTTAAATGATAGAATAATAATGGAAAGTACTCACTTTTTTTTTTTTTTTTTTTTTTTTTTTTTTTTTTTTTTTTTTTTTTTTTTTTTTTTTTTTTAGTGATTTGAAACCTGAAAACATTCTCTTGGCGGCTGATGGTCATATTGTTCTGACGGATTTTGGATTCTCAAGACTTTTTGATGAACAAAGCAATGATGACAAGAAGAATACCATGCCTTATCATACACATACGTTTTGTGGCACTCCAGAATATATGGCACCTGAAGTGTTTCTATCAGAAGAATATACATTTGCTGTGGATTATTGGTCTCTTGGGATTGTGATGTATGAAATGTTACTTGGTTATACGCCTTTCAGTCATGATAATGATGCAGAATTATATCGTCGTGTATTGGAGGATCCTTTGGACATACCAGAAGATATGCCAATGGCGACAGCTGATTTGATTCTTGGATTATTGGAACGAGAACCTGAAGAGAGATTAGGATGTGGACATATGTTTGATAATCAACTTGGTTTTGAAGATATTCGACAACATCCTTACTTTTCTTCCTTGGATTGGAATGATATCTATCATAAACGAATGCCTGCACCTTTTATTCCTCATCTCAAGTCTGAAACGGATGTAAGTCATTTTGATCCTGATTTTGTCAAATTATCACCTCGACTTTCTACACAACATCATGATTTAGAAAGTGATTTTGATGATGATGATGATGATGATCCTTTTGGTTTGGACAACAGTACATTAAGTAAATACAACAAATTGGATAATGATCGTGTACCTTTGGATGAAGCTTTTATTGGATACTCTTACATTAATGAAAGTACTTGTGTAGACACAGATTCTTTATTGGATGAAGATGATTATCAACTTGACACCAATTGTGCTCCTCCTTTGATGACAACGGAAAACACCATGCTATTGGAAGGAAATGATCGTCCCATTCCCAGATTCTTCCCAACATTCAATCCTACTACTTCTGCTGCTGCAACTACTGCCACCATCTATCAACACTTCAACATGACAAAACACACCTTGACCTCGGATGATAACAATGATAATTCTCGGCAATTGGGTTTCTCTCGATTTCAGCAACGACATCATCAACATCAAACAAGATCATCATCTTCTTTCACCTTATCTTCCCTTCAAAGTGATTCGGACGATGTTATTTGGATTCATTGATTATTATTATTATTACTCCCATTTTTTTTTTATATATATTATACTTGTAGAATGATCATTTGTATGAATACACACACACACACATATATATATATATACATCTCAAATAAAATATATTATTATAATCATTTGTTTCTTTTATTGAATAATACGAATAAGAATTAATAAAATAAAATAAAAAATAAGGTAACTAAGCATCTATGGTATCTATTTATCTATCAATTATCCTATTTATTCCTTCCTCCCCTTACATTAGGATGAATGTTTGTCGCGATTGTCATGGATGACAAAAGGTTGAGTAAAAGCTTGTTGAACATGATTGACCTTGCGTTCACCAAAACCTGGACAGAGAGCAAGTTGTTGAGCGGAAGCATTGGCGATGGCGTGGAAGGAACCAAAAGTGGACAATAAGGTCAAGACATCGGTTTTGTTGACGGTGCGTATCTGTGTCAGAGTCTCAGTCATATCTTGATAATACTTATCATCATCAGAAGAGGGTTGTTGTTGTTGTTTTTCACGGATCAGATCATCGGGTTTAGATTCAAAAGCCTTGTAGGTTTCCAAGTAACGTGCAGTTTCTTCATGACTCCAACTGAGCATCAGAGTAAAGCCTTGAGCAATCGCTGCCACATTTAATTCACGAAGAGCTGTATGGTGATCTTCTGTATCTACAAGTACCAACAATACTTTGAGGACATACATACGTGCTAATGCGGCCATACGTTCAAAAATATACGAAGGGTAGAGTCGATGATAACGAAGACTACATATAAAAAAAAATTGAAACTTTCATTCTTCTTCTTTTTTTTTTATTTATTTTATACCTTAAATATAAAACACCCGTGGTGGCTCCTACAACATAGTCTGGTTTGATACTGTCATCGAATTCATACGGTACATTGTGAATACATCGTAGTATTGGGTTCTTTTGTTGAGCAGGATTCACGAGAATAGCATTGCCCAATGTTCGCCGAGAAGTTATGCTCTTGGTTGTTTTTGTACTTGTTGTTGAGTTCAATGTCGAAACAGGAGTTGTTGTTTCTCTAGGTTTGAGCGGATCCATCAACAAAGAAAGAAAGACAAAAAAAGAAAAAATGAAAAGAAAAAAAAATGAGATCGCTGCGCATTGGACTCTTTTTTTTTTTTTTTTTTTTTTTTTTGAAGAAAAAAACAAACACCGCGAAGATCCCTTTTTGGCCCATCCAAAAAAATGATGATGATCAATGAATTTCTTTTTTCTTTATTAGCTAAAGGTATAAAACTAGTAACAGGTGTGTATATGCGTGTGTGTATAAAAAAAAAATAAACTAAACTATGATATGTACAAATAGATAGAGAATAAGTTCATGGGGAAATAGGTGTGATAGGAAAAGTGGTATTGTTGTAAGTATAAGCAGTTTTCAAAGTGTGTATAATGATGGATAATAATTGTTGACGTTTATTGAGAGGAGTAGCCAAGGTGACAGCTTGATGGATACAATCATTAGAAGTAGTTGATGTCAAGAGATGAGGGATCATTTCCATAAAACCATGATTGGCAGCATAGATCAGACATGGGTTCCATCCACGATAGCATGAGATTGCACCGGCTTTGCTCAGCAATAATACCATATCCAATTTCCGTTGTTGCACAGCTTTGTACAATAGAGATGAAGTGTTGCCTTTTTCCTTCTTGTAATTGACATCGTATCCATAACGTAATAATAATTCAAGACATTCCACTCGATTCCAATGAACAGCTGCTTCAAGTAAATCTGTTTGTTGTTGTTCCATAGAAAGTGGCGATCCATTTGTTGATATTTGCTGTTGTTGTTGTTGTAAGAGTTTTTCCAAAATAGGGGCATATCCAGCCATCACTGCATCTTCCATTGCTGATTGGTCATCATAAGATAAGTGAGGTGAGATGGATGATTTGGGTTGCCAAATAAGATCAGTGTGAGAAGGATTATTTTTGCTGAGATGTTGATAATCCAATAAGAGACAAACGCATTCCATATGTCGATGCATGATGGCAATATGAAGAGGAAATCGGCCCATTCTATCAGGTACATCCACACGAGCACCTTTTTTCAATAAATAAGCCACCACTTCAGGACGATTGGCTTGCACTGCACGGTATAATGGTGTATGATTGTCTTGCTTGGTGATACCATTGATGTTCATATTGTTGTTGTTACTGTCTAATAAAAACAAAAGAGCTGGAAGGAAGCCAACGGAAGCCGCAGTATGAAGTACAGATATATCGTCTTGGCATAAATGTTGACAGGGTAGACCGTTATTCACCACAAGTTGTAATGCTTCCATGGATTGACAATGACAGGCACAACATAATAAACATCGACCTTGATTTTCGACTGCAGGATATCCACCTTGATTAAGATAGTCTTTCAATAATTGAAGATCAAGAGTAGGTGCTGTGGACTTGTATCGTTTTGTATGGATATTTTGAATAGGTGGTAAGGTAATAGAAAGTCGTTTACGTTTGTAAGATCCTAGTGGTTTATCAACAGGTGAAGAAGGTGGTGAAGGGAAACTTGTATTGGCCATTGTTATGTATATGAAAAGGGATAAAATAAGAAAGAGAAAGAGTGTATGTATGATAGTAATGGTTTGTATTTAAATAATTTTTTTTTCTTTAAAAAAGAAAGTCCTTCTTGGCATGAAAAGAAGGGCAGAATAAAGTAAAAAAGGAAAGAAAGAAAAAATCGGTAAAGGAGAAATCAAAAAGAAAAGGGAATTGGATTATTGCTCAAAATACCTTTTCTCTTTTGATCTTCTTTGAATCCCCGAACAGTCTCGTCTTGGCAGCCGTATATGGCAACTCACCTTTTATATTTTCTTTTTTTTCTCGTTTCTTTTGTGGATTTTTATGCAATCATCTATTCCTCTGAAAATCTTGGCAAAAACGATTAAAACTCGGCTTACTATATAATCGACAACGCTAAACCATATTTAGTTGTGTCCTTTTTTTCATCTCTGTCATCCCCTCCTTAAACTTTCTTTTTTTTTTTTTTTGTTACTATATTCTATTCATTCAAAGGATTTTTCTATACAACAATAATAAATGACAATTATAATTCATATTCCTATCAATAGAAATGAGGAAAGTAGACAAAATTCAGTTCACTATCCGCTTTTAAATGGGTTTTGACTTGGCAGATTCTCCTTTATTATAGTGAATATCGCCAAGATTAGTTGGTTTTTTTTTCTTTTTTATTATGTACCTGAATTGGAAACGAATATAAAACTTGGGTGTATTGGTCATGCTTTTTGTTTTCACATGAGTTTAATGCAAGAATTCGTATATTATTGATGCAGGATCATAACTGGGTTTACCTGTACGACGTTAAACGTTTTATATGAGATGATGATTGTAGAAGAAGAGTCACCTAGTAAGTTAAAATGATGAAATAGTAAGAAAGAAATTGTAAAGAAGTTGATTGTTTGAGCGTCACCTTGGAAACTCAGCCGTGTTGGTCTAGCTTTTTCCCTTGCCTGCAAAGAAAAAAATTTTTTTTTTTTTTTTGCCCATACAGCAGCAACAACAACAACAACAGAAAACTGACTAGCTACACTCCGATCACTCTCACTTTTTTTTCGCTCACTTTTTTTTTCCGCACTTTTTCCCTTTCTTTTTTTTTCTCTTTCTTTCTTTCTTACTCTCTCTCACACACTCCCTCCTTCCATTTCCTTATATCAACTTGACTTCAATACCAATATGGATTTTAGGTGGGTATCTGATATCAACCCACGTAAATACAACACGTATCTGCCTAATTCCTCTGGTCAAGACCCTTCATCTATTGGTAGAAGGTAATAATAATAATTCTTTTTTTTTTTTTTTGAATATACGTGTTTATATTTTGTTTCATATCAACTCATCTCTTTTTATATAATAGAGGATTGGACTCAACTGAACGTCCACTTAGTTCAACTCCTTTTGGAAATACAACATCCCATGTTCCAGGTTTAACAAATGTTCGTCGACCTAGAGCAGATACCATGCCTTCTCGTACTACAGTCTTCCCTACTATTGAAAATACTGGTTCTTCTCCTACTACCTCTGGCAATGACTCTGATATCTATCTTGGTAATACCACTTCAAATAAACTAGCCATTCCTTCTGCTGCTTCTGATACTGGTCGAAGACGATCTGGTTCCGTCACTTTACTTTCTTCTTCTGACAATACAACTCGTCAAGATTATGGTAATGCTTTATTTACTCCTGGTTTCCCTCCTTATCATATGATGGAAGAAACTGCTTCAACTACAGTGGCAAGTACTTTGGCCTCTCTTGGTTTGGGTGATACCTCAACTACTAGTTCCACTTCACAATCTTCCGTCCAACAACGCCAACAACAACAAGAACAAGAACAGCAGCAACAACAACATCAACATCAACAGCGTCATCGAGCTTATACAGTTTCAACACGTAATCCTTCTTCCAGTACGGATCGTCTAGGTGATATGCTACCCATGGGTTTTTCTCCATTCTCACCACAATCAAGATCTAGTGTCATGCAAAGACCTCGTGCGATTAGTCTCGGAATGGCAGATGATCCTCAATTTGATGAAACCTTGTCTTCCTTTACTCCATTTGATATGAACTCTTTACAATCTACATTATCTTCATCACCTGCAGCCCAACAAGTTTATCAACAACAACAACAACCGTCTTCCTCGTCTTCTAAACTAGGTCAACAAGTATATTCTGATACTCAAAGATCATTACGCATATCAAGATCTAGTGGAAATTTGATGGATTTATCTTCGGACAGACAAACAGCTAGCCGATTCGACTCGTCTGGATTTTATGACTCTTCTATAGATGATTTAACTCACCAGGTAAATAATATTCACATATAAGGTGTGGAAAGGATGATTATTCATCTATGCTTTCTTTTTTTTTTTTTTGAAAAACAAAAAATGAAATTCGTAGGATGACATCAATGCTATGCCATCAGCCTCATCATCATCATCAGCATTATTGGATTCACCTTCTTCTGTGCCAGCTCAAATTCCATCTCGTGCTCTATGGTTAGGGAATGTTAATCCTTCAGTAAGTGTCAATGATTTGATGCAACAATTCTCTTTATATGGTCATGTCGAAAGCGCTCGAATTCTCTCCGACAAGGAATGTGCGTTTGTCAACTTCTCCACGGTAGAATCAGCGGTGGCAGCGAAAAACGATCTGGAAACAAGATTGGGAAGCATGCTAGGTGGCACTTCAGTTCGTGTTGGTTTTGGAAAGGCAGATGTGGCAGTAGCAATGGCCCTTACCAATGAAGCAGGTCCAAATGCTCAAGGTCCTACTCGTGCATTATGTAAGAAAAAAAAAAAGGTAGAGGAAAGGTTTTCAATTTATTCACATTTATTTATTTATTTATTTATTATGAAATAGGGGTTGGCAATATTCCAGCAAATATGAATACCGCCATTCTTCAAGCTATCTTTCAAGCATTTGGTCCAATAGAATCTGTACGTGTCTTGTCTCATAAAAACTGTGGATTTGTAAATTTTGAACATCAAGAAGATGCTGTACGTGCACGCAAGAATTTACAAAACAAAGAAATCCTAGGTCCTGGTTCTGGAACTGTGCGTATCGGTTTTGCCAAAGCTCCTTCTGCAGAAGATATTAACAATGGTGAACCTGGTTTTGTTTCTCCTCAACCTCCTCTACACCAATCATCAATACCTCCATCACACTATCAAATGTATCAACAACAACAACAACAACTACTACAACAACAGCAACAACAACTACAATATCAACAGCAGAATCAATTACTTCAACAAAGGTCACAACCATACATGTCATATCCACAACCACCGTTAAATACAGGTTTACAACAAGGTTTAGCTTCTCACAATGCGCCAACAACATCAGGTTCAACATCTACTAAAAACAATAGCAATAACCATTCCTTGTCCACCGACACTTACCAAGCGACACAATGGGCTACAGCAATGATGATGACTACAATGATGATGAACGCATCGGGAAAACAACCAGCAACACAACCCAGTTTATACACAGCTATTGCGGCAGAGCGACAGTTTATCATGCAACAATTATGTCAGTACACAGATACGGTGCAGTTACAACAAAAGGACCAGCAAAATGAACGAATTCCTGTCAGTTATTATTCTGTGATTCCTTCAGTACCTGAGCTGAGCTCAGACAGAACTCTGGAACCTCTTAGACTTCGCGACATGAGGAAACGTTTGGAAAATGGTCAAGCCTTACAAGATGTGGAAATAATTGCTTATGAATGCATGAATGAAATCGTGGAATTATGTAGTGGTAAGTGATGATTTGAATATTAAGGCTAGAATAATTCTGATTTCTTTATTATTGTTGTTTTTATTATTTCTAGATTATATTGGAAATACTGTGATCCAAAAATTGTTTGAACAGTGTACTGAAGCAACAAAACAAACCATGTTGGAACGCATTGCCCCTTATTTGGCAGCTATTGGTGTACACAAGAATGGAACTTGGGCTGCTCAAAAGATCATTGATTATGCAAATACACCTGGTCAGGTAAGCAGATGGATGATTTTATATATATATAACAACGAGATGACTAAAAAAAAAAAAAATAATTTCTTATTCTAGTTATCATTAATTCGACAATATATTGCACCCTATGTACCTTTGTTATTATTGGATCAATTCGGCAACTACGTGGTACAATGTTGTCTTCGTTTGGGCGCTGAGCACAATCAATATATATTTGATGCGATTGTTGACAAATGTTGGGAAATTGGACAAGGTCGATTCGGTGCCAGAGCAGTACGTGCGATTCTTGAAAGTAATGTGGTGACAAAGGAACAACAAGTATATTGTGCTGCAGCCATTGTACAAAATGCAGTTTTATTGACTACCAACGCTAATGGAACATTATTACTCGTATGGCTACTGGATACTTCGGAATTGGCTGGTAGATACCGCGTTTTATATCCTCGCCTCTTACCTTACCTCAGCAAACTATGCACTCATAAACTGGGTTCTATGACTGTGTACAAGATTATCCAACAACAAGAAGAACCTGATACCAGCCATCTATTTTTGAATGCATTGACAACTGATGCTCCTTTACTAGACGATATTTTACGGGATCAAATTCATGGTTTAGGATTGATACAAAAAATATTGGCATTACCTCACATTCATGACCAACGAGGATCACTTGTTCGTCGAATTCGTGCATCTTTGGATCGACTTCAAGTTCAACATATTCAAAGTTACAAGAAATTGATAGAAGAATTAGATTCCGTTCCTAGTAGCAATACTAGTAACAACAGCGGCAGTGGCAACAATACTCCAGCACCCCAACCTTCATCCATTTCAGTGGCATCACCTTCACCATCCTCAGCATCATCATCATCAAACCCCTTGGATACAACAAACACATCGTCAATGGATATGGTATCATGGATGAAGAATCCTCAAGCAGTAGCAATGATGGCCAATATGTACGCAGCCGCCATGACAGCAGCAGCCACTTCACAACAACAACAACAACAAATGCCTTCAATGCTAAAAGTGCCAGAACTCCCTCAGTTCAATCATATTCTCAAATCTCTTTTAACATCTACACCTTCAACAACCGATGTGAATGAAAACACCACCACTTGTACTGATGCTACTGAAAACAAAGACAATATATCTGGCATGGATCAAGAAGACGAACAATTTCAAGTCAACACCTGATTATTATTTTTTTTTTTTTTTACTTCATTTACTAATGATTATTATTATTATTATTATTTAGTATAGTATATGTTTGATATTAGTATAGAATTAGTTTATAGGATATATTTATATAGTGATTTGGCCCAATTAGTTAGTTGTTGTTGTCCCTCTTTTTTTATATGTATATCCTTTTGTTCTTTTGTATAGTACGTTTGATTATTTATTTATTTTCGGTTTATCTTCATATATATATATATTTGGATCTTGTACATAGTGTGCTGAGGGTTGATATTCTTATGGCTTCCTTTTTTTTTAAGAAAAAAAAAAAGAATAAAATAAAGAAAAATGAAATGAAATAAATAACTATGACAAAAAAAAACCTTTTTTTTTTTTTTTCAACTGACTTCAACAAGATGATGGATGAGGGTGATCAGAAAATGTTTGACAAATTCTGATTGAACAATGATGAAACAAAAATTAAAACAAAGTGATTTATAAATTTGACAGTTTATTTCTTATATACATAAAAGGCATAAAATACATAAAGTACATAGAATGACATAAAAAAAGGGGGGAGGTAATAAGAGAAATGATCAACCCATATCAAGTGTAAAAACCGAGTTCATGATCAGGAGGGATGACAGGCAGGGAGTATAAGGAAAAAGAATCAAAGACTAATCAAAAGTGGGGAGGATGATGACAATAAAATATCTACATCTATTATACTATATGCCGATTGTAAAAATCAATAGATCATCCATCAATCATCTATCACGAAATAGAGTAAGCAACCAAAAAAAAAAAAAAAAAAAATTAAGTGGTATCATTTTTCAAAACCCAAGGGTGAGATTTAATCTTGTCCAAGGTGATTCTTTCAAAAGGACACACTTTTAACATTTGATCAAGTAAATCAACAAGTTGAGGATGGGTAGTGTCAGATGCAGGTGTTGTCCAAAGCGGCAGACGGGTCAAGTCATCAATAGGTTGCAGAGGAGGTAGATTTCCATACACCATACAGTACAAAGTAAGACCTAGAGAATAGATATCTGCAGCTGTTTCATTGTAAGCATCGTCCTTTTTCTTTTTTATCATCAAACATTCAGGGGCTGTGAAAGCAGGTGTGCGGCGTCGTTGATATATCTTGTCGTCATGACCAGTTGATAGTTGAATGGCACTTCCAAAATCAATCAATTTAACATGTTGGTCCTTGGTCAATAAAATATTATCGGGTTTGATGTCACAATGGATCACATGTCGTTCATGCACTATCAATGAATAGATGAATGATGAGTTGTTTTATTTTATTTATTCAAAAAAAAAAAAAAAAAAAAAACTTACAATATTCCAAAGCAGATATCAATTGGACGAAAATAGAATGACAAGTAGTTTCATCTATGGATCTTTGATGTTCATGATCATGTAAATCAACCAATATAGATCCATCCACCCATTCTGTCACCAAATACACATAATCGTCTTGTTCAAACCAGTCGATCCATGTCACAATATTATCATGCTGTAATGATTTCAATATATCGGATTCCATAGTAGGTATATTGATCATCGTATCGATACGTCGTCGTTTACTACCGTCATTGTATTGTTGATGCCTTGGATGTCTTGCTTGTAACCAATCCATACCTTGTTGTCGTTGTAATTGGATCGCATTTATTTCTTTGATTGCCTGTCAAAAAAAAAAAAAAAAAAAAAAGAGTATATGATGATTATTAAAAAAGGTCCAAAAAGAAGGGAGAATATAATATTACATATAATTGTTTTGTTTTTGTATCCAATGCCAAGTATACAATACCAGTTGAACCATGAGATATTTCACATAATAATCGATAATGTTTGACATGACGATATTTTGTATTGAAATTCTTTTTGGTTTTGAAACGAGAATGAGCCCAAGATGTTGTTGCAAGTTGAAAAGAAATAGGATGAAACCAACGTGTCATGTTGAAGTAAGAAAGAAAAGAAAAAAAAATACTATTATTATTATTATTTTGAAAGAAAAAAAAAAGAAAAAGAAAAGAACAAGAAATAAATCTAATTTTTATATCTCTTGTTATTGAAGTCGGGCCAAGAAAAATCAAAAAATATCAAATCATCCAAGCATACAACAAACCTAGCCGCAGAACCACGTGTTTTCCATAATAGGTACACATCCGATATACCCTTTTTTTTTTTGTCAATGACATCAATACAATGACTCACTTTCTTAATATCTCTTTGTTAGTAAACAAACGGATCCTATTTATAAAGAGAACTACTTGCCAAGCATTTTTTTTTATATCTATTTATAATAAATAGCACTTAAATTAAAAATAAATCTGTTCTCTATCTGGTTATCCACGTAGTTGGGCCTTATTATTCACTGTTATAGTTTTTTTTTTTTTTTGACAGTTCATATCAACATGTGAAAATGATCATATTCTCAGCTTCAACTGGATGGCTTCATTTTTCACGTGGATGTCTTTTATTGCTCACTAACCCTCCCTTAAGAATGATTACACTAGTCCTAAATAATAATGTTACTGTATCCATTTCTTATCTTTTGAAACTCATGTTCCTTGAACTTATTAAAAAAAATAAAGAGAGAGAGACATGGGAACTAGGGTACCGGTCATTTCTGTTTTGGAGATCATTTCTTGGTAAAGGCTTGGAGAGGGGGAGCAAGCCAAGACCTTTTCCTTTTTTGGCCACCTTTAAGTATCCGCTATTGCAACGATTGACGGTACCAATGGATCCAAAAAAAAAAAAAAAAAAAAAAAAAAAATGGGAGAGTTAGAATTCTAATAGGATGATGTTTCAATTTCATCCTTATCATAAAAAAAAAGTGTCATTGTCAGCCATCATCATAGAAAATCACCAAAAAAAAAAAAACCATCATCAAGCCCCTGTTACGTTTATTAATTGCAATATTATCTTATGGAACATTTCAAATCGTAGAAAAAAAAAAAAGAAACCATGTAACAGCAAGTGCTCTACCTTCCCACTTAAGATTTGTCGAACGCAACAAATTGATCTTTGGTAATAATCTTTATATCTGTGACGATGGATGATAAGTGACGAAGAATGGATGATCAAAAAATAAAATAAAAAAAAAAGAACCATTTGACTATAAAAGGCAAGACTGGCGATTTCAATATTGGATATAGATCAAAATTTATGCAAATGGTATGATATGAGATGAAAATTAGTAATAATATGGAAATATCTCTATATATGTTAGGTAATATCTTTGATGTATGAATTGTCATCGTATATTCCATACTATTTTTTTTTTATGATAGACACTCTATTGTTCAATACTATCGGTGTTTGAAACAGTCATATGTCTTGTGTACAATGAATCTCCAAAATTTTTGCCACCTTTGCTTTCTTTTCTATTCTTTCACCGTCTTTTTTTTTTATACCACAGTGTAAAACGCACTGACAGTGGGGGAAAAAAAAAGGATTGTAATTAGAAGGCGAGTATGCGGAAACAAGGAAACGTATCACAAACAAATATTACTGGAACATCTATCAACAGCAACAATCCTGGAGGGCGAATGCAACGAATAGTGTCTCAAGCTGGATACTATGCTTCAGCTCTAGCTTCTGATGCAATCATACCTGATCAACTACAAATAAAACAACAACAACAACAACAAGAAACAACGGAACACCATGCTATTACTCTTCGTGCAAGGATGTCTGGGGCGATCAATGCTCTTTCTTTAGCTCCTGATGGTGAAGCAGTTGTTATTGCCGGTCGTGAAAGTAAATCATAAAGATGGAAAATAAAGAATACTTTTATTTTGGTTACTTATTCTTTTTTTCTTCTTCTTCTTCTTTTGAACGTAGTTCTCAAGATTATTACTGTGACTCCGGATGAAGTTACTGAAGCTTTCAATTTGCGCGCCGGTAGCCATTTAACGGTCAAATCCAGTAGTAATGATGTCAAATGGGGAAACAATGGTAAGAATATAATACGCTAGTTTGACATGTTCTTTCTTTTCATTTCTTTTATATATATTTTTTTTATAGCAACAAAAACCAAGGTTGCGACAGCAGCTACCAATGGAGCCATCATACTATGGGATATTAATAAAGTTGGACGGAAAACAGGTATAGGGATTATTATTTTTAAGAAAAAAAAAAGATTCACAACAACAGTACTGTTAATAATTTCGGAACATTATCTTTTATAGAACGGGTTATCAATGAACATTCACGAGCAGTCAATAGAATATGCTTCCAACCTGACAATGGAAATATCTTACTTAGTGCCTCTCAAGATGGAACGATGAAATGCTGGGTAAAAAAAAAAAAAAAAAAAAATAATAGGAGACACTTTTGTAATAGAAAATATTAATGATTGATTATTTTCTTTGACGTATTCTGACGCAATAGGATCTTCGTGATGCACGATCGAGAGCCAAATTCCGATTTGAAGGAAAATCTGAATCTGTTCGAGATGTACAATTTAATCCTATGATCCATCATGAATTTGCTGCTGCCTTTGAAACTGGAACTATACAGGTAAATGTGAAGAAAAAGATATATACATATACAGTACCAATACCTTCTTTTTTTAAATCTATAATAGAAATGGGATATGCGAAATCCAAAGGCTCTTTATGATCGCAAGGTTAGCGCACATAATGGTCCTTGTTTGACGGTAGATTGGCACCCTAGTGGAAGAACAGTGGCAAGTGGTGGAAGGGACAAGACAATCAAAGTATGGGATATGAGTGCAGATAATCGACGACCTCTATATACCATCCGCACAATGGCTTCAGTATCACGTGTGCAATGGCGACCTGGCTATGACGACGAAATAGCTTCTTGTGCTTTACTCACGGATCAACGTATTCACATTTGGGATGTAAGGCGACCTAATCTGGCCAAATATGCTTTTGATGAACATGAAACGACACCTACTGGTAAGAATATATATATATATATATATATATGTTTGTGCATAATATTCACCGCATGTTTTATTGAACATTAGGCTTTTTATGGTACAATTCTGATGTTCTATACTCTGTTGCCAAGGACAAGTTTTTTATTCGGCAAGAAGTGGAAGGCTCTTATATACCTGATCAACTATTACGACGAAATGCTGTTAGTTGGAATGCTCAAGGTGATGTCTCCTTTGCTGTTGATAAGAGTATTCATGACGAGTTTGTCAATACAAAGTAAGTATAATCTCCAAAAAAAAAGAAGATTCACTTATAACTCTATTATTATAGAACTACCAAATCAACCGTGTCCGCACCAAAGAAAAGCAAGCGTCTCAATACCAAATTACCATCTGTTGAAGAGGTCATCCAAAAATAGAAGCTTTATAACATTCTTCCTGATCAATTTTTTTATTTATTTATTTATAGGGAATTCAATATGTGCCTTTACAAAGTTGTGGTATTGCTCATCTGCCTTTGTTTGATTTCGAAACATTTTCAGTCTTTGCGGAAAACTATGATATCTCTGGAAACAATGTAGCTGATGCTTGTGAAAAGAATAGTCAGGTAAAGATCATTACAAAAGAGGAGTTGAAAAATAGAAATGTATTAAAAATCTCACGTCTTCATTTGTATTACTTCTAGTTGGGTTGGAAAATGGGTAGTTATCGAACTTCACAGACTTGGAAGATTGTGGGTCTCTTATTCGAAGCTGCACCTTTACTCGAGAATGATCATCCGAATGACAATGGTGTGTACCCTGATAGATAAATAGATTGATATCATTACTCATTTTGTTTCTTTTTATTTTTTTTTTTTTTTTGTAGACGACGAACATAAATTACAAGAACAAATGTCCCGGGCCTTCTTCAATGAAAGTGATGTAAGTACCTTTAATAATGACAAAAGCGATATGTATATGTGTGTATATTATATGTCGTCCAACTCTAATCGTTAACTTCTTTTTGTTGATACATATATATGTCAATAGAAGGATGAGGAACTGGATACGGACGAGGAAGATAAATCAGCAATACAAACTGAAGAAGATGATGATGACGATGATGACGATGACGATGACGAAGATGATGACGAAGATGACGATGATGACGACGACGATGATGATGATGAAGATGACGACAAGGATACCAATGCAAGTGAATCCAATCTACTTGATACAGCGGGGGTAGATCTATTTCCAACGTGGCAACATGATAATGTAGTGGCGGAACTATTCGATTACTATACAGAACAGGTAAAGATAAGTTGGTGGGATCCATTAGTAAAAACATATCTCTTTTTTTTTTTTTTAGTGCGATGTACAAATGTGTGTAACACTGTACCTGGTATTACAAAAGTATATTCATGTGGATGATGATCGACTGGAGGCTTGGTTCAATGCATATATTGATTTACTTCATCGATTCAAACTGTGGTCAGCTGCTACTGCTATTATCAATGCTTGCAAAATCCCTCGGATCCAAGAAAGAAATCAGGTAATTTAGCAAAAAAAAAAAAAAAAAAAATACAAAAAGAGAAAAAGAATAATAGTATATTTTATTTTATAGATGGCTACTACTATCAATATTGCATGTAGCAATTGTTTCAAATTGGTTCTAGGTACAAATCAAGGTGCATGGGCTTGCGATAAATGTCATCGACTATTGAATCCTTGTTCTATATGGTAATGAATCACATAGAACGAAAGAAGATACATAATTGTTACTAATTATTCTTTTTTTTTTTTAATTTTGTTTGACTAGTCATCAAACAGTGAAAAGTCTTTATGTATGGTGTCAAGGATGTAATCATGGTGGACATTTGGAGCATATGCGTGCTTGGTTTTCTGAAGAAAAACAATGTCCTACTGGTTGTGGTCATAATTGTGTTCTGACTTCCTTTGATCCATACAAGAATCAAACTTCTTCTACTTCTACCTGGATATGAATCATCCATTCCCACTCCCTACCCTTGTACATAGATAGACCTTTTTTCCTTTTGTATATCCTTATTTATTATTATTGTACCAATTTTTTCAATAAACGAATCCATTCCTTTGACTTTTTTTTTTTTTCAACACTCGATTTATTTTCAGTGTGAAGAGATAGAATGATTTGGATTAGGACTAGGATCCTGACAGATATGATGAGTATCATGGTACAAATAGATTTGAAACCATGATAACTCCCTTGAAAAAAAAAAAGATCATCATTGCTATAACATCATCTCATCAATTTAAAAAAGTCATCAACTTCAGGCACTTTCTTGAATAGAAAGTGCATCCTATTCTTTAAAAATAATCCACAAGTGGGTATACGTTGGTTGATCATGGATCAAAGTACTTACCCGAATAGGGAAGAATATTCCATCGTTGTTATCTAAAAAAAAAAAAAAATAAGGTGCCATTTTCTCGTTCGTCTAGTGATGATCATCTCAATCTCATTGTTTACCAAAAAAACGTAACAAAGGGAAGGAAAAATTGAAGAATCATCTTGTTGAAATATAAATATGGCAAAACATCAAAATAAACATTCATCTCAAATTTTGAAACGCATCATCTATGATAAGGTAAAAGGATTTTTGATTTTTGTGATTAGTTTCATGGCGGAACAAAAAAAAAAAAAAAAAGAGCCATGTGGTGATGACGAATAAAGATCATGCTATTTTTTTTTTTTGTGTATTATAAAACTTGTGTACAGGATGGATGTGTGTGTGAGCAAAACCGGATCTCGGTATCGGATAGTAAAAAAAAAAAAAAAATGCAACATCAGACAAAATACCCTTTTAAGGACGTTTTTGAATTTTTTTTTAAGGTTGGAAGAATTCTTAGAATCAGATCAACCTTAAAAAAAAAAAAGATGAACAAAACACGTATGTCAAGTGAGATAATATTAAAACAAAAAAAAATAGCGCATAAAAAGAAAAGATCATCGTATTCGAAACAATCCTTCAAAGATCTAAAAAGAATAGTTTTTTTTCTATCAGGTACGATTACGTGACCTTTTTCCCATCCCATCCCCAATTGGAATATAGAGGCTGACAATCAGATCATCAGATTTCAAATCACCGACTTTTTTTTTTTTTTTTTTGATTTGATGTCCGGAACGGTGAAAATCGGAAAGACCAAAAGATAAAAAAATGGTAAGATTCAATTTATTGAAATACAAGTAATAAAACAAAGTAAATATACAATAATAAATATGAAGAGTCAAGAAGAATAGAAAAATAATGATTGAAAATAATAACAATAATAATGATGATGATGTGTGAGAAGAGGACTAACTAAAAAGAAACAAAATGTCGTTTTTATTTCGTTGGTTCCACCACTTGTTTTTCATGTTCCAAACCGATTTCCGGGTCCGCCACCTTTTCATCCAATTCACCATCAGTTGTAACTTCATCAGTACCCAAGATAACCCCGTCCTGATTGACAAACTTTTTCGCATGTTGTAAGGCCGCATCGGCATCTTCTTCTTCGTAGAATTCACCTCGTTCAGCTTTAGCAATAGCAGTATGGCGTTGTTTGAAGAAGAGGTAAACCAAATAAAAAGAAATAAGAATCCAATAAAGACAATAACTAACAATGGTACCAATAGTTGCAGTGTTGTTCCATCCAAGAATAGAATTGAAGATTTGATATCCACCTGTAGAGCCAGTATAATTTTCAGGATTACCCCAAGATACATGCCATACAGACTATCATGTAAAAAAAAAAAAAAAATCAGATTCTCATTCATATATATATATATATATATATATATTATTCAACTTACAGTAGTCACTTTATAGGGAATCGCTTTACCGCCTTCTTCAGCGGATTCACCACCGATGACTTTATTCCATTGATATTGTTCAAAGAAACCAACCGCTTTGGACATCAAACCAGCAGCCACCAAATAGAGAATCACAGTAGAAAAGATAAAAAACCAACGTAATTGTAACATGGAACCACCACGATAAATAATTAAACCTACACAAGATCCAGCAAGGAAACCAGTAATAGCAGCAATAGGAATTGATTTGGCTTGAACATTTAATGAGACACCACCAATAAAGACTACAGCTTCAAGTCCTTCACGTAAAATAGTGATGAAGGGTAATAAGAAGAAGGAATATTTTTGCATCCAATGTTTGAAACTTTGTCTTTTTCCTTTTTGTCCAACTTCCATTGCTTTGGCCAATTTGATCTTCCATTTATCTTGAAGTTTTTCAGCCTTGAGGAAACTATAAAAAAAAATAATAATAATTTAATTTCTATAGAAACATATACCAGTGTACTTACGCGAGACCCATGGCGGTAATCATAATAGTAGCAATCAAACTAAAGGCACCTTCCCAGATTAGTTCAGCATCACCCCATAGATTAGTCAAAACAGTATACCAAACAGCAATAAAGGCAGCACCAATACAAAGACAGATTACTAAACCTAAGACAGCACCAAGCCAGACGTGTTTCCGTAAACGTTTGAAAAGAAGAGAATCATTGTCAAAGGTCATTTTCAGGAACGATAAGAGAACCGAGACAATAATAGAGGCTTCAGTAGTTTCACGAAAAAGAATGAAAAAGATGGGCACATTGAAATAATCTTCAGAAGCCATGATAAAAATTTATTCTATTAACAAGGCGTGTTAAGTTGTAGAAATAAAAAAAAAAAAAAAAAAAAGAAAAAAAGAAAAAAAGAAAAAAAAAAAAGACAACAAAACAATCAGAAGAGAGAATTAAAAAAAAAATAATAAAAATGAAAATCCGATGATCAAAAGAGGTATCTGACTTGAGAAAATCTTTCTATCTTCCAATCAAATTTCAGGAACTGGTCACGATGGTGTCCTCTCTTTGGGTAAACCGTCGATCAGATAACTTTACCCCATTCATTAACTAAACTGATCGTCCATCTTTGTTAAATGATCTAACTATCTATATAGTTAAATAAATGGTTTCACCAATAACGATCTGATTACAACCAATCATAATAGATCAACATTCTATTGTTTTATTGTTTTTTTTTTTTTTAAAAAAAAAAAAGAGAAATGAAATAAATCAAAGAAGTATATAAATTGATCAAAGAAGTTCTTTTTTTTTATTTTATTCTATTAAATAAATGAAGAAATACGAGAGGGGAGAATATAAAAACTAAGGAATACATTTTTTTTTATATAAATAAATATATATACATAATACAACAAATAAAAAGTAAAAAAAAAAAAAAGGAAAGTGAAATAGTAATGACCATAAATAGAAGAGAGGAATGCAAAATAATAATAATAATAATAAAAAAAAAAGAGTAATAAAATAGTACAACAAAATAAAAAATATATAAAAAAAAAAGATGGATGACGTTTTAATTATTAGACTTTGGTTTCATTCAAAGTTACCACTTCTTCAGTAGCCAATTTTTCTTGATGACCAGTAATAACACCATCTTGATTCACATATTGACGGGCCTTATTCAATGCTTCATCAGCATCTTCATTTTCGAATTCACCACGTTCAGCTTTCTTGATAGATTGTACTTTAGCCTTCCAGTACATGTACACCAAATAAGCAGAAACCAAGAGCCAATACAAACAATAACTGACAATAGTACCAATAGTAGCAGTGTTATTCCAACCAAGAATAGCATTGAAAATTTGCCAACCACCATTAGTATTTGTATTCAATTCAGGATCACCCCAAGATACATGCCAAACAGCCTAATCATATAAAAATCAATATCATCATCATCATCATAAAATATCTTTTTTTTTTTTTTTGTAACTTACTGTAGTGACCTTGTAGGTAATGACATCACCACCTTCTTCAGCAACTTCACCACCAATCACTTGATTCCATGAATATTGTTCAAAGTAACCAACAGCCTTGGACATCAAACCAGCAGCGACAAGATATAAAATGATAGTAGAGAAAATAAAGAACCAACGTAAACGCATCATAGAACCACCACGGTAAATAATATATCCGACCAAACAACCACAGAGGAAACCCATAATAGCAGCAATAGGAATAGATTTGGCTGTTACACTCAAAGATACACCACCAATGAATACCACTGCTTCGAGACCTTCACGGAGCACAGTAATAAAAGGTAAGATAAGGAAGGAATATTTTTGCATCCATTGTTTGAAAGTTCTTTTTTGTTTGGTCTGTCCAGCTTCCATTGCCTTGGCTAATTTGACTTTCCATTTGTCTTGTAATTTTTCTGTTTTTAACATGGCAAAACCCATCACTGTAATCATGATTGTAGCCAAAAGAGAGAAACAACCTATCAAAAAAAAAAAAAATAGGTTAGTCATCCATTGTGATAAAATAGAATCACTTTTTTTTTTTTTTTTTTTTTGCAAATGAATCATCCATTGGAAGTAGAATTATCCATTGTAAACAGAATTATCCATCAAAGAAGAATTATCATTTACAAAAGAATCATCCATTGCGCGTAGAATCATCCTCTACAAAAGGATCATCCATTGTAAAGAGGTTTCATCCAATTACCTTCCCAAATATCTTCAGAATTGCCCCAAAGATCATTCAAAAGAGTATACCAGACAGCAATAAAAGCAGCACCAATACAAAGACATATAGCTAGACCAGTACCGGCACCAATCCAAACTTGATTACGAAGGCGTTTGTAAAGAGGAGTAGAATCATCAAAGGTCTTTTTCAAAAAAGACAAGAGGACAGACACAATGATAGCTGCTTCAGTGGTTTCCCGAAACAAAATAAAAAAAATGGGCACATTGAAAAGATCTTCTGCAGCCATTGTGAAGAATAAATAAAAAAAAAAGAAAGTGAAAGAGAAGTAGAAAAAATAAAAAAAGTAAAAAAAGGTCAAATATAGTCAAATAGAAAATAAGGAAAAATAATAAAGACCGATAGGCTAAAAAAAAACTTTACTGAGTTCTCGATAATAATAATTTTTTTTTTCCTGAGTCACTATTTCTACCTATGATTTTGATTTATATTGCTGATAAAGAAGAAAAAAAAAAGAATGTCTATGGTACAAGTGACACTTGATTTTTTTTTCATTGAGCGACGAAGAAAAGTACTTCTTTTTTTTTCTTTTTTATCAGATGATGATTGGAAAGGGTTCCCGTTCTTGGGATGACCGTCAGTGGTGAGTCCCTTTTGTAATTCAAATTCACATAGAATGTTTCTTATTTTTCCACTTTGTGTTTATCAGATTGACATAATCAACGTGACTCTGATACCTTATTTCATCTCCGTTGATAATGAGAAAAAAAAAATCTTTTTTTTTTTTTTTTTTTGTGTAGAAGATGATTGACTCGGGAGACAAGGTTTTTTTTTTTTTTCATCATCATCCAATGAACCTTATCCCCTCTTTTGTTCCACGTCTATTAGATGTATGTGTAATCTTTAAATCAAAACCCAGCTGACTCGGGATAGTCAACAAAATTTTGATCGGGTCTCATCTGATAAAGTGGTAAAGATTTTCCCCCCTTCTCACAAGCCATTTTTTTTTTTATTGTTATTGTCGGATTTTCATCTTTTTCATCTTTCTCTTTCCTCTTTTCATCACTTTTTTTTTTTTTTTTTTTTTTTTTTACTCTCCAATTTATCACTGATGCGTCTTTTGGCTTGTCTTTTAGCAGTTGGTGTTGGAGTCACTCAAGCTGCCCGTGTTGTCTATGATTGGAATATCACTTATGTGAATGCAAACCCTGATAATTTATTTGAACGTCGTGTCGTTGGTGTCAATAATGCATGGCCGTAAGTAATCTTTTTTTTTTATATGGACGATCCCTCTTAACTTTTTTTTTTTTTAAATAGTCTTCCTCCTATTCACGTGAATATTGGTGATACTTTGGTGATCAATGCTCATAACAGTTTGGATGTACCTACCTCTCTTCATTCCCACGGTATGTTCCAAAATAACACAGTAAGTAAAACATCAAAAAAAACAAGGCGTTGTTCTTCAACTATGTTTTATTAATAAAGAAACTCTTCAAAATAGCCTTATATGGATGGTCCAGTGGGTGTGACTCAATGGTAAGATTTATTTTTATAAAAAAGACATTTCAATTAGTATTCTTAACTTTTTTTATCTTTCCTCTTATTTAGTGCTATTCCTCCTAACTATAACTTGACTTATGAATTCAACATTACTCAACATGGTAGTTATTGGATCCATAGTCATTACATGGTAAATAAAAAAAAGAAAAAAGAAAAGTATCCTCATTCAGATAACCCATGTTTCTTTCTTTCTTTCTTTCAGGGTCAATATATGGATGGTCTAAGAGGTCCTTTAATTCTTCATAACGTTAATGAAACTTACAAGTATGACGAAGAAATGATTGTCACTGTCTCAGGTAAGTTGTTTTGATACATAATCAATATGAAAGTTAGTAACATTTTTTCTTTATCCTAATAGATTGGTATCACAAGCAAAGTAATGACAATTTGAACACATTTATGAGCGTCTATAATCCTACTGGTGCTGAACCTGTTCCTCAATCTGGTATCATCAATGATAGTGCTAATACTACTTTTACCTTTATTCCTGGAAAAACCTACCGCCTTCGTCTTATCAATATGTCTGGTTTCAGTACATTCTATATTAGTATTGATGGTCACACCTTGGATATTATTGAAGTAGATGGGGTAAGTTATGACATCCTTTAAACAATATTCTCTAATTTGCTTTATTCAATAGGTTGAAACTCAACGTACTTCAGTGGATAGCCTCTATTTGACTGCTGCTCAACGTATTTCTGTCCTTGTTACTGCTAAGAACAATACTGATCTTAACTACTATATGCATGCTGATATGGCTACTGATATGTTTGATGTCATGCCTGATGATCTGAATCCCAGTAAGTCCATATTAATCAAATATGATATGATCGACTGATCTTTTTTTATTATTGCTATTAAATAGATATCACTGCTCCTATTTATTATAACACCAATCATCAAAACTTTGCTCCTAGTCAAGATATCGGTATGGCTTCTCCTTTTGATGATTTCCTCTTGGTTCCTTTGGTCAACGCATCTATTCCTGGTCCTGATCAATCTCTCAACTTGACCTTTAATTTTGAGGTTACTACTGATGGTATCAATCGTGGTATGTTCAATGAACTTCCATATTTGCAACCCAAGGTGCCTACCCTCAATACTATGCTTGGTATGGGTAATTTGTCTAACAATGTTGATGTCTATGGTCCTCAATCTATGGCTTTCATGATGAAACATCTCGATTTTATTGAAGTCGCTGTCTCCAACTTTGATGCTGGTAACCATCCTTGTAAGTCATCTAGGAAAAAGAAAAAAAAATTATTATTTCATCATATTGATTCATTTCTTTTTTTTTTTTTTAATAGTCCATTTGCATGGTCATACTTTCTATATGGTGGGTAGAGGTAATGGTACCTGGCTTGGTGCTAATGCTGGTACTACTGAATGGTTTAGTAATCCTATGAGTCGTGATACCATCTTGATCCCATCTGAAACTTACGTGGTTCTTCGCTTCCGTGCTGATAATCCTGGTCCTTGGTTCTTCCATTGTCACATCGATTGGCATTTAGAATCTGGTTTGGCTGCCACTTTTATCGTTGCTCCTGATGTTGCCCAGCAACGTATGACTTTACCTCAAGCTTTCTTGGATGTATGTACTGCTGGTGGAAACCCTGCTACTGGTAATGCTGCTGGTAAAGAAGGATTAGATCTTAGTGGCGCTCCTAGTGGTGTAACTTTGATTTATGATGGCTTTACAGCCAAGGGCAAAGGTGCTATGGCTGCTTGTATTTTGTGTGCTTTGATTGGTATGGGATCCATTGTGTTCTATGCTCTTTCTGATCCTGAAAAGAAGGCCCGTGCGATTGCTGATGCTAAACGACAAGGTGCTACTCCTCCTTCTTAGTTTTATTTTGGTGATTCCCCTGATCATCTCTTCTTTTTTATTTTTATTTTTTATTATTATTATTCTTTTTTTTTATATATTTTAGTTCTTATTCATTATTATATCATTTTATCAGTTTTTTCTTCCCCCTTTTTTACTCCATATATAGGATGGGCCATTCATCTCATTGTTTCTCATTATATAGACATATTTTCTATTTTACTGTATACTTTCTATATGTAAATGCCTTTATTGTTTTCTTGTATTATTTCTATCTACTCATTCCCCCACTTATTCTTTTATTTTTGTTTGTTTGTTTTCATTGAATTATATAATAATAATAAAAAAAAATCATCTTTTTTTTTTATTATTGATTTATGATCTTTGTGTTTCAACAGCCTTAGATTTTTTTTTTTTTTTGTGAAATCAAAAAGGATTTACATCGTAACATCTATTTCAGGACTAGATTTAATCTGAGGGGTTTTCATATATATGTTTTTGATATTTTATCTTTTATTTCTATCCTTCTGAATCATTTTTCAACAATCATCATGTTTGCTATCAGTCATCAATAACGTAATCATCAGTACGATGATGATACAGCGGAGTAAAAAGTGGATGTGTCTATTTTTTTTTTTTATATATATATATTTTTTTCTGCAGGGTTCCAAGCTTTTTTTTTTTTTTTTTTTTTTTCACATATTGAAGTTTTCAATGTCTTTTGTGAAATCCTTTTCTCGCATAGCTCGACCTATCTACACACATGTTTCAAGAAGAACACTATACCATTCTCACCAAACTCGATGGCTGATTATACATAAAAGAACGACATCATCTCTTCTTCGGTCCTCACAGCAAGCTTGGTTTCATGCCTCACCTTTCAACTCAAGTCCTTATGAAATCAGGTGAGTATAAGTTATTATTTACTTTATATATTGGACGTATCTTTTTCAACCCATTCTGTTCTAATATATCATACTCTTTTTTTTTTTTTTTTTTGTAGTGAATTGACAGACGACAGTTATCATCGTATCTCGGATAATACCTTGCATCACATGGTCGACATTTTAGAAGCTATTGGCGATGAGACTGATCTGGATGGATTTGATCTTGAATATTCAGTAAGTTAGATAAGAATACCGAAGAAGAACGATTGTTTGATTTTTTTTTTTTTTTTTTTTTTTTTTTTTTTTGGTGATATGGATATAGCAAGGTGTAATGACTTTGAATCTTGGTGAACACGGTACCTATGTTATCAACAAACAACCTCCCAACAAACAAATCTGGCTTTCATCTCCAAAGAGGTAATAACAATAACAATAATAATAATAATAAAGAAGGATGATCATTCATGTACCATGCATTTATTCTCATCCGATTCTTTTAAACTTTTTTTTATATCTATCTCATTGAAAAGTGGTCCTAAACGATATGATTATGATGCCAACAAACAGAAATGGTTCTACAGTCGTGATAACCATACCTTGGATGAACTATTGAATAATGAATTGGGTGATATTTTGGGAAAAGTCGATGTCTTGGAAGGATTAGAACAAAATGAATGAATAGTTTTAGATGGATTCCTTTCAATTATATATATTCTCTTATTTTTTTTTTTTACTCCAAAAACATGTATACACAACAAATCTAATAAAAACATATCTATTGAATTTATTATGTTGTTTTCTTCTAAATATCTTGTATTTATGTCTATCGTATGTATCCAAATGGGGGTTTTATTTTGATCTAATAATAAAAAAAAGTATATTCACAACCGTATAAAAAAAATACATAATATGGAGAGGGAGGGATAGAAGAAAGATGGACAATCAAATAATAGTAATAATAATAATAATAAAAAGGATGTAAATATAACTATAATAAAGTGCTAATAATAATCACTAAAGATCTAGGGTAAATCATTTGCTTCTACTACTTCCAGATGCATATTGACGTTTGTTGATGTCGAAAGGAATATATCGATACTTGATCATATGTTTGATTTGTCGTCGCATGGTGATAGCAAATAGAACACAAAAGTAAACCAAAAGAATGGGCCAATAAACAGGGATATCAAAGATACTAAAGAAGCTACAAAATAAAGCAATCAAAGTTGCTTTAGTGACAGAATACCTAAAAAAAAAAAAAAAAAAAAAAGTTGAGCTTTTTCACTTTTATTATATCTGACCAATCCCAATTTTCCACAATTCAATTTACCAAAACTTGAATTCAGGGAGACGTCGAATAAAAGGTTTAAATTCTTCATCATTCTTGACCGGTAAAGAGGGACCTTCTTCCATTTCATTTTCTTGTGTATCCATTTCCATTGAAGGGTCGAATTTTGGAGTCAAGAAAGCCAAAAACAAATTCAACATATAAATCCCGAGAGCGTACCTATACGAGAGAAAGTGTTAAGCATAAAACACTTCACGCGCTTCCCAATAACATACAATATACAAACTTACGTGACAATATACCAGCCTTCAGCCAAGATGATGCGTAACATGAATAAAACGAGTAATACAGTTGTAGCGATCCATCGATATTGTGTAAATGGTGTCACTTCATCCAAAAAATGTTGAAATCTCTACATATATATATATATTTTCAAAATTAATATGGATAAGTAAAACATCTATAAAATAATATATTTTCCTCCTTTTTTGTATGATCCATTCGTTTCAAATAAATACATGCTACCACAAGTATTTTTAGATGAAAAGTTCAAAAGTAGATTGTACCATGTTCAACAACTGACAGTCTTTCCCCTTTCTTTTTTTTCTTTCTTTCTACTTACCCTTTCCAACATGGTTTTTTGTTGTAATAAATTGTTACTAGTTCCTTCGGTTTCTCCGGCAATATCGTTCATAATATTAGAAAATATATTATAGATGTTATCTAAAAAAAAAAAAAAAAAAAGAAAAAGAAAAAATGAGAGAAAGTATAGAAAAATTTTGCCTCCTCCTCTCTTTTTTTTTTATGAGACTGGGTTTAAAGTTCAATTTTGAAAGGAAAGAAAGGAAGGGTTCATTGTGGTTCAGGACAACCAAAAGAAGTATTGACTGTCCCATCAAAACAAATCATTTATCATAAATCTCATTTAGTTCATTTATTTTTCATCTTACCTTTATAAGAAAACTTTTTTTTATGGATATTTATTACTTTGATGCTTAAATTTATAAATGAAGGTCTATATTGTGATCATAAGTATAATGATCTTTTTCAATGTTGATTACTCAATGATAGTCCAAATTTGAAAATATAATCATCATCTCCCACTTTGCTTATCCTTTTTTTTTTAATGAAAAATAAAAAATAAACAACACATTTCTTAGTTAAAACAATTTGATATTTTTGGTTGACAAATCGACTTTTTAATTCAACACCACCTTGATGTCAAATAAGTATCCTAAATAATATATTGAAGTGGACACTTTCTTTATTACTGAAGTGGTCAAGCTGTATGATATTTAAGGATCATCCTATGATTATTCCTTCCTACAGGCATTCGAATGATCGATCATCCAGTCATTGTATTCATCGACAGTAAGACTTCATCGTGTTAAGCTAATAAAAAGAAAAAAGAGAAAGAAGACAACAGAAATATTATGCTTTCCAATACAATAAGACGTTGAAGAGAGATAGAAGGAAAAATGAGATAAGTGGTCATTGAGGGGGAACTGAGAAAGGAATGAATGAGAATAAACAATATTTTATTGATGAAAAGAATACAGGGATAAAGGGAATAGTAGCAGTAATAATAATGATGATGATCAATGCCGCTTGAATATATCTATGTATCAAGAAGGTCAAACTGAGTAGAAGATAGCGTTTCAGAACGTGATATTGTAGGGGAGAGTCTGTTCTTGTATTTTTCCAACATAGGATGAGCTTGGTTGCAAGAAATGTTGTCCAAAGCCTTGTTCATTAGATCCTACAAATTGGAATATTCTATTGGTTAGTCTATCCTTTTTTTTTTTTTTTTTTTTTTTTTTGCGTTCAACTTAACCTTCCAACCCAGGAGTTTCTTCAGGGTATTGTCCAACAACAAGTAATGATCGTCGACAAAAGGTATTTTGATGATGGCGTAAAGATAATAGGTATAAAATGGTTCTTCTTGATCGAAATATATGATATAGAGCTGGATCGTGTCTCCTAAAAAGCAAAAAAAAAAAAAAAAAAAAATGGTTGAGTTGATACAGCAATGTCATAAAGAAAAAAGATAGAGACTTGTATAAGATTTACCAGCCACAACCATTCCAAATGATACCAATCCTTGATCATTTTTACTCCTCAATAGGTTCACATGTAGTTGTCGTTTTGCCAGTAACATCACTTTCACCCTATCACAATCCATTTGCCCTATACATCTACCAGGTGCCTTGACTTCACCGTTCCCAATTTCAATTCTTGTATTAGAATCCAATCGAGCACAAAAGAGTAAATCTGATCTCGTTTTTACTTGATCTTTCATATTGTCATTCTTGTAAATTAAGGATGTTGAGTCCCTACATCATATAACATGAATAAAACAAATTAAAAGGAAGACGTGAGATCATCATCGATAATCATCTTTTTTTTTTTTTTATATCTTACCACTTGATAAATATCCTGTCGCTAAACAACGGTGTCAGTAATCCAGTTAGAGAGGTAGCTATAAAAGTCATTTCGGATACCAAAGATGCTTCAGATTTGGCTTGTTTCAATGTAGGTGGTCGTAAAGGTAGATAATGGTAAAAGAAGTAGATGTTCATTAGAATATGACTGAGCTTCAAACAATCCAGATCTGGTACTGTTCCTTCTATCGATGATGATGGTATAAATAACGATCTTGTTTCAATGGCGTCTTTCAATCTGGAAATATCATTTTGAATGATAGAAGGTAACACAGCACTAGGAGGGAAACGGGCAAAGTCCACTACTGTTGACGGAAACAAAGAAGAGTACACGAGACAACCATTCAAATCCTTTGGAGACAGTTCGCCTGCATTTGCAAGATCACAAACTCGTTGGAATTCCTTGGATTTTGATGAAACAGAAGACATGGATGATGCTGTTGCACGAAGATCGAGTTTAATGAATGGATCCAGTTCCACATAGTCCAAATGCCATATATGTCGTTTCTCTTGTTTTTCTTCTTCGGTTGAATGTTCGAGGTCGCTAGATGGATAGTAAGTGAGATCCGAATTAAAAAGTCCTGGAGAATACTAAAAAAAAAAAAAAAATCATTTAATAAATGGATATATCATAAATCATTGCATTATCTCTATGGTCATTGGGATTACATTGTCACTGTCATCAATATGACTAGGCGTACCTATATCATCAGCAAGATCACTAAAAAGAAAACAAAGATAAAAATCAAATTAATCACTTTATTTTAATGGGGAGTGAATTACCTTGGTTTTCTTTTGAGAGTTTCGCGTGATTGTGGTGAAAGGTTTTCCCGATGCTGCTGCTGTTGTTGTTGTGGTTGCTGTGATGATGATGGCGGCGTTGACCCCTATAAGATAAAAAAAAAAAAAAAAAAAGGAAAGAGTTAGCAAGTCCACCAATGGCATCAGATGTATAATATCGATATATATATATATGTATATATGCTTGTCACTCACACTTACTTCAGAAATGCTGGAAGTAGAAGGAAACCTAGACAGAGTAACAGAGGTAAATGAATTAGTATGTGACAAATACATATAGGAAAGTACATTATAGACTACCTGTTATTCACCGTGTTCTTGTTACCATGGATGTTATTCACTTGATGTATGCTGTTGTCAATCTGTAGTGTAGTAGTAGCTGTTGCCTTGGAGGATTTTGTATCTAACTTTATTGCGATTAAGAATCAAAATGGATAATAAATGAGTTGCAAGTAAATTAGTCAACCTACATATATACACCTACCGTAGCTTGCTTGTTTGCAGCAAAACTTCTGAGAGAGTTAGGAAGTTCCTTGTTCCTTGCCAGGCTAGATAAAGAATCGTGGTAAAGTTGTTTGGTAAAGTTGAGGTTCGTTGCATTGTGTGACGCAGTAAATGTCGAAAAGGCCCATTGACGCGGTGGTATTGTTAAAAAATAATTGTCTACTTTGATAAGTTCGATATGTGGAAGTTGCTCGATGATGCTTTTATCAAAGTTGAAACCCATTTGTATTGGAGTTAAAATTGAAAGAAGAGTGATTTTTTTTGCATAGAAAAAAAAAAAAAAAAAGGAACTGAATAAACGGAGATTGAAATGGAGGACATCATAATGATCAAATATCTAATGAGAAACAAAAAATATTCTCCCTCTTTTTGTTCTTCATCTATTTACAATTATATCACTCTTGTGCAAAAACTTACGGAATACAACCTTGTGGAAGATCGAGTTTGGGTGATAAAAAACCGACAAACGTCTCACATACTGTTGGATCTTTGGAAGGTATGTTGTTGGCTAACTCGACTCAATTCAGGAAGACTTGGGAACTCATCCTTGTTCCGACAAATGGCAGTGCATTGTGGTGACAACAACGTTCTTTTGTTACTCCTTGTTATTTGCTAGCCTTTCTAATTGATATTGCTTCCTCTAGCAGCTTGGTTGTAGATGGATCGGGCTTGGGTGATAAAAAACCGACAAACGTCGCGCATACTGTTGGATCTTTGGAAGGTATGTTGTTGGCTAGCTCGACTCAATTCAGAAAGACTTGGGAACTCATCCTTGTTCCGACAAAATGCAGTGCATTGTGGTGACAACAACTTTGTTTTGTTACTCCTTGTTATTTGCTAGTCTTTCTGATTGATATTGCCATCTTTTGATTCCTCTTTCAATGATATGATTTGCCGATTCGAATAAAACAAGGTAATGAAATGTAAATTATAATTAATGTTGTGGTAAAATACTCACTTTTTTTTTTTTTATTGATCGAGGAGGAAGTAATTGAAGCGAGCAGGTGGATGTATAACTGGATCAATTTGAAGGAAGATAAAGCATGAATATGGACTGGATAGCTAGATTCGAACTGATCAAGAAAGGCAATGGGGTTAGGCACTTGTATTTTTTTTGATGATCTTCTTCTGGCTTGGTTGACTTTTTCGTCTCTTTCTCGTTTGGCTATTATCATGATGATTCTTTTTTTTTTTTTTGGATAGTTAGTATTAGTCAATTAATTTTACATATATACTGTTTTCTACTTTCTTATATTAATAAATCCATATTCATATTTTATTATTATCTCTGAATCATCCTATAGCATGTTATTATTATAGTAAAAGGAACGAATATTTACATATAGCTATCATCCAATCATTTGATCCTACTATCACTTTATTACTTGATGAATATTGACCATACTTATTACTATTATTATTATCATCAACTTATCGATTCAATCGTGAATGTTGATTTGTTCTTATTAGATCAGTTTGTTATGATTTTTCTTTTTCATCATCATAGTGGACTGATTATGGAGTTACCTTCGTAGTGTTATCATTATAGACGTATCTTTGTAAAATCACATTTTATTCATCATCATCATCCATCATCATCATCCATCATCATTAATATATCTTAATAAAAAATAATAATAGTGGATTCTTTATAAAATGGATTGATAAGGCTAGTGAAAGATATACTTTTGCACTGTAACTTTAAAAGGTATATGTGATGCAGGGTTAAGAGTCACTGTTTGTACTGCATTCTCTTGGAATAAATAATGATGATGCAGTTATTACCATGACAATCTTTTATGATATATCGCATTGACACTGTACGACATGCGCTATGGTAAAACTCACTTTAATATTTGGTAATAAATAATAATAATAATAATGACAAAAAAGGATGATAGATCATAGAAAATAATGTGTTCTCTTTATAAAACCAAGTATGATTGGACTAGATACAATAATAGGATAGATAACGATACATAATAATAATAATAAAAAAGATTTGTCTACTTAAGTTTATAACTAGAAAAGGGATCATCCGTTAAAATATTTATTGAACTAAGGAAAAAAAAAGTGTCATCATTTCAGTCACCAGGTGCTAAACAATTGACAACTTGTTGAATGAAAAAGGAAAAACTCTTGGGATATCTAAAATTATATTGACAGATTCATTGGACGATAAGAATTATTATTAAAATAAATAAATAAATAAACGCCAACCATGATTATAAAGATATTCAATTATTTTTTTCAATCATCACCCTTTGTGCTTATACCTGGACTAGGTCACTCAAAGTCTGAGTTCCAAATATATAGAAATAAATTTTTTTTTTCTTTTTCTTCTCTCATAGCCATCCCCTTAGACCTATTTTTTTTTTTTTGTTTTTTTAAAAAAAAGAAAAAGTTCACTTAGTCACTACAATTCATCCTTATATTTCAATCTTATATTCAAATTTATTCTTCTTAATATACCACTCTGATATATTTTTTTTAATAAACATGGGAATCCAAGGTTTATTACCTCTGTTTGATAAGGTACAACAAAAAGTCAATATCAAGGAGTATTCTGGTTGTCGCGTTGCTGTGGATGGAAATGTTTGGCTTCATAGGGGTGCTTTTGCTTGCGCGAAAGAATTGGCTCTGAATCAACCTACAACAGGGTAAGCTACTTTATAATATATTTAATAAACTTCCTTTCTTATTATCAACACTTAATATTTTTATTCTATTCCTCACTAAGTTATGTTAACTATTTCAAGAAACAAGTGGAATTCCTTCAATATCACAAAGTTGAACCTGTTATTGTTTTTGACGGTGAAGCTTTACCAATCAAAAAACATACAAATGATCAAAGAAGACTGTAAGTAATAATCCATATATTATAAAAAAAAAAGATAAAAGATTTAATATCAAGGCAACTATTAAACTGTAAAACAATTTCTTCGTTTAGGAAACGCCAAATTGCCCGCGACCAAGCAATGGATTATTTACGACATGGGAATTTACATCAAGCTACTGACTGCTTTCAAAAAGCCATTCAAATCACTCCTCACATGACAAAAGAAGTAATCAAGGTAAAACCTGATTTCATAAATCAAAAAAAAAGAAAAATATTATTTGTGTTACTACACTCCTTAATATTTATTTCTTTTCATTATGATAGTATCTTGAATTAAACAATATCAAATATATCCATGCGCCCTATGAAGCTGATGCTCAACTTGCTTTTCTCTGTCAAACTGGTCTGGTTTCTGCTGTCATCACTGAAGATTCGGATCTTTTGGTTTTTGGTTGTCCAACTGTATTACTCAAAATGAATGCCTATGGTGATGCTGTTCAAATCCGTCAAAAAGATATCTTTCAAAAAGTTAATCAAGATATTGACTTTACAAATTGGAATCTCATGAAATTACGACATATGTGTATCCTTTCTGGTTGTGATTACTTACCTTCCATTCCTGGTGTGGGAATTAAAACAGCTTATAAACTCTTTAATCGATACCAAACAATATCCAAGGTATTGTCTGTCTTTTTTTTTTTTTTTAAAAAAAAACATATATTCATGGATTATTTTGTTTTCAAATATATATATAGGTTCTGTACCATTTACAACGTCAAAGGAAACTAAAAATCTCTCCCGATTACGAACATAACTTCTTCAAGGCGAATGATGCTTTCTTATTTCAATATGTATACAATCCTCTGTCCAAGAATTGCACTCGTTTGAACAAGTTACCAACTGGCAAAACATATCTTGATTATGACTTTTTGGGTGATTCTCCAAACGATGAAGAACCAACCTTGAAAGTGCAAGTCAAATCCGTTGAAAGCAAGACATCATCCTCTTCAAGATTCCCCTCTATGGTTACCTCATCAACGTCATCAGCACTTCCTTTACGAAATATTCAAAATCAACCTTCTACAACCTTATCTACAAACGCAGTACTTCCCAAGAAATACTCGTCAATGACGGAAACAGCTATATACGATGAAAATAACAAGGAAAACATACCAGTAAGTCATGAATTTATATTGATCTCCAAACAAAGAACCTTGTTCTGACCTTTTTTTTTATTTTTTTCTTCTTCTTATTATTACTATGTACTAGCCTTGGATTACAATGACTGCTGTTACCCAACCTAACAATCAACAATTGAAAAGAAAATATGATGATTCCCATGAACAACAACACATCAAGCCATTACTACCTCAATCAAATATCATTTCATCCAATAAAAAACGCAAAACTTCATTAGCATTACCTACAGCAACTGAATCCTTGAAACCATCTTTCTCACGAACTTCATATACCCATCCACAAGTCACATCAGCAACATACATCTCGCTTTTTGGACTGTGTAGAAATGACCTATCGTCACGAAAGCGAAAATTGATCAACTCTACCATACTCTCTCCGACGGATGTGCTTATTCCATCAATGACCAAACGATTCCATGTTACTCACTGATCTCTCTCTCTCTTGTATATCCTTTGAAAATCGATACTGTCATCTATCATTGTTATTTGTATTAGGTCGATCCTTTTTGTTGAAAATGAAAGTGAATGAAAGGATGATTTGTTCAACAAACAAGAAACTATCAATTAATTGTCAAAATTCCATGTAAATCATCCTTCATTTATTTATAACATGTCTCATTATCAAAAAGTTCTTTGTTAGAAATCTCAATATATTTGGCAGTATTACGTTTGTATCAATTTCATTATAGTTACCTTTATTCATTTTATAAATATTCCCCTCGTTTAGTTTGTTATACATATACAGTATTAGTTCATTCCACACAAAAAAATAATAATACAGTATTAGTTCATTCCACACAAAAAAATAATAATAATCCAGGTTTACATATGCATCCACACACACACACACATATATATATATATCTCCTCCTCTTTATTATTATTTTTTCTTTGTTTATACATATATCTTTTCATTCAAATTCAATAAAAAAAAAAAAAATCAGTTTCTTTTCTTTTTTTTTTAAAAAAAAAATAAGGAGACGGGATCATCTAAACATGTACACTGTCATCTGATGTTACACTATTCTATTATTCCATCCATAAAAAGTTACAACCTTGATTTCCCAATTGGATTATTGCGACGATAGTATCTACCGTTATCATTATCATTATTATTGTTATTGTATGTAATCACCATGGCATCCGTTTGTTTTTCATTGGCAGCAAATTCCATCAATTGTTGTGTCATACGTAATGTCAAACCCCAGAGAACCACAGGTCCATCATCATGATGTTCTTTCTGTCGATGAGAGTGAATAGTCGTTGTTGAATCAGTATTAACTGGTAAAGTAATCGATGGTACTTGTACAATCCCTGGTCTTGGATTTTGTAGGAGTCTTTGTGTGTCTGGAATATGTGTACTGAATGGATCATAACCAACGACGGGTGTTGATAAAAGATAATGTAATTTTATCCCTGTTTTCACCAAAAAAAGAAAAAAAAAAGATGAACATTGGTTCCATCTCTATCATGTGGTGCTTCTTTTTTTTTTTTTTTTTCCTTTTTATTCACTTACAATGAACGGCAGCTACTTCATCTGGTTGGATTGTCAATGGAGGAGTTTCTGGTGTCAGTTGTAAGAAGACTATAATGAAAAGAAGAAAGAGTTATAAATACAGTATGGTAATAATAAAAAATTTTTTTTATTGGTATGTGTCACTTCGATCAGTATTACCAAAAGGAACCAAAATCATCATAAATTTATTTTCCAATGATGTAATTGTTTTGTCATCCAATTTGCCCAAATGGAGAAAGTCAGGTCCACTCAAGTCAAGACCAATTTCTTCTTCTACTTCACGCATTGCTGTATCAATATCTGTTTCATTTTCTTCACTCTTTCCACCAGGGAAAGCTACCTACAAAATAAACAAATAAATAAATCAATTTTCTCATTTAAAAAAAACTTTTTCTCATGTTGGTTTTATATATATATATATATTTGATACCTGTCCAGACCATAAATCACCCGGTCGTTTTGTACGTTGAATATATAAGAGTTCTAATTCACCAGGAATTAATGTCATTTGATCTATAAATTGAGTCAAGGGTGTAGAATGCGTTGTTGTTGTTGGACGACGAAAAGACATGGTATCAAGTAGTTTTGTTGATTGTTCATTATGAATTTTCCATCGTAATATTGCTGCAACACCAGCTCGTCTTGGATGTGAAGCTGGAGATACTGTGTTGAGAATGGGACTTGATTGTAGGTTTTCACATAACGTTTTTAAATCTAATAAATTATAATGTAGAGTTAAGCTTATATATATTGATATTATACCATTTTTTTTTATTTACGATGAAGTGACATTATAATAGTAGAATAGTGTCAATTATGAAAAAAAAGAGAGAGAAAGAGAGATAGAGAAAGTTGTTTATGTAAGAGAGAAAAAAGGTGGGGAAAATTGTGTAAATTCTCTTTGCACTGGGATTTTCTCAATCTCGAATTTATAACCTCCGCAATCACCTTTTTTTTGTTCATGTGATTTCTTTTTTTTTTTTTTATTGAATAACATTGATAATGATCTTCTTCTCTCTTGTATTGAATGATGATTAATAATTAGTTCTCTTAAAAAAACTATGAATAAAATGAAGAAGAGATGATAAATTGTTCATTCAAATGATATGTACTAACATATTCATTTATTTATTTATTTATTTTTCTTTTCTTTCAAAGGAGCTAATATTGATTAAACCAGTGATACATTTTGTTTAGATTGATAAATAACTTATTTTCATTCAAGTATATATATGTTATTCTCTGACATCCGCATGATTTGTGATCACCAATAGGAAAGAAGTTGGCTGAGTGTAAATTCAATGTTTTTTTTTTTTGAACTGATGTTTGGAATTTCTTTTTTTTTTTTTTTTTTTTTTTTTTTTTTTTTCAACAAAAGTCAATTGGACCAAACTGGTCAAACTTATATTATAATGACTGATCAAACTTCTCGCAGGCAAGTATATTTATAAAAAAATGAATGATTCCCATATTTACTTCATGAATAGAGGAATAACACCTTTTTTATTTTTAAAATGATCTTTATGAGTAGACGGAAATGGGACCAAGAAGACAATTCATCTGAACCTGTTACTAAAATTGCCAAAACAGAAACAAGTAATGAAGAACCAATAGATCCTATGAAGGCAGCAAGTAAGATAATAAATAATATTCTTTTTTTTTATTATTTGTTATTTATTATACTCATCATATACCTTCTTTTCTTTTGTCTTTTAAAATTAGGTCTCGCTGCTGCCAGATTGAATGCACTATACGCTATAAAAAAAACTACAGGATCACCGACTGCAGATACGAAACAAACTGGTACACCACCACCACCTCCTCCAACTACCAATAAGGAAGAATTCTCTAAAAAAATTGAAATCAATGATCTAAAGAACAGATATATGTTAACTCGTGGTGCAACACAATCTGAAATTGCTCAAGAAACTGGTGCAGGTAAAATAATAATAATAAATAATAAATAATGAATTTGAATTCATAATATTTCATTTTTGAATAGAAATCACTACTCGAGGCAAATATTATCCTGATGCAAATCTTGCAACAGAAAAGGAACCTCCATTATACCTTTATATTAGTGCATCTACTCAAGAATCTTTGGATCAAGCTGTCTCTAAAGTGAATGACCTGATTGAAAATGCAAAAGTACCTACTCCTGGACAACATGGTAGTTTTCGACGACCTCCTCATGAACACAATAATAATAATAATGTAGACGATGATCATCAGAACAATGGCTATTCACAATACACTGACAAGGATAATAGTCGATCACCTTATGAGCGACCTCAACGCAAATTTTATGAAGAAAACGTATTAATTGGAATTCCAGAAGGTCCTCATTACAATGTACGTGCCAAGATCGTTGGTCCTCAAGGTGCCTATGTCAAACATATAAGTAGTGTTACTGGATGTCGTATTCAAGTGCGAGGTAAAGGATCTGGCTTTTATGAACAGGATACTGGTAAAGAATCCGAAGAACCTCTTTATATGCACATCTCGTAAGTTAGATATATATATATATATATATATATATATATATTATTGTTCAAATCTATTTATCATTCTGTTTTTTTTTAGAACACCTCGTCAAGAAATGTTACCAAAGGCTGTGCAATTGGCAAAAGATTTGATTGGTACTATCAAAGAAGAAGTAGAACAACGAAATCAATCGGGTGCTCGTGGATATAATCGTGGTTATCATCCCAATCCTCATCATTCAAAAGGGAATTATCAACAGTATCAGGTAATGAAATATATATATATATATATATATATTTATATATATTTTTATCTATTTTTGTTTCTAACCCATATCAATATATATATTGATGAATAGCAAAACTATGATTATCAAGGATATGGAGTAGAATCTCAACATGCGGGAACAAATAATACAACTAACGATCAAGCTTATAGTGCTCATGATTACAGTCAGTATGATTATTATGGACAACAACAATATGATCCAGCCTATTACAATCAATATTATCAATACTATCAACAACAACCAACAGGGTCATCCAATGGAGAACAATCATCAACACCAACTTCAACAGGTGGTGAATCATCACCTTCCTACAATTCAGTACCACCACCATCACAATATTAAAAAAAAAAAAAATAAAATTGAAATTTCAGTGTGAAATCATAGTTATCTTGTTAGATCGGCTCGTTTAATAACAACTGGTCTTGTTATTTTATTTTGGGTTATTTAGAATCTTTTAATAAAAATATATTTATTACATCATGATTTTTTTTTCTGGTGGTTTTACAAATTTGAGTATTCTTTTTTTTTTTATTACATACTCTTAACAAAGACAATCAATTGACAATCATGGATCATGGAACCTACAAGAATATTAACACTCCGCAGCATTTTTCTCTGTTTGAGTCACGGTGTAATTGGTACTTGTCTCTTTTCTTCTTCCTTTTCTTCCTTTTTTTTTTTTTTTTTTTTTTTTTTTGTTCTAGTCTTTCCTTTTTAAACTTCATATGGTTCATCTTTATTTTATATCTTGATTTTTTTTATTGTATTATAACTATCCTTTTCCTATTACCCCTTCTTTGTTTTGATTTTTCAAGTATAACCAATGGACCATTACGATTCCTATTCTCAAACACAGCAACAAACTCACCTTCCTGAACCAACTGTTACTCATCATGATAAGGAAGACCAATCTCCGACATGCACAGACATACCTACCCAGTTACTCAATGAACATATGGATAATTCTACTTTAGAAAATTCTTTGGTCTCTACCGAAACCGCGCCTATACAATCTCCTAAAGAAGACCAATCTGTTTCTTCACTAGAACAACAACAAGTTGACGACCAATCATTACCAACAACAGCAACAACAGCAGCAGCAACAGCAGCAACAACGACAACAACAACAACAACAGTAACAACAACAGCGGCAGCAGAAGCAGCAACAACGACAACAGCAGTTGATACCTTTAATAAACCAACGACTACAATGGGTCATGTTAAATTGACTGAAAATATGACCAACCAAGAAAATGAACAACCATCAAGACATCTTGATGACGACAGCCTCTCTTCCTCGTGCGACGATACCATACCTGACCCCTCAATAGTACCGACAGAACAAACAAATGAGAACCAACAACAACAAGAAAAACAACAACGATCTGAAAGCATCGAACCCGAATTACAACAATTACATACTAACGGCAGCGTGGATCAGGTTAACACGTGGAATACGTCAACACTCACACCAATGATTCCTTCAATGACAGTGGACGAAAACAATTCGGAGGAAGACAGTCAGCATACATCACCCAATATCAATGAATCTATCGTGAATCAAATCAATGAAGAACAACATCAACAAGTGTCTACAGATCAAAGCAATCATCAGGATCCAACCAACGTGACCTCAGAGGATGACAACATCAGCAATGAGGATCGGACATCTCATCCATCAGTTGACCCTATCATAGCAAATGCAGCATCTAATGATCCTAATTCCCCGTTATCCGTTACTATGGAGGATCCAACAGCACCTTTATCCATTGGAAACCAATATCAACTTAACGACAATGCCACCACACTTACTACATCAGAAGCCACTCCTTGCATTATTTCACCTACTTCTGATACTACATCAACACATGTACATGAAGCCGATCAAAACGTGATCATGCATCTCTCTAGTGATGATGGTGACATTCAACGACAACAACAACAGCAGGAAAATAATGCAGTACCAACAGTACCTTTATCGATATCAACCAATCAAACTACTCATATCCCAGTGGAAGAGAACGCTTCTTTGCATAGAACTGCCACCACAGGATCCGATGAATTAACACTTACTGAACCACCTCGTCCTCGACATGTATGGGAATCTGATCGACAAGCTTCTGAATGTCGCCGATGTAATCGTCGATTCAACTTTTTAGTCCGAAGGCATCATTGCAGGTAATGTATATAGATGGATGATTTTTCTCATGATGAATTCATATTCCATTTCTCTTCTTTTTTTTTTTTTTTTTTTATAAATATATATATATATATCTTAGACGTTGTGGTCAAGTTGTTTGTGATCGTTGTAGTTCACATCGTGTTCGATTACCAGTAGAAGAACTTGTTGAAGATCCTATGATATCTACATCCCATTATCCAGTCATTGCCTTGAACCCTCAACGTGTTTGTGAAGCTTGTATTCGAATTCCAATCAAAGCGACCGATTCTACGACTCGTTATACATCATCATCACATGGTTATACCAGCAATCACTTTTTTACCAGTCATCAACCTTCTCCTATGAATATGCGTCGAAGTGATAGTCAACAAAGTTTGATGGCAGATTGTCCTGTTTGTGGTACTGGGTTGTTGGGAATGCGAAAAGAACAACAAGAAAATCATTTGAATGAATGTTTAAATAGTGGTAGTCCAACGGTACGACCTCCTCGATATATAGGTAATATAATTGAAAGTAAAAAACGGAAAGGAACTCATTTTTTTTTTTTTTTGATAGTATATACATTGACAGAAGGAACAGCTCAAATAGGTGATGAATGTCCAATTTGTTTTGAAGAATTTGAAGCTGGAAATAAGATTGCTCGTATGGTATGTCTTTGTTCCTATCATAGGCATTGTCTTCGAGATTGGCTAGAACGTGGCAAAGGATGTCCTATTCATTATGATTCTAATATTGGTACATACTAGTCTGTTAATGATCTCCCTTTTGGTCTCTCATTTTTGGTTGTTTTTTTTATATTTATCTTTTTCTTTTTTTTTTTTTTTTTCCTCCTCATCACCATCACCATTACTAGTGTTATTTTTATCTTTTTTCATATCCTTCATCTTCTTTTTTTCCCTTTAAGAATAAACTATTTTATTTTTTTTTTAAGATTATTGAGTCAATTCGGATCTGCATAACCAAGTGGTATCCGCTGCTTGAAAAATGAGAGGGAACTTTTTTTTTTTTGTCTTAATTGGGCATTTTTTTTTTCGGCTCTTTTTTTTTTTTTTTTTTTTTTTTTTTTTTTTTTTTGTTATTTTTGTTTTCTTTTTTCTTCCTTCAGTTCATTTTCTTTATATATATATATGTCATTGTAATGATATGACTCAACATATACTTATTCCACTACAAAGGTTAGGTGGCACTTCATCGTCTTCCAACAATAATAATACCACAAATACATCATCAAATATGATCAACGCGACCAATAATACACCCACTATTGAACTGAAAAACGTCACTTCCCACAATATCGATATTTTGAAACAACTTCATCTTATTCTATTCCCTGTACATTATAGTGACTCCTTTTATCAACATGTACAACAAGTAGGAGAGTTTGCAAAAGTAGGTAAGCAAATCAAAGTGATGATCCACTTTTTAAAAAAAAAAAGCTTGGCAGATGGGAACAAAGAGAAAAAAAAATAAAAGGGATTAACATATATTATTGTAGTATATGTCGATGACAAGGCAGTAGGAGCGATCTGTTGTCGTATTGAACCGGAACTCCAACAAGAAGGGAAATATAGAGTGTATATCATGACATTAGGTGTCCTTGAAGCTTATCGACGTCGTCATTTAGGTCATCTCTTATTACAACATGTCATTGATCAAGCCTATCGACAACCCAACATCACTCGGATCTATCTTCATGTACAAGTCCTCAACACAACTGCTTTGGCTTTATATCATCGTCATGGATTCCAAAAGGTGGCTTTGGCAAGAGATTATTACAAACATATTCCTGACAAGGATGCCTATGTGGTTGTTAAGAATATCGTTCGCTCTTCTTCGTCTTCTTCTACTTTTTGACTTCTTTTGACTCTCATCTTTACAGATAATATCCTATTCCATATATGTGTATTTAACCTTTTTTTTTTTTTTTGAAAATGATCCTGTCTCTACTCCCAATATCCATAGTTTTTTTGAACACAAATAAACAATACATTGTTATCATTATCATCATTTTGAAATTCCAAGAACTTGTGTGAATATTGTATCTATGACTTTTTTTTTTTTATTGATTGTGCCTAATTTTTTTCCCCAAAACTATATATGATACTAAATTGTACTATCAACTAAACTAAATAACAAAAATAAAACCGAAAGTATGAATATAAATATATAAATAAAAAAAAAAACCAACAGACCAGTGGAAGTTTTTTTTTTTTTTTTTTGATGAGAGAGGTTATTCCAAATAAAATAAATAAAAAGTTGATCCCAATTATCAGTTTTGTTGTCCAGATTATTCATCCTTGGTTTGTTCTTGTTCTTGTTGTTCTTCAACTACCTTTTCCGATCTCTTTTCTTCATCATCATCATCACCATTGATTTGTTCAGCCTTTTCTTGTTGTTGTTGTTCCTTTTCCTTTTCTAACATGGCAGCAATCTTGGCTTCAGCCTTCTTCTTGTTGGCTTCAGTTTGTTTGGGTTGTTCATCCACATAGTATTGCTTGCGTTCTTTGAGTTTCTCCAGAGTGGATGGGATTTCAGACACCTTGGTTGGCACTGTAACCTTGATTTCAAAGAAGCCTTCGACAGTAGCAATGGGCAATTTCAATGTATCAGTAGTATTTTCCTTCTTAGCAGCTTGTTTCTTGCCACCTTTGCGTTGTTTCTTTCCACCAACAAAATAATCTTCATCCGACTTTTTGGCAAGGACCATTCCTTCAGGAAGAGCATCGACTTGACGAGGGCTACCATTAGCAGGGACAGCAGGGGTACTAGCACCAGAAGATTTGTTGTCATCTTGATTGACAAACCCTTGTAAAAAGTGAGAGAGGTTATCACAGAGATTGATTTCGTGTTCAAAAGCAGGTAAGGCAGCCAATTCCAATTCTTCCTTGAGTTGTTCTTGACGTTTTTCTTGTTCCAATTGGATCTTACGTTGGCGTTCTTGTTCTCGTTTGGCTTCTTTGTATTGTCGAAGGAAGGTATAATATTCGTCATTGGCCTTGCGGTGTTGATCGCGCAAAGTACGCAGTTGATCATATTCGGTATCCAAGAGACCTTTGAGACGATTGCGTTCTTCATACAATTTGTTGCGAGCTTCACGTTCTTGAGCAGCTGAACCAAACAACTTTTTGAATTCAGCATCCAATTCTTCATAACGTTCACTCAACTTTTTGGCTTCGGAATCATCAATGTTCTTCTTAATTTCGTTGTGAATGTTGCGTTCATTATCAATGGCTGCTTGTTGTTCATCCAATCCTTCCACTTGTTGTCGACTGCGTTTCAATAAAGAGATTTCATTGAGCATCTAACATCATATTAGGGTCGGTTAGTATGTCAATATCAGTCTTTTCTTTTTTTTTCTCTCTCTCTCTCTCTCTCTCTCTCTCTCTCCCTCATACTGCAAACTATTTATTTACCTTCTTTTCTTCCACCAATCGAACACCAGATTCAATCTTTTGTTCTAATTCTCTAAAATACACAAAGTAAAAAAAAAAAGTTAATCTCGATCGTAATGTCTTTCTGTCTTTGATGATAAAGAGATTTTTTTTTGTGCGTGTATATTTACCTGATACGATCATCCACTTCTGCAACTGACTTATAAGGTACCTTTTGTTGGAAGGCTTTGACTTGACCAACCTAAAACAAAATCCCATAAAACTTGATTAGAATTATCATGATGAGTATTAAATAATTCGGTACCTTCTTTTTGATAGAATCATTGATAGCATCCAATTGTTGATATACAGTTTGTCTTCCTTGTTTCAAACTGGCTTGTTTTTCACGTAATTCCATCAATTCAGCCTTGATTTCTTCACGTCGAGTATTGTCTTGTTTGGCAGGCAACTTGCTGATCTTATCCTTGACAGCATCCTAGAAACCATGATATAATAATTAGTTATAAATAAAGAAAGAAAACAAAAGAAGAAAAAACTTCCAATATGTCGAGATGAAGTGTTCCTTTTTTTTTACAATTCTTTTATTTTGTTTCGCATTCTTTTTGATTGTTTACTTACACTTTGTTTTTTGAGCTTGTCAATACGTTCATTGATGGCTTCCAATTCCTTTTTGAATGCAGCATCATCAGGCTTCTTAAAGTGCTTGATTTGAGTGGGGGCGATCGTTTCAGTCATGACTGTAATGGTATTGATGATGTGGATAAGAAAAAGAGTACAAGATGAAAAAAAAAAAAAAAAAAAAAAGGGAAAGAAAATAGGTAGAAGTGAAAGAGCGCACTGAGAATATAATAAGCACCATGTCGCGCCTCCATTGGTCAAAATATTCAAGTTCGGCGTTTCAATGTCAATGATATCAAAAATATTCTTCAGTGGCTGATGATGTGAGATTCACGACAACTATCAAAGAAATAAAAATGTCAATAAGTATTCTTTTGGTTAAACATATCAGATGATTTTTTTTGTCCAGGAGAAAGATGATGCATGAAATAGATGGGATAAAAGAAGGATCCACATCTAAAAAAAGTAAAATGAAATGAAATAACTTGTTCCCCGGGAAGTAGATCATTATTCATATATGAAAACAAAAAAGGGGAAAGGGGAGGAATCAGGGGGAAGGGGAGAACAAGAAAAAAAAAAAAAAGAGTTCATTGGATGATTATGAATCAATTGATTTCGTGGATTTATGATTGAAACATATTGACACAGTAATAACCTGAATATTATGTTATGTACCTACCTTTTATATATTGATACCGTCAAAAAAGGAAATCTAAAGCATATCTAGAAACTTGGCATTAGGATCCAATAACACTTTTTTTTTATGGGAAATGTAACAAATGGTATAAAGACGAATGAACACAAAAAAAAAAAAAAAGGTGCCAAGTATTACATATTTATATCTTCATTTTTTAAAGTGTGCCAAGCTATTATGGTGACCATCTGGTTTTATTGATGGATGATGTTCTCGATGATGTTTCTTATGATGTTAGTTATGATGATTTTTATTTTGTGATTTGATTGGGACATTGATGATAAATCAAAAGTTGTAGTATTAAGATCGACTAAAGGGATCTAAGACGCAAATGACATTACCCGGACCAATCATTTTATTTTAATAGTTCTAGTTAGTTAGTGATGAGCTTAATTTATTTTCCCGCTTTTGATTTCACTTCTTGGTATTATAGAAAACAAAGAAAGATAAACAAGTCTATTTTTATAGTAAAAAAAAAAAAAAAAGAAGATTCTCAAGAAGCGACATAATGAATAATTCTATATATTTTAGTTTTATTATTATTATTTTTAAAAAGAAACAAAAATATGAAATGTTATCGAAAGGATTGAAAAAAAAATAAGATGTACCTGAAAGGATGACTAGTAAAGTTAAGTTTTGCACCTGGAATCGGTCAAAAAATCAACCGAGTTCCACCAATATCGGATGTTAAATATCAACACTTTTTTTTTCGTTGTCCAGTGGTGTTTCTTTTCTGTGCCCCTTCTTTCACTTTTGTTACCATTTTAAAATTGTGGTTATTTTTATTTTGATTGTGGGTCACGTTTCTCTTTTACCTTTTTATTTCTTTTATTTCTTTTTTTTTTTTCTTTAAAAGCCAAGTTGGGCTTATCCATTCTTTTATTCATTCCTTTATTGTTTATCTTCTTCCTTCACTTGGTATTGGTTTATGTATTCAAAGTTTTACTTGACCTTATAAATCCTCTTCTTTTTTTTTCTTATTTATTCATTATTTTACCATTTCTTCCCTCTACATATACACACGCACGTACTCACATATACAAATAGATAGACCATCATGACTCTCAACCTTAAAACGATATTACGACACAAAACACGACCTTCGAAAACCAAAAATGACGACGACGAAGAACCTAAAGAACTGCGGCGTATGGAATCAACATCGTCTTACATGCAAAAGAGGCGTAACATTTATGTCAACATGGAATTACCTCAGTCAGAATATGATGAAAAAGGACGACTTATAGACAGGCACTTTGTCAGCAACCGGATACGAACAGCAAAATATACACCCTTGTCCTTTATACCAAAGAATCTTTTTGAACAATTCAGAAACGTTGCCAATTTATACTTTTTGGTCTTGGTTATACTTCAATGTATTCCTCTTTTTGGTGTTACTGAACCTGCTGTCTCAGCTCTTCCTCTCATTGCCATTCTTGTCATTACTGGTATCAAGGACGCTTTCGAAGATTGGAAAAGAAACCAAAGTGATCAAAGGGTTAACCATGCAAAAACTCGAACTTTACATAACTGGCGCAATGTCAACACTCCCATTGAAACTCGTGGTTCATGGTATTACTTACATTTGGTCTTGGGATTTCTTTCTACTTTGGCTGGTGCTGAAAACAAATACGCTCATGGTTATCGAATGGCACGACTGGCAAAACGAAACAAAGCAAGTAATATTGTTTATAGTAGTTATGATAACAACAATGATGACAACGATGACAACAATGATAATATCACTATTGCACCACCTCCTGTTACTCCTCCTACCACGACAGTAGATCAACCAAGTGTTCAAGAACCAAAACGACTCCTCACAACTGTACGACAACGATCTGATACTCTTCGATCTGAATTATCCAGTATATTTACCAAAACCAAACGACAACCTTATCGACCAGGCAATATTCCTCACTCTGTGCTTTATCGTACTGCTACTAACGACACTGGTGCAAATGCAACACAAACATCCTTGGCTGAAAACACTGAAGATCAATCTCTATTTGGTGGTCGACGACCTTCTCAACATCTGATTCGAACACCTACAGGTGGTGGTGGTTGCGTTCATACTAATTGCGATACAAGATGGAAAGATATACAATGGCAAGATTTACATGTGGGTGATTATGTACAAATTCGGAATGATGAAGATGTACCTGCTGATGTGGTGATTCTTTCAACCTCGGAACCTGATAGTCTCTGTTATATTGAAACTCAAAATTTGGATGGTGAAACCAATCTCAAAGTGCGACAAGGTTTGGAAGGTACGGCAGATATACAAACGGAACATGATTGTGAACAAGCCAGCTTCTACATTGAAAGTGAACCTCCTCATGTCAATCTTTATCAATACAGTGCTGTTATGCGTTGGACTATCGACCCAAAAGATACTGGTACAGTGCGATCTGGTGTGTCTCATGAAAAATCGGATGCTATCAATTACAACAATATTCTTCTTCGTGGATGTATTTTACGTAATACTGAATGGGTTATTGGCATTGTCGTCTATACTGGGAACGATACAAAGATCATGCTCAATTCTGGTCAAACTCCTTCCAAACGTAGCAAAATGGCAAAAGCAACCACTCCTCATGTAAGTGGCTGATGAATAATCTTGATTTGTTTCTTACCTATCCTTTTTTTGTTTATATATGCATTAGATCATTGCCAACTTTGTGATTCTTGCTATTTTATGCATTGTTAGTTCGATTATAGCCAGTGTTCAATTCAATGCATCTGGATCATCAAGGAAATTTGATTATGGAATAGAAGGCTCCAATGGTTCCTACTCTGGGTTTATTACTTTTTGGTAAACATTGCCCAAAGACAAACAAACAAACAAACTAATTTATATTACTTTGTAGGGTCACTCTTATTTTGTATCAAAACATTGTTCCTATTTCATTATATATCTCTGTCGAACTTGTTAAATCTGTTGCTGTAAGTGCAAAAAAAAAAAAAAAAAAAAAAGATCTGTTTACTTATTTACTTGACTCTCTTTTTTTTTTTTTTTTTTTTTATTTATTTATTTATTTCACCAGGCTTATTTCATTCATGCGGACATTGACATTTATCATGAAGAAACTGATACCCCTTGTATCCCCAAAACTTGGAACATTTCAGATGATCTTGGACAAATCGAATATGTATTTTCTGATAAGACTGGCACTTTGACTCAAAACGTGATGGAATATCGAAAGTGTACTATCAATGGTGTTTCTTATGGATTGGGAAAAACGGAAGCTCAAATGGGTGCTGCAAAACGGTCTGCGAATGATAACCTGAAAACCAAGAACACAATTCTTCCTGATTCCGAACAACCTGTGGATCTGGACATTGTAGATCACGAAACAGGGATGGCACTTGACAGCAGAATAGATGAAGCGAACAATTTGGGTGATAACAACAGGACAAATCAAGATGATGCTGATATGGATGAACTGGCTGATGCAAGAAAGGAAATGTTCAACAAGCAAGCACAACTATTCAAGAATACACATATTGGACCCAATCCGACATTTGTGGACCCTGCACTATTTGATGATCTTGCAAAGAAGGATGCTCATGCCAACGCGATACAACATTTCCTTTTGACTTTGGCATTGTGTCATACTGTGATTGCAGAAACTCCGGATGCTACTCAACCTGATTTGATTGAATACAAGGCACAAAGTCCCGATGAAGCGGCTTTGGTGGCAACAGCACGAGATCTTGGTTTTGTTTTCCTTGGCAAAGAAGCGAACACAATACATGCAGAAATCATGGGCGAACGAAAATCATTCGACATACTCAATGTTTTAGAATTCAACTCGACACGCAAACGAATGAGCGTCATCATCCGACCCCATGACAGCGACAAGATTGTATTACTTTGTAAAGGTGCTGATTCTATCATTTATGAACGTCTTTGCAATGACTTTGGTGCTCAAGAAGATCTTAAGGCAGCGCAACAACAACTTCGGGACACGTGTACGACTCATCTAGAACAATACGCAAATGAAGGTCTACGAACACTTTGTCTGGCTTACCGATTCATCGCAAAAGAAGATTATTTATCTTGGCAACGACGATATCAAGAAGCAAGCTCTAGCATCATCAATCGGGAAGAACGTATAGAAGCTGTAGCTGAAGATATTGAAAAAAATATGCTTTTGATGGGCGGTACGGCAATCGAAGATCGACTTCAAGATGGTGTACCAGAAACGATTGCAGAATTAGCAAAATCAGGAATCAAGCTTTGGGTACTGACTGGTGACAAGACCGAAACTGCGATCAATATTGGTTTTGCTTGTAATTTATTGACGACTGATATGGAATTGATTGTGCTCAAGGCAAGCAACCGTGAAGATACTAAGGAACAATTAGAAGCAGCTCTGAAACAATCGGCATTAGATGATGAGGATGGCAATTTCGCTCTGGTCGTGGATGGTACAACACTCAAGTATGCATTGGAAGCAGCAACTAAGGACATGATGTTGACTCTCGGGACAAGATGTAAAAGTGTGATCTGTTGTCGTGTTAGTCCCAAGCAAAAGGCTCAAGTGGTACGTATGGTCAAGAAAGGCTTGAAAGTGATGACTCTTGCTATTGGTGACGGTGCCAATGATGTATCTATGATTCAAGAAGCAAACGTTGGTATTGGTATATCTGGTGTAGAAGGTCGGCAAGCTGTCATGGCATCAGATTATGCTATTGCTCAATTCAGATTCTTACGGAAATTACTCTTAGTACATGGGCGTTGGTCTTATCTTCGTACAGCTGATATGATTCTTGGTTTCTTTTTCAAAAACTTTGTATGGACTTTTATCTTGTTTTGGTATCAACTCTTTTGTCAGTAAGTTTATTATCAAAATAGGATGGAATGGAAAGGATGGATATTTATCTCTCTTTTTTTTTTTTTTTAATAATAGATTCAATGGTACAATGGTATTCGATTATTCATTGGTGACATTATACAACTTGGTGTTTACTTCATTACCGATTGCATTTTTGGGAATATGGGATCAAGATCTTTCAAGTAAAGTTACTTTACATCATCCAGAATTATATCGTATGGGACTTCGTAATGATAAATTCAAAGTATGGCAATTCTGGGGTGCGGTGGCAGATTCAATTTATCAATCAGTAGTATGCTTCTTTTTCCCTTACATGCTTTTGGTGGCTGGTAACGCTGACCCTACAGGATATGATGGCAACGGCGTATATGAAATTGGTACGGTTATGTCTGGTATTACAGTCTGGGTGGCAAACTTTTATGTTGTGTTCGCTTTATACAGTTACACGTGGATTCAACTTTTGATTGTATCATTATCTGTCCTGGTCTATTATGCATTCATTGGTGTTTACTCTCAATTCAACACATTTATCTTTGCTGGACAAATCCGACTTTTTGGTAATGGATTCTATTGGCTTGTATTGATCCTTACTATTGTGGCTGCCTTTTTACCTCGTGTGGCAGTTCAGTATTACCTTCATCAATATTATCCTTTTGATAACGACATTGTACGCGAAATTGAATTGGTGCTCAAAAAGAAGAAATCAAATGACGTTCAAGATTCAACCTTTGATATCAAGTTGGAAGATAGGCAAACTCTTCATAGATAGTTTAATGGTTTAGATTTCACCCTTTTTTCCTTTTTTTTTTTTTTTTTGTGTTATTATTTATTTATTTTTCCCCTTCTCATTTCATATATCTTTATTGTATTTTTTTTTGTTGTATTTTTACTTGTATTTCATCCCTCTTTTTGATCTGTTTCTCTAATCACTTTCCCTTCTCCATCACCTCCTCATACATATTTTTTTTTGTTTTGTTTCTATGTGTGTATCATCACCATAATTCCTATTGTTATTAGTACTGTCTTACACCTTTAGACTAGTAATGATGTATCTTAATAACAATAATAATAATAATAATAAAAACAATTCATTTTTGTTAAATTTATATTATATTTATCTTTGTGTGTCGTATCATTGAACATGTATTTTCAATCTATAATGATGATGATTTACCGCCATCACTTTTTGTCATAGCAACCGTCATCATTATCATTTGCAAGTAACAATAGTACAATGCATATGGCATGATAGCATGATGGGATAAGAGGATGAATTCATAAAGCAGTAATTTTATATATCATTGTCATTAACCTTACAAATAATCAATCATCATGCAATCATCATGCAAACCTTATCTTTCCAGAGCAAATGTTTTATGGTCATGATTCCAACCTGATGATGATGATCTGTCATTACTTGAATAAACATCCAACATAAGAAAGCGATCCCCCCCCCAAATTGTCAATACCCATTCTACCTATTCCGAGTAAACAACAATAATTTTTTTTATCAGAATGAAGTCCAAGTATGTATATGATATACTATAATTTATTTGTACATTTATTATCTAGTCATAACAAAAAAAAAAGTCTAATCTAAAAAAAAATCTTAATTGTTGGCCAATTTTTCAGGAGCAGCAATTTTGCCATAGACACGCCAGATATCTTCAGGATCAGAAATAGTCTTTTGGAAAACAACGTATTCAAGAACATTATGGATTTGATTTGGATCACCTCCTACAAGACGATTCTTCTTGTCATACACAGCCATAGACTAAAAAATCATACAAGTCAATAAGTCATTTTCCTTTTTCCATATTTTTGTTTTTCCTTATTCATACCTGTTTTGTATACATGCGAACAGTGACTTGACCAACAGAAAATCCAGATTTGCTAACACCTGATGTTCCTACACAACGTACACAAACGATTCTAGGAGTTTCCACTTCACCATGATATTTCCATTCCCATCGAGCATTGTTTCTATGTTTCAATTGGTTCTTCAAACTCTATCATCATAAATTGAAAATAGATTAGTATTCTTTCTTTTGATCTTTCTTTCCTTTCTTTGACTTACAGAGTACATGGCATCAAGACAAACTTCTTCCAAGATTTCTCGATCACCTCTATCATAATCAAATTATTCATCAATAAATATATATATATCATGGATATTCAAATAATAATAATAATAATAATAATACCTTGCAAACGAGTCATTCATATCCTTATAAGTTTCTTCGGCAATAGATAAGAATTTACCCGAGTTCCACTTTTCATATTGAGACTTATATTTAATCAATCCTACACTAAATAAAGATAAACACTAGTTAGTATTCAAGTCTGTGCAACGTCAGTTTTACCTTAACAAGTTTTGGACATTATTCTTTAAGTTTCTCCATTTTGTTAAACGCCAGTTTTGGAAATCGGATATAGATGGAGAAGTTTCTGGAGGAATATAGTTGGCTATACAAATACATATATATATCAATATAAAGATCGAATAATGTTTATTTATTTATTTTTTTTCCATATTACCAAAGACACCATGATCACGTAACAAAATTTGCTTTCCTTCGCTTTTATTAGTAGCGTAAGTACGAGTTTGAGTGATAGAGGTAAAAATTCGAGGGTGTAATGCAGGAGTAAAAGTAGATGACCAAAGTCCCACTGAAGATAAAGTAGGTCGAGTGTTGAGTCGAATGGCACGTAAAGAAAATGACATATTAGTTATAGACACAAAAAAAAAAAAAAAAAAAAAAAGAGGGGGGGGAAGATGAAAATAAATAAAATTCGCAGTGGGGTTCAAGCTAGCCTTGTGAGTGGCTGAGCTGAACTTGACACTGAACCCATCATACCCTTTTATGGTTCGACACTTTTTTTTTTCTTTCTCTCTCTTTTTCTTTTTTCTTCAACTTTCTTTTTTATATCATGTTTAAAAAACCTAATCGAACGAAGAATATACGACGAAAGATAGAAACAAGTGACGATGAAACTAAACCAGATGGTAAACAAAAAATAATAATAATAATAATAATTTAATATCACTCTATTGACCCTTTTTTTCTTTCTACTTTCTAATAAAAAAAGAAGAACCTGTTGTATCTAACACAATACTGAAATCCAAATCTGATAAGAAGAAATCGAAAAATAAGTCATTAGGTTTAAGTTTTGATCATCAGGTAAATAATTACGTTTAAAATTATTTCTTATATTGAACTTTCTTTTTATTATTATTATTATTTCGATATTAGGACCAAGACGATGTCGATGGCGAAGTATTTCAAGTTAAAAAATCAAAAGCAAGTCGTAAACTAGCCAGCGCCAGAAAACTTCAATTAGAAGCAGAGTAAGTAAAAACTAGTTTTATATATTGAATTGAAGCTTAGTCTTTTTTTTTTTTTTTGTTTCTCTTTTTTGCTAGTACCACCACTTTAGCCTCAGAAGACTCTACCACACCATCAACATATAACGACGATTATCTTGCATCGTTACGTGCAAGCACTCCAGCGTTACCACCTACTTTACGAAATGCAACAAACGATGATGGTTCTACACTTTTGGCTGAAAAATTCCCAAAGACTATGACAGCACGATTAGGAGATATGACTATTCCAGACTCGAACGCTATCCATGCTGCCAAAAAGAAACGTGAACTTATGCGACAAGGTGTAGTTGTAGTAGATCATGAACAAGGTTTTGTAGCACTAGATGATGTAAGTTACATTGATATACATAATATACATTTATTTATTTATTCTCTTTTCTAATAGACTTCAAGTGGTTCTCGTTTGGTCCGAGAAGAGGATGATATTGGAGATGATGGTGAAGGGGATTATGAAAAGTACGTTGGAGAACAGATCACTTTGGACAAGAAAGAAGCTAAGAAACAAGAATTGGAACGATTACAGAATGCACGTGAAATGATTCTTGATGCTCAAGATGAAGCTGATGATTCGGGTTCTGATGATTCTGGAGAATTGGACAGATGGGAAAAGGACTTGATTAAACATGGTGGTGTGCGAACGAAATATGAAGAACCAGTGGTAGATCCATTTGCGACTCCTCGTGGATATCAACCAGCTATTAGTAATGAATGATATGATTGTTTTTTTTTTATACTAATTATTCTATTCCTTTTATTGATATAGTTCCTGAAGCAGCTGCTTTACCTACTTTGGATGATGTTCTCAAACGTCTAGATTTCATATCATCAGATATTACACTTACTATGCAACAATATGAATCTCAACTATCGGACGCAAAGAAAGGAATGATGGATTTGAATATCACTGGTGACGACTTGGATCGAGAAATTCAACATGGAAGTAAGCGATATGATTATTTCCAGTCTTTATCAAACACTGTGAATGACTTGGGTGAATTTTTGGATGTCAAGGTAAAAAAAAAAAAAGAGAAGAAAAAAAAAAATATACGATGAAATTTTACTGATTTCTCAATTCCTATATAGATTCCAGAACTCGAAAAGTTGGAAAAGGATGCCCACGACATTATTGCAGCAAAGCAGGAAATAGTGCAAGAACGACGATGGTTGGAAGATATGGATTTACTTTTATCATTTGCTGTGGTACCTGAACATCTCTTGGAAACCGATCAAGATACTGATGATATGGATGAATTTGGTCGTTCGCGGGTATCAAAATTATCAGAAGCTGCTCGTCAACGAAGATCAAATGAAAGGCAACAACGTATTGAAGCAAATCAATCCCTTATGGAATGTGATGAAAAAGAAATAGCATTTTGGTCTGATGATGATTTACAAGATGGATGGATAGAGAAGCGGGATCAGAAGCTAGGTAAGTTTTTTTTTTTTTTTTTTTTTTTTTTTTGAATAGAATCTGATACTAAATTTTTCTTACTTTATTATTTTATTTTATATTTTATGACAAGATGATATCCAATTCAACAAAATGGACGAATTATTTGATGATGTTAGTGATGATTTCAAATCACTGGAGGCTGTAAAATCATTCTTTGAAGCTTGGAAAACTGACTTTTATGAAGATTACAAGAATGCATTTGGAAGTCTTAGTTTACCTGCTGCTTTTGAATTTTATATTCGATGTGAATTGGTTGCCTGGAATCCCTTTTCTGTAAGTATGAATTGAATGAATACAAAAAGGAAATCACTAACCAATTTTTCTTATTTTATTCAAAAGGATCCAATCGAATTTGATACGATGAAATGGCATTCGACGTTATCAAAATATGGTATTATAGATGGGGTAGAAGGTCATGAAGATGCTGATGTGGAATTATTGAACAAGGTTGTGGACAAGGTTATCATCAAAAAGATCAAAGGTTTATTGGACACCATGAATCCTGCTTCTTCAAAGGAAACTCGTTACGCAGTTCAAGTCGCAGAACAAGTTTCTTATTATGTTGACAAACATGAACGGTCATTTCAGGTAAGACAAAAGAGAGAGAGAAAAAAAAAAAGAGAAATATGTATATGTATGAAATTGACTTACTCTCATTTTGAAATAGGAATTGATGATGCAAGTTGAAAAAGTCATTGAAAAACCATTATTACGATACGCTCAAATAGTGGAATCAGCTACATTGATGATGGAACGACAAGACGATTCAAGTAACAATAAGAAACAGTTTGTGTGGCGACAGTTGAAATATTTGAAAAACTTGATCTTATGGCGTCGATATATACCAAGAGACAATCTACTATCTTTAGGCAAACTAATTGTTCATCGGATTGTAGCTCCCTTATTAAAACCTGGATTGGTTCCTGGTGATAGTGATTTGGAAAATGAAGCATTGACCCTTTATGCCCGTTTAGAATAGATTAGATTAAATCATTATTTTATGGAATAAAAATTAGTTGATGTTTTGTATTATATTATAATCTTTACTTTGATTGGATGATTCTTGATCCGCATGATCTCTCTCTCTTTGATCAAGCCAAATTTTTATCCGACCACATGATCCCTTTTCTTTTATTTTATTTCTCCCCCTTTTTTTTTTTTTTTTTTTTTTTTTTTTTTTTTTTTTTGTTTCTCAACAGTACCATCACATTTACTACGATACTTTTTTCTATCTTTGTTTTTATATATATATTTGGTTTATCAGTCTGTTCGATTCCAATACAAAAGGCTTAATAGATTAATTTGCCTTCTTACTCTTCCTTGTTCTCTCCTTGGCTTGTATTATGAACTATTTCGATTCCTTTGTTTTACTACATTATACCATTTCTCATGTGAACGACATACGACAGATCTTCCTCTTTTATTATTGGCCAGTTTACGCTATACCTTTTGACTGAACAATATCAACATTATCGACATTACTGAATTTAAGAACTAAGAAAAAGGTAATTCATTAAGATGCCTATTTAAAGAAAAAAAAAAAAAAGGTGTAGCAGTCAGCTTTCTCACCCTGTCTTTTTTTTTTTTTTTTTTTTGATATAAAATAGGTCTCCTTTTTTTTTTTTATTCTGTCTTCTTTCTTTCTCTCTTTTTCTTTTTTTTTTTTTTTTTTTCCTCGTTTGGTTACTCGAATAATTGCATCCCCGATATCATTCAACATGACGACTCAACATTCTATCTCGATACCAATTTGGCCAAAAAGGAACCTTTTTTCTTATATATTATCATTCATTGGATTGAACAGATCAAATGATACTGTGGACAATGATTCCTTTTGTATATCCCCAGCAACATCCTCAACTTCAACGTTAACAATGTCCTCGACAACGATATCATCCCAATTATTTTCACCTTCAAGATCAATATCTTCATCATCGACAACATCAACTCTATCTGAATGTATCAGCAACAACAGAGAAAAGCAACCAAGGTTTGTCAAGTCTACGGCAACTTTACTCGCATGCGATGATCTTGGAAACAGCATTATGGATGACAGTTCCGCAGTACTGGTGCCAATGACTGATAATAGTAATGTTGATCAACCGAATAGACAACACCATTCGATATGGAAATTTCACAAATGGATTCGATCTTTACCAAAGCTTGCCTTACTTCATCTTCTCTCTACGACAACAATACAACAACCTGCAATTACATATCAGCTTTTGGAATACCAATATCTCCAAGATATCACCAATATTAAAATCAACACGACCAACAAAAAAGGTAGATTAACATTTGATCAGACTAAGCCTATTGATACCTGCAACGGAAATATGAGTGGAGATATGGATGCTCTCTTACACGAAATGACTTGGATTCAGAATCATGCTCGCGCCATTGTACATCTCTTGGATCATGCAAGACCGAATGAACAATTTGCCAGGGCAGAAGAAATCAATGATCAGTTATTCTCCTTGGTGAGGCTATGTACTTTTCAATTCCATGTTCATTGGGGCGATTCTTTTATCGCATTGATGGCTCTTACCTTGGTGGCGAAAGAATGTTTTGATGCTCCTTCAGAAGTACGCCAGTGTCTGTTTTACCGGGTTAAATTTGGGCGTACATTGATATTGGAAATGATCACTGTTTTGAAGCACTGGAAGATCTATCGTGGAAATAAAACAAGAAATGGAACAGTAGGAACTACTACAAGCAGGCATCAAGATATCATTATGAACGATAACAGTCTCAAAGAACAGAAACAACGACGTGCACTTTGGAAACATGGCAACAGCAATGCTCTATTCACAACTTCACAATCATTAACGCCGCAGCAACAGCATTTGATCAAACACTTTTTTCTGCAACGTGGATCCATATCAGCAAATTCAGGGGAAACGACTCCACATCATGATGATGACAACGCAGCCACCCAAATGCGCAAGAATGGACTTGATACTCGCGTTACTGATTTGGCATCCGAATGGTATCCGGATTTACACCTTGTTTGTGAAAAACTGGCAAAAATGGATGAACATTGGAAATATCGCGAAGAATACCAGCAAGTACCGAAGATGGCACACGATATCACTTGGAATTAGTATAGTTTTTTTTTTTCTTTTTTGGGTTTATTTATTATTGTTTTTATATTATTGTAGTTACTTTATAGTATAGTATAGGTTTCTTCACTTTTTCTTCAGTCTTTTGATTCGCATGAATAAATAAATAAAAAAAAATATAACCATATTGAAAGTTGTAGTCTTCAAATTCTTTTTATCTTATTGTTTGAATACTTTCTTACTCTCCTTGCCTCTTTCTTTTTTTTTTTTTTTTCTAGCCCTGATGTATTTGATGATTTCAACCTGACGAGGTGGTACGAGATGATGGATGATCAATGGCCCATGGTGGATAAACGATGGACAGATAATACTACTATGATGGTCTTTATGTATCCTAATATCTTTTGTCACTATCATATGATGATGATGACTGATCTATGGAGGAAGAACAGACAAGTACGCTCAAAGAAAGATCAACCAGAACTCTGAAAACCATACCTCAGTGAAATGCAATCAATCAATATCACAAACAAAAACTTAATTAAAAAAAAGAGACAAAATGATAATAAAAAATCAAATTAGAGAGAATGTAAGAAGTAATAGTTATAAATTAAAACATTTTGTCATTTATTAGAATAATATACAGTGTAGTTGGGTAACGTAAAAAAAAAAATCTATATACAGATGGAAAGTGTTTATTTTCTAGCCTGTTTCGAATCGATAAGTTTCTGTACTAGGGCCAACTGTGATAATCGTTGAGGTGTTTCCTTTTTGACAAAAATATAAATAGTAAGTAAGTAGACATATGTATTTGCTAAATAATAGAAATACCTTTTGTAATCCAACTAGCAATTCCAAGCTATCTTTGAATTCTTTCTTGATTTCTGTTGGTAATTCTGTATCTAATAGGCAAATACAAGATATATTAAATGAGACCCTATTTGTTTTCCTTCATTTCAAATGCTTACCTAGAGACTGTTCATCTGAATCTTCATTGTCAGTATCAAATACAGCATTATTTGCCGTATATGATTGTAACGCGTCTGCTTTTTGAATCAGTGGGTCAATTTGTGCTGGTATCGCTTTTCGTTCCAAAATATCCTTCTTTAAAGCTTCTCTTGATCGTAAGTCCCACATTTTCGCTTCATTTTCCAGTGCTTCGTCAAAGGGTTCTATTCAAAAAGACAAATAAATTAGTTTTTTTTTTTTTTTTTTGGTTAGTGAAACAATAAAGATGATAACCTTCAACAATAGAGTCCACTTGTAAAGGTTCACCACCTGCTACCATAATATTAGGACCCAATAATTTGACAAGATCTGTGAGCCACTTTTAATACAAGTTAAAAAAAAAAAAAAGTGAAAGGAACATTGAGTTAGTTTTTCATAAAGAATGATTTCATAACTAAAATTACCTTCTTAATATCTTGTTCCATCATGGTCTTTTGTTGAGGAGTAAGATTAGGTTTACTTTGTATGATATCCTTGTAAAGTGAGTCGAGGTTGTTGAGTATATCAATAAAATCACTATCATCACCAACTTGAATTTTTTTTCCTTTTGTACGTGATTGTTGTGATATTCTGGTTGGTGTGGTCATTTTAATAAGAATGAATAAGAAAAAACGAAAGAAAGAAAAGAAAAGTAGCGGGCATGAAATATTATTCAAAATGAATGAGAACCCCTTTGGTCCCAAAAACTATGTGGCTTGCGTTTGAAAATGACAAACGGACTTTTAGGTTGTAAATCATTCTGCATTTTTTTTTTTCTTTTTCTTTTCTTTTGACAAAATAGAGACATAATGAGTTTTAGTGGATGGAAGAAATATATTGAAGATGGAGATCTCGTTATTTTTTATATCGTAAGTTAACTAGAAGAAATGTTCATATTGAATTGACTAATATATATAAATTTGTCAACTATAGAACCGCGATAACCTTAGTCCTGTTTGGATAAAGAAAGGCAAGGATTCACATAATCGTTTTGGTCTTTTCAAACATGACGATTTGATTGGAAAAGAATTTGGATCTAGGGTAAAAAAAAAAATATAATAATATATGTTCAATTTTTTTTTTGACTTTTCTTTGCTTTATATTTCTAGGTGGTATCTTCCAATTACAAAGGGTTTATCTATTTATTACATCCTACACCTGAATTATGGACTTTGGTAGTACCTCATAGAACACAAATTCTATATCTGCCAGATATTTCGTTTATTACTACTTATCTTGATATGAAACCTGGCGCTCGTGTGATTGAAAGTGGTACTGGTAGTGGGTCTTTCTCTCACTCTATTGCAAGAACCATCGCTCCTACTGGCAAATTATACTCTTTTGAATATCATAGTGAACGTGCTGAATTGGCAGCTGAAGAATTCCGTAATCATGGTATAAGTGATCTTATTGAACTACAACATCGGGATGTATGTCGTGATGGATTTGGATTAAAAGATACTGTCAATGCAGGTATGTCAATGATGTATATATATTTAAATAGATATGAATGATTTATTATTATTATTATTATTAGTATTTCTTGATTTACCTGCTCCTTGGGAAGCTATTGGATCCGCCAAGGAAGCATTCAAACAACATCGTACTGGCAAGATTTGTACATTTAGTCCTTGTATTGAACAAGTGGCTCGATCAGTATTGGCTCTCAATGATCATGGTTTTGTTGGTAAGAGGGAGAAAAAAAAAGATTGTTCAAAAATGAATTCTAATATGTATTTTATATTTATATAGAAATCACCATGTTTGAATGTCTGATTCGGGATCATGAAGTTTCCATTATTCAAAAGGTATCATTTGAAGAAGGTATTCGTCAAGCCAAAGAAAGGAAAGAAAATACAACCAATGGAAAACGAAAAGCAGATACTGAACTGGATTTAGAAGATACTGTGGATAAAATGTTGGCATCAAAGACAACTGTTGAATCTCGTGGACATACAAGTTACCTTACCTTTGCTACCTTTTTACCTGCTATTCAAGAAAACACCTTGACGGATTCAGAATTGATTGTGACGGAAGAATCTACCTCATAGAATTTATTGTACCTTTTTTTTTTAATTATCAATATATTTACTACCCATTACATTGCTCTCTTTTTTTTTTTTTTTTTTTTTTTTACACTTATTTCGTATAGACCTAGTTTTTATCAATAAATGGTATTTTGTACATATTACTATTTGAGTGATATCTGTAATAAATGAATTGACGCACTCAACGATAAATGACTTTTCTTCAATAAATAAGATATTCCTTTGATAGAAACAGTTGAACATAAACTATTGTTTTTATTGTTATCAACATCATTATTGCTAGTATGATTGATATATGATCTCCTACTTTGTTTTTCAAAAAAAAAAAAAAAAAAAAGGAACAATACAGGAAGCCAGCGATGGTAGTTTTATTGGATGATGATCATTATTGGATGAGAGATGATGATATTGACATTTCATTTTTAATTTACTCCATAAATTGGTAGGTGATATATAAAACATTATCATGTCAAATGTAAGAGAATGATTAAATCCACATTCAGTATAAGTTTGCTGTGATGATGACCGTTTTTGAGTGAGTTACGGAAGCATACAAAGACGTTGGACATTTCTACCCCATGTTGCCATGCAAGTGATTAAATACCTGCGGAGTTATAATGTCAAGAAGAAAAAATTTTGACTTTTTCTATCCACACCCTTTCTCTTTCCATTATCTTTGATCTCCTTTGACAAATGAAAGAATCTATTCAATTGAAACGTACTCATATAGAAGGTAAATAAAAATAAATATATAGACTTAATCTTTAGTTGTTTTTTTTTGTTAACTCACTTTATTTTCAAAGGTACCATTCATAAAAGAGCACCATTACGTCCAGCCGCTTCTATTGATAATATTTATATTGCTAACAAGACCAAAGTTCAAGTTATTATTAATCGTGTCAAGAGACTCATGATCAGTGAAAAGTAAAAAAAAAAAAAAAAAAAAAAAAAAAAAAGAAAGAAAGAAAGAAAAAAAATATATTTATTATTATTATTTTCCATTAGATATGCTACTATTTCTATTCATGGTATGGGTCCATTGATACCTCGTGCTATTATCATTGCTCAAGGTTCCCAGAGAGCTTTAGAGAACCAAGTTAATCTTCAAATGACAACTAACACAGTGACTCTATTTGATGATATTATCCCTGACGATATGGATTTGGATATTGAAACACAACAAAGACAGATTTCCACGATTCGTATTGATATTATTGCCAAACCTGGATTGAAAAATTTACAGAATGGTGCCAACATGATCGATCGTCGTCCATCCCGCAATCGCAAACTCAAGTATCCATAAATATACTTTTTTAGTGTAACTACTTTTGATAATGCCCTGATGCAGTCTCCATACTCCCTTTTTCCCTCCTCATTTTACCTCTTATTCCAATTTGGAATGTTATCCTTTCTTCATCCTATTTGTATTATATGTTGCTTCGATTATTATGTTAATAAAAAAAAATCATGTACTATATTTAAACATACGTTGAAGAAATACTTTTTGAGTGATAATAATGGATATGTTTGACCCTTTCCACTATATAACCAAAAACATGATGACAATAAATGCATCATCATCAATTCTCATTATAGGATTCATGACTATTACACTTTATTCAATAATAAATGATGGAATTCAAAAGTAAGATGTCGCAAGAATAGGAAATAAAATATAGTAAGGGTAGACGACAGAAGAAGAAAAAAATAATAAAAGAATTGATGCATAATCAAATAGAGAGTAGATTAAGAAGGCAGATGTCATGAAAATAAACCCACCATAGAAAAGTGAACCAATTGAATCCACCAAGAAAGAATAAATAAATAAAAAGTGAGTGATACTTATGCAGATAAAAAAAAATATTTCATTCGCTTACCATTTAAGTATAACGTGATCACTGTACCACTACAGCGAAAGTAGATATAACCTTTGAATAAAAAAGAAGAAGAAGCGAACCGTAACCACGCAAATGCGCATTAGCAACCGCGGTCAAGCCCAAAAACAAAAAGCAAAAAAGAAGCAGGCCAATTGAGAGACAGACAAAGGTGGTTGAACCATTAATGAGTATCAGTAAAGAAAAAGATAAATCAAAAAAAAAGGAAGGCAGACCAGAGGCAAACGGAGTATGAAATGATTTGATTCATTTTTGTACTTTTCACTTTCTTCTGTCTTTTTTTTTTTTTTTTTTTTGCTTCTCAATCTAAGATCCAAAAAATGTCAAATATTTATGCCCTTGAACCACATACAAAGTAACGAATAACATTTGATAAATAAATATCTAGTGATTAATCTTATCCTTTTTCTTTATTTATTTCCACTGTCTTCTTTTCTAGTGCCAAGGTGATTTTACACACAACCAAAGGTGACATTGAAATCGAGCTCTGGGGTAAAGAAGCACCAAAGGCAACTCGTAACTTTATTCAACTTTGTATGGAAGGTTACTATGATAATACTATCTTCCATCGTATCGTACCTGATTTTATTGTACAAGGAGGTGATCCTACTGGCACTGGCCATGGTAAGCAAGATATATATATAATAAAAACATTAATGTTTTTGCTAACAGTTTTCCTTGTTATTTAGGAGGTGAATCTATTTATGAAGATGAATTTCCTGATGAATTCCATTCTCGTTTACGGTTCAATCGTCGAGGATTAGTGGGGATGGCAAATACTGGAGAAAACGATAATGGTAGTCAGTTTTTTATTACTTTGGATCGTGCAGATGAACTCACAAAGAAACATACCTTGTTTGGAAGAGTAAGTTACAAAATATGATAATGTAAACTTCATGTTATTCAACATATTTTTTTTTTTTTTTTTGAAATAGGTTGCTGGGGATACTCTATTCAATGTTATGAAGATGACTGAACTGGAGTTGGACAATAATAACCGACCACTTTATCCACCCAAGATCAAAACCACGGAAATTGTCCTTAATCCATTTGACGATATTATACCAAGAATCTCAGAACGCGAAAAACAAATAGCTTTACAACGGGAACGTGAAAAACTCGATGCTGGGAAACCAAAGAAGGTCAAAAAGGAAAAAAAGTAAGTGATAGAAAAGTGAATGGTCATAAGAAAAATGGCATTTTTTTTATTTATTTATTATTATATATTATAGAAAACTTAATTTGCTATCGTTTGGTGAAGAAGCTGAAGAATTATCGCCTGAAACTCCACGAAAGACCAAGATGAAAAGTAGTCATGATTTTATGGAAACCTCTTCGACAGCATCCTCTAATGATCAACAAAAATCTTCCACGGCTTCACCACCAATCATCGAATCGTACAAAGATACAACCGTTACTGGTACTTCACCTAGTCTGAAATCAACATCTTCGCCATCATCGACACCAAAGGATATCAGTAATAAGGACAACAAAACATCATCAATTGAAAAAAAGCCCAAAGAAGTCAAGAGGTCGAAATCAGTAGAAGAGAAACCGATGTAAGTGTTATTTATACCTTTTTTTTTTTTTTTTTTTTTTACTAAAATGATTTTCATTATAGGACTGCAAAAGAGAAAATCGAACAATTGAAGAACGATATCAAGAACATTAGCCGGCATGAACAAAATGAGGACAATCGTCCAAAGACAAAGGGCAAGAAGGTATCTCTTTTACAACTTGAACGGGAAAAGTATCAAAAAGCTGGCAAGGTGATAGTGGGTGGTTTGAAAGGAAGGAAATTGAAGAATGACAATGGTGATGATGTAAGTTGGAATAAAGAAGAACAAGAAAAAAAAAAAGACTATAGATGATATATGTTGATTCTCATTTTTTTTTCCTTTGATACATTTAGACGTTTGCAAGATTGATGGCATTCCAAAATAAACTCTCCTCGGCTCAAGAAACAGCTCCTCTAGCTAAGAAGGAATTGGCACCCTGCAAGTTACATGGTATCCCTAATTGTGAATCATGCAACGATCTAACGATGGAGGACACAATTGAAGATGATGATCCTAACAACTGGTTGGCTCACAAATTGGTATTCGACAAGGATCTCAAGGGCAAGGATTTACTTCAACGGAAGGAAACAGTAGATGATTATGTGGTGATTGACCCTCGTGATAGAGATGCTCACACAAAACAGAAACCTTACGAAGGTAGTAGGCATAAATATGATGAACAAGCTAGACAAGATCGAGAACGTGACAATGGAAAAGATCGTTATTCAAGGGGCAGGGATGATAAGAAACGATCTGCAGATTATCATCAGGATGATAGGAAACGATCAAGAGGAAGGGATGATTATTATCGCAGCAGCAGCAGTAGTAGTAGCAAAAGATATTGAATTGTAGTATAGATTTTTTTTTTGGGTCATTGTTTGAAATAAACTTCTTTCTAATGTTTTTTTTTTATTAATGATGTTTATTTTTTTTTAATAATATATATATTTGTGTAGAACGAATCTCGGTGCAAGAAGGCACATTTGGTTCGTACTCCGCTTTTGGTTTTGGAGCTTGGTTTTCTTGTTCCAAAAAACCGAAGTTTCGCACCTCTTTCTTTTCACTTTTTATCGATACATCTGTTCTTTTTCACCAATGGATATCAAAAGCTGGTTGCAAACTGTCCTTCTTCAATATGTAAGTAGAATAAAATAATTTGAAAGGACTGCTGTCAATGGTTTGTTCATCCTTTCTTTCCTGTTCTTTTTTTTTATAAGTATAATGATCCTGACCGTACCTTTAGAGATGTTGATGCCGTGTTACAAATGCACATTACATCTTTGAAACCAAAGATGGACACTTATAGTAAGTTGGTTTTACTCAGTATACATGTTTTATTATTTCCTTATTGAACTGATTTTTTTTTCTTTCTTTTTTTTTTTAGCATATAATGACGGACATACCCAACTCCTGTTATGTCTTCATGGAACGATACCTATCACATATCGATCAATCCCTTACAATATTCCTGTCGCCTTTTGGATTCCAACAGAATACCCTCAATATCCTCCTATTCCATATGTCAAACCAACTGCTAATATGCTCGTACGTGAAGGGAAACATGTCGACAAAAGTGGACTTTGTTATCACCCATACAGATCAAACTGGAAAGAGGATACCAATGTAAGTTATATAAGAAACATTTCAATGAATAATATAGAAATAACATTATTTTTTTTCTCTTATAGAATCACACCCTATTGGAACTTATTGCTATCCTTCAACACATCTTTGGTAATGAACCTCCTGTGTATACAAAAGCTACAACATCAAATCCACCATCCAATGTCGGATCACCTATTAAAGAACATGCCTTGGCCACCATGTCACCTGGTCCCGCTCATACACCAATGCCCCCACCTGTACCTCCTTCATCACAATCACCTCTACAACCATTGAACATGATGGATACGACCATTCACCAGCAATCTCGTTGGCCAGGTGAAGGAACTGCTTTTTACAACTTGAATCAAGATATGTCTGTAAGTAAATTCATGAAATTTCACTATCTTACACTGACTAATTATTATTATTATTATTATGATTATTATAATTAGGGATTGGCAATGAGTCCAAATTCTTATGGTCCTTCACCAGTGAACAGTACAAGTAATTCACATATTTCAAAATCAGAATCACTTCCTACTATGGCTTCTACTTATCCTCATCAACAATCATCATTACAAGCACAATCCCAAAATATGCAACCACATCAACAACAATCACAACAATCTCAACAATTGTATCATCATCATTCAGACACACCATTTATGGAAAACAAGGAAAAAGAATTACAAAACCAACTCTATCGAAAAGTAGCAGAACGAATACAAACCTTTCATGTGGATATATCAACTGAAATGGATGAATTACTGATGGTGAACAGACAACTCAATGATGGTGAAATACAACTTTCAAATGAAATGCATGTACTACAAGATCTTCGGGAACGTCTTCATACCAACATTGGGATTTTACAATCAAGGACAAGTGATATAGATCAAATCATTGCTGATGTGAATGCCATGCCTGATGTCTCCGTGGATGAAGCTCTTTCTGGAACAACTGTGGTGTACAATCAGTAAGTAAGCTATTTGGTTTTTATTATTACTATTATTAACACATGAAATCGACTTTTTCTTTAGATTATTTGATTTAGTGGCTGATGATAATGCTATAGTGGATACCATCTATTACCTGGGAAAAGCCTTGAATACTGAACGAATTGATTTATCTACGTTCATGAAGGTATAACTATGAAATTTGTTATTTCATCTCTTGTCTCATATAAGTTTGTTTTTTTTTTTCTTTTATTTAGTGTACACGCAAACTGGCTCGAGAACAATTCATGAAACGGGCTTTGGTCAAGAAGATGATGGATTCCTAGTTTTAGATATTTTAGATTATATTATTATTATTATTATTTTTATTATTATTTTTCTTTGATACAGTTGTAGGATATGATAATTTTTTTATGCCCATCTTTTATAATAAACCGTCGCTCTTCGAATATTTTATCCATTTGACGTTTTTAATATTTTTTTTTTTCCCTCCTCTTTTGTTTTCTTTGTCATTCTTTTCAATTGAATAATGTATAGACTACAAAGAGCCTTGACGAATAGACACATCCTCAACACTAGTAAGATAACATGTGGAAAACACCTTTCTATGCCTTCAACACCAAATTCAACTGTTGTGAAACCAAAATTCTTTTCCATACGATACGCAAGTCGTTTGACTGTACCACGACAACAATTAAAGAACACGGTCTCTAAAGTCTCCACCAATGCTCTTAGTACCATTCGTCCTTTTGTTACTGTCGCTGATAAAACCGTGTATCAATCACCTTATTTGAATTGGAAGCTCTTTCCTGACTTTGAAAAACTGTTGACCCAAACCGCCCCTGCAGTAGCCATCCCTGTCTTTCAAGAATTGCTTACTGACACTCGTACACGTTTTCTAGAACTTGAAAAGTCTTTTGAACCCACTTGGGAAGGAACTATTGGAAAACGTAAGAATATTCTTTGCTAAAAATATCGTTTTTTATATATATACAAAAACAAGAACTCATCTACTTTTTATTTTTATTTTTTATTTTTTTAAATGAAGTCACTGAACTGGAAATTCAAGTCTCTCGAGCTTTTGGTATTCTCTCTCATTTGAATGGTGTAAAAAATTCACCTGAATTACGTTCTACTTTGGAACAGATCCAGGTAAACCGAAATAAATAAATAAACAAACAAAAAAGGTCTTCAATTGAACATCATATTGACATTTGTGTTACATCTTTCTAGCCAGAATTTATCAAGCTTAGTTTACTGATGAATCAATCAGTTCCAAAATATAAGGCACTTGAAGAATTGAAAAACTCGGCAGAATGGGATCATTTAGATAGTGTACAACAACGTATTGTGGAAAACACCCTTCGTGACATGAAACATGCTGGTATTGGTTTCCCTGAAGGTTCTCTGGAAAAGAAACGGTTCAATGAAATATCAGAACGACTTTCTCAACTCTCTCTTGGATTCAACAACAATGTACTGGATGCGACAAAATCTTTCAAAAAAGTGATTACGAATAAATCTGATTTGGATGGATGCTCAGATACATTTTTGGAAACTCTCAAGAAGAATGCAGTGATGCAAGGATTGGGCGATGATGTGTATTGTATTACTTTGGATGCTCCTATCTATGGTCCCCTAATGATGAATTGTAATAATCGATCTCTCCGTGAAACTATCTACAAGGCAAATGTGACAAAAGCATCTGAAGGTACCCTGAACAATGAACTCCTTATCAATGAAATACTGACCCTACGACATGAAATGGCAAACTTACTTGGTTACAAGACATATGCTCATTTGTCTCTTTCGGTGAAAATGGCTCATGACCCTGAAACAGTGGAAAAGTTATTGGATCAGCTTTATGCATCGTCCTTGGATCATGCCAAACAGGAATTAGTTACTTTGGCCCAATTTGCCGTCGATCATTTACAATACTCTCCAGATGAACATGGTCAAGTCTTGTCTCCATGGGACACGGCGTACGTATCGGAACAATATAGAAAATCTTTATACAAATATGATGAAGAGACTATCTCAGAATATTTTGCTTTCCCAAATGTCCTACAAGGTTTATTCGAAGTCACTGATCAAGTGTTGGGTATACAAGTACGGGAATTGACGGCCGATGAACTGGAACAAAAGAACATTACTCGTTGGCATGATGATGTCAAGGTCTTTCAAGTGTCCGAACATGATCAAGTCAAAGCATACTTTTATGGTGATTTTTACTCGAGACCTTCGGAAAAACGTAGTGGTGCCTGGATGGATACTGTCACTTCTCGATACAAGGATCAAAATGGAAATGTCACCTTACCTGTTGGTAAAATACAAAAAAAAAAAAAAAAAAAAAGAAAGTATCACAATCGACTAACGATTTCGTTTCTATTTTATGTATATAGCTTACCTTATTTGCAATCAAGCAAGTCCTCAATCCGCTGATAAACCATCTTTGATGAAATTTAGAGATGTGGAAACCCTATTTCATGAATTTGGTCATGGTCTCCAACATGTAAGACGAATAAGATAGATATGATCAATGATTCTTTTTTTTTTATTATTGTACTAATAATCACTCTATATACAGATGATGACTCGTGTTGATTACGCTGAAGCTTCTGGAATCAACGGTGTTGAATGGGATTTTGTTGAAGTAACTAACAAAGAAGAAAAATAATATTCTTATTACTAACATGATCAATTGTTCCATAGGTGGCATCACAATTCATGGAAAACTTTTGCAGTGAACCCAAATGGTTAGAACGGATGTCAGGACATTATCAAACAGGTGAACCTATGCCAAAGGATATGGTGGATGCTTTGGTTAAAAATCGACAATTCTTAAGTGGTATGGCCATGTTACGGCAGGTAAGTAAAATAAAAAACATCAAGAGATATTGATTCTTACTTTCTTTATATATATCAAAGCTCCATTTTGCTAAAGTCGACTTGGCTCTTCATTCAAGTTTCAAACCTCCTTCTACACCTGATGAACCAACAGTCTTTGATGTGGATGCTGAAATAGCAAAAATGACAACATTGGTACCTCGCTTACCTGAAGATCGATTTTTATGCAGCTTTTCTCATATTTTTGGTGGTGGTTATTCTGCCGGTTATTACTCGTAAATCGAAGATAATATAAATACCGTGCTTTGACTCATTCTTTCTTTTTTTTAAAAAAAAAAAAAAAATAGATACAAATACTCTGAAACTTTTTCTGCTGATGCATATGGTGCTTTTGAAGAAGCAGAAATAAACGGGGAATCATTATCCAAGGTTGGACAACGCTATCGTGATACAGTATTGGCTTTAGGAGGAGGAACTCCACCAAGAGATGTTTGGGAAAAATTCCGTGGTAGACGTGATGTAGATGTAAATGCACTCCTTCGTCACTCTGGATTACAATAGATTATAGATAGTAACTAATCAATAAAATTGGATGTATTTTTAAAGGTGATGAATATGATGATGATATAATTCGACAGTTTATTTTATCGATAGTGAGCTTATTCATTATTAGCTCATGTCTTTTGACTATATAGTTATATGATCCTTATCAATTATGACTTCATAGTTCATAAAAAAAAAAAAAAATAGCGGAGCTAAGGTGGTTTAGGATCAAAAAAAAAAAAAAAATGGATGCCGACTTGATGGTCCCTTTATTTAGTTTGATAAACCGATGAACAAAAAAAAGAACAAAAAAAAAAGATTTTGAATGCTTTTGTTTATATGTATATAATAAACTGTAGTCAAAGAACAATAAAGAATTGAAAAGATAAATAAAAATATGATGGAGATCAGGGATGGATTACTAGAAAAGGGAATGAGACCTATGTTCTCTTTTTTTTTCATATGAGTAACCAAGAGTCATTCCGATTTTAGCCGGGAAACAAGACCAAAAGGGACTTTGGGTCAAAAATGCGGCATTTAAAATCACGCACTTGGTTATGGAGTAAGAGGTTTTTTTTTTTTTGTATTTGACTCACCTCCTTTTTTTTTTTGGTTCCTTTTTCTTTTTTTCTTTTTTTCTTCTTTTCTTTATTTCTTTATATATAGTTGAAAGGGAGAAAATATCTACCTTTCTTTTTATCTTTTCTATTGTTTTTATTTTATTATTGTTATTATTATTATTATTGTTATAATTATTATTTAATTATTCCATGAACCATATTGTATCGACTACCACTCACTTGAATAGCGACGATATTATTTTATTGCATGATGGCTTCATTACTTTGGACAAGAAATCAACAAAATAAGTCTGGCAATCGAGCACCAAGCAGTCTATTTTCCAGTAACTTATCACCTCGTCAAATAGCCAATAAAGCCTATAGTTTAGCCATCAAAAAGTTAGATCGGGATGATAAACGTAGTCGACCTCATTATAATGTACGTGAAAGGTTATTACTTTGTAACACTCTCACCAAAGCGGAACAATTCTTACAAAAACGAACTCCTCGTACCAATCGGCGTGTAATGGCTTTTGAAGAAGATGATTCAACTTGTTCTTCTGATGATATCATGACAACACCTCAACAACATAATGATCACATTGATTCACCTTTATCACATATGGATCAAGATGATGATGATGATGATGAAGATGATGATGATGATATATATTTGGATCATCAACCTACAACACCTGATACAGAAGACATTCAAGATGAAATGACAATGGAAATGGCTTTATCCAAGGCTTTATCTCCCATGGGTTCCAATGCCTTTGTTATTCCTCAAGATGATGAAGATTTCCTCCAGTACCCTTCCTCTTTTTTGATACCCAACAATAATAATAACAATAACAATAACAACATCACTGCAGATTGCCGTCCTATCGGTCATCAAAATCCTCATCTTCCTATTGCATCTATTATTTAGTTACTATTTTTATCATTTCATTCTTTTCATTCATCTATTTTTCCTTCTCATTTCAAATAAGAAATCATTATTCTCTTTTTTTTTTAAAAAAAAAAAAAATAAACACGATTATTTACTTATCATTCATTATAGAAACTTGTTTACAATCACTTTATTTGTGCTTCTTTTTTTTTTTTCCTTACATCATCCAACTCTTTTTTTCATTATTCTCTATTTTCTTAAAAAAAAAAAAAACTACGTTAGAAGGGAGAGCGGAGTTGGGCAAGATGTGAAAGAAAAAAAAACCCTCCCCCCAATTTCTAAATTTTTCCTCTTTTCTTTTCCACAACGTATCATCATGTCCGAGTTTCATTCCCTTGCCAATCTTATTAAACGCTTAGAAGTGGCTACTACAAGATTGGAAGACTTGGCCATGTCTTCTTCTTCTGCTTCTGCTGTTGCTGCTTCTTCCAACAATCAAACTTCTGCCCCTCCAACAGCTACCTCATCCACACCTGTTGCTGTTCAAAAACATGATGACGCTATTAACCCTTCTTTGGAACAATATAAGAAACTTTCTCAAGAAATTGGTGGTGCTGTTGCTCAACAAGTATGAATACATATATATATATATTATATGACCAGTGACTGATATTAACTATTATTATTATTATTATTTATATAGAGTACTTTGGTACTCGAAGCTATTCAAGCAGAACGTGATATTATTCGTATTTCTACTTTGGCTCAAAAACCTGATATGTCTTCTCCTGTTTTCGCCAAAATTATTACACCCATTCAACAAACTCTTACTTCTATTGTGGAAATCAAGGATAAACATCGTGGTGATCCTCTCTTCAACCATCTTTCTACTGTAGCTGAAGCTATTCCTGCATTGGGTTGGTTTACTTTTGTAAGTATATTATGAGTTCTTTATTCTTTTTTTTTTTTAATCTATCTATATCAATATATAGGAACCCACACCTGTACCTATTATTCGCGAAATGAAAGATGCTGGACAATTTTATGCTAATCGTGTAGTCAAGGAATACAAAGAGAAGTATGTTACTCAAATATGGAAAATACAAGATATTCATCATCTCCTTTTTTTATGATAGAGATTCAAAGCATGTGGAATGGGTTCAAAGTTACTTGGCTATTTTTGATAGACTTGGTGAATATGTCAAGGAAAACTATCCTACTGGATTGATTTGGAATGGAAAAGGTGGTAAGGCTGAAGATTATATTGGAAATACTTCATCCAGTAATCCTTCATCAACCCCTACTACTACTACTGCTGGTGGTCCTCCTGTTCCTCCTCCTCCACCTCCTCCTATGATCATTGATGAAAACGAATCATCCGTCGAATCCAAACCTACTGGTGCTGCTGCAGTGTTCGCCGAAATCAATCGTGGTGAAAACGTGACCTCAGGTCTTCGCAAGGTGGACAAAAGCCAAATGACTCATAAAAATCCTGCTTTACGTGGAAACGATAACAGTCCTCCTTTGGGAAAGAAACAAGGTCCTCCTACTCCAAACAAACCAAACAAGTATATTCTCAAGAAACCTGCGAAAACCACTTTGGAAGCTAACAAATGGGTGGTGGAAAATCATGAAGGAAATAACGAAATCATTATTGAAGACACAGCAATCAATCAAGCTGTCTATATTTATGGTTGTAAAAATTCTACTATTCGTATCAAAGGAAAGGTCAATGCTGTCACTATGGGTAAAAAAAAAAAAAAAAAAAAAAAAAAAAAGTGATACTCATATATTTTTTATATCAACAGATTCATGTGTCAAGTGTGGATTGGCTTTGGATTCTGTAGTGTCAACAGTAGATATTGTCAATTGTCGATCGTTTGGTTTACAGATCTTCCATGTCACTCCAACCATTGCTGTCGATAAATCAGATGGTGGTGAAATTTACGTATCAAAGGATTGTTTGGGTGTGGAAATCTTATCTGCTAAATCAAGCTCATTGAATGTCTATATGCCTGAAAGTCCTGATGCTGATGATTCTGATTTCAAGGAAGTGCCTGTACCTGAACAATTCAAAACTACTATTGTCAATGGAAAATTGGTGACATCCACAGTGGAACATACTGGATAAACTACTTTACTTCTCTCTTTGAACACTGTAGATTTAGGTATATTGTTTTTTGTTTTTTTTTTTTGTCCTCTTTGATATATATATATATATTTATACACTTTATGATCTCCTCTTTTTTTTTTTTTTTTTTTTTTTATTCTGATTGATTTGGACAAAATAAACGCTATCCACCGTGAACAACAATTATTACATAAAAATGATTTATTTATTTATGTGGAGAGATTGGTAATGATAGATGATAAACCAAGGATGTGATACTATACCAGACTTTCAGTGATGATATAAACATATTTTTTTTATTGTTAAACCAAGTAAAAAACTACTATAACTAGACTGACGATATATTTATTGTTGATCAGAATTGTTGATGACCAGGATGTTATTTATATTCCCATCTAAAAAAAAAAAAGTCGAATGAATCCATCAAGAACCTTCATATAGATAGCTCTTACCAAGATCCTTTTCAATTGGTTGATCCATATCATGTTGCCAAACACCATCTACAACAAACTTGTACAAGAGAGGATTGGTAGATGTTGTTAACCATGTTACAAATGTTCCATCTGATTCCTTTTTCATTTCTGTTGATTCTAATCATATATACCAAAAAAATTAAGAAAAAAAAAATCATCATACATTACAATTTTTTTTTCTTAATTTTTTTTACTTACTGCTCCATGCATCAAATGTACCTGTGATATATACCTTTTCACCCCCATGTTTCCATACAACCTAATATAATATTATGATGATTATTTTAGTATGATGCATTAAAATGTCTCCTTTAGTAGTAGTTGTACCTTAATAGGAAGTGCTGCCAATTGATGATTGTTCTCATCGATCATGTGATCATTCTTTTGATCATGAAGGTCGTAGGATGAATCCATAGATATCCGTTTGTCATCCGTTGTACAAGTGGTACTGTTTGTGGTGGTCGAAGGATTAGTGAGTGTAGAGCTCCTACTATGTTCCATCTTTTTTTCAGTGATGGACCGTGCTTCCCCAACATTGTTTGCCTTTTTCTTACTGCTTTTGAAAAGACTCATCCAGGATTTGATACCCCCTTGTTTGTCATTATCCGTCATCATTTTAGATTACTAGTCTGTCGTTGATAATAATGGATTGTTTATTGATATATATATATATGTGAAGAAAACTATGTATAAATGAGTGTGGGAATGATAAAAAAAAAAAAAAGGAAAAAGAGAGAAAGAAAGAAAACAAAAAAAAAAAAAACTAATTAAAAGATAAATAATCAGGCATAATGGATGGGGTGTATTTCATGTGGATGAAAAAAACCTTTTTCTCTACAATATAAAATAGAAAAAAGATTGAACAATGATTACTATGATCTTTTTCTTCTAGTATTTTTTTCATTTACCTTGGGATGATCTATAGCAGGTGGGAAGAGTTCTTCATTATCATCATCAGTTGTTGATCCATCATCTTGTTTGGTTTGTTCATGTCGTTGTTGGGGAGGTGTGGATCGTGTTACATTGTTTGGTCCTAATGATGGCGACCGAAAAGGGAATAGTTGATCATCACTGTTGTTTGTTGAGTCACGCGTTCTTGCTGTTTTCTGCTTTCCAAAAGAAGGTGGCATCATTTCTAACGATGCACTCGGCTGGACGACTCTTTCTTCTTGTCGTGAAGATGACGATTCTGTTGAAGAGGATCGGATGCGTTGGTCATGACGTGAGAGAGATTGCCTTGATATGGAGAGTTCTATGAGAAAAATATAAAGTTAACCATTATCATAAACAAATAAGCCAACCTTAAAAAAAAAAGAATTACTTACCACTATCGCCTGTATTTACGGATATATTGCTCATGCTGACATTCGCTGACTCGACATCTTCATCACCCAATTGTGTCATGATAGTGAAATTGGCGTAAACTAAATCTTGTTGTTTCACGATAAATACCAAAGGTCTATATAAATAGATAGATTAAGATATCTATTTCTTTTTTTTTTCTTCCACACTTACTTGCCGCTTCCTTCAAATGTACCATGTAATATATCGCCAGTATCAATACCATAATTGACTACCGTCTATTATCAAATATTATCAAATATATATATACATATAAATATAATATCATAATCTTTCTTTAAATTACCTTAAGATCTTTCAAGTTGATAATTAAAGTAACAGGGTTATCGACATTATAGGAAACAAAGTCATGACTTGATATCTTGAATTGACTTTGCATAGGTTTACTAGTATCTCCTACATTAAGGGAAAATGATATTGGAAATGGTTGTCAGTACTATGACTTGAGCATAATAAAAAAAAAAAATCTTACGTCCAACAAAGGATTCCAAATAGGCCTTGGCTATGACATGATCACGAGTAAATATAAATGATATATCTTGAATACGAGAATCCATCAATGATAGATGGTCATGTAAAAGTTCAGCATCAATAGAGAATGAATATGGCATGTTTGTAGATGACAATGGCCTAGTTGATTGAATATCCCCATACCATAAAGAATTTGTCTTGGTCATACCTAACAGAGAATTATTATAATCAATATCAAAGATATACATTGGATTATATTTACCATTTTCATATCCAAATCGAAGATGAAGTCGTAATTCTGATCCAATCGATCCATCACGCGATCCACCTATTAATTTCAGTTCACATTGTTTAATATTACTGGAGCTATGTTTGTTATTTCTAAAGATCTTTCGCAATGTCTACTACCAAAAAAAAAAAAATAAAACAAAAAGTTGAATAAATTTATATAAAAGATTTTTTTTTTTTTTTACCTTGAGTAAAACACGACAGGAAGCACTATGAGAGTTAGTCAAAGGTCGAATTGTATATTTGTCGAATAGTTTTGGTGATAAAAGAATGACAGCCTGACCAGTGATCGAAGTATTAACAGTCCAAAGAATTAACTACACCATGAGAGAGAGAGAGAGATAAGTATTAAGAGAAAAATAAGATCATAACTTACTTGATCTTTTTTCGCTTCAATATGTAGTTCATCGCCAAATTTGACCAGTGCATCTAAACCATATCCAAAAGCTAAAACAATGCAGAAAAAGAAAATATATTAATTTAGTTGTTCATCGATTAAATAAACTAAGTAGATCCTAGAATTTTGTTTGTACCTCTCAGAGCATCAGGCGGTAATATAGCACTAAAACTCATGGGACAGAAAGCAGCAAAAGAAAGAAGGAAAAAGAGAAAAACGAAAAACTCGTTTTCCCTTATTTGTGTTCTGACAGTTGAATCCCCGTCAGTTCATTCGGTATAGGAAAAAGATGTCTACAGTTTATTATTATTTATATAATATCGTTAAAAAAAAAAAGGTATGAATAACTAACTACTAACAAATATCATCATCATCAATACAAATCAATCAATTAAGCAAAAAAAAAAAAAAAAAAAAAGAAGAAACTGTCTATTGACCTGACTTGGGTGAAGAGTTTGCTACTGCCAAACGTCCAGTGATAGCCCCAACCACTGCTGTTCCATAAAAAACCACCCCACAACGCGCTAATAATTCGATCCCGAGTTTCAATGTTTCTATCCGTAGGTTGGCTTGAGGAGGTGCTTTAGCAAAAAAGAGACGATGTCGTGTACGTTCTGGAAACATGGTCTTGCCGAGTACACCAAAGGAAATCACCGAACCTGCCATGGATGCTGTGAGCGATCGTGTTGGATAATGTTCAAGTTGTTGGGATATCGTCATATCAGCATCTATTTGTGATAAAAAAAAAAAAAGGATATATATAATAAAAAGAAAAATAGTTATTGTTGTGATTGTCTTTTTTTTTTAAATAATAAAAGTACCTTTTTGAGTGGGCATATTACTGTAACATAGTTTAGCTACTTGATAATCTACATGTTGACAAACAAGACTCCAAGTGAAATAACCAATGGGAGCACCAACAATCACAGGAATAGCAAAAGCCATTACAGTTAAAAAGGAGAGAGAAAAAAAAAAAAAAAAAAAAGACTAAAATACAGTTTATTCACTTTAAATTGAGACAGAGAGCAAAAAAAAAAAAAAAAAAAATTGAAAGGAAAATCAAATGAAGAGCCAAGGGAAAAATCAAATTGAAATACCAAGAAATAACATAAGGGAACAATCCAAGGGAAGGAATCCATGGATTGAATCAAACGAGATTTTTTTTTTTTTTTTTTTTTGGTACACTGTAACTTTTCTTTTTGGTAACTCATCCATCATCCATTTGTCCTTTTCTCATAATCCGCGATACAAATAAAAAAAGATCATCACAAATCTATTTGAGCAAACAAGTCTCTAATCATAGCGCAGAAAAGAAGAAGACAAACCCAATTCACAAGGAAAAAAAACCAGTAGTAGTAAACGGAATTTTTATTCGATCAAAGTTTTTGAAACGAAAGGGAAGGGGTATCAAAGATATAAGATACATCTATAGAGGGAAAATGGTGATTGTATCAATGTGAAAAGTAAATTACAAAAAAAAAAAAAAATATGCGATATGCATTAAATGTCAAATAGAATGTAAAAGAATAAAATATATGAATCGTTACGCAGCAGCAGCAGCAAACCCAGAGATCCAGCCCATCGGTTGTGATGATGATGATGATTGTAATGTCCAGTTATCCATTGTATTCTGCACAGAATCAGATGCATTTTCCAAACAATAACGTAATAATAATCGTCGTAATCGTTCTTGAGAATTTCTACATCCAGCCTAGGTATAATATTAAAAAAAAAAAAAAGATGAATCAACCCTCTTCCTTTTTTTTTTTTTTTTTTTTTTTTTTGTACTAACTTACAGTAGCAGCTTTTTCATACCAAATCAAAGCTTCTGATAAATTTTCTTGAACACCCAATCCTTTTTCATAACATAAGGCCAAATGATATTGAGCAGAAACTTGACCTTGTTGTGCAGATAATAAAAAGTAATTGACAGCCAATGCCATATTTTGTTGAATACCTACACCAGTTTGTAAATGGATACCTAATTTATCTTGAGCCCGTGCATGATGTTGAGCTGCTGCTTTTCGATACCAATAGACAGCTTTTGTAAGTTGAGGTGCCACACCGATACCATTCGCATAACAAAAACCAAGATTACATTGTGCCCATGGATTATTCTGTTTTGCTGCTTTGAGATACCAATATACTGCATGTGTAAGATCCTTTGTCAATCCCAATCCTTCTTCATAACAAAAACCAAGAGAGTTTTGAGCCAAAGCATTACCCTGTTGTGCTGATCGACGAAACCATTTGACTGCTTCACGTTCATTTTTTTTGACACCAACACCATTACGATAACAGAATCCAAGAGATAGTTGTGCAGGAGCATGACGTTGTTCAGCAGAAAGATAGTACCAGTAAACAGCTTCACGTTCGTTGACAGGGACACCAATACCATTTTGATAACAATAACCAAGAGAGTGATATGCAAAGATGTTACCTTGATCAGCTGAACGTTGATACCAATAGACAGCTTCAACAGGTTGTTTTTCCACACCAATACCATTTTGATAACAAAAACCAAGATTATGTTGAGCACGTGCATGACCTTGTCGTGCAGCTTGTGTATACCAATAAGCGCCTTGACTGGGATCCTTTTCCACACCGATGCCATTTTGATAACAATAGCCAAGATTACATTGAGCCCAGGGGTAACCTTGATCAGCAGAACAACTATACCATTGAGCAGCCTTTTCGAAATCCTTGCTATCAACTCCAATACCATCTTCATAACAATAACCAAGTGCATTTTGAGCAAAAGCATTTCCTTGTTGAGCAGCGATAGTGTACCAATGAACAGCTTGTTGCACATCTTTTTTTACGCCAATGCCTTCTTCATAACAATAACCAATATTGTAGATAGCTACTGTTTCACCTTGAGCAGCTGCACGATGATACCAAGTGATTGCCAAAAGTTCATCCTTTTCAACACCAAAGCCTTCACCATAACAATACCCTAAGATCCCTTGACCACGAGAGTTGCCTTGATCAGCACTGAGTTTGTACCACCGGAATGCTTCTTGTTCATTCTTGTCCACCACCACGCCATCATGGTAACACACACCCAAGCAGTATTGACTGGCGGCACATTTGTACACCACAGCGGCATGTCGGAACCAAGATAAACCATCATCATCATCATCATCTTGCGGATAAAAATCATCATGTTGTTGTTGTAAGATAGTTTCGAATTGATCAGCTTCACGTCTATCCATTTTAACACCTGGTCGACCATATTTTCTTAAGAATGCCAATCTTGCCACGCCAACAAGACAGGCTTGATGTACCATAGTCAGGCTAGTATCAGTATGTAGTGCAAGACTTGTTTGTTCTTTCATGATAGTTGTCAAAATATGGGTGGCTAGAAGATAATGATGTTCGGCTTGTTGAAAATCCATCTTGATGCCCAAACCAAATTCATAACAAAAACCTAAAATAGCGTTAGCAGCACTGATCGTCAATCTGGTTGAAAATAGTGTAGATTCGTCGTCACATAATTGTTGTAAGATTCTAATAGCCAAAGGTCGATTTAAAGAACAACGATGACCATATAATAATCGAATAGCACGATCAAATGATGCAAAACTAGTAGATGAAGTAGTATCCATTGTAGTAGTGTTGAGTCCACGTGATATTGAAGATATCAGTACAGGTGATGATAATGATTTACAACAATTGAATGATCGATTCGTCTTTTTACGAAAAACACGACGTGAGCATTGTTGAACGAGTTGAGTCACTATTGAAGTCATGTTTACGTGTAATGAGAGAAAGTGACAAAAGGACGTAATGTAAACAATTGAAGAAGAAGAATAATGTTGTTGTTATTGTTAATGTGAAGGAATGAAGAGTATAGTAAAAATAAAAAAAAAAAAAAAGAGGGGAGAAAGGAAGAAAGAAAAAAAAACAAAGAGAAAAGAAAATAAAATAAAAAAAAAAGGAGCAAGTAGAGAAAATAAAAAAAAAAAGAAAGGCAGAGCAGTTTTAAATTGAAAATCAGCCAATCATAAAAGTGAAGGATAAAACAGCTTTACAAAGATGTTTCAATATCTAATTCATGGCGTATTTTCTACTGTCTTCACCAAATTTGAAAGCATGGTTGATATGCATGTTCCCAAAATAATAACGAATGATCACACAAAAGGTACACAAACAAAAAAAAAAAAAAAAAACTTGTTCTCTCTCTTGTTCATCATTTTATTTCCCCGCTTTGCATAAGAAAGAATCTATTCGTCCGATGTCGTACCCGTCAAAAAAAAAAAAAATAGGATCTTACAGAAGACCGTGCATTTTAAATAAACTTCATTTTCTAAAAAAGAATTAAAATCATCCTTATTGACAGAAAGAAATGAATAAAAAGTATATATGTATTTGGTACGACATTATGTTGATGAAAACACATGTCATCAAGTATTTTATAAAAAAAAAATAAAAAAAAAAAAATAAAGAGGATATCTAAAGGAAGTGTTGTAATACGACAGATAAAAACTTTCGTCCCCGCCGTCAGTTCAGTCATTTCACCTTTTTCATCCATCAACAAAACGGAACTTTTATCCCGGTGAGTATACTTTTTTTCTTTCTTTCTTTCTATTGTTCATCATCATTTTATTATATACATATAAATATTTCTTGTTTATTATATTAAACATTTTTGGGGGAGAGATGATTACTATTGTTCTTTTTTTATTATTATTATTCTAGCCATCTGATCTGTAGACAAAAAGTCATTTTCAAAAGTTCTTTGATTTTCCTAATTTTGAAAAAATGGGAACGTCGGGTAACACCCGCTTTTTCTTTCTATTGTCACCAATCATACCGAATATGATTATTTCAAAAAAGAAGCAAGATTTCTAAAAGGGAAATGACTTGTTATATGATGTATAAGTAAATAACAATGATAATAGTTAATTAAGAATCCAGAAATATGATTCAAGAAACATTTTATCATGAAAAATAAAAAAAGAAAAAAAGAAAAAGAAAGTTAAAAGATTTCCTCTTTTGGAAGGATCAACACTTTTTTTTTAAAAAAAAAAAAACCACGGGGAAAAAAAAAGGGGTAAAGAATAGTTTTCGGACACTATCCGACTGACCACCGTCTGTTCTAGATCACATACAGATAAATAAATAAATAACAAATAATACAACAACAACAACAACAACATCGTCATCAACAATAATAAAAACAAATAACTTTTTTATTTTTAATCATCCACTGTATAAATAACTAATAAATTAATCTAATTAGAAAAAGATGGTACGGTTTTCATCACTTGATTGTTGAGCCAATTCAATCACACGAATGCATAATAATCCATGTTCAGGTTTGACAGCTAATTGAGCAGGATTTCCATCCAAGATTGCTTGAGCTACATTGTTGTAGAAAGAGAGATAATCACCTTTTTCAGTTTCAATATTACCCACCACATGAATACCACCAGTAATATCAGTATTGATCAAACCCCATTGTTGTTCATCTTCCACTCCATAACCTGCATGTGCTGGTAAAACGCCCGCCTTGAGTTGATCTTCTTGTACATCTAAATAGTGTTTGACAAAGGAACCATTCATACCCCGCAATGAAAATCGTAATACTGGTTGTTGTCTTGCTAACATACTGCTTCGTAAGATCGCCTTGAGATTATTTTCATATGTCAAAATAATGGTAAAATCATCTGCCACATTGGTACCTGGTAATTGACGTTGATTACTGATGGTTGCATAAATACTTTTAGGAACACCAAATAATGTAAGAGCTAAGTTTTTTTAATTTTAATTAAAAAAAAAAAAAAGAGATTTTAAATAAGATATATATATATATATATATATAATTATATTTTAAATATATTTACCTTGATCAATCAAGTGAGCACCTAAATCATATAACATACCAGATCCAAGTTGACCTTCTTGTTCACGCCATCCTTTCTTGCTAAAGTTACGGAATCGATCAAAATGAGATTCGAATTCAACAAGACGACCTAAATGTCCATTATCCACTAATTTCTTCACTGTCAAAAAGTCACCATCCCATCGTCGATTTTGATACACACTACAGATTTTATTGGTTTCCTTGGCCACTTTGACTAAAATTTCAGCTTCTTGAGAAGTTACTGTAAATGGTTTTTCAACGACAACTAATATATATAAAAAAAAATATCATTAAATATCATTTCTCTTCACTTTACCTTATTTTATTATACTTTACCATTCTTTCCTTTTTCCATGGCTTCCTTTGCAAGTTTGAAATGAGAATCATTAGGTGTAGTAATGACTACCAAGTCAATATGATCAAGAGCAAACAATTCATCAGTACTTTTCACAGTTTGAATTCCAGGGTAAACACTTTGACTCTTATTATCATGACGTTCAACCACAGCAGCAAGTTTGAGATGAGGAGAGGATACAATCAAAGGACAATGAAATGTACGAGAGGACATGCCTATAATAATAATAAAAAGTTAGCATATAAGTTATATGAATAAAAGAAAAAGAAAACCTACCAAAACCAATGACACCAACATTTACTTGCTTAGACATAATAATAGAACTGGTTTTAATAAAAAAAAAAGTAAAATATGGAAATAGGTAGTTTATAAAAGAAAGAAAGAAAATAAATAAAAAAGAATGAAAAACCAAAATCGCGACCCCTAAATAAATTTATATAGAAAAAATAAATTTACACTAAGGAGCTTATTAAGCAAAAAGGGATTTTTTTTTTGGCGGGTAAAAGTGGGAAATGAAAAATTTTCAATTACCCCGCGGAAAGTGAGATCAAGAAAAAATGAACAAAAGGTCATCCTTTCCTTTTTATTATGATTTATTATGATTTATTATTTATGAACGATAGTATAATCGAATTTAATGTTAAAAACAAAAGACGGGAAGAAGGGTTTCAATTAAAAAAAAAAAAAAAAGAACACCCATGTCAAAATAATCTGTCCTTTTTTGTAGATCATCTTTTTTTTTTTCTCCACTGTTTTCCAACCAAACAAAAAAAAAAACGCGATCGTAGAATAAACTGACATTTGATTGGAAGCGCCACTTCTTTGTAAGCTTTTGATATAACGTAATAAAATCCCAAAAAAAGTAATTAAAAAAAAGAATTATTTTATTGGACAAAAAAAACTATACACTAAGAGCATCTAACAATTTTTCCAATATAGGGTTCCCACCTAATCGAGCTATTTCTTGACGTGCTTCATTTTCCTTTTTCTTCATAAATTCACGTACATATTCAAAACTACCTGTTCGTTTGATGATTTCCAAAGCATATAATTTGACTTCCACTGCTGTCGGCTTTTGACTAATAATATTCATCAGTTGTCGATTGCTAACATCTGCTCGAATTGCATGAATAATAGGAAATGACATTTTGCCTTCAGTCAAATCTTCACAAAATCCTTTATTTTCTGTATACTATTAAAATGATAAGATTCGTTTCTTTTTTTAGTATAAATATTTTCTTTTCTTTTTTTTTTTTTTTTAAATATTTACCTTGTCAGATTGAAGATTCATATAATCATCACGTACTTGATAGTATATACCAATCATATTCACCAAAGGTGTATAATCACTAACAATAAATTTATATAAAAACATTAATTTAGTTATTATCATAAATTTCTCCATTCGTATTTACATATCACTATCACTGGCTGCTTGCATCAATCGCACTGCTAATCGTAATAAACCACTTGTTTCTATTCAACCAAAAATGAATTACATTATTAACAGAAAAGAATATATATATATATATACTTACTATTGTTGACCATATCAATATATTCATCTTCAGTAGGACAAGTTAAAGAATCCCTCCAAAATAATTCAAGTCCTTGCCCTTGATGTAAATTAATCAATTCTTCAGTGTATATAGTGACCATATGTGGATTATTGAGTTGTAAAATTTGTTGTAAGGCCAAGAAATAGACATAATTTGCACAGTTGATAGTTTGAGGTACACCATAGATATGATGAGCTACTGGAACTGATCTTCTTAAATCAGAACCATCTTGAACATCATCAATCCTATAAAAATAAAAGAATGAGATGACTAATTATGATGAAATAGAATTTAACTTACATTAAACTAGCATTATGAAGCATTTCAATGACTTTGGTAATAATATGTAAGGTATCAGAAGGAACTTTGAGCCATATTTCAAAGGCGGATATCAATTTTGATCGAATATCTTTTCCAGGATGAGTCAATAAATATTGGTAAGGTTCAAGTAAAACCTGTAATATAATAAATAAAACAATAAATAAAATATAATGTCGTTCTTTTGTTTTATTGGTTTTACATCGTCAAGATTTTGGTTTGTAGGTATTGCACTGGAGGAGGTGGTCATAAGAGTAAATAATGTTACTTAGGAAAAAAAAAAAAAAAGAAATAGAAGAAATAAAAAAGGGTGGGAAAAGCCCAAAAATAAAAATATCTCGCACACACAGACAAAAAAAGGGTTCGGAGTGACAAACGACCCAAAACATCAAATTCTTCCTAGAGAACAAGATCATGCAGAAACAAATGAAAAGTGTCACAGAAAAAAGAAAAAAAAAAGTCAAAATCAACCGTGTGAGTAGAAGAATAAAATCTTATATTTTATTGATTTTTTTTTTCAAATAAAGAAAATGATAAAAAAAAAAAGAATGATAAAAAAAGAATGAATGAACTATAATAATAATAATATATAATAAAAAAGATTGAGATAAAAAAGATAATAATAAGATCACCATGCAGTATATCCACCATCAACAATGATTTCGGTTCCAGTAACAAATGTAGAAGCATCAGAAGCCAAAAATACAACAACACCTTTCAATTCATGAGGAGAACCCATTCGACCCATTGGTGTATGTTGTTCCCAATAAGCACGCATCTTGTTTCCTTCTTCACCTTGTTGAGCAAGAACTTGACGATTCATAGCAGTATCAAAATAACCTGGAGAGATAGCAGTAACACGGATGTTATGAGGAGCCCATTCACAAGCTAATGATTTTGTTAATTGTAAAACAGCAGCTTTGGTAGCATTATAAGGAGCATGAGTTTGTGGTGTATTGGTAATATGTGCAGACATGGAAGCAACAGTAATGATAGATCCTCCTGTACCCAATTTCATCATATGTCTATCAAATATAAATATATATATAGTAAGTAAAAAAAAAAAAAAAAAAAAAAAAAAAAAAAAAAAAAAAAGTACTTACTTTGCAGCTTGTTGAACACAAAAGAAAGTACCATTCACATTGACATCAAAAATTTTTCTAAAACTAGCAGCCGTATATTCTATAGCAGGACAAACTTGATTAATACCGGCAGCAGTAACCAAAATATCAAGACCACCATGATGTTGTACAATTTGTTCAAATAACATAGATACTTCTTCATCATTAGTAACATCACAACCCCAACTTGATGCTTTGACTTGACAATCCTTTTCTATGGATGCAACAGCTTCAGCACCAGTTTCAGCTAAAAGATCAATACAGGCCACAGAAGCTCCACTTTCTGCTAAAGAACGCATCATTTCATAACCAAGACCTCTAGCACCACCCGTCACTAATAAAAAAATTTAATTTATAATTATTAAAAAAAAAATAAAAAATAAAAATAAAGAGGACATACCAACAGCAACTTTCCCTCGAAGAGAACCATATTGATCAACAATATTAGTAGGTGCAGACGTTGAAAGATCATACATATTTTTTATTTTTTTTTTAAAAAAAAAAAGAATGATGGGTATTGGTAGAAAAATATAATAAAAAAAAAAAGGGAAGAAAAAGATAGTGAAAGAACAAAAAAAAAAAAAAAATCCATGCAGATATTTAAAAAAGATTTTTACAAAATTCGGAAAAACCAATGATTGGTCCAGGACATACCTCATTTGGTAGGCTAAAGAGAAAGAAGAAATAACAGGGTGTTTGTCAAACAAACAATATCATAAGGTTGTTTGTATATTATAAGAATATAAAATCATCGATTGGTTCATTATATATATTTGCCATTTCCTTTTAAAGAAATTGCATTCTTTTTGGCTATCAACAACAAAAAAAAATAAAAAATAAAAATAAAATAAAATAAAAAAGTGTAGACTCTCTTTTGAAACTCATTATCAAAAAAAAAACACCTGATTTCCTAATAGAAATGAAGCAAGTCTATATTAATATTTTCTATCACCGCTTATTCATTATTATTATTTCTCTTCTTGTGTGTGTGCTTGTTCTGTTCTACTCTGTATTCTGTCTCTCTTTCTCTCTCTTGCCTTATTTTCGATTACCGCATTTCATACCTTTTTTTTTTTTTTTTTGTTCTCGCTCTCTCCCTCTCCTCTTTATTTTTTTTTTTTATTTTTATTTCCTTTTCCTTTTTCTTCCTCTTAAGAGAAAAACATGGAAGTACGTTCAAAGACAATGCAAACAGAACAACAAAAACAAGATGAAGAAGTAAGTTTTTATTATATTTATTTATTAAACTAAAAAAATATATACTCACGTTTTTTTTTTATTTTCTTTTAATAGAATACACGTTTATTAAATGAACTTCACCAAAATGAGAAAGCTTTGAATGATTCTATACGTGATCAATTGGAAAAGGTATATATATATAAAAAAAAAGAAAGTTTTAATATCAACTCAACTTTATTCTCTTTATAGGCTCGAAAAACTAAAGCAACCATGGAAGCTGATTTGGAGTCTCGTGCTCAAGAAATCAAACTTACTCTTGGAAATTTACAAACTAACGAATCTGATAAGTAAGAAACGAAAAAAAAAAAAAATAAATAAATAAAAATAAAATATAATAGTGTTACTTTCTTAACTTTTTTTTTAATTAGTGAATTGACTCGTATCTTATCTATTAACGATGAAGAAATACTCAAAACTGAAATACAGAAATTATTTACTCAATGTCGTCAACAACAATCTCGTATTAAAAAATTGGAATTCGATGTAGAAATGGAACAAGGTCACGTCAATATCTTACGCCATGACAATCAAACGTTGAAACAGCTGACTGTTAATATGACTCAATTGGCAGAACAAGAAGAAGAATATATCTCCAACAAATTATTGAAACGTATTACTGGACTCAAGAAAGAAAAAAGTGAATTATTATTACAAGTGGAACAAGAAGAAGAATATATGACAAATATGTTACAAAAGAAACTCAATCGTGTAAGTATAAAAATAATAATAATAATAAATGGTAAACTTATTCTATATTTCTAGTTACAAAAAGAAAAAATTGATATGGAAAATGCTTTGGAACAAGAACAAGAATTCATTGTTAACAAGTTACAAAAACAATTGGATGCACTTAAATCTCAACAACCCAAATCTACAGCTTCTTCACCAAGAACTATTCTTCAAGATGCTACTGGCAATTCTATCTCAACAACTCCTGGTGCTAGTCCTGCTCTTCCAACTCATCCATCTCCTTCTCTTAGGTATTTATTTATACAGAATTATTTAGATCAATTCAATATTTATACTCTTTTATGTATTATATATATATATATATATATATATCTTTTAGTGCCAAGAAATGGAATACAAATAGTGGTAACTCATCCGGTTATAATGATCCATCTTCAAGTATGATTGAAATGTTATTGGCAGAAGTAGCTAGTTTGAAAAGTAAAACAAGTGAAATGGAAAAAGAATGTAAGTAAAAAAAAAAAAAAATGAAAAATGAAAAATGAAAAATTTGGGAAATATATTATTTATATACTTACCATTTTATATAATAGTTCTTCATAAAACTCAACAATGTAACAAGTATAAGGTTGAATTGGTTCAATTCCGTAAACAAAACAATATGCCTATTGATGATATCCCATTGGATGAAGGGTAATGATTTAAAATTATTACATAAAATGGATACTGACTTTTTTTTTTGTTTTTCTTCTTCTTTCATAGAATACCCGCAGTATTTCGATCTATTCCACCTTCACCTGGTAGACAAGTTAGAGTAAGTAATTCATATATATATAGGTGATGTTTCTTATTTTCTATTTCTTTCTTAGGCTAAACGTTCAACATCTACATCATCACAACGATCTGTTACCTCGGAAAAAACTGGAAGTCAATATGGTTCTATTCCTCCTTTACAATTGGATAGTAACTGTGTATCATCGTCATCACCTTCACCTCATCATCAACATGATTATTCTTCAACTCATTCTACCGTTGGTCCTCAATCTATTCCAACATCAGGAACTCCAAGGTCAAGATCAAGTAAGTTTTCTTATCAATTGTTTATTTATGTACCAAATAATACTAAAATAATGTTTTTTTTTTTTGTTTGATCTATCCAATAGATTCTATTAGTTCCTCAGCCTCTGGTAGCTTGTCAAAACGTGATACAACTTTAAGAAGAATCTCAGGAACCATGTTTGGATTGAATTCACCACCTCAACAACATCCTCCTCATCCTTAGTGTTTAGTTTATTTTTGTTATATCAATACTGCAAAAAAAAAAAAAAGATAAAGAAAATGTCAATTGATTTTCAATTGATTTTCCCAAAATGTCTTGTTCGTGTTTTTTTTTTGAGTATCCGCAATGGCCAGGTTGCACAACCTGCAAAAAATAAAAATAAAAGGAAAACTCCTTTACGCGGCCTTTTTTTTCTCTCTTTCTTCTTTACCTTTTTTTTTTTTTTTTTTTTATCATATCATGACTTCACTTGCAAAACCAATTGGTGAATACCCTTCACATGGACTTATGCCAAAACAAGACACTCAAGTGGCTAATTTCTTGAAAAAGTTCCCAAACTACGATGGTAGAAACACTGTGATAGCCATTCTTGATACAGGTAAGTTTTTTTTTTTCACTTGACGTCATGTACCTTTATTGTTCCTTTTTTTTTCTTATCCTTTCTTTCTGTATTATCTAGGTGTGGATCCTGGTGCTGCTGGTAATGTCTTTTTTTTTCTTTTTTCTTTTTTCTATTTTAGAATATAAATCTTGTATCATGACTCTTTACTGATGTTTTCTTCCTTTATTATAGGTATGCAAGTAAGTTTATTTGGAAACCTTTCAAGTTGAAAAAAAAAAAAAGAAAAAATATCGTGTCTATTGATACCTAATTGACTTTTTTTTTTGCTCTCTTTTTGAATGATAGGTGACTACTGATGGCAAACCAAAGATAATTGATATAGTAGATTGTACTGGTGGAGGTAAGCGTGTTATCTTATATATATAAAGAAAAGGGACGAGGGTCAAAAAGAGAACGGTGTCAATGATATAAAAATTAATCATGTCTTTTTTTCTATATAGGTGATGTTGCCACTTCAACCATTGTGAAACCTAATAAAAAAGAAATCAACGGTGAACAAGTCTCAGTGATTGAAGGTCTTGGTGGTCGTACTTTAATTGTCGATCCTTCTTGGAAAAATCCTTCTGGTGAATATCGTGTTGGTTTAAAACGTGCCTATGAACTATTTCCATCTGAATTGGTTGAAAGATTGAAATCTGTAAGTTTATCAGTAATAATAATAATTTTGACTTATATCATAATCTGTTTGTTTATGGGTAGGAACGTCGTCAAAACTTTGAAATCAAACAATCTCATTTGGTCAGTGAAGCTCAAGCTCAGTTAGCAGAATTCAACAAGAAAAATCCTAATGTCACGGATGAAAAAAGTATTCAACAACGCAATGATTTGGAAGCTCGTATAGATCAATTGAAAGCTTTGATCAAGAATTATGAAGATCCTGGTATACTTTTGGATTGTGTCGTCTTCTTCGATGGTCAAGATTGGCGTGCGGTGATTGATGTCAAAGAATCTGGCGATTTAAGAGGTAAAAAGAGATGATGGATTCCCAAATAGGGGGATTTTTTACAAAAGAAGGGAAAACTTACCATATACAGTTGTCTCATTTACTATTATTATTATTTTTTTTTTGTTCAATTCAAGGTCAACCTGCTATGGCGGACTATCGAAAGGAACTTGAATATCACACCTTTGGTGAAGAAGATTTGCTCAACTTTTCTGTCAATATCTACGAAGATGGTGATATCCTCAGGTTAGCCAAAAAAAAAAATACTACTTGTTGAATACTCATCATCATCCTTATTATTATTATTTTATATATATATTAGTATTGTTACTTTGTCTGGAAGTCATGGTAGTCACGTAGCTGGTATTGCTGCTGCTAATTTCCCTGATGATCCTACTCTCAACGGTGTAAGTGACTCTTTAGTTAGATACATACATATATATATATATATATATATATGTTATTGATCCATTTTCTCTTATTTTAGGTTGCTCCTGGTGCACAAATTGTCTCTCTTCGTATTGGTGATGCAAGATTAGATTCAATGGAAACAGGTCCTGGATTAACTCGTGCTGCTGCTCATTTAGCTATCAACAATGTGGATTTGGCAAACATGTCTTTTGGTGAATCAAGTAGTTCTCCTGTTGATGGTCACTTTATTAAATTGTTGGCGGAAGAAGCAGTTGGAAAATCTGGTTGTATTTTTGTTACTAGTGCCGGTAATGATGGTCCTTGTTTCAGTTCCATCGGTGCTCCTGCTGGTATGCATGCTAGTTTTATTACTGTGGGTGCCTATGTCAAACATGCCCAAATGCAAGCTGAATACGCCTTATTAGAATCTGTTGCTGAACGTCCCTATACTTGGTCTTCTCGTGGTCCCTCTACTGATGGATATCATGGTGTGGATATTTATGCCCCTGGAAGTGCTATTACAAGCGTTCCTGTTTACGGATTGAACAAATTGGATTTGAAAAATGGTACCAGTATGTCTAGGTAATGATTCTTCTATAGAGAGAAAAAAAAAGAAAAGGTTTGTATCTTTATGATAGGATCTGATTATATATATATATATCTTTTTTTTTTCCTGGGTATAGTCCAAATGCTTGTGGTTGTGTTGCCGTGTTGGTTTCTGCATTAAAAGCTGAAAAGATCGATTACACTCCGTATCGATTGAAAAATGCCATTATTCAAACAGGTAAATCTGTGGATGATCCCCTTGGTGTTGGATTTATTCAAGTGGACAAGGCATGGGAATATTTGGAATCTTACAAAGAACATAAAGACTTGGATATATTATTTGAAGTAAGTTAGATGAAGTTAATTTTCAAACTTTCACTTACTAAATTTTCTTCCACTCCTTTTTTTTTTTTTTTTTTTTTGGTCATAGACTGTTGTGAACAAGCGTGGTCACCAACGTGGTATTTATTTACGTGAATTGGATGAAACTAGTCAAGTCCAATATATTACTACTCAAATCCATCCTACTTTTATGGGTGAAAAAGATCCTGAAAATCCTCAATACAATCGTGCCAAGTTTGATTTTGATGCCCGTGTTGCTTTGATTGCCACGCAATCTTGGATTACTACCCCTGACTTTTTGTATATACACTCTGGAGGTAAAAAAAAAAAAAAAAAAAAAAAAAAAAAAAAAAATGGAAAACGTATTATTCATCTTTCTGATTATTGATAGGAAATGGATTCCAAATCAAAGTGGATCCTACTGCACTTAGTGAAAGTGAATTCCATTACGGTGAAGTTCTTGGATATGATACTGCTCATCCTGATCGTGGTCCTCTCTTCCGTGTGCCTGTATCAGTTGTCAAGCCAACACAAACAAAGAATGGTTCCCTTACTTTCCAAAAGGTGGAATATGGTCCTGGTGATATTATTCGTCGGTTTGTTCATGTTCCTGAAGGTGCCACTGATTGTGAACTGACTATCCGTGCCAAAGCCCCATCTGGAACAAGTCCTGCTCGCTTTATGCTTCATCTATTACAACTTGTGCCCAAGAAAAGCCAAAAACACAAACAAACGTATTCTTTCCTTCTTGGTGCTGGTTCATTTGGTGATCCCAAATCTGAAGACCAGGTGATTGTTAAACGTTTTGCTGTTCGAGGTGGACTCAATTTAGAAGTAAGTAAAGGAATCTGTATCACTAGTATGTTTTTATTCATTATATATATATATATTTAATTGTAGGTTGCTCTTGCTCAATTCTGGTCTGGCTTGGGAAAACATGCTGTAGAACTCAACTTGGAATTCCATGGTGTCCAACTTGCTGGAAATTTGGCCATTGGCAATGGTGTGGTCAAGTTAGATCATCAAATCACTCGATTAGATATTGCTGCTCCTATTCGTAGAGAAGATCCTGTGGATGTCAAAGTATCTTTTGGTAAATAGAAAATGGAAATATATATATAATATTGTATTTGTACTTATGATGATCTGTTTTGTAGATGTTTTACGCAAGTATTCTCGTCCTACTGAAGCTGTGATTGCTCCTTTACATTCTGATCGTAATTCATTGCGCAATACAAAGACTTTATATGGTTTAGTTCTTACTTACAATTTCAAGACGGAGGCAAATACTTCGGTGACTCCTTACTTCCCAACAGTCATGGATCAACTTTATGAACATTATCTTGCTGGTGTTTTTGGTATTGGTAAGTAATGAAATAAAAAAAGAAGGGTGATCATTGAATTATAGAATATATATATATATATATATATATATATACTCATCGTCTTCATCATGATTTCAAACTCATAGTTTACGACGCAAATCACAAGGTGATGGGATATTTGGATGTATATAGACATAAGATTACATTGCAAACCAAGGGTGATTATAAAGTTCAACTTCAATTACTCTCGGAAACCTATAGTATCTTGGAGAAGCTCAAAACGACTGTTTGTGAACTAGACTTCCCTGCTAGCAAGACTGTGACCTTCAATCCTTATCAAACGATATCTGATGTATTCACTGCTGATAAACCCAACCCTTCCAAGGTGTTGGAACGCAACGATCAAAAAGCTTTATTCATCGCAGCACCTTTGGAAGATGCTTCCTGGTTGCCATCCACTGCCAAACCAGGTGATGCTCTTGTAGGTACCTTGTCTTTCCAATCCAAAACTGTGAATGGTGGTAAATATAAGGCTTTATACGTGATCCCTCCCTCTCCTGCAGAATCGAAATCAACTTCATCCAATGGCAAAAAATCCGATGATGTTATTACAGAAGAATTGACGGCTTCCATCAAGAACTTACAAGTTGGTGCGCTCAAGAAACTAGACAAGAAATCAACAGCTTACGATACTTTACTCAAGCATCTGGAATCAGAAAATGAAAACGATATTACATTATTGGAATACAAAATGGATGATGTATGGACACGCAATGAAGGAAATCAGACCGATGCATTGACAGGCAAATCTGAATTCACAAAGGCTCAGGTGGACGACATTGTGGCACTCTCCGAAAAAATACAATCTCAAATCAATGAAACCGAGTTGTTACAATTCTACATGCGACCTAGCAACGGTGAAGTAGACGAAGCGAAGAAACAAGTGCGCAAGACCAATGATAAAAAGAAGCAACAATTGGTCAAGGCTCTTAAACATCGTGTTGCTGCTCTTTCCGCCCTTCTACCTTCGGAACAAGTCGATCATCAAGAATTACAAAAGCAAGTGGATCATTTGGCAATGTGGACAAAGGAAGAGGATACAAAGAGCGATCTAGTGTCTTTACTTAGTCAAGTCAAACGAGAACGACATGCTGGACGACCTGGTTTGGCTCTCAAGGCGATTGAAAAGTATCTTGATGCCACAGCTCTAATTTCCGATAACGTCAAAGACATTCAAACAGTGTGGACTGTGCGTGCTGATATCTATGCTAAGGATTTGAAATGGACAATATGGGCTGATTATGATGCTAAATGGAAACACATTAGATCTCCTCCTGGTGGTGCTGCTCCTTTTTAGGCTTCTTATTTATTCGTTTATTTTTTTTTAGTCATATGTATAGTTATACTTTTGATATTTTATTTCAATAAACTCGATTTATGAGCATCCCTCTGTCAATAGTTTAACCAACATCTTTTTTTTTTTTTTTTAGATGTATAAAAGAAAAAAAGTTATACAGTGTTTTCAAAGTTTTTTGTCGGGTCACAAGAAAATGCTTTTCGTGATGTTATAAAATGGCGGTTATTGACGATTCGTCCCTTAGAGTCACCGACTCAAGTCACCACCTATAATTGGACTTGACGCAAATAAATTTTTCCCTTTATAAAAATGTAAAGTCCGCGGATGCCCTTTTTGTGTGCATTATTTTTCAATTTCCTTTTTCTTTTTTTCTTTTTTTCTTTTTTTCTTTTTATTCGTTTCCTTTCTTTCTCTTTTGTTTTTATTGGTTTCCTTTTTCTTTTTTTTTTATTCGTTTTATCTTCCTTTTATTTTTTATTGGTGCTTTATCTTTTCACCTTTTTTATTGGTACCTTTCTCTGATAGTTTATTTTTCATCTCTATAAATACTCGACGGTACCTTACTGCTTTTCTTAATTCTTTTTTTTTTAATAAACTAAAACTTCAAACGACACAGATATGGCTTCTTCTTCTTCTTCTTCTTCTTCTGGTTCCTCTTCTTCTGGTCCTTCTTCTTCTGGTTCTTCTTTTTCTTGTTTTCCTTCCGTTAATCGCCTTGGACCAAGAAGATATACTGATCTTGCATCATACAATTATGAATCTCGTCGTGCTTTACAAGAAAGTGAATTAGAGGCTCGTATGGCAAGACCCAAGAACACGAAAACTGCCTATGGTTCCAAGCAAGCTGAATTTCTCGAATGGTGTGCAACTCTACCCGAAGATCCTATGTCCCGCGAACTTGTTACTGGTGAAAAGCTCAACCTCTTCCTCCAAGAGCAGGTAAAAAAAAAAAAAAAAAAAAAAAAAAAAAAAAAAAAAGAAGAGTGTGGAGATTGTCATGTTAACACTTTACTTATTTAATTACCATATAATAGGTGCGTGATCGTGTTTCTCGTCACAAGCGAAAGGATGGAACCACAACGCAAATCAAGTACGCAACAGTTCAACAGTATGCCGCTGCCATAGTGGATCTTTATCAACAACAGCGTCAAGCAGGTGCAAACTCTCATCCAAACCCTAGGCCTTATGTCAAAGATCTTCTGAAAATGGTGAAAAACAAGGAATATGAAGTAAGCCGAGGAAATTATGAAGACCGTGGTGAAGGTACGTTGGCCGATGGATACACAAGCAACGACCAGGTTGCCGATGTGGTGAAAGCTTTCCTCTCAAGAACTCAACGTCATGGTGAACAACTTCGTGGTGCTTTGGCCTTTCTTCTCTCACATTACATGCTTCTTCGCGGTGAAAGTATTCGCAAATTGGAAATGACTGATCTCCAAACGATCAATCTGGAAAATGAAGCGGCACGTCAAGGTATGGATTGTCCTGCTCTAGTTATGATCATGCGTCAAGGCAAAACGAACAGACACAACCGATTGGAATTGGCGGGTTGTATGCGTAATATCCGAGTGGAAATCTGTCCCTTCATGGCTCTAGGCTTTTATTTCTTTTGGCGCTTTCATTTCGAAAACGAACCGTTTCCCAATATGATTTCTTCAAGGACTTGGTACGACATCAAGGTGTTTAAGGCTCAACAAAACAATAACACGGACGAATGGTCATACGAGGCACACAGTAAATCAGTGCGACGTGCATTAGAACGGGCAAATATTCGGTCAAAAAAATCAACTCATACTGGTCGTGGCTGTGGTTCTCGGATGGCTCATGTTTATGGTGTGAATGAAGATCAGATTCGACAGCAAGGAAGGTGGAACAACACGACAATGAATGGTGCTTACCTAACGACTTTGCCTAGAGAATTCATGCGTACTATGGTTGGTTTTCCTAACAATCAAGGTTCCTTTTTTCTGCCCCGTGCCGCTTTAAATCCTCCTGAAGAACTTTGTCGAAAGGTGTTTCCCGATGCCAACACGTGGTATGACCGACTTATGGCCAAAGATCTCAATCCGAATGGTAATGATGACATGAAAGTTACTGTGGCCGCTGTTGCTTTTCTGAAGATGCTGTTTGTTATCCGCAAATCGTTTATTCAAGATTCTGTCTTTATGATGCAATTGTACCCAACCCATCCTCTTTGGACTCTTCAGTTTTTTAGTGATCTATTGTACGTGCAATTCAAAACGTAAGTTTTTTTTTTTTTTTTTTTTTTTTTGTGATTTGATAGTGCATTGTAGGTATAGACGGATCTTCTCATCTTTTCCTTTTCAGTCAACTTCTAGGTATCGCTGTTCAAGAAGATGATCCAAGTTCACTCTTATTGCAACGTTGTGTACCAATCATTGAACAAAGGTTACGAACGATCCACGAGGATCTATCACGACAAATGGAAGCTCATCGAACAACATCATCTACAACGAACGATTACATCTCGCAGTTGGTGACTGGAAGGGCAACACTCAGTCTAAACATCAACTTCAATGATGGCAATTCCTCTATCGTTGCAACTTCGACACCAGTGCCATCTTCTCATCAACCTCAACATATCTCAACATCATCCTCACCATCAACGCCAAGTACAGATGATCATGTGCCGCCTGTTTACCGGATGAATCGTGCTCTAAAATCACTGGATGACTTGTGGAGAGAATGGTACGTTGGGATTGCTGGTGGTTACGCAGTGGATGATTTAGAAAAACGTTGGGGATCGCAGTGGAGGAAGGACAGCAAGGAAAGGAAGTTTTACAGTCGAAGACGCCGGATTATCGACCAGATCAACAAGTACTCTGTGGAAAGGAATGTATCGACAAGAACAGCCCTGGAACGTGCAGAGGAACGACGCGCCCGCCATGGATATTCATTACATTACTTAGGTGAAAACCCATGCATGATCTATGAAGATATGATATAGCGTCTTCTGTTCCCTTTTTTTTTTTTCTTCTGTTCCCTTCTTTTTTTTTCTTCTGTTCACTTCTTTTTTTTTTATTTAATATATTATACTTTTTTTTTTTTTACATATCATATATATAATAAAGGATTATTTGTTTGAATCATTCTTTCTTTTTCTCTCAGTCTTTTTTTAACATACATCAGTTGTTGTCTTTCTTTTTTTTTTTTTTTTTTTTGTGAACTTTCGCTCTTTTCTTTATGAGTCTCTCTAGATATGTCAAAATATCACTTCAAAAATAAAGTAAACTGTGATTGTGTTCAAACGTTTTTCATTTTCTCCATTTATTCTTATCATATTTAACAAAATACGACCATCATCATTGATTTTAACAACTTGTGTAAATTAACAAATATGGAACTGGGACGTTGTGCCTGATTAACAAAAGTTATTGGACATCGGAGGGTAAAACATATGGAGACTTTCTGGGACTTGCAGTGACCTGAAGGAGTGATAAAAAAAAAAAAAAGAAAAGAATAAAACAAATACCTTTATGTAATTAACACCAATAGCATCAAGTATGATGATGGAGTATAATAATAAAAGAAAAGTAAAGGAAAAGAAAAAGAAAGGGAGAGGAAAGGAAAATAAGCAAAAGAAAGGTTTCCGTAGAATTCTTTTTTTGTAGAGAATTCGGGAATTGAATAAATATGCCCAAAACGGTAAAGGACCGTCTTTTATTCTTTATTTCTCTTTCTTCTTTGTTTATTCCCATACTTTCTTCACACATATCATCATACTTGAAAAATTCCTCCTTTATGATGCAAGTATAAACAGAGAAAATTGCTTCTTTGCAACCATACTAATCTACATTCTTCTTTTGTACTGATGAATATGATGAACATTCACTATTTTCTACTCTGTTTAATAGGTTACTGTAATTGAACAGAAATGCAGGCGTACTAAAGGAGTATAAAGGGAATTTGAACAAATAACTTGTACGGATGATGGATAATAATATGTATTCGCTTCTTTCTATATTCTCAATTTTTAAATAGGTTATTGAAGCTGCTCAATAGAAGCACGTACAATCTCCTTAGGTAAGCCGATAAAACAATTCATATACAATCACTTGGAAGAAGACTTAATTCTACTTGTATCCTTTTTTGTTTTAGGTTATGGAAGCTACGCAATAGAATCTATAAGTAAGCAGCCGCTTTTTGAAGATAAGGGAAGTACCTCTAATACGCCAACATTGATTTATATTCTCGCTTCCTGTTCTTTTCTTACACGCCATTGACGCTACGCTATGGAAACCAGCAAGCTATCTTTGAAAGAAACTGGAGCAGCAGCATGATGAATTGATCAAAAAGAATTGCCATTACTTCATATTTACTGAGCATACGCCATGTCCATTCAGTGAAAACAGCATCATTGCCATCATCAGTCCTATTTTACGATCAACAATACAATGAAGAGCAACATCATCATTACTATTGTCAAACAAGGATCAACACGATTTCGAAGACGAGGATAAATAAATAGATTGTTCTTTTTTTCTTAGTGTAGTTTAGATTTATATTTATATATAATAAATGGAAAAGGGTAGACATTAGATAGGTGGGACCGGAGATCTTGACTTCTCGTATTGAAAAGTCGATACTATCATTGATTTTTCAATTTTTTTTTTTTTTACATTGGATAGATAATAGATATATACGTGTTTTATTGAGCATAACAGAGAATTACGCTAAAGTAAAAAGCATAAAACTGAAGACAGCATAATGTAAACCAGATATATTTTATTATCATCAATCAAATGAAAAAGGAGTAAAACTTTTTTTTTTCATTGCCTATAAAATCTTTTTAAACTAAACGCAAATTCATGGTCAAATGTGATGATTCATTGGAAACGATTGGGTATTTGTCCACGAACGAAAGGCTCCGGTCTTCCGTGACCTTCTCTGTGGTGCAGAAGGATGGTCCTCATATTTAGACACGCCATTAAGTCTCTGTTCCACTGGCGATATCTGCCATGGAAACCTTGCAGCGCCATTTGATTCATGCATTCTTGAGATGTGCATCTAAAAAAATTACCATCATTATTATTGTTAAGTAAAGAAAAAAAAAAAAAGAAAAAGAAAAAGAAAAAGAAAAAGACATACCTCAGCAATCCCCACCGGCGGACATCTCCTGTTCTGAATGGACGTGGATTCGGGACAAAGCCAAAATGTTCTAATGAGTACTGAGAGCAGGATGGACAAATTTTGATTGTTCGAAATTCATCAATTAGGTAGACCTCAAAACCGTGCCTAGCAAGCATTCGTCGCATTCCAACACCTCGCATAGGTTCATGATGTCGTTGATGGGGTGCAGACCAGTCACCAATGATAAGAACACAGTTGTCACCAAACGCATCCCTTAGAGAGTGTACCAAACGCTGATCAGATTGCTGACCCCGAGTATACGCCGATAACCTAAGCTTTCGAAATAACGGTGTCTGCTGGTTGCCGTGATGAATCATTTCCATGGCATAGAACCCGTGTAACGTTTGCCAAACTTCAGATCTCCTTTGCAAGAATGTGGTAAAGGTGTCGACATTCAGAGATTTGGAATTCACTTGGGAAAGCACGAGCTCCGCATGTTGCACTTCTTCAGGCTTATGTTCCAGCATGATTTTCGCAAACCGTCTGCTTTTAGTTTCATTTCTCCTCTGATTTGATGTATATCGGTAAGTTGATGGTTCATCTACTGTAGAAGATTCATGAAGACAGAATAGCAGGTCACGTCTACCAACGTCAATTAATACACAACGATCCGCTATTTCTTGGTGTTGCTCTGCTCCCAATTCGTCGATATATTGCGTCGTTCGAGTCAAAGGCTGATATTGTTGCCGAAGTCCCGTTGCCGTTGTGTTCTTGTTCTGCTTCGCTATAACCAAACTGACACCGTCCGTATATACAGTCCCACGGAATAGGAAAACATGTTCTTCATCATTACCGTTCTGAGGTTTCCAGCAATTGCGGCCAAAATCAACAACCTCACTCCAAACTGCGACTTTGAATGCTGGCGTAATTGGCGGGCTACGGTTGTTATAGGTCCTTCCGAGTATTTTTGTATACAGTATTTTGGTGTCTATCTGAAGAAATGAAGGCACCCACGACCTACGGAGAGGATACCAATTGAATTCAGTGTATCCAAATTCGTGGAACAAGTTTGCCATCCGGTAAAATGCAGTGATGTATTTAGCAGGTTCGTATAACACATGTTCATAATGGTTATTGTGAAAATTTTCAACAGGAGTCGGCTGGATCAAGTTCAAGATTTCCACAACTCGGTCGAAAGCTTGAGGAAAAGATTGACGTAATACCATATCATTGCGTCGACTTGGATGCCAGGCGATGGCTACTTTGAATTGCCTAGCTGGGACAATTATTTGTTCACGAACAGCCGCATCAATTTCCTCAGCCGTTGCACCTTGTTCGTCCAATCCAGCTGCCAAGATTGTTGCATCGTCTGTGACATTCAGAGCTCGATTCACAAAGTGGCGGAGACGAGGTTCAAAATTCGATTGAATGTTGTTCAGATAGCAGGATTGAATTTTATTTGACTCGTATAATCCAACTTGCTGATTATACGTAAAGCGGACTGGCGCATACCCCGTGTTTTCAAAGTAGAGTCCTCTATGGTTGTTTATGATTGTGGAATGTGATCCCGTAATAGTTTGACGTGTAGTAGCAAGCGATTGCCAGACAGCCAAAAAAAATTTTTTGTCGTTTACATAGTTGTAAATTTCGAAGTTCATGTTAGCTTGGAATTCACGTAGAAAAATGAATTTTGTAAAACTGAAAGCATGCTTAGTTATCGTATGTACATTGATAACAAGCTCCTCCAGAACCGCGCGATATTCTTGTTGCCATCCGGCGTCGTCCAAGGATGTTTTTATACATATAAACCTAGACGGTGACGTCCCTTGTCGGGAGTGCACCATCTCGTCCATGCGAATTGCAGCAGCCATAGTATAAAGTTAGATGTAAAAAGAAGATATAAACAGAATACTCTAGAGCAATTCAAAGAAAAGAAAAAAAAAAGCAAAGAAAAAGAAAATGTTGTTCTGTCAGAAGGCAGTTAGAATGAACTAGTTTGTATTTTGTCAGAAATTTTCACAGTGACTGACGACAATTTTCGTATCAGCGTATTCCGTAACCATATCCATAAAATAAAAATAATGCATTCACAATAAAGAATAAAAAATACATCTAAAAATGGAATCAATTACATTGACTTGTAACAAAGTAGTTGGAATAAAGATAAAAGTTTTATTAAATAAAAATATAACTACTAAAGACTACTAATTGATGTACTATAACTAAAGTTGTTATAAAGAAAGGAAAGAAATAAAAGGAAAATAAAAATTACTATCAAAAGATACAAAAATAAAAACACGGACTTTGAAAACTATTATGCACATTGTCCACTATCAATGTATTAATACTCCAGGACAGCTATTTTGAAACAAATGGAACTATTTCCTTTTTCTTGGTTCGCTATTTTGACATCTTTTTTCATGCTCATTATGCAAAAAGAAGATGAACCAACCAATGAGTTGATGTTAGTACACTTTTAATCAACCAAGATGGTATAAAGGAAAGGGCCAGCCTATTTTTAACCGTCGAAATTGGGTGTTGGGTCTGACATACTTATCCTTGATGATTAAAAAAATTATTAACTAAAATTCCACAAATTGTCAAAAATCACATCCTTCGTTCAAAATCCCACATCCTATCCGCCTCAATGTCATACGATTATCCCTTTCTTTTTTCATATAAATATCCACCCTTTCCTTCCTTTTTTTTCTTTTATTTTTCTTTTATTGGTCAAATTCTAAAATAAAAAATTTAATCATTATAATAAAATAAATTAACTACTCATCAAGCATCTGGCCACTCTTTTGGATAATCATCATCTAAAAGTTTTATTCTCAAGATCTATTACTATTTTTTTTTTTTTTTTTTGCAATCATCCATCATGTTTTATCTTTATTATTTTTTCCGTCTTCACAGGATGCCTAACCGACTTATCTCCATTACTCTACTTTACCTGATCGTCAGCCAAATAATCAACACTTATCCTTTACCCTTATTTTTATTTTTCTCTCTACACTTCATCAAGGTTATTACAGTTACTATACTTTTTTTTTATTTCGTTTGATCATCTTCAACAATATCAGGTGTAACATCCCGTTTCCTTATTTGGATTATTCTTCATTTTATTATTAAGTTACTTTTTGTTTTTTTTTTTTTTTATAAAAAGAACTGATGCTCACTTCAAACGAATCGACACTGATATTATTTTAATAATATCATCCATACGTTTTACAAATCAATCTTCCACTAAGTTTGGAAGTCAGTAGAATTTTGAGACGCTGGGACAGTTGTTTTTTTATTTATTTATGATTGACACGTCGTATATTTTCACTTATATACAAGATAATAATAATAAAAATAATAATAAAAAAGGCTTTTATAATACCATTGTATTCATGAACTGAATCACTCTCTTTTATCGCCTGTGCAATGGCGTCTAGACAAAACAAGTGAACGCAAGTATCTTTAAACTGTTATATGCACTATGGGAAAAGATCTGAAATAAATTTTATTTTTCCTGAATACGTTTATTTTTTTTCCTGACTCGATTTAGTACAGACGTTCTTGATTTCTGATTTTTCTGAAATACATTACGTCGCTTTCAAAGTAAATTAAATGCGAATTTCGGAAAAAAAACGAAATGAATGTCGGATTTCCGAAATTCATTTAGTATTTTCATAATTGATTCCAGAAAACCGAACTTCATTTCTGAGTACAACAATATACAGTCATCAGTCATTATAAACACGAAAGAGACTTTATTTCATTGATATAACTATACTACATAACTATACTACATGACTATACTACATAACTACACTACATAACTATACTACAAGGATAATGTTCACCAGTACGACCAGGACTAACTAATGCCACCTCCAAGATAATGATCATGACTTCCACTTTGGGTATAACTATTTTATTTGATATGGATACTTCAATTGGCAGTCTAACAGAGTCATTCCGGGGAAGAAGGGCGTCGATCTTGGCTTGATTGTATAGTTTGCAACCTACAGATAAAATTAACAAACAGTAATCCATCATAATCCATCAACATCACTCTCTTTTCTTTTCTTTTTTTTTTTTTCTATATAAATGTTACCTTGGCTTTATCATTGAATGTTTGTATCACCTTTATTGTATAGAAGATAATCTAGCAAGCTGCAAATAAAACCAACAAAATGAGTAGTAATCTATCAATGTTTGTTTCTTTTTCTTTTTCTTTTTCTATATAAATGTTACCTTGGCTATATCATTGGATGCTTGTATCACCATTATTATATAGACGATAATCTAGCAAGCTACAAATAAAATCACCAAAATGAGTAGTAATCCATCAATGTTTATTTCTTTTTCTTTTTCTTTTTTCTATGTACAAGTTACCTTGGCTGCACCATCGAATGTTTTGTACCACCAGTAAACCCAATGTCATCATAACAGTTGGCTCAGAGAGAAATAAAGGCTTGCCAAATGCAGATATCAGACAATTTCAGATCATCAAGAAAGATAGTTGTATCGTCTTACGTATAGCGCTCCACTATCAGTCATTGATATGATCCTCAATAATTTTTCCAAACCAAATACCGCAAATGTCAGGACTTAACAGGGACTCCAGGAAGAAACAACACGATCAACAGACAATAACTGAATTTCCTACGTGTTGCATTTTGCCCTCCACCTACTTGAGCACAAAATTCAGTCACTAGATTCATAAACGACTCTAGAGACTGATCATCCTCGACCAAGTCCATTGCCCGTAAACAAACAAAGATCAATACACCATGATCTTCGTCTGACCAAAAGCTAAGTATAAAGTAATGATGACCATTCAACATTTGATTGTATAGACCGCTATCCTGAAACCTAACAGATAAAAAAAAAACACAGTGAGTAGAAATCCATCGATCTTATTCACTTTTTTTTTTCTTTTATATATACATATTACCTTGGCTACATCAGGTTCCAATATGGTTCCAATATTGATGTAACAATCATAAAAACCAGCACTAAAGAGATAACCAAAAGCATTTTACATATAGTATAATTTGTTGACGTTTTGTCAAAGAGAATGGAGATAACCAAAGGAACAGGAGTAGTAGCCTAAGACCATGAGAGAGAATGATAATAGGGAGACACCATATCAAGTGGGAAAAAACAAAGGGCAAAGACCAACAATGCAGGAAAACGATCTTGAAGAAATCACCAACCACAGTAGAGACAGATAAGAGGAATAGAGAGTTCAACGACCTGTGAAAGAAATATTGATGAAAACATCATTACAATAAGAGGCAGATGAGAGAAAGGAAAAAAGACCAACCAAGTACGAAAACAGATATTGAGAAAGACACCACCAGAATAAGAGAGATCAGTGCAAGCAAGAGAGTCCAACCGAGAGGAAAAAAGAAAAAAAAGGATAGTGAAGAAAGTACCATGTTGGAAGAGAGATAAGGTAGAAAGAAAGACCAATTACGCAGATAAGAGATTTGATGAAAAATACCATTACAATGAGAGACAAATGAGAGAAGGGGGAGAAAAAGAGAGTCTAACTAAATAGAAAAAAGAAATAAGATGAGCCACCTCTTGTACTTGTTGTTTCAAGATGTATTTGTGATTTCTACCACTTCTTCTATCAGGAATCGCACCAATTCATTTAATTCATTACTAAACGGTAATGGTATCCAAAGTGTTCTTCAACCAATATTTGGCTTGATAATGCTTGTGGGAATATGGAGGGCACAGAATGAGCTACAGTTTGTCATGTTAAAAAAAAAGTGAATTAAACAAGAAAGAAAAGCGAAGAAAAAGGAAATACGGTGGATTTTCCCTTTATACTAATGACTGACTTTGAATCGACTTCACCATTTTTTTTTCTCTTTGATTTTGTACCTGAAATGCATTTCATTTTTACGAGATCCATTTTATTTCAAGACGAAATCAATTGAGGAAATCTAAATTTGGTTTTTGTAAAATAAAATGAAGTTCATATTTCCGGAATTGATTTTATGATAGGAAATTCATTTTGGGTTTATGACATTGATTTCATTTTCAAATGAAATGTTTCATGAAAGAATTGGAAAACGAAATCAAACGAGCTTCATTTCAGAAAATACTGAATTGATTTAGGAAATACGAAAAGGATTCCGTAAAATGTCGGAAATCTGATATTGCTTTTCCCATAGTGATCATATTACTTTATCATGTCGTTACATTCTTGACGATAAATAAAAGTACAAGTTAATGGCAACTCGATAGTACTCTTAAAAAGAAAGGAACAACGCTATTTTTTTTACCCTCTCACCCACCCTTTTTTTATTTATATAAAAATAATAGTAATAATAATAATAGTAATAATAATAATAGTAATAATAATAATAGTAATAATAATAATAGTAATAATAATAATAGTAATAATAATAACAATAATAATGATATGTACAGTATATATGTAAAAAGTATAAATACAACTAAAAGGAATATAAAAATGACATAAAAAATACAGGAACTAAAAGAAAAGACCAGCAAACCGAGAACCAAATTCTGTTCGCAATCCGTCAATGCACAAGGATTCAGCTGCTCGGACCATAGCTCCTTTGCTGACCTAGAAATATATAAATACATATATGTAGTATTAGTCAGAACCATCTATTTTTTTTTTTTTTGTTACCTTTGTAAGATAGCTGTCCGGGTATAGGTCGGCCAGACAAAGAATCCATGGCCCTCCAGCGGCTTCGACCAAATCACCATAGATACTACATTTTTTTACCATATCGTTGATTTTGGTCATAGCGTCATCTTTGTCTTCGTCGGCGAGGTGTTGCACTATGATGGATAGATATTAAAAGGTATTTCTTTTTCGTGAGTAGTTTGCAACCTTTCCGTGCGTATTTCATATATTTTACTTACCACAACGGGAAAGGAAAGCGGAATAGGTGAGTTTACTGACGTTCTTGAGGTGATGGAACCTTTTTTGATATTGGAACATTAACGCTGCTTTGGTGATAGTGGTTTGAACAGCGTATTGTTGGTAGTTGATGATGGTGTTTGCCAAATCAATAAGGTCCGATGGCGCTACTGCTGTTGTTGTTGCTGGTACTATTGCTGTTGTTGCACTTGTTGTTGTTGTTGTAGTTGGTGCTGCTGTTGTTGTGCCTGTTGTTGCTCCTGAAAGTAAATTTTGGACTAGTTGCCCGTAACTATCAATTCTTTCTACACTGTTGGCAATGGTAATGAATGTTGCTGGCGTTGGTAACTATTATAATTTCAAAGGATTTCAAGTTAGAACTTTTTTTTTTTTTTTTTTTTACTTACTTTTGGTTTGATTCCACGATAGCTTGGATCATTGTTAATTCTTTTTCTTTTGGTTGGTTGTTGTTGTGATTGTTGTTGTTGTGATTGTTGTTGTTGTGATTGTTGTTGTTGTGATTGTTGTTGTTGTGATTGTTGTTGTTGTGATTGTTGTTGTTGTGATTGTTGTTGTGATTGTTGTTGTTGTTGTAGCTGCTCTCTTTCTTTTTGTAGTCGTTGTTGTTGCTGTTGTAACTGTTGTTGTTGCTGTTGTAGCTGCTCTCGTTCTTTTTGTAGTCGTTGTTCTTGCTGTTGTAGCTGTTGTTGTTGTCGCTCTGATTGTGATGATTGAGCTCTTGCTGCTGCTCTTGCTGCTGCTCTTGTTGCCCGCGTTCCTGCTGATGCTAATGAGGAAGATGAAGATTCTGGTTGTTGAGCCATGATTTTGTACTGCGGTCCACCTGTCATTACTTGGGCAAAGATATTGCCATTTTTGAAGACCCCACGATAGCCCCCCTTTCTCAATGCATTGTTTATATTGGAGAAAAAAGATTTGGCTGTTTAAATGAAAAATTAAAATACACATAAAAAAATTAGAATTGTATTTTTTCGTTTAATATATATATATATATGTTGGTATACGTACGATCAGCTTTGAGATCCTCGTAGTAATCGTTCATTATTGTTGTCAGTAAAGAAGTAGTAATATATAAAAAAAAGAGAAAGAAGAAAGGTGAGAGTAAAAAAAAGTGAAAAAGTAAAGAAAAGAGAAAGGACGAAAAGACAATGAGAATTTCTTCATATAGACGGATCGTAAGGATCCGATTTAAATACTTCCAAAATGTTTTTAAATCGGCGAATGAATGTTTTTTATGTAGCATCATTATCTTTCAAAATGGCAAATCAAAATTTTCATTTATTTTAAAAACATAAGACATTCTCATAAATAACAAGTTCAAACAGATAGATTAATTGTTATAGTATCTAAATAAGATAAAAAGGTAAATAGTTAGTAGCATTATTTCACTTTATAAAAAAAAGAGTAACGCCATTACCTTAGGGTCGTCATTCGATTGTTTATTGCCATCTTGAATAAAAAGTAAAGTAAACGCCACGTTCAAGCAGATAGACCAACTGCTATAGTACCTAAAGAAATAAAAAAAAATTAAACAGTTAGTAACATTCTTTGACTTATATAAAAAACGTAACTACATTACCTTCAAGCCATGAGGTTCCTTTGTCATCACCAACATGAATAAAACAAAAAGAGGTAAACACCAGTTTCAATAGATAAATTAGTTATTATAATATAAATATAAATAAAAGAAAGAAAAAGGTCAGTAATATTCTTTCGCCTTATATAAAGAGAAGAGATTGTATACTTCATTACCAAAGGTCATCATAATATTACTTTTGTCATTAATAGATGTGAAGAAAAAAAAAAAGGAAGGAAAAAGAAAGTAGTGGAAAAGGTGCCTGTGCGCGCCTGATCCGTTTTCCTTATTTTTACGTCCCGCCACTCATTTTTTTTCTTTTTCTTTTTCTTTTTCTTTTCTTTTTTATATTCCTTTTATTATTCAATAAGCTAATAAATACCAAGGGATATGTTAATCTAATCACATGACGACTTTTTTGGTATCAAAACTATGTTTATAAGATAAAATAAAAAAAAATATAACTGGCTATCCTTTCTTTTTTATTATTATTAGTGTTATTTATTTATTTTTTCTAATCAAAGTAGAATCACTTATACAACCGAATCAATAAAAACACAACAGATTAAAAAAGTAGACTCGCTTCAATATAGATCAATGAACAATGTCAACAAAAGGATTCAATCTCACTAGGAAGCTGATCTTCCACAAACAAAGGCAGAATTAATCGAATACCATCTAAACAATACCATAATGATAGATTTTAAGCTTCATTTTTATACCATCTCTCTTTTTCTTCTTCTTCTTTTTCTTCTTTTTCTTCTTCTTCTTCTTCTTCTTCTTCTTCTTCTTCTTCTGGCGCGATATGTGAATTCGATACAATAGGAAAGTAAGTCCAAGAAAATAAAAACAATGGTTACACTTACGGTCAACCTCTTCTAATTTATTCCTTTTTTTTTTTTTTTTTTTTTACGCCAACTATCTCGAACCACTTTACTACATCGTCCTGCATTCCTCTTATTCTTGCAAACTATGATGAAAGGCAAGTATTATTGCAAAACAAAAATATCTTTAGATGTTATTTTTTTAGGCGGAAACATAAATAAAAAGTCAATTTGAAAATTATGCAACCGAAATTCCTGGGTGTCAAGAATATATTGGGCAGCGTTCTAGAATATTATTTCTTGTTCATTACTGTTTCTTTTCTCTTTTTTTCTTTTTTCGATATAAACATTTACAATGACAACAACAATGAACACCTATGCCAAAAAAGAAGAAGTAGATTTTCGATCAATAGCACATGTAATTCAACATTACATGAAGGAAAGACCTAGTAGGTTTCAAAAAAAGATATACTGTACCACAGAAAAACGGGAAGGAAGAAATATTGAAATGGGAAATAAAGAAAGACGAGCGTATACTAATCGTTTCATTGAATCTAGCGGACCCGTATGGCAAAGATGCATGGAATGCATTTGAAACGATTGCCAAAACATATGACGCCAAAAAATGGGAAGAGATCAAGGAAACCTTTGTAGCTACTCCTAATGAACCAACTCCTCCTGTTACTCTTATTGAACCAACTCCTCTTGTTAATCTTAATGAAGATACTCCTCTTGTTACTCTTAATGAACACACTCCTCCTGTTACTCTTAATGAAGATACTCCTCCTGTTAATCTTAATGAACATACTCCTGCTGATGCTGGATCGACTGAAGATACTTCTCCTGCTACTAGCGAACCTAGTGTTGTTAATAAAGGTAAAATAAGAATTCGAACAGTAGTATTATCCACAACGAAAGAATAACTATTGAATGACAATTTTTTTTTTAAAAAAAAAAACAGGAAAACGAAGAATGTCTGAAACGGAAAAGAAAAGAAAAAAAGGGACAACTATGGTAAATAGGGAGGAAAAAAAAAAGAGAAAGCACTGGAACAGTAATTCTAATTGTTAACAAATATATTATTTTTCCGTTAAAAACAGCTAAGCATATTGCAAAAAAGTAAGAAAAAAAAAAAAAAGAAAAATAAAGCAAGGTAACTAATTCTATCTTTATTTGGGAAAATATAAATGAAATAGAATACGACGATGTATTTAAGAGTGAGGAAACAATCAAGCAAAAAGTTAGTAGTATTCGAAAATTATACGGTTGGGATTCAGGTTCAACAACGCTAACAACTTGTGGAGAAGCCTCATCATCATCAGCAGCAATCGTGCCAATGACATCAAAAGAAATAATTACAGATACAACCGTACGAACTTTTGATGATTGTCCGGACGCAATGGAAATAGAAGAAATAAGAAAAGGTTATGAAGACAATAGGCGAACAAATAAATAAAACGGACACCCAACAACTGGTAGTGCGACACAACTCATTGTACTACCGGCTCATACTATCAAAATATGTTTCTGCGTTGGAAAAAAAGAATGTGGGAAGAGATCAAATCATTCAATACATTACCGAAGGTAAAAAAAAAAAAAAAAAAAAAAAAAAAAAAAAGAGAAAAGGAACTCATAAAGAAATTTGGAAAATAGCAATTAGTGCCAAGACCAAAGATAACGAACATGCTGCGAGAAAGTGTCTGCGGCATGGCAGACGAGTGGACGCCGTGGTCTCCCTCTTCCAAAATGTTGGAATTATCTTTTTTGATCTGTTCACGGTAACTGACCTGGATACTGTAAGTGCTATTCCGTACTCCAAAAAAAAAAAAAAAAAAAAAAAGGAAATGATACAAAGTATTTTTTCATTGTTATAGGCGAATAAGGAAGATTGGGGAAAATATATGGAGTACTTGGATCAGCAGCAAAGCAAGTTATCAAAAAGAATGAAGGAAATAGCGAACGAAGATACAAATATGTACACAAAGACTCTCTTGCCACCACGAGATAACGATACTGGAGACAACAATGATGATGTATGATTACCTTTTATTTTTTTCTATATATACATACGCATTTCAAGGGCGGGCGGGTGGGAATGACAATAAAAAAATTGAATGTCTCCGTTAGTCTTTTTGATACGTTTTTATTATTTAGGGATCTCTGCTTCATATGATCCCGTATTTTGTATTGAAATTTCTAGATTGGAAGGGTTGGAAGATTTTGTCTTTTTGGGATTACTGTTGGTAGTATTAGTCTTAGTCAATTATCGATATCATGATCAAAAAAAGAGACTGTTTGTTGATTTTCTTGTCCTTTTTATCACCTCTCTCCTTTTTTTTTTTTTTTTTTTTTTTTGTTTATCCCTTTATCTTCTAATTTTTCCTTCGTTTTATGTAGGGATCATTCCAGCCTCTTTGCTGTATCCTTCTCATTTTGTGTATGTGACTTTACAATGTTTACTCTTGAAGGCAAGTTTCCAGAAACAAGTGCTTTTCTTCTTCTTCCTAACTTTCTTGGTTTTTCTTTTTTTTTTTTTTAAAAAAAAAAACATATTCGTCTGACCTTGATCTTTTTACTACTATATCCATCCATTATCATCCCTCCTACTTGGTATCCTTGGCGATCACTATTATTAAATGTACGTATGAAGAAAAAAAGAAAAAAATTTAGATACACAAAGAATTACCGTTGTAATTTCATATCAATAGGATATTACGTGAAGTGGCTATACATCTGAATCAACGGAATGGACGGATACACAATAGGATCAATAGAATCAATGGATCGTAGAATTAAACGGAATGAATGCATACTAATGTGATAAGGTGGAAAATGTCGATAAACAGAATATATTATAGGAGTCGAGTGTACATTTTTAAAATCAGTTATGCAAAAATGGTAACTTGATCTTTTCTCTTATTCTGGCTTGAATCATCAGTGATTCGTTTTACTGGTAGTTTAGAATGGTACTTGATACAATTATATATAATGTTCGTCTTTAATTAATAAAATCAATATTCATTATCACACTATTTACTCAAATGTTGTTAATCATTACCTAAACAGTCAT